TCTAAGAAGAACCGAATTACAGTTTGTTGTGAGCGCCGTTTTATTTTGTATGGGGTTTCAATTCGGGTCTAAGAAGAACCGAATTACAGTTTGTTGTGAGAAGAACCGAATTACAGTTTGTTGTGAGGTTATGGCGTCTTCAGCGAGCTCAAAGCCAGCCCGAGTATCGGTAAAGACGACTCTGCCTGCCCGACCATTGCCACCAAATTCTAGCCGGCTTGCGGCCACATCCGATCGCTTGCTCATTCGAGCTCTTGTTCCCGAAGACCTTCAAAGCTTGCATGTGTTGCGGACACAGCCGGAAGTCATGGCAACTACCCCCCAGCTGAGGGTCGATAACAGTCTAGAGGAGACGAAGCCATGGCTTGACCGATTCCTCCCTCCTAACGACGAAGCAACTTTTCATTTCGCTATCTGTGTCAAAGAAACGGGCGAGATGATCGGTATCGGAGGCTGCCATGGGTTTACCTCTATATTTGGCTGGCCCGTCATTGGCTACATGTTTCGTAAAGAGTTTTGGGGTCAAGGAGTTGCAACCGAGTTTCTTCATACCTGGCTGGGAATGTGGTGCAAACTACCCCGAGAGGAAGTAGAGATCGATGTTGATCCACGCACTGTATCTGACGGAGATGGTCTGGTGCCTGAACAGGTGACTGCTCTTACGATCCTGGACAACGTCGGCAGCCAGAGAGTCCTAGAGAAATGCGGTTTTGAGAACTTTGCAACATGGCTAGAGCCAGACTTGAGAAACCCTGAAGTTGATGTGTTGATTTTGGGATTCAGGCACTCTCCGAGCAAGGAGTCGGAAATCTAGAGCAGTAGAGACGTTCTGCAAGAATGTTATGCTATTCGTGATCCATCTTATTCTAAGATGAATCTAAGGAAACTTTTTATTTATATGATATTATAGAAATTCTAGGGTTTTTATCATCGGTTTCAGGACATTTGTACATGTTCTAGACCTTGGGTGAAAGTTCGTGCCCCTAGTTTGTATGGGACTGCAGTGTTGGGCTTTCACCTAAACCCAGGATGGTTGCTAACTCAATCTTACAACTACACATAGCAAGGAAGAGGTCTTGGGAATGGTAGTTTTGGGCTTGGCAAGCTGACGCTGGCTTTTCTTTTTATGCCTGTTCGTAACAAAAAGAAGAAGAGGGTAACAATAGCAAGTAACATAGCAGCTACGATTAGGACTACAACTTGACGCTTTATTGCCGGTCCAAATTCGATGGAGAGAGGTCATCAGACTCGCGATGTGACAATAGCCTCACTGCAGCTTACTGGCACCAGCAATGCGCTACTCTTGGGTGAGAGGTTCAGAGGGATTGGGCGGCTAAGTCACGATCATCCAAATATGACTAGCTCATGGTGAATGATACAGATCTGCTTGGGAATAACAAATGGGAATCCTCTAGGTATCTCCATACCGCGCGATTGTTCTGCTCTGGGGAGCCTAGGCAGGTGAGATTACGCGACATAAAGAGGAGGTCTTAGTACTCATCAATTTAGCTCTATCTCTCATATCTATTAAACATCTTAAGAGGGTTGATAAATCCTGAGATAGCACTAAGAACATCATTAAATGTAGGATCTGGTGTAAAATGAGCCGCAATGTGTTGATCGGGACGGATAAGCAGTGCGTCGCCTTTGGAGAACCCAGCATCTCGTTCAAATAGCTCCCTGTGGGCCTGCATTGTGAACTCAAAGTCTTGGTCGGCTGACCATAGGTGAACTCTTACTCCGGAACCGTTGAAAGCCCTCTCGAGCATCTCGTGACACCGAAGCCATTTTGCACGTGATGGTACAATTAGTGTGAATGAATTCAATTCAATCAAGTCCAAGGTTGAGTATTGACGGGCCTCGATATCCTTGACGCTAAACTCCTTGACGTATGACACATCAACAGCTGGGCGGGCAATCTTGGCAGCCCCGGGACGCGACTTGATCCAGGCATGAGGTAGTCGAGCGCCTTTTACAAACTTAGGCGTGAAGCTGGACGCATTTGCAGGAATATCGGACGAGCTGTACACGTAGCCTATATGAATCTCTAACTATAAGTGTCGCGTTGTTGATCAGTATCTTTGCCTAGTAGCACGACGAATTAAGGTGAGCCGGACTTACATTGTCGAAATGCTCGCGCTGGCTCTCGACCTCGCGAGCAATCATTTCTTGCTTGGCCGGATTATGAACAGACCTTTTCAAGTTGGCGCGAGCCTCCTCAACATCCTCGATCCCGGCGGTTCCAAGGGTCTTGAGGAAAGAAAAGATCCTCTTCCCATTCTTGACGCTCTGTGCAGAGTTGACCAGAGCGATATGTCGGCGCTCGCTTTGGTAGCTTTCGAGAATGGAGGAATCTGCCCACTTGTTAAGAACCGCGGCAATCTTGTATGCCACGTTATGGGCGTCGGCGAGCCCGGAGTTGAGTCCGAGTCCGCCGGTTGGCGGGAAGGAATGTGCGGCGTCGCCCACCCTATTTGGTGTTTTCAGCGACGTGCGCGGCCATTGGGGTGTGGCAGTGTAAACTCACAAGAAGACGTTCCCCGATTTGTATTTCTGCGCGACCTTACGACTGAGGATCCATGGGCGGTAGCTCAGAATCTCTAATGGAATATCTTGTCCAATCGCCGCCAGAACAGTGTCTCTCGCAAGCTCCTGGCTCCAAGAGTCGGCGGGATGTTTCTTGGACTGGATACGGATATCAATATTTAGTGAGCATCTGAGGCATGACCTGGGAGTAGGAATGGCTTACATCAAAGTTGCTGATCAATACCTGATTCCCGGCGAGGTCATATGCAATGATGAACCCCGAGCATGCGGGGTCTGTGATCCAGTGTAGCATACCCACCCGGGAACCAACAACAGGACGCAGGTCGGCCTTGAAATGGATTGTCATCATGGTCTCGTCTAATATGCCGTCAGCGGCAGGCCAGTGACGTTAACGCTTGGAGACGGGATATTACTTACATCCTTCTTCGCCGTCACATCCTATCCCAAGAGTATCGCGAACTAGGCTTTTAGCGCCGTCGCACGCGATGACGTATCTTGAGGTGACCTGCCATTGCGTTCTTGTAGACCTTTCTTCAATTGTGGATTTGACAGTACCGTTGTCCTGTACGTGTCGTCGTTCAGCTTGCTATCTGGTCGGCGGCATATGTATGTGTACATCGAAACACCAAACCACCTACCTGTTCACAGGTAATGAAGGCCACGTTCTTCTTCATCTCGACCAAGGGATCGTCTTCAAGTATGTCGGCGACAAAAGCCTCGAAGTCAGGTTGGGGAATATTGTGGATCATCTACCATGGCGATGAGCTTTCAGTCAGCTTGAGCTATGGACTAAATAGTTGCAGCAGAAGGAAGGAAGAAAAGGTCAAATGGTACCTCGGGGGTGTGTTCCAGAACCTCCTTGTCCATCCTCTCGTAAGGCAAAAAGCCGATGCGTTCACCACTCAAGTTGGTAACAAAATTGACCCAATACGCGTCCTCACGGGGAGATCCAAGCTTTCGAAGGGCCTTGGTATCGAGATCATATTGGCGACATATCTCGAGACTGCGCGGACAGAGGGCGTGTGCTTTGGGTGCCTCAAGCCGCTCGGGGTACTTTTCGATCAGGAGGGATTGGACTAGTAAAGTATCAGTACCTAGAACCCACAGCCTCTGTGACCAGACCTGCTCTTACCCCCAAGCTTGGAGAGCATGTATGCTGTGAGAAGACCCGTGGGGCCACCGCCTACGATGAGCACGGGAACCTCGACTGTGTGCTCGACATGCTGTGACTGGGTCATGATTCGAATTGTTGTCGGGCTCTACAATTTTCTCTTTGATCCTGGGGCACGATCTGAAACGACGGGGAGATGAGAAGTCGGTGCTTGTAACAATCTCAGGCCTTTGGAGATGCAGGGAAGCTTATGAACAGCCTGGACATCACATCCTTGAACGGCCTCGTACTGTTCCATCACGGTTCTACGATCCGCAGAACTGATGGTATGCAAGTCGAGTCGCGGAGCTGGATGCAAGGGCACCATCTTCCGAATGTGTTGATCCGATTGGATCGGGCGGACCACCGCAAGCGGCGAGTGGGTCTGCCTGGTGGTAAGGCTCAGTAGTCCCGGGAGCTCTGTCGAGCCATGGAGATGCGCGGGGTTCTGTCCATGTCATCTTAAGCAACGAGAAAAACAAGGGATGGCTTTTCTTTCTTCTCTCTCTGCTACGATCTGCACTCTTGCATTGACCTTTACGAAGGTTCTTCCTAGATCAAAATGTATGCGGCGGGTCAGGGAGAAGCATAAGCACACCTGCACAGTAAATGGTTTGCGCGCCACTAGTTGTATTCGCCATAGCGACACGTTCTGTGTGCACCAGTGACGGATAAATTCCGCTAAGAGAGCTCCGACCCGCCCATATTTCTAAGTGCTGTATCTGGTGCGCCTGGGCGAGGTTGGGGGGGAGGTGATTGAGTCAGCCATGATCGAGGCTTCTTTCCCCGCCCATCCCTGGTGCCGTTAAGTGTTTTATCAATAAACTGTCACCGCCCCAAATGCCATGCACATTACATGCCGAATACTTCACCGTCGTTTACCATGCCATCGAATCTATCCGCTACCCCAGGTATCGACCGTCCGCCGCGGAAACAGCGCAAGTTGCGTGCCGTAGTAGCATGTGACTCCTGTCGGGCGCGAAAAGTTAAGGTAAGCACAGATCGATTCTGGTTGCTGGCAGCACGGCTGGGTTCGGCAAGAAGCGACCGGCAAGCATGCTGACATTTAGTACTGTGCGGTTTTGGTAGTGTGACGGAACCGAGCCTTGCACTAGTTGTATTCGTAAGTTTCAATCCTTGGCCCTCCATGCAGAGGTGAGGGAATCACACTGACCAGACTACCTACAGAACACGGTTTCACCTGTTCCTTTAAGGAACAACCACAACAAGCTACACCGGAAGGGACCAGGGCTGACCGCCGGCGACAGCGCAAGACGCAGCTGTAAGTCCATCCATCACCAAGCTTCGTCCCAAATCGATAATCTCCCCCGAAGGGCTGCAGATGTTCTTGCTAACACCTCTCAGAGCCTATGCATGTGGTACTGCTGGAGATGTGAGGGCACGGCAGCCAGGCTCCTTGGTGTTTCCGGCGACGGTGATTCGGCAGCCGATTACGCTACCACGTCCTCGCCAATCGACAGTTGAGCCGGGCAGCCCAAGTTCACCTCATCCGCAGACCTTGCTTGATGTGCCGACTTCCCAGCTGGCAACTCCGAGAGAGACCAATTCAGATTCTGGCAAGACGCACATCTGGGCAGAAGATGCCGAGTTCTACGGACCAACAGGTACTTTCTACTTCCTCTCCCAACTACGATCTCGTGCCGGGGTATTGAAAAGCCCTCGGAGTTCCGAGAGGGAAGGTCAGGATCCTGCAAGTGGCGCGAATCCGTCCTCTGTTGTCCATCTCATGCGTAGCGCCGAGTACAGTCACGATGACCTGAGATCTTCAATTGATCTCTCGTCTCCACAACAACCAGGCCAAAAGGAATCATTGGCGACATGGGGGCCGGAGTGCCCAACTCGTTCTCATGAGATCAAGATAGAACGAGAATGCATCCGACTCTACTTCCAGAACCTTCATTGCATCCACCCCATAATCAATCAATCGTCATTTCTCCAGCAGTGCGAGCATGAGATCTGGCCAGATGCAACGGGAGATCCTGCGAGCCGTGTGGACCGCAAGAAGCTTTCATTCCTTGCGCTCTTCTACATCGTGCTCGCTATTGGAGCAATTACGGCGGGTGATACTTCCCTGCTGGTCTGGGAGGACACTATCAGAATCTTGAACGAAGCCGAGAAGAAGCAGAGCATGGAAACTGCAGAAGGATCCGGCATCTTCCCACCTATCCGAGCTGCCCGTCTATTCTTCCACAAGTCCAAGGACTGTATGGGTGATGTCTTTGAGACGAGTTCCCTGGAGTCTGCACAAACCCTGTTCCTCATGGTACGTCTTGGTCAAGGTGGTCTTGCCGAAAATCTCGGAGTGCTGAGCTGATGAACTAAAGGCCGTGTTCTGCCAGAACGCCCTGAAGCCGCATAGTTGTTATTTATACAACGGTATGGCGATTCGAACGGCCTTCGCCATCGGTATACCTGCTGCTGGGCGTCCCTTGTCGCCTGCAGAGACTTTGTTTTGGTGGTCAGTCTCCGCCATCTGATGGTAGCGGTTTGATTGCGCTGACATGTATCTGTCGAAGGTCACTACATTCCCATGAAACGTAAGCTTACTGTCGCTACGTTTGTATCGGATACAAGTACTAAACAACGAACCAGCGAGATGTGCTCTTCCGCCGGTCGTATTCCCGCTCTGCGAGAAGCAAGCTTCTACAATCTGCCTCCTATCGAAGACTTGATTGTAAGCATCACCAATTGCGCCTTCCTTGTTTTTGATCGGTATGCTGGGTACTAATTGAGCAGGAATCCTCTCCCCTGCTCCCGATGATATCTACTATGGCCGGCCTGGCTAGCATATACTCCCGCATTGCGTTCGCTAATACCCGAGACGCCAAAGAGGAGTTCGGTCTCGATACAAGATCAAGGGTGGCAACTGACCTGGAGGCATCCTTGCTAGCATGGAAAACTAATTTACCCCCGGCTTTAAACTTTGAGACCATGTCCTTGCAGGAACATGCACTGGTCACGAAGCAAAAGATTGTTCTGAAGTTACGTACGTAATAAATATAAGGATCGTGCGTCTTACTGTGGGCTTTCGCTAATACTAGACAGGCTATCTCAATGCCCAGATACTCATTCACAGGTCCTTTCTCATTTCCTCCATCACCAAACCTGTTCGCAGTACGATATCATGGCACATTGCTTCTTGTGTGGAAGCGGCCCAGGCTACAATACAGTTTGTGCATCACATTTATCTGCACCGCCCCTATTTTCGCACGTGGTGCGTTAGATTATTTGTGTAGTGATACATGCTCGGTCTCCCGCTGACTGACAGTCAGGTGGTACAACTGCATCTATGTCTTGGATGCCAGCATGGTGTTGTTGCAGGCTGCCTTCTCGGACGCTTCGGAGGTTGATGCTCAAAGCATTGCGATCGATATTGACAAGAGCCTGGACATTTTTGCCGCGATGAAGACACTTGCCGTCGCAAGGAGATGCCACAGTGTCATCAGTGATGTCTTTACTGCCGTAAAATCCCTCCGGAGCCAACAAGACGATCGGCCCGATGAGATGCAGCAGGACAGGCTTCAACCAGCGATTCAGAATGACGAGCAAGCCTTTAGGTTTGTCGACTATTCGGCAATGGATGATCTCAGTGAGGCCTCCTTGAATCCGCCACACGAGGATTGGTTCGCCAAATTGATAGATGGAAACGTGGCTCTCGACTTTCTAGAAGTCAACGATTGGTCCGCGTGGTCTCAAGGGGTGGTAGGAGGAGGGAAGACTCACGGTTGCTAGAGCAAACAAAATCCGTGGTCTCTAATTCTCTGCTGCTTCCAGCTTCAGGTGATGGGAATATAGCAAACGAGAAGTTCTAGTCAATTATTCCGTGTCAAAAGGATTGAAATGAAATTGATCCAAGGGGACCCCGAAGCATTCCCATACCGGGTATCGTTCCATGTCCCAAGCCGATTGAGCCAATCGGTTCTAAGCAGATCTATGAAGTGGGGCCGAACCCAGCCTCGGAACCCCGGTGCGTACAACTTGATTCGGTGGACCAGCAACTAGTATCCTGCTGTCCGAGGCTCTCAAGTCGCCGAGCTCAAGATGGGATTGAAAGCACTGGACGAGTTTCAATGGTGGATTTTCACGATAATTAGCAAGCTTTGTAGACATCCTCCTTGATCAATATCTCAGCATTTACTTACAATTAAACCGAAGCAACATGACTGCAAGCCACGAGAACACCAAACGCAAAGGGCCGTACAGATTGGTGACAGTCAACAAGGCCCCAGAGCGCGCCAAGCGGCTTATCGGACGCTTAATCGAAGCCCTTGCTGCCGACTACGACATCACCCACGTGTGCAACTGCTCAAGTGCGTTACGCTCTGCGATACATCACAGCAAGCCACGTGTAGAGTGTGTCCTGACTGATATCTTTCTGCAGCCATCGAGGAAGTCGTCGCCAGGGTTGAAATGCACAGACCAAATGTACTGGTAAGTCGATTCCACTGGCAGCGTGGTAAAGGCTACGAAAGTTGATGGAGTGTAAAACTAGTTTTCGGCGTCGATGTGGACTCCTAAAGAGGCAGAGACGATTCACTCACTCGCTCGCTCTATCGTACCCGATATTAAATTACATGCGATTCCTACCGGTCTGCAGGTGGAAAAAGGACCGGATGCCATTGTGGCATACTTGGTTGAAAAGGTTCCTCCGCTGCTTGATTCATGAGCAGACTGGCATGAGCCGCGATGGGTCTGTTGGGGGCGGCCACCATCAATCATTCATCATTCACGTGGTTGCTACCATCCAATGACATGTTATTTTTATTCTTCTCAAGAAGACAAGTTTCTTCTCCAAGACTCGTTCTCAAAGGCACTTATAAGAGTGCCAATGTGCGGCAGAATTTCAACTCTGAACTCGTCGCCATCTCTAAGTGTCACCCTAGGCGTCCTTCCCATGCCAACCCCGGCTGGGGTGCCCGTGATTATCACCGTTCCTGCAGGAAGAGTCGTGCCTTGAGATAAGAAGCTCACGATCTTAGGAACACTGAATATCAGGTCACTTGAGGGGCAAGGGTCAGTTACGGCGCATGTGCTTTGATGCAGAAAGATGTTCACCTGAGGCTACAATCTTGCATCAATTCTCCGTTTTTCAAGCCCCGTATATGGAGCAGTGAAATGTCTGGTATTGCTTCTTTTGACACGAGTGTCGGTCCTGAGATCATGTGAGTACTTGAGCGGGCCTAGAGCAAGCAAGATTAGAATTTCAGCGGTGCGAACCTAGTCGAATCCCTTGGAAAAGCACCATTGAGACCGAGCCATCTGAGAAATGCGACTCGAGATATCATTGGCAGCCGTGTATCCCAGAACGTAGTCCAAGGCATCGGATTCGGATACGTTCTTCGCAGATCTGCCAAGGACGATTGCCAGCTCTGCTTCATAATCGCCACAATCTTCAATCTGCGTGATCCTACGTAACGTACAACGACTTGGCCAGGGGTCTCCCAGCGCGTTGCTTGGCTTCCTGTCACCAGAGTTAGTCATGTCGCCAAATACGTGTCTTTGAAACCTGTAAGGTCATACAAGAAGACTGTAGGGATGCTCGGAATGGACATCTTGACCTCTGCTGCATGTTGTTTGTACTTCTGGGATTAGCCGGCTGCCCAGGGATGCCTCAAAAGTCCTCAATACGTGTCTCACGTTCAGACCAATACACCTTATGGTCCCAATCTCACCCTCGGCGACTGGCGACAGCACCCGTACAATGGCCTCGATCAATCCTGTCGACTTGCCTGGTGACAGGATCGACGAACCCGAGAATACTTTGACAAGATCTTCATGTCCATCTCGAAGAGCCGTACCAACATCTACGTCATCTTGAACAGGCTGTCCGATGTGAACACAGGTCGGATCGGACTTGGGGATGAATCGCACGAGGCCTAAGCGAAACTTAGCGACTTGAGACCCGCGCAGTGGTCGCCGCACATAGGAGGCAGTTGCGACTGCGACAAACTCAACTCACGCGTGAAGGGAAATGACGTCGCCATTATTATATGTAGCTTGCTGGATGCGCAGGCTGACTATCCTCCTAGCAGAAGAAGGAAATCAGATCAAATTCTCTCACGGCTTAAATCTTTCATCCTTCACTGGCCGGATATCACGCGTTCAGCTCACTCTTCCGCTACGAAAGATGGGCACCATGCCTTTCAGTCGGACCGGATTTCGCTGGCATGTAATCCGGACCAGGTCGCGGAACCGGCGTAAATCCTTGAATGGCTGGGACAGAAGCAGTGGCGCCGGCCCGACAGTTTTCACTTGATTGGTCGATGAGGGATTTCTCCAGCAACACATCGTTCCCGTTTCAAAGATGAGACAGCACTGACCCTTACTTAGGCTTAATTATATTGCCAATACGATCCTGACTCTTTACAGTCACTGGCCAACCCAACACCAACTCGCAGATCATTTCTCGTCACGATGTCTTCAAGGGTAGAACAATCTGCAGATGGCTTATTTCGCCAATTCCTGCCTAATCTACACACGGAACGTTTCTCGTCTATGCAAAAGCAGAATGCACATGAGTACGTTCGGGCATTTAAAGAGAGTCAAAACCCTCCTTGGATTCACTCCCTGTACCTGCACTGGCGGAAGCTCTTTAGCGAGCCATATCGCGGAATTTCCAATGACGGTACGTGGATCAAAGTGATCTGGATGCTATTGCCAGGCGCTAACTCAAAGTATTGTCTAAAGGCAAGCCCAGAGGCAATCTCTATGAGCTGCGTGATGAGGGTGTGCCAATAGGCGACATTGTATCTGCTGCGGATGAAGCTCTGAAGGCGATGAGCAGCGAGATGCGAGATGCTACCATGTTCCACATCGATTCACCCGAATGGCGTTCTTGGTCTAATCCTGAGTTTCTCTTGAGCGACAAGGGTATCCGTCTGGACGAAGTCTCTGACACCATCCGAAAACGAGTGCTTTCAGTCTTAAGAGCTACTCTTTCTCCTCGGGGCTACGACAAAGCTCTCAAAGCCATGGAAATCAATCACTTCTTAGGAGAGCTCGTCCAGTCACCATGTGTGTTGAATCGCTTTTCGTACAACTTTGTCATCTTTGGCGAGCCATCTCAATATCAACCTTGGGGGTATTCATTCTACGGTCATCATCTCTGTTTGAATATCTTCCTTATCCGGTCACAGATTGTTATATCGCCTTGGTTTACCGGAGCAGAGCCAAACTTGATTGATGCCGGCATGAACAGCGGAACTCAGATCCTTCAGCGTGAAGAACAGCTTGGGTTGTGCTTGATGCAGAGCCTACAAGCCCCCCAGCAAAAGAAGGCACAGATATTCAAACTCATGAAAGATCCATCCATGCCAGAGGGAAGATGGAATCATGATGACCAGCGCCACCTGTGCGGTGCCTATCGAGATAACCGCGTGGTTCCTTACGAGGGCATCCTGGTATCAGAATTCAATACTCCACAGCAAGAGCTGGTCATCGCTATCCTCGAGGAGTATCTGATCTATCTCCCTCAAGGATCCCGGGAGAGATATATGGAAAAGATAAAAGCTTGGTTCCATGAGACGTATTGGTGCTGGATCGGGGGTTTTGGGGATGAGGACCCCTTCTACTACCGGATCCAAAGTCCAGTCATCCTAATCGAGTTTGATCATCACTCGGGCGTCTTTCTTACCAACAAAGAGCCGGCAAAATTTCACATCCACACCTTGCTACGTATGCCAAATCAAGGCGATTACGGGATGAGTCTGAGGCCTCTAATCGCGGGATTAGAGCAGAATTTTGTCTGGCAGGGGGATTCAAGAGCGACTGTTTGACAGAATCAGAATAAATCAGATGAATACATCCAACTTTCAGCATCTATCGTACGTTGGACGTCAGAGGTCACTACCTTCAGCGACAGGCGCCCAGCAAGCAGGATATCAGTTCATGCTGAGGTACACGGTCTTGAACAAGAAGTACATCTATTAGTACAAGTGCCCTACGATGACTATACCAACATGCCGATAAGGGCAATTCAATCCCGAACAAGCTGGACGATCACCATGACTCGCACGCCCTTGTCGAAAGGAACAGCGCCCCACCCCGCAAAAAGGATTGGGTGGAGCCGACCCCACAATCTCCATGGGGTAATGACCGTAATGTTAACAGCAGAGTTCCAGACCCGAAGAATATCTTCCGATTGGTCGACTACACCAGGCCTCACTTGTACGCCTCGTGTGGAAGTCTCCTTCCCCAACCAGGATCGGTTAAAAGCAGCACAGCATCAACTTCGAGAGAATCTGGATTTGAATTGGTCCCAGTCTCGCAAAAGTATGAGTAACAATCTCTATTTGTGATCATGGATGAAATTGTGGCAACGAGGACTCCTCCGGCTCCCCCGGGGACCGAGCAGCTTTTCGTGAGCCGCGTTCATGATGCCAACAACGCTTCTGACCTCCAGTTTATCACCGACCACAGCGGCAACCATATCCTTCTCATTCCCCAGCCGTCGTTGACAGACCCGAATGACCCTCTTCGCTGGTCACGCATCAAGAAATGGGCAGCTTTGGCGAATGGGGTTGGGTACGCCTTCATGGGTAGTGTCACCGGCCCGATCATGGCGGCAGGGATGATTCCCTTGACAGAGACCTTTGGCGTGTCACTCCAGAAGATGACATATGCGAACGGGGCGACACTTATCTGCCAAGGAGTTGGGAATATTTTCTGGATGTAAGAGCACGAGCTTTGCCAACTTTCATCCGTTTCCATGTTCGAAATGTTCTAACTTGACATTGTTGTAGGCCTTTGGCAGTCAAGATCGGTCGACGACCAGTCTACATGGCCTCTAACCTGCTCATGGGAGTGGCTTGCGTCTGGCTTGGGCTTGCCTCGACCGCTTCGTACGTGCCCCTGCTCGTCGGGCGCGCATTTTTGGGTCTGTTTGAGGCCCCCATCGAGTCCATTGTGCCGAGCACCATTACCGACCTGTTCTTTTTGCATGACCGTGGCGAAAAGGTGTCATCCTACGGCCTGTCTGTTCTCGGAGGCAATGAGCTGGGTCCTTTAGTACGTGCCTGGGATTCTTGACCCGGGTTCGATAAATGATTGCTAATCGTCCCAGTTCTCAGCACTTATTATTCAACATCTAGGGATGAACTGGGCATTCTTTATCGTCGCCATGTTCATCGGTTTGAATGCGGTCACTATGTTCTTCTTCATGCCCGAGACGAAATATACCGGCGTACGACCAAGCACCGCCTTTGTGTGCGAGCAGCCGAAGCAGCACGAGGTGATGATCGAGAATGTGTCATCTAGCAAGCACAACAGACCTAACGAAGTCGAGAGCGCCAGTCAGAGCCCCCCGAAGAAGAGCTTCATCCGTGAGCTAGCGCTGTGGGAAAGGCCCGACCCAAGTGTCAGCCTTTTGAGCACTTTTTTAAGGCCATTCATCCTCCTTACCTACCCAACTGTGTTGTGGTCTTGCTTGACCTACGGCATGGCCCTTGGCTGGAACGTGGTCATTGGCGCCTCAACCGCTCAATTGTTCGCTCCGCCTCCCTATCTTTTCGACTCGCAGGCCCAAGGTCTTGTCTTCCTCTCCCCTTTCATCGGATCACTGATTGGTTCCTGGCTTTGCGGCTCGCTTTCAGACACGGTGGCCAACTATTTCACCAAGAGGAACGATGGTGTTCGCGAGCCGGAAATGCGTCTTCCGATCTGCGCATTTGCTGCTGTCCTAACGTTTTTTGGTGCATTGATAGCAGGCTTATGCTACCATTACAAAACACATTGGGCCGGACCTGTCATAGGCTTTGGTGTGCTGACCACTGGCGCGCAAATGGGGGTGTCGCTGTCTATGAGCTACGCCCTTGACTGCCACCAGGAGGTAAGTAGCATGTCTGATATCCACAAATGCTCCCGAGATCTAACGAATTTGCTTCAGCTTTCAGTGGAACTCATGGTCACCGTTGCTTCGGTCAAATCTCTCATTGCTTGGATCTGGACTTGGGTCATCAACGACTGGATCATCTCTGATGGTATGCTTGTGGTTTTCATGAGCATTGCTACCGTCAACGTAGTCGTTAATGCAACGACGTTCGTCATGTATTTCTATGGCAAGAGAATTCGTTCGTGGATTCACGAGAAGGATCTGTTTACGAAGCTGAATCTGTAGTAAAGGTGCCATACTTGCTTTTGAACTAGGAAGCAATGCCAATGATGAAGCAATTGGGAACACAAGACTAGGAGTAGTTAACCCTCATCAACCTTTCGTCGATCTTGCTAGATGCTTTACTTAAAGCCGTATAGCTTAGGGGCAGGATTACAGGCCCAGACTAGTGCAGAGTCTCTTATTCTGGGTTCAACGGGCGCATCGCTCGTCACCTATATGTAGTTTATTTGTGCTACGTATTACCTTCACTGAGATACTAAGAATAGTCATCTGATTTGAGAAGTCTCACCCGGAAGGACACTTGCTCGCAGCATGCTGAATAGTTCTTGGAGGCGGTGGATTTAGCAGGTTTTGTGATTTATGCAAATACATATAGCGGAAAGTTATTGCTAATTGGAAACATTATCTATGAGCCTTTAGAGACAGGAATGTGCCATGACTTAAAACTGGTTTGCTAAGAAGACGAGAACTCCTAAGGTTTTACGATTGCGTGCAGGAGTTGGAAACGTGGCTACTACATACAAGTACCTTGTGGAGTGGAGATCTACAGACCATGTTTGGCCCAATATTCGCGAGATCAACACAGGCCGATTAGCGAATGATTACAGATTAATCTAGAGACATGGACCTGATAATCCAGTTAAAGCTCATGCTAAAACACCAAAAGTCGAGTTGACATAGACAGGCGGATCAGTAGCACTTTCAAATCATGCTGTCAAGAGGAGCTTTTGAGAGGACTATGCGGTGGTCTGCTATAAAAGCCCACGCCGTTCTGTCCCGCCATTGCTCATGGAAGTCTGCGTCAACTAATAATGTTGGGGTTTGAAGCCACCTCCTCACGTCCAGTGCGTGGTTTCGCTTAAGCTTTGAGCTTGCTGCCCTTTCACGCCGAAGCACTAACTAGCCCAAGTCATATTGTCAAATAAGATGCGAGACTTCGGATCAATCCGAAGACAAAACCCCGATTGGCTGGCATTCCCACACGGGAGAATCGGAAGAGTCCCCGCACCGTTTCGCGACATGGTATTCACCTTTCTGCTACCTTATGACGGACGGTTACTTATTTATTCAACTGTGTCTGCTTGTTTTGTTACTCCGTTGAACTGCCTTGTAATCCTGTCATACTTACGCTTTCTGCACTCTCTCTCAGAGTTTCACCCTTCGAAACGTCCTACCGAAGCCACCTACAGTAGCCATACACCGCTTTACAGGATGACTCCACGAGTTCCGCCAATGGAGGACTACCGTCCAACTGAGCTGCCACAGCCTTTACTACTTCGGGACGCATCTTTATTGCTTCAACATGACTATCTCCCTTTAGAGTCAGGATATGCCGTCAACGCCGATGGCATGCATCACGTCGCTGCCACAACCTATATGAGGGGATGCACTGGGAAAATGGTCGATTGGTTCTTTGGTTACGTGCATAATACACAGCAATACCTCCTCTGGCATCCCAGAGATCACATATTCTCTGATTGGGAAGGTCCACGGGAAAACAAGTCCGAATACATTGGTAAGACCTCTTCAAAGGCTCATTTGACCACGGCCTCATTGTCATCCCGGGTAAAATACTGATTAAGTTATAGGTGGCCACCATCTGGTTCATGAGTATATTGGGGCAGACCTTCATAAACTGAGGATTTCCTTTCTCAGCCCTGCGCTATACTTTGGCGAGAACTGGCAGACACATTTCCAGAAACACGGCTACGCGACTGCTATATGCGGTCGGGTAGCGCAGTGGAACGATGACGGCTCTGCCACCTACACGAGCCACTTAATTCATCTGATCAAAAACGAGCCAGATGGATGCCGCATGAGATCTAGGTTCTGGCTTGGTGATGTGGAGACTTTGAGTGACCCGCAAGCCAGGGCGAATGCTGTACCCTCTGGTCACCCACGCGCCTTGCTGCAACATTGCATCGAAGAAATGTCTATTCTAGCAGAGCGGCTGCCTGGAATGTATCAGGATTTTGCACCAAAGGCAGGATCTTTGTAAATGCTGACATACATCTATATACATTACTCATATTGTCCCTTTATGACCTCCTCCAGTCATTGTCCTTAGACTTGCATGAGAGGGAAACCTTCGAGCCGTCTCTTGAAGGAGTCATTGTACTACCCACCTACGTTTGGTTTGCTTATGGAGCCTATAGCGGTATACATCAGGCACTAAAGCTACCAAGACGAATCACCACCTAACGATACCGTCCATAGCTTTGTGAGCCTGCTGTAATATTGACTAAGTAGACTTTCGTTAAAAAGCGAGAAGAGCTGTGCCGGCATAGCCAGTTGCGATGGTTCAGAGAGGGCGAAACCCCATTGCCCCCCAATTCCCAAGAACCTTCGCTTTTACCGAGGGAGGATACGCGTGCTCGAAGTCGCCGGTCTCCCAGTTGGGGCCGGTGGTGTACTCGCAAGCGAATAACGCATCATGAACAACCTTGCCGCCTTGGGTTGGGTTACCAGTGCCTTCGGCCATAAAAGGAACCAATGGACAACTTGAAATATCTTCGAACAAATACTCATCCAGGCCTGGACGGCAGCGTGTTGCAAACGCCCACAAAACATCGGTATCCTTGAAGATATCGATATCCTCACCCACCAAGATGATACGGTGGCACGTGAAGGCTGGCTTGAGCCTGAAGACCAAGTCACCGACGTCTTTCGCAAGGTTGGCGGCTTTTATTTTCTCGGCACGCACTCTCGCTGTATCGACCTTCATGGCTAGCCAAATGCAATGGCCGACCATCGGCGCAGAAACGTCAAGGATGGGAAGTCCGTGTTGCTGAACGATCTTTCGTACCTGTGCGGCACTCTGAACACCGATCATGATTTGCTACATCCCACATGCCTAGGTCAACACAGGCTGCACGCAAAGAATGAAAAGGAGGGAGAGGAAAACTCACAGTTTCGTCTGTTAGGCGACCCGGCACGCAAATTGGGAGGATAGCCTGGTTGCGGTATGTAATTCTGTTGACTTTGAAGACCGGGAAGTGGTGCTGAGACTCGAGAAAGGTGTAGCCGTGAAACTCGCCGAATGGCCCCTCGAGAGCTGTCTCCGTGGCCGAGATAGTCCCTTCAAAGAGGATCTCACTATCAGCTGGCACGTAGAGGTCGTTTGTGCCGCATTTTACCAAACGCAGGGGCTCATTCGCGAGAGCTCCAGCATAGGCGGCTTCGGAGACCCCATCGGGGACCGGCATGCCTGATACCATGATCGCTACAGGCGGCACGCCAAATGCAATAGCAAATGGAGCGTCCTTTCCCAGCTCTTTCCATGCCTTGTGAACTTGCCAAATGTGCTGTGGCTGGATTACCGGGCTCACAAGGGTTCGTTTGCTGTTGACCATGGCACGGGAAATGGACCAATTGGTCCATTTACCGTCAGGCATCCTCATAACATTCATGCCAAAGCTTTGGATGTACTTGCCGCCGTCGCCTGCGTGAAGATGTGGTAAAGGTAGGATGTTTAGGTCGATGTCATCTCCTTCGATGGCATTTTCCAGGATTGGTCCGGTCTCGACCACAATTGGCTCGATAGGTTTTAGGTCTGCAGCCGAAATCATCTTTTCCGCGATCTGGCTAGGCGTGCTCGAGACAGGTAGCCCATAATGGTGAGCCACACGACCCCATTGAGTCTTGGGGTCTCTCCGCAAAGCTGCCGGCGCTCCCAGAATGCGAAAAAGACCATCTCTGGCTCCGATGACGTTATTAAAAAGGGGTGCCTTGTCATTCGTTTCGCACACAAGTCTCGATATAGCCGCAGCTTCGAGGTCAGGGTCTATCGGATCGTCGATCTCCACGAGGTCATCGTCTTCACGAAGGGCTTCAATGTAGGCACGGAAGCTTGTCATTGGTTTGGTCGCAAGGCCTGAGGAAGCCATGGTTCAAACTTGGCTGCGATTAAAGTACATGTATTGCGTAGAGAGTCTGTTTCTTAGTTTCATGAATGTCTGCCACTGAGATATGCTCCTTTATATTTTTCTGGGAGCATCTACACGTACACAAGTACTGCCCGACCCACGTGATCCATGAGTGGCACCTCGGAGGTCTCGGAGCGGGAAGTGGGCCGGGTTGGACTAACTACGATATTTATCGCATCCCCGCCTTGGCTGGGTACAACTTCTCGACATCAACCCTTACGCACGCCATGGAAGCAACATGCGTCGTCAATGACCGACCAGTACTTGACGACGGAAGTCACCACAATGGAAACCACGCAAAACATCCGGACCAAATCGCTTGCTTGATACGGGCTCCACAGGCCAAGTCCTGCATCCCATGTCGACTCCGCAAGGTCAAGTGCAGTGGCGGCCAACCGTGCCAGACCTGTATCAAGAGGGCTCATCCGCAACTGTGCTCATATAGCCCCGAAACTTCGAAGCAATTGCGGAGGAGTAGAGCGAGGTCCGAGAGGCACAATGGCAGCCATCGACGATCGGATTTACCTTCTCGCGCCCTAGACCTTTCCCCCGTTTCCCAATCACACCCGCAGCGTGCCAGCAGTGACCATCGGGGCGACTCTTATTCGACATGCGACAATCCGAACAATGCCGGCGGACAGGATGTGACCCCTCAAACTGCCAGAGACAACTCGGTACTGGCCTTACTTAGCCAAGCATCCGATCAACCGGCCGCTGCCCTCCGGCCAGATGTTCGCTCGGCGCTCGGCCTACGTAACTCGATCAGCGCTAATCTATTCTCCGAATCGGAGAGTCTCCAGTCCAGATGGGAAAGTCTCATCAAGATAATCCCACGCCAAAGTGAAATTCTGCAGTACGCCATCATGTTTCTTCTTGTCTTAGTGAAGTACTGACACTAATTGCCTCGACGCCGGTGACAGGCTTTACCCAGTCTATCGCAACACAGCGCATCTTTTCAATCCCATCGTCGCAAGAGTGGATCAGTTTGAGACCTCCATGTTTGAATATTTGCAAGCGCTGGACTCCGGAGTGTTCGAGAGTCCTTTGTGCTCCTCTAAGAAATGGGCCGACAACGCTTCCGTGGACTTCATTGCCCTACTCTTGGCAACGCTTTCTTTGGGGGCCCACTTCCTGCCACAGTCTTCCTGGGGACCTGAATATTCTCTACAGTTCCGTAAGGCGCAGACAAGACTTCTCCGACTTGACCCTTCCACTCACAAAGCACGTAGTAAAAAGGGCTTTCACTGCTCTTCAACTGGCGAACTATCTCTTCCGACCAACCCACGACAATGTTCAAACCTTACTTCTCGTTGGAGCATGTCTTCAAAACAATGGGCAATCTAGTGCTGCCTGGGCCATGTTGGGGACAACTGCGAGGCTTGCCCAGTCATTAGGCTTGCATCAGCACGAATCTGCCCAGCGAATGTCCCGTGGCGAGAGGACGTTATGGTGGGTTCAAATAAGCTCAACTCCTGATACGTTTTCACGAGAAGAGAGAGCTAACGCGCGTCTTCAATGCTACAGGCGGATAATAGGCTGGCAGGATGTTCTTTTGTGTCTGTGTCATGACCAGCGCCCAATCATCCATGATCAGAACATCATTTCCGTGAAGGATGTTTCTCAACCGCCTCAGAACTTATCCTTTCTCGGAGTCATGGATGGTATAGTCCGAGCCATGCTAGAAGCTCTCCACACGCGCGAATCGATGACGCTTGAGCGACGGGCTCAGCTCGTGGATGAGCTGGATCTCTACAAGGGAAATGCACTACCCCATCTTCAGCAATTCCTCCCCGGTGCCAGCCTGCAAGAGCGCTCGGAACTATTTGCGATGCAAATGAATATGTCTTTCGCTATTTCCGTCTTGTGCAGGCCAGCCCTGCAAATTTCCATAACACATGACAACCCACTTCTGCTCAGCCTGCTCCGTCGCGCGAAGCAAAGCCTTATCGACGTGTGCAAGGCCTTTCTTGACTTTCAGGCTATTAGCATCGTCCCTGTGAGAAGCTGGGGCATGGTACACAGCGCCTTGAGCTCAGCTCTCTTACTGTCCGTGATTGAAGAGACACGTCAGGATCCGTACGTTTGCGATCTCCAGGGCAGGGTATTGCGGGTCTTTTCGAGACACGCGCAGGCTGTTGAGTCGGCGCAGAGAAACGGCGAAAACCAGCCAGAACAACAGCAGTGGCTCTCGAGCGGGCATATGCATGCACTCCTGACCTGTCAGCGTGCGTTGCAAGCTCACCATTCAACCTCACTTGAGGGGACGCAGCGAGCTCCTGCCGGGGTCCCTGTTCAAGCGCCGCTTGAGCCTTGCTTACAGCCACTCATGTCCGCCAATGGCGCATTCTTTGACTCTTCGTCAATGATTGGTATGTATTTCTAAAGCCAACCGCGGCTCTAAACGACTTGGCCTGCTAATGTGACTGGCATGGAGAAGACGGACTGTCCTTCGATTTTGAGTGGCTCAACGGAGAGAGCATGCAAGTATCTCCCATGGCACAATTGGATATGATTTTGAATGGTAGGTAAGCTTTGATTGTGTTCTTTTTGGGATAGCCTTCAGTCGTTCGTTTAACTCGGTCATATCTAACGTGTGGTAGAGATGAATGAACGCCCAACTGCTGCGGGAACACGGAATTCATGATTTTGCAGTGTCTTTGGAAACTATGGATCCCGCCAAGCAGATGGGTTTTTTTTTGACTCGTTTATTTGTGTAAATATCTAGAATGCCTCAACGATATATCAAGATTATGATGAAACAGCATCGTTGATTCTCATTGGGGTCAGGAGGTATACATACCTATACTTTCTATCTGTTAGCTTCACCCCTTTTCCCTATTCAAGTCTGCGAACATTCCTTTTGCTAAGCTGGGCTTTAATCAAGCTATCGGTGAAACAATATTCTCACCTTGTGACATGCCATCCCAAATCCATGTTGTCCCTTACCCGTTCCGAGCCGTTCCAGTGTTGTATGATTAGGATTCGTATTACCAGGTACTTACTTGTACATGGCACGCTAGATCCTGGCTCCTCTTCTCCTTGGCTCCGAAGTTCCGGAGCGCCGAGGATTGTGACAGCTCTCCTGCGCCCGAGCTTTGCAACAACGGAGCTCCTATTGTGGAGCGCTGCCACTTGACCCTCGGACGAGTACCAGGAAGCATAAAACGCAATCCAGGAGAATGATAAATAACGATCGCAACAATAGCAATGATGACGATAAAGCTCCATCCTTGAAGGCGACATTTCTGGGAACTCCTTTTCTTCTTTGTCGTTTGAGAGTTGTATGACTCATATTGCTTGGAACTGGACCTTGAAAAAAGTTCCTCCATTTCGACTCAATTTCACGGCGAGAGAAGCCTCCTTCCAGAGATCCGGGAATTACAAGCTCGCAATGACCTCACCTGCAACACGCAAGAGAATTATTGTCGCGATTACAGGAGCGACAGGCTCTATACTGGCCGTCAAAACCCTGTTGGCCCTGAGGCGCCTGAACGTCGAAACGCATCTCATCATCAGTAAATGGGCAGCCGAAACTCTAAAACACGAGACAGACTATCTTCCGGCACAGCTCAAGGGTCTGGCCGACTTTTCGCACAGCGTCCATGACATGGCCGCCCCTATTGCAAGCGGGTCGTTCAGATGCGACGGAATGATCATAGTTCCATGCAGCATGAAGACCTTGGCAGCGGTGTCGATGGGGTTTGGGGATGATCTCATTGCCCGGACAGCCGACGTCATGCTCAAAGAGAGGCGTCGCCTGGTGCTCGTCGCCCGAGAGACACCCTTGAGCGAGATCCACCTTCGCAACATGCTCGAGCTGACCAGGGCCGGCGCTGTCATCTTCCCGCCCGTGCCGGCATGGTATATCAAGCCTGCCACTTTGGACGACCTGTTGGACCAGAGTGTTGGCCGGTTGCTGGACCTCTTCGACTTGGACACTCAAGATTTCTCACGATGGAATGGGTGGGAAAAGAAATAGATCCCGTTCTCCGCTATGAGCAACGACGTCATTCCACTCCCTCTTCATTATCCCTTCCCCGGCAATGTTCAACTTTGAGTGACTATCTCGGGATCGCAATGGTCATCGGTAGTCGCCCGTTGAAACCCTACCGTCGGACACGGGCTCAGAACCTCCGCAGTCACCTTTGGCTCGTGACCTCGCACGTCAAAAGGTCTCAATAGCTCGGCACCAGCCCCACGGGAGTTTTAACGCCAAGCACCGTTGAGGACCAGGTCAGCTCGGAGGCTTCGGAGGCTTCGGAGGCTTCGGAGGCTTCGGAGGCTCGGCATGGTTACCAAGACTAGTCTCTGTCACCTCCTCCCCGGCGGTCGAATGATAGATCTTCGAGTGGGTCTTTGGTCGATCTTCGGGCCTGCATCGAGTGGAGAATAGGACGTACGGGAGGCCGTTAACGATGGCCTTGAGGGGGACGACCAGAGACACTCCGCAGATTTCGAGGGAGTTTCCGAGGCGTTCATGTCCTTGCGTGGAGAGAGGCCCAGGTGATTAGCCATTTACTCAATCAACTCTCAGAATGATACCCTGGGACTCGTAGGCAAGCCGGTCCCTAATTTGGATCTTGGTATCCTGTGCTGCATCGCATAAATTTGGCTCCTCAATCATCAATGTGGACATTTTTCATAATTAGACTATGCACATTGAACGGCTCTGTGCTCGTTATCCAGTAGAACATGCGACTGAGCTTCATTTCTCCTCGCAGGGGCTGGTCTGTCTGCCATAGATGACTACTTACTTTGTTTATGCTTAAAGTCGGGAGGATTCACTCCTCACGGTTGCTAGTGCTGGGCCCACTGCCAGTCTAAGACCAAGTCTCGGGACTGTCCGCTAGGCAGGTTCAACCCTGACTTTGCCGAGGCGCGTTGCTGCACAGATGTCCACAGTAGTCGTATTGGGGTCCCGGAAAGACCTTCCACATTCTCCATGCCAGAGACAGGAATGCACGTCCAGGGAAACCTGTTCACTTCTGGCACGCTAGGTATTGAGGCAGGCATGCTTGTCCCCTCGAGGGTTGCGAGTGAGACTAGGATGGTCCCGAGACGTGGATATTTGGAACGAGCATTGGAAGGGTTCCTGTCATTTTGCGAGAAGAAGCTTCAGCCCAGCTCCCGAAAGCGCGTAGATGCGACACCACTCTGGAAGCTATGTACTTCGTATGTTTCGTCTCGTCTCAACTTGCTAGATGTGGGAGACGGGGAGCTTGCTCTAGACCCATGGCTTTCTTGGCGTGGGTCTAGATCAGAATCCTTGTTATTGGAGCGGAGCTTGGTCCGTGCCCGGCATGTGCAACCTACTCCGTACGTACGAACAAGCCTTTGATCCCTGCTGCAGCTCAAACAAACATAACTATACGACCAGACCAATGATGAAGATCCGCGCGTGTGCTGAAACCCCACAACCGGGTCACTCGTTGGGATCTGATTGAACATGAGCTCCTTAACCGACCTAACATATGGGTCTTTGTTCGAAGTCAGTGTGTACTGCAAGTACGAGTACATCCGTACAAGTAAATACAGCCAATCCTGTTCTGCCCTAGTGTTTGATCTAGGTTTGCCCTTTTCATATACCAAAAACTGGCTGTAAAATATCAATTTATGCATCTGAACACCGTCGGTTGCTGTCATGCTGAAAGGATAACTATTAATATCTTCCCCATAGGTCTAAACTTAAGCATCAGTGCATAATTGACGCATCTAAGGCTTCAATTTCAAGATAAGCGCAAGATCGGACCATGTCCCAAAGGGGTTCGTGACGAGACTAGCACAATCGTATGTCATGGGTCCCCAGGAAAATGTCACTGAAACGGTGGTCGCGGCAGCGCTGGACTCCTCAAACGTTCATCTCATCTTTGGTTTCACCAACTGACTTCCATGACATGAGGAGCTCGCTAATGACTCCTGAGATTCTCGCACTTCCGTGAAGAGCTTGTTTGTGGTACGGTTTGGCTGAGACATCGTATATCTGAAAGGGCAAGTCACAGGGCTACTCTTGGGTGGTCTCCCTTGAAACACCAGGGGAACACCCAGCTTGAATTCAAGTAGGCTGTGCGCAAGGAGTCAAAGCACTACGCGCAGAGCTAAGGATGGGTTGTAGCATTCGCGGATCATGTATAAGTAGACGGCCAAGTGTTGCTCTGGACATGAACATTGTCTATCTATCTCCCAGGCAGGCCTCAATCTAGAATTTTCTGGTGTCAGTTTCTCCAACTTAGTTTGATCCTTTGGATCGTTTTCCTTCTCTCATTTTTATTGTCAAGAGACTGGTCTGGTATCTTAGTCTCGTTGCACAGTATTTACACCATGAAGTTCACTTCGTTCATCTTGACTTCGCTTCTTGCGACTGTCACCCTAGCCGACCTAGCCTCGGTGGATAAACGCAATGATGAGGACACAATTGCAGATGTGTCCTCCGAGAACAATATTCGTCGGGGCGAAGATATCAGCGCCTTTGTTCCCGATCTCCACCGCAAGGATACCGTCAGCTCCAGCGAAAATGCTGGCGATCTTACCGTCTCTGAGACCAGTGACGCATCTGAGCCTGCGGAATTAGCCGCCAGAGATGCCACCGAGGGTAGGGTTGACTTCCTCCGAAAATATCAAGAAATATCGGCTGAGCTAACCTGTTTCACAGACAATGGGGTTTCTGCCCAGGACGCAGAGGAGGCCCAGGAGGAGCTCGAAACAAGACAGAATCAAGGCAAGAAGAAGAACAGGGGCAAGAAGAAGAACCGGGGCAAGAAGAAGAACCGAGGCAAGAAGAAGAACAGGGGAAAGAAGAAGAACAGGGGAAAGAAGAAGAATAATGGGAAGAAGACCACTGCTGGGAAGAAGACGACTACCGGGAAGACGACAACCGGGAAGAAGGCCACAACCTCTGCGGCTCGCGCAACCACGACTGGAGTTGCAGCAACCCGCCCGTCAACTTTCTCTACCCGGGTCGCCACGACCAGAACCTAAGCAGTCTGGAGAAGGATTGTCAGAGGCTGGTTCTCAGGATTGTGGCGAGGTCCTTGTAGGGCAGATCTAGTTTCAAAAAGGCTTCATCATAGATCGAGCCCTCAGCCTCCGTAACGGTCTCATGTGGCGGAATGTCCGACAAGTAGAAAGAGTACCTAGCCATATAATGAACACAAATCCTTCTATCTCGTGGCGATATCAGCTATCTACATATGCTTCGCAGCTTTCGTCTTTGTCTAAGCGCCGCCACATGGTATCTGGTGAGAGTGTATTAGTACTACGCTCTGGAGTGGAGAGAACTCATATTTCAGCAGTATCGAGGGCAGCCCGCCCATTTGGAACTTGTAGTGCATAGCCCCCGACGATTGCTTTGCCGTCTTTGTTCAAACTTTTTCCTGTCCTCTTTGTTCTCACCTTTCAGCCTTTGTTTTATTTGTTCTGGAATACCAGTCTTTTGTTCAAATCAATATTCCTTGTTCTCTGTGAAGTACTTAAACCTCAGCCGAGAACATTTTCTTCCACTACAAAGTACTCAAGCTTTGGCCGAGGAATTTCATTCACTTTATTAAGTACTCAAATCTTGACTAAAGAACAGAATGTCGAAGAGACCTCACACGAAGGATGATGATGATGACGACACCCTCCTAGCCAAGAGACTCAAGCCGGACTATGATCTTGCGCGCCATATTCCGAGCATTAACTCCGACATGGAACCCGACCTCAGGAACAAAGCCACGGCCGATGAGGAGACAATCGATCCCAGTATGAGCGTGGAAGACAGAAGCAACAACGATACCAGTGTCGATGGCAGCAGCGAGGACAGCTGTGATGAAACCGATTCGGATTCCGACTCAGAATCGAGCATCAGTTCTGATGAAGAGCCGATCAATGCGCACGGGGAAAATCCAATCCTGCCCTTTGATAGGGAGTATATGGACCCGAAGGATTGCCGGGACCAGTGGGAAATGAGCCTGCGCGATTACCAGGAACAAGAGGAACAGGACCTGGACGAAACGGACGAGATCGAGTTGGCTGAGTCGGAATGGGTCATCCGAGCTGAGAGAAAGTCGTTGCTCAAGCAGTTGAGCCTCACCACATCTGTTCCGGGCCTGGACAAGATGATCACCCTGCAATTGAACGAAGATGGCGGAAACAAGGCCATATATCAACAGCAAGAAATTCCCGAGAACGATTCGGATAGCGACGATTCGGATAGCGACGACTTCAAGGATTGGTCGAAGCCCGACGCGATGGGCTGGAAGTCGGCCGCAGATGGCTCGCGACTTATGCCAGAGGCAATCGAGCTCATCCTTGACTTCTTCGAGGACCGCCAGCATGTTACTCGTGCCGAGTGCGAGGAATACTGCCTTAAAGCATACCTCAAAGCGAGCGTTGGCCCAGACAAGTCCCAGAAGTGGCCGCTCAGCGTGCGCGCATATCCCTCCGAGTCCCAGTTCCGCAATAGCTACATGGTCGAGGTCATAGATGCCACCATCACTGACCCCACTCTCATGACCCAATTCTACATAAGCCCTGAGAGGCTGGATGAGAGTCAACTCTCCAGGGCCAAAGAGGCGTACGGCAATTTCATTCCGGAGTACACCTATGTTGGTGACATGGGTTTGGCGGCAAACCGCTTGGAGGAGCTGTTTGTGTGGCGGATTGTATCCCCTGTTGGGCGCCCATTCGCTGCCAACAGCTCTCAAATTGGTCTGCGGGTCAATCAGGATAAGTACCTTGGCATCCTGAAGCAGTTTGTTGACTTCGTCTGTCATCCCCTTCAGCCGGCAGGCGGTGGTTGCCTCGCCGATGAGCAGGGTTGGCCCATGGTGCTGCACAATCCTCTACTCGACGCGTACAACATCATTATCCGACCCGACTGGTCGGGCATTGCCTGTGTGCTGCTCTGGGGTGCTCCGCCTGCCGTGACCCTCCCCTTCGGCGCCTCCCTCAGCGGCCTCTTGTGTCTCTGTGGAAAGCCAGAAAAAGATGACGAGACTAGTCTTGCTCAGTTACTACATTGGGACGGCCAATACGCATCCCTGTTCGAAGGCTACAGCCGCGAGGCGCGAGAAATACAGCGCTTTTGTCTGTACTACCTGCGGGAAAAGGAGCGGGCCCTCGCGAACGACCCGAAGCCCTGGCACCGTCTGTTTGATGCCCTGGCCGAGGGTATCTCGAGCAGGACCGACATGGACGAGCCCTACTATAAGTGCTATAGAACGGAGCTCGAGGAGCTGAAATGGGACTGGTGGCATTTTGAGATGGACCCTGGTGTCCCCGTTCAGAGCGCCATCACCTTCCCTGAAACGGAAAGCGGGCATGGTGGAGAGAATGATGACGTTGATATGGATATGAACACAGACTGAGACGGCGATTTCTTTCCCTTCTCCTTACAATATACGTTTGATGAGACTGCACCACATATAGGATAGAATATATTTAGCTGCAACAATATCTGTCTTGATTGTCATGTTGAACCAGTTGCCATAGAAGTACTGCTTTCATCAATACCACTAACATAGAAACTGCCGTGGCGTAAGATGGGTATTTACTTTATTTGCTTTCTATTTGAATTTCGGGTAAGTGTTTACACCGGGATTTCGCGTACTTTCAAGTCGCGTTCTTGTTGCACGGGTGCAAAGCCAGATAGGACTGTTGCCAAGGACTGCTGCATAATGGCCATTGTGCAAGGCTGGTAAACCGCTCAATAAAGCCATGAATTCTCTGCACCAAAATACATACAGACGTGTCAGAGTATCTCCTCTGTTCGACATTGGTGGCAATAGATGGGATGCTGTAATCTACTGGAGCCATTCTGCTACCTAGTCGTTGAAATATAGAGAAGGGTTAGTGTATCAACACATTCGTGAGATTCAAGAAAGTCTTGTAAGATGACCTGGCATCAGGGGATGTAGGAGAGAATACTTCATACAACAATATAGGTAAGTCATTGCCAAGTTTAAAATCATTCCCTATAGTCCCTTGTTTTATTACCCGAATTATCAATCATGCCCCATCCCCGCACGCGGTCGAGCCAGGTGAGTAAATCCACTTTCGCGCCTTGTTCGTTCAACAGTCAGGTACACTGACTGGGATGTTCAACGGAACACTAGTCGCCAGGCCACTGAGGCTTGTCTCTTTGAATTCATCACGCATTCCTCGGGCCGTGACGCGCATTGCGCGGATAGCGTCGTCAAGGCGCACCTTCTGGTTGCCAGAGCTGCTCAGGGCCAGGTTTGCGCTTGAGATAGCTTTGATTGCCCCGAGGGCATTGCGCTCGATGCAAGGCGCCTGGACAAGCCCTGCAATTGGATCACACGTTAGGCCCAGGTTGTGCTCGATGCCAATTTCCGCCGCCTGCTCAATGATCTCGGGGCTTGCTCCCATACATGCAGCAAAAGCACCAGCAGCCATGGAGCAGGCCACGCCGACCTCGGCCATACAACCACCTTCGGCTGCTGATATGCTAGCACCCCGCTTGTACAGCATGCCAATGGCGGCGGCTGTCATGAGGAAAGTCGGAATATCTCGTTCAGGGTCGTCACTAATGAACTCAATGGTGTATTTGAGCACAGCAGGAATAATACCGGCCGCGCCATTTGTCGGCGCAGTGACGATGCGACCGCCCGCCGCATTGGTCTCGTTGACAGCGATAGCATAGACACTAAGGTGGTCAAGCTCGGGGAAAGTGGTTCTGCGCATCGGACTAGGCATAACAGGGTGCTCTAGTGAGCCGACTATTCGAGGAGGGCCTCTGATGTTTGCTGGGCCTTTCCGAACAAGAGCAGTCGAGGAATGCGGCCCTTGTGTTGCTTTCCCCTGTGTAGACGAGGCCCTATCCTTGTCCCCGGTGGCGGGAAGCACTCCTCTGTAAAGTCCTCTGGCCAGGCGGCTGTATAGGCCTGGTGCCCGACGGTGAAGCTTGAGGGCGCCTGGAAGTGTCGAATCGACCGGCGCCTGGACGCCTTCAAGAATGCTATTGTCCATGACCTCCCATATCCGAAAGATCTTGTCCAGAATCTCATCGTCCGTGTAGCCTTGACTCTTCTCATTCTCGAACACGAGCTGAGCAATCGTCAGGTTGTGTTTGCGACAAAGGGTCAGCAGGCTATTGGCGTCCCGGAACGGATAGCGGGGGTGCCGCTGCGGCTTCTCTTCGCCAGGACCGGCCTCAGGCGGGGTTTTTGAAGTCATTTCTTGTTGTAGAGGTGCCACCGTTATTCCTTGACCAGCTGAGCCTTCCAAAGGCTTCACCTCTGGCCCTGTTCTACGGTCGCCGGCTGCGTCAGCCCGGCGAATTTCCTTGTAGAACATGTTCTCCGCCAAGTCAGGCGGGTGTCCACTGCCGGTCGAGTGGTCGTCGTGGCGCGTCATTGCTTGGCTATCCACAGCACCGCTTGATGTCAATGCCGTGGCCGAGGCGGTAGAGGCAGTTGACATGGCGCCATTGACGACGAAGCCTCCACCAACGCTAAACATGTCGTTGGTGGCCAGCATATTCCCATCTTCGTCGAATACAGTCAGGCGCATCCCGTTGCTGTGCAACGCCAGCTTCTTCCCCCACTGCCATCGGAAGTCGTGCGAATAGTCGAACGAGATTTCCTTGCCGTTGCCGTCTGGGAGTTCCCGCCCAAGAAATAACTTCTTCTCCTGCTTGATCTGCTCGAAGCGGGAAGGAACGAAAGCAGTGTCAACAGTTTCAACATCGGCACTCTCCAGGCCCAAAAGCAATGCCGATGGCGTCATATGTCCCTCTCCAGTCAGAGCCAGGCTACCGTAGAGCGACACGTGAATCTTGTGGACGCGCTGCAGCAGGCCCGCCTCAGCAAGATCTGACACGAAGATGTTGCCAGCACGCATGGGACCCACGGTGTGGGACGACGATGGGCCGATGCCAATGGAGAAGAGATCAAAGGTAGAGATGACGGCATGTTCGTGGTCGGCCTCGCTGTATGAGCCAGGTTGCGGCTCATGCTGGTTTGCTGGGTCGGGGTCTGAGTGATTCGTGATAATAGTGCGGGACTGCAAAAACCAAGACCTCTTGAAATGACATTCTGCCTTGATCCCGAGGTGAGAAGGACGAGTGACCAGCACTCGCCGGGCCTGGAAGGCGTTGCATACTATTCGGCCCAAGAGCTCTGCACTTCTATAATGCATCTCGGAGGTCCTAATGGTCGGGCGGGGAAGAAACATTGGATTTGGCTCTGCTCGCTAATTATCGAGCTGAGGTTGGTCGGTGGTGGAACGTCAACTCCGAAAGCAGACTGGTTGTTGAGGGAGTGGAGTAGGAATGGCATGCGACTCCGCCTCCACACCAGGCCAGGCCAAGTGTGGTTAATGATAAGAACCGCGTTCCTGAGCCGGGAGGACCCGGCCCTGACCGATAACACGGAGGTCGCAATGCGCCCTCTGCCATTTCCTGGTCCGAGCGCTTATCAATGAGAAGATCGATCGCTTCAGTGGCTTCATTTCGCTTGGTGACGCAGCTGAACGATCCACTACTTGACAAGAATCGTTAAATACGATGCTGCGAGCAATACTGATGTTGACTGGACCAGGGATAGGATTCACTGTCTGCCATACCATGCACGATTCCCGTGATGCAGAGAAACAGTCGCCATAATCTCATTGACAGGACGGGCCGAAATTATGAGCGTGTACAATTCGCGGAGAGCCGCAACGCCGACTTGCGGCCTGCCTTGCGTAATATTAATCGTGATCATCGGTCAGGGTTTCTGTGGCCTTGATACACAGCATCGTCCAGAAGAAACAGGAGGCGACACACAAGCAACACAAATGGGCTGGTGGATAGCCGAAAAGCCAAGCAAATGACGGGATGACGTTATGGTATCACTTTTGAGTGGACTGTCGTGTTTCAAGAGCCAACGCATTTTCTAGATTAGCAATGGCTCGGATTCCGGGTGTTTCTCAAGAACTGCCGCTGGTCGCGGTAAAGCCAGATAATTGACACTGGCATGGAATGGGCTTCGTGGGATTCCCTGCGAATCGATGAGCGCACCAGATAGGGAATCAGCGCAGGAGAGAGACAAATCAATGCCTCGCGATCGCATTGCATGGCGGGATCGTTAGGTCGCAAAAGGTCGACAGGCACACTCTCTGGTGAGTTGGGTTCAAAACATGTGCTAACACAGTGCATGCAGGTCGCCCTCTGAGAAAGATATACACTTTGAGTGGCCGGAAATAGCAGCCTGAGCAGGTCGCATCAGAGCAGATTGCCAGGCGCAATTTTCTTGGTTTCCCTTCGCGTGCACCTCATGAGAGGTGCCAGGTAAGCATCATTCCCCAGCCCTGGAGTCAAAGGACTGGCAAATACAAATCGGGGCCAAGTTGGCTGGTGGGTGGGCGGCACTGCTCCAGGGAGCTTTCCGGGCCTATCGCTCCTGCATCTCGCTCCAATAGTAAGCCGCCTTGCCCAACCGTCTGGTGCCAGGTCGGGCCACGTCAAACCAGAGATACGAGTCGGGATGCGCACCATCCTTTATGGCTGCTCAGAACAGGCGTGATTTCCTTTAGTTTTGGCATTGAACGGCACGGGATGCTACCCTCTTGCTGCCAGATCCGATCAGTCGGGCAGGTTTGTCAGCCTCAATGCATTAATGTCTCGGTACGGACGCTTCTAGCCATCGAATGGGTCGATTTGTACTGTGGTTGCTGCCAATCCCGTGCTTTGATACCTCGCCCTTGGGCGCGGCATGCCTGTTCTGCCCGATTCCCGTCCTTCAAATGCAATGATTCAGCCCAACTGTATTCACTTCCTTTCGTTGTAGGAGTGCCATCTATATAAGCATGGAGTTCCAATGTGCTCTCCTTGGTGCTTTGACTCCTGTGCACATCAATTGAGAACTTGTCTCTAAACCCCAGGTCTTTATTGAATCAGAGCGACCGGCATGGGCGTCCTTTCAGCAACCGAGAACACAATGTCTCCCGACACAGATCCGACACAGGCAGTCGACGGGCTGGTCGGCGCCCTGAAGAACCTCACGACGGATCCAAATTATATGATGTTGACGAACTTCTACGACGAGGCCATGACACTCCGCGAACAAAACCACCAGCTTTCCATCTCCCACCGCCAGATACTGGAAGAGTATCGAGCATTCCGCAATGAGCTCGAAGCACACCAAACCCAACTTGTGGAAAGCAAAGCGGCTCTTCAGAAGATGTTGGAAGAACGGGATGCCAAGGTGGCCGCTCTTGACGAAGCCAACAAAACTCTCGAAACAGCAGTAGAGGACAAGGAAAAGACCCTGTCCGAGCTACAAGAGCTGAAGAGTAAGCTCGAGAAAGACGCCGAGGCCGCAATCTCGCAGCTTGAGGAAGAGAAGAAGAAGATCGATGCGATGGCGAGTGAGGCCGAAGGATTGAAGACGACTGTGGCAGGCCTCAGCACCGAGTTAGCCAGGTCAAAGGAAGAGGCAAAGGCAGTCGAGGACAAAGAGCGCGAGACAAGTTCCCGAATGCAGATACTGCAAACAACCGTGGATACTATTGCGAAAGAACTGCAGATAAAATCTGAGCAGTTGGCCAAAAATGAGCAATACCGGGTTGTCTTGGTCGATGAACCGGAGGACAAATAGTACGTATACCCCTTGCAACAAGTCGCGTGTATCAACCGTCTCTGACTAACCTCGTGGCAGTGTATCGATCCTCGACAACATCTGGACATCTGTCATCCATTTGGTTGAAACGCACCTCAAGCAGGACTTGGATGAGAAGGTCCTGTCGGATTCTTCCTGCTGGAAATCACTTCAGGAGTCTCCATATCTCAAAGGCGCAACCCAAATACCCCTACCACGATCCAATTCTCTCGCTGCGAAAAGAATGCGAGTGGCCGCAGTTCTTGCCGTCCTCTCGAGGGCACTCGACCGACATATTTTCCGCCCGATTTATCTCATGGACGATGCCGACAGTGTCGGCGCAGAAGTTGGACTGGCGCGCTTGCTTCGTGAGGTTGAAGCACTGGATCCGGAACGAGAGGTGCATTGTCGAGCCACATTGCTCGCCGCGTTGCCAGAAGAGCGACAGAGAGCCAGTGCAAAACGCCGAGCACAGCAAGCAGTGAGGGACGTGCAGTGGGTTGTCCAGCACCTCCTTGGCGCATTGCAATACGGTGCCTTTTGCGCTGCACTCGAATCGGTCTGCACTTTGGCATGTACCAAGTGGATGGAGATTCAGAAAGCTCGCATGAAGATTGAGCCATATTTCGGCCAGCCATATGACGACTACGACTGGCAGGTACTGCCTCTCCTTGAGGGCGAGAGTGAAGGTGCTACTGGCTCTGCTGGTGCCCTGACTCCACCGCGATCAAACGCACCTTCAGCACACGGAAGTCCGCATCAGGGACCGCAGGTGATGGCCAGCGAGCCTGACCCGAGCGATGCTCCAGCAGTATCCACGGCCGAGGACTCGGCTGTTATTGAAGACGACGAGTCCGACGCTGAGATAGAACCAGACAATATCTTACTTGTTGTCTGGCCCACTATGTGCGCCATCGAGGAAGGTGACCTGTCCTCAATCACCCAAGGACTTGTCATTTCCAAGGAGCAGGCGCGGGACGCGCAGAGCGAAGTCAAAACACGTCAAGTACCGCGTCCTGCACAGAAGAGAGCCCGCACAATGTCCGTCCCAGGACATGTGGCTGGCGTCAGTGCTGGTAAAGCTTTTTTAGGAGCTGGAGAGGGAGCATCGAAGGATGGCTGATCAGAAGCTCGGCAAGCAAAGCTTGTCAGCGGACAGAACGGCGCGCGGATTCATACTGTGGGTGACATGTATAAGACAACTATATTTACGTATTCAGAGGTGTGAGGCCAACTTTCACTGAATCTGTAAATCTAGTGACGGGCATTGGAGAGTGCAGAATATATTGTAGCAGACTGGAAAAGGGCTTAGACAGACTTGCCAAAATTCAATAAAGTGCCTAGAGCATCCAGATCCGCTGGTATTTTTCAAGGTTACGTAGCTCACTGTTCAACATGCCAACATAGGTCATGAAGGCCAGGTCATGTGAAACGTTTAGTAATAAGCTCCACTTCTCACTGATATATTATTTGGTCCGAAATGTGTTTGTTGAAGACAATGTTAGGTCGGTGGTATGAAGGGAATGATGCTCAAGTTTCGCAAAACATTCGGCCTGTTGCTAGTCACGGCGGGTACGCTACAGTCCTCACACATGCGCCGGGTGCGCGTACAAATACATTCTCGTTCATCAATATTATACTCCATGTTGGCTGCGCAAGCTGTCCAGAATCAGCACGGCAGGAATCAGCAAAGTGTTGATGTATTCATGGCCTCAAAATCGCCAAATCTCCAACACGTAACTACCCCACCTCCGCTTCCGGAATGGGAACGGAGATGGCTCCGAGAAGGACAGCAATGCAATTACAGAACCACATCGCATGTTTACAAATGTATAAATTTCGAACGACAACAAGATTGCGCGTCTTTCATCGATTGTTCTTCCCGCCACTCTGTTGACAGATGCTCGCCAGCCAGAACGTTGTCCAGTTGCTACTTCCACTTCCGACAGTAATTGCAGTACGCTCGCGAGAGACACAACGAATAAAAACAGAATGAAGCTCCATACACTGGAGGTAATGGTTCTTTCTGGACTTGTCTCTACTGTAGCAGCAAGATCCGGTTCCCGTCATGAAAAGCCCAAACTTCCACCAACCAAGGTGGAGAATTTCACCTGGAGCGACCCATTTGCCAACGAAGCTATCAGCGGATTCAAAGTCGCCTGCGAAGTCAAGAGGACGTTTGCAGCCTCGGAGTTCCTCCTTCATGATCTGTACGAGGACGAACCGCTAGGGCTATGGCCCTACGCGGGCGCATTGAGGAAGTTTTTCATAGGCCGCCCCTATCCAGGGAGTTGGGATGGCATGGATCCGCATCAATACGACCGGAGTGTGCTCAAGATGGCTTATTCAGCTCTACCCGTGGAAGTGAGGGAGTGGATCGAAACGCAGGAGCAGACCGAAGGGAAGGGCAAAGGCCTATTCGCTGTCTACGAGAAACCCCAGGATGCTAAGACGCAAGTCAAGGCCACAGCAGATCTATCCTTGCCGGAGAAAGAACCAAAGGCGCGGGCACCGGACGACAAAAGAATTACCATATTTGCTCCTGGTGCGCTGTACGAGATCCTTCCGCTCTTTGTTGCAGGAGATAGCGATTGTAAAGGTCAGTGTGGCATCCATATTACTAAGGGACGTTCGTTGCTTATGCTAACCGTTGTGACTCCTCCAGGCGATCTACTTGATTTGGCAAGGTACACGCAGGAATTAAAGCAAGGAGCGGTGGTGGGATGGATACAGCACAAGGCACCTGATCGAAGCAAATCGAGGCGTGATATCGAATTCACAATTAGAGTGCAGATACTCGATAATGGCGACATGCCTCTAGCGGGGCAAGACAGCGTGGCCAGTGGCAAGGATGAGCTCTAAAAACATGGTAAAAGCAAGGGTTCTTGCTAGCATGTCAAAGGAGTCGCGGTAGCGATCAGACATGGGCAGTAGGGTAACTCTTTATGAGCATTTAGAGTAGCCATGAGAAAGTAGCTGTTGACTAATGTCCAGTGGGAGAATAACTGAGTATCTCCTGATGTAATGTAACAACATAGAATTTACAAGTGTGATGTTCGTTCATTTAAGAAGAGCCACTCGCGTATTAATATCCCGGAATGCATATAAAGAGTATCTTATGTTACGATATAGTATCTCTGGGCGACAGAACATGAGGCATCCCAGAAGTTATTCAATACAAGAACCCACTTCGTCTATAAATAAAAGAAATATGATGCAAATGACCAAACACCTATATCTTACACCGTCTCGTTCTCATGATGGCCTGTGGCAACATCGGCGTGATGGTTACCAGCGACCTTTTCGCGTTCTTGGGCCGCGAGGCTCTCCCGCTGGCGGAAGGACAGGCTTGGCACCCAGCTGGTCGACTTGCGAGCCGAAGAGCAGTCGGTGTACATCTCGTCGATCTGTTCGAGGGACAGGCCCTTGGTCTCGTAGATGTAGAAGTAAACGAAGGCAATGCAGATGAAACAGCACCCAAACCAGATAAAGAAGATCTTGGACTGCAAATTGGCATACCCATCTCCGTAATTCACAAGATACGGGGTGGAGTAGGCAATCGCCCAGTTTAGGAGCCACTAGATGGAGAAAGAGACCAGTCAGTCAACTGCATGATGACATAGCGTGGCGATTTGAGATCTCCCGGGATGGCGCCGCGGAAATGTGGGGCCGGCCCGTGCCTTGCGACCGATGCAGCCCAGCCGCAATGCGCCGAGTTCTCTCTAAGGAGATGTGGACTTACATTCGTTGCTGTTGTCATTGACAGTGCCCGAGCTCTCTGCTTGAGCGGGAAGATTTCGCTGGTGACAACCCAGCCTAGGGGACCCCATGTCTTGAGAAAAACGTCAGCCTCTAACCCCCGACCACGCTTAAGAGCTGAAAGGATAGAAAAGTACTCACAGCAGCGAAGCAAGCAATGAATGTGCAGACGAAAGCGATTCCGGCCTTTTGTGCAGCGACATTATGCACAATGATAGTACCGACATCATTCTGCGAGGTCGTTGTAGTTCCCAGAACCGCGACCAGAAGTTGCGAAATGGCCATACCAACACCACCCCAGAACAGTAGGGGCCTGCGACCCCATTTGTCGATAGCATAGAGGCCGGGTATGGTGCAGGCAACATTGATGCTGCTTGTGATCATCTGGATAACGAAAGGATCCGAGATACCAGAGTTCTTGAAGTATTGGGTTCCCTGATGTTGACTGTCAGTACTATCAAACCGGTGTCTCTACAAGACGGATTAACGCACGTAATAGAAGATAAAGTTGATGCCGGTGAGCTGCTGCAGGGCCTGAAGGGCCATGCCGGTCAGCTGGCGCTTCAGCATATTTCCACGGAAGCAGTCAATATAGCTGGCTTTGCCGAGGCTCAATTCAAATTGGTGATTGGCTTCGATCTCGCCGAGCTCATCGGCCAGTGCGGGATGGTCGTAGGGTAGCCGTCGGAGGCGACCGAGGGCTCGGGCAGCTTTCTCCTTCTTGCCCTGCTTGATGAGGAAGCGAGGTGTTTCCGGCAAGATAAGCATGCCGCTAATAAGAATCAGAGCCCACGCGAACTGCACGGCAATGGGGATTCGGTAAGAGCCCGTATCGTCACGGGTGTGTGTGGCATTATCAACCACGGCAGCAAGAAGAAGTCCAACTGTAATCGCAAACTGATATGCGCCAACGATTGCACCACGAATCCATTTTGGGGCTGTCTCGGACTGGTATAGAGGGACTAGGATGTGAATTGAGCTGTTAGCCAGTGCGATACCGTCACAGGTGGTAGGTAGGAAGCGAACGTACTGAGAGCGGAAACGAGACCAACGCCGAAGCCGGCGAAGAAGCGGCCAGCGAGGAACAACGGGAGAGATGTCGCAGCAGTCTGGAGGATGACACCAAGGATGAAAACAAAGCTGGAGGCAATAAGAGCGAGGCGTCGTCCAATGTAATCAGCCAGGAATGGTGACGAAAGGGCACCGAAGAAAGTGCCAGCAGACAGGATAGAGACAACAGCGGAGGACTGCGACGGGGATATATCAGGCCTGCCCTCGCCGTCTCGGTAGCCAGTCGAGAAGTGATCCTTGAAGTAGTCCATGGCGAGGATACCGCTAATCGTGCCCGTGTCGTATCTGTGACAGACAATTGATGTTAGCATAATACCAGCTAATAAAGGCAATCAATGATGTTCGTCGACACATACCCAAAGAGGATGCCGCCAAAAGCCACGAAGGCGCCAATGGCGATGGCTGGCCACGACTTGCCAGCCTCTTCCTCGGGCTTCTTCATATTTACCTTTTCCTTTAAGGATGGCATTTTGAATGATGGTTTGACATGTGGGGAAGTCTTGGGGGAGCAAAGGGAAAGTTCCAGGACCGAGACAGCTGGACAGGCTTTTCTTAAATACCAGCAGAGTCAAGCACGATGTGGGAGCTGTACCCTTCACAACAGGGGCCCACACTCTCGACATTACTTCGTACATCGTTCGGGCGGCCCCATCGTGTGACGGGAGAAATCTGGAGCTGGGTGACGAGGACTGTCACCACACCCCGCGGCCCTGTGGTTCCCAAGGACGACAAAGGTACCCAGCTCATGCCCTCGGGGACGGCGAGTTTCGGCGCTACGATCTTGTGTGTGGAAAGGCTAGAAGCCAAACTTGACGCTTACCTAGTAGTGTAGCATGATTTTTTAGAAGCTTCGGTGCATGTCAAGTGCTTCGAGTGCCTAACGACCCCCGAAATAGCCCCAGAAAACAGGGAGCGCCTCGGTGTGGGGAGACATTTTCTGGGTCTCTTAGGCTCGGGGGTGTGGCCTGTGACTGGATGCCGTTCTGCAGCCCCGATTTACCGGTCTAGCACGCGAGATAGAGACCAGACCTAGCCCGGCCACAGCTCGGTGCTTTCCACACAAAATGAGGTCGAATGACGTTGATGGTTTTTTTTTTCTATGCAGCCTTCACCAGGCCACGAAGCATCATTGATGTCCCTTGCGCCCAAGAGGCGGAAAACCCACTACGCAAACCTTGGTGTAGTCCTTTCTATTAACTATCCCAGCTTCATTTCTCGACAGGGCCAAGAGCGAATAGATACCTGCCTTAGTTAGTACTGGTCGAGGGGAGTCATGGCTATGAGACATTGCTTGCAAAACATGAGAGTGCTCAGGGCAACAGTATCCACATTCCAGACCGAATTCGTGTAGGACAGGCCCAGTGGCGTGTGGTACAGCGAAAGCCAAGAGAAAATGCATGATTCACGCTGCCTCGGACACTACGGAAGCTAGCGCCAATCTGGTGCGCTGGCAGTGGCCTATAGGCTATGATGACGGTGTGAGCTAGCTAGGCTGGCTCAGGGATCACGCACTCAGCAGGAGATGGGAAACTCAAAATCCAAGGCGATTCCGGTCCCAGCTGATCTGGTCTTGGTTGTGCAGGGAATAGATCTTGGTGGATCTGGATCACCGCCCTAGTTTCATGGGAGCCCTGAGGGTTACATTACTGATTAATTTTCAAGTCAGCATCCCGGAATCATGAAGTTTGGCTCGAGCGCGATCCCCTTCCATGTAACAGCAGATGTCGTATGCCTCAAACCCATTGAAGAAAAGTCCTCGGACAAGGAAAGCGAAAGTTGCAGAACGGGACCTTGGTGAAGGTGTTTGATGGTGGTGTTGGATGTGGGCTCAGTGACGACGGCAGACGGCAGTTCAGTTCTTGCCAAGAGCGAACAAGCTTTTGGCACCCTACTTCGCAGACCAGACCTGTTTTCCAATTGGATCACTCGTTCAGCATCTCTCCCCATAGCGATACCAGAATGGACATCGACATAGATACCTTCCCAAGCGCCACCTACGACGGTCAAGACCATATTTGAAATGATAGCAATGGGCATGTTCACCAAGTCCGCGGCCTCGCGGGTATCCAATGGCTTGTGATACTCGGGCAACGCTGCGATCCCATGACCATGCGAGATTTCGGCCCTTGGCCCTGTCCCCCCAGCTCTGCTCCGGACGCTACGCCCCACAAGAAAACAGTTTGGCTGTCCAAGTTGTAACGGTGCCGCGGCTCCCCTAAGGCTTTCTGGTTGGAAGGTCGTCTGCAAGTTGGACGACAGCATCCGTTATTCACTGCACGGGACTTGCGGCTCTTTCAACGGGCCGAAAACGTGGATACATGGTGACAGTGGCGCGACGCACAGTACGGGGCGCGTGGGCGAGTGCCGGACTAGGCCCGCAGGGGGCCCCAGAATACCGCCGAAGCGGCCACACCACCGCTCGTTCGCCGCCCGGACTGCACGGCAAACAAAAGGCTCCTGAATCCGTGACATCCGCTTCCTTCTACACCAGCGCCGAGGCATTTCGAGCAAAGATGTGGTGAGGATGCCTATTCCTTCCTGTCTTCTGGTCTCCTCCCTTTGTGTCTCATCGAGGTGCCCAGCCTGACTAACCACCTTAATCCTTGGGCAAATGAAACACCGGGTCGGCTTCAAGCAATGACATGGCGTTATACCCTGTGGGAAGGGTCCTATATGTACCCTGTCACTTGGCCTACAGCTTCTTTTAGCTTAGGCCTAGAATAAGGAGCAGATAGGCCACTGTCCAGTGAAGGGTAATTTGAACAAGCCAACGTGAAGATGTTGGTGAGATGGCATTTCTTCTTGTATCTCGCGAGCAAATTGAAAGTCTTCACAATGCTGTCATGGGTAGACTAGAACTCGCTGCCTGGAAGATCTGGCAAACAGGCGCGCAAGGAGTGGGTGACAAGCTGTGCCAAGATGTGTCGAGAGACTCAACGATGGGGTTAGGCATCCGGGTCGTATAGATCTCGCGTTCCATCCACAGGACCCTGCCCCGGGTTTGGCGGGAAACTCCGTGGTAACTCTCAGGCCCCTGCTTGCATAAGCTTGAATGATGGTGCGGTCAGATTGGACATGACCCCCGAAGTCCCCTCACAATCTAGCAATCCTTTAGAGTGGAAGTGTATGCGCTTTTAAGACTTGTCAATGACTCCAACAACAAGCTAGACTTAGTTTGGAAGAATGCTAAACATGGCACCGAGAAAGAAGTTTGATTCTGATTACCTCATCGCATCTCTATGGTGCGTAGCATAGATAGTGGTTCTATAATATCATAGTATTACGAGTAATATTGAGTCAAAGTAGCTAACGGGGGTTCATTAGGAGCATCCCAATTCAACACCGCATGTCTTTACTGAACTCCACAAGTTTTTATCCATTATCTAGCTTTGTTGAATGGGGAAGACCATATACTGCTCGCCGTGCAACTACGTTGACCACAACCTGTGGGATATGGCGAAGGAAACGATGAGCATGCAACGATAGCTAACTTAGTTACAGCGTTGGCGCTTCGGAGCTTCAATCCACCTACACATCGCTGTCAAAGACATCTTCCAGTCGTTAAGTTCCTGTTTATATTGAAAACGGAGTTATAGAGGGAGAATTGTAGGCTCCGGTGAGCCCACGCTTTCATAGGTCGTCCCCTAATCACCAATTGCGACGGTTCTAATGCAATCATAACGTCAATGATGTCCTTGGCGGGCATAGCAGACTACATCTTGATTCCAGAGGCGAATACTGATGTTTTATATTGCTGTTGGGAGTCAGTTGTTCCACCATCATGCATCAGCATCATGCTCGGCTCACGCTGGCCCAACCGGATCCTGAAATTCTCTCAACATGGTCATATCAACTTTTAGTGCCATGTTTGCAATAATAGCACCTTGTTACCTCCCCGGCCAAATATTTTCCGAGGGCTAGTTCCTGTTATCAACATCCTTCAGAGTATCCTCTGGAGAATATATACTTGTCAATGTATTGGAGAAAATCGTAAATTGAATAATTGGTTTCAGGGTTCGTCTTAACCCCCTTTCCAATGTGTCGCTGTTGAGAGCCAAATCACTATATACAAACCCAGACGCCGTGGTCGTCATGGGTAAAACCAGCCCCGAGCCCGATCCCGGATCAGCCTACAAAAGAAACCAGATTAAAAGTTGTTCTGGTTGGCGTTCTCCATCAACATGGTGGAGTCCGGCTTGTACTTCTTGGGGAGCACGCGGACGTTGTACTCGACGTCGAGCACGGCGCCCTTGGGCTCGTTCTGGACGGGCTTGAAGTACAGAAGCAGATCATCCTTGACGGCAGACACAGTGTCGGTCTCGAGGTAGGGGTCATCGTTGGGGTACAGCTGAGCGGTCACGCCGATGTAGTCGGGGTGAGTGACCATCATGTGGATGTGCGCGGGGCGGTAGGGGTGCCGGCCCATGATCTTGAGCAGCTCCGCCGAGGGGCCGGTGGTATCGATGGCATACTCGGTCGGCTTGAGGCAGTAGAAGTAAAACTTTCCGTTCTCGTCTGTCCGGAACTTGCCGCGAAGGTTGTGGCGAGTCTGGTTCTCGGGGTCGAAGACGTCGTACTTGCCGTTGGTGCTGGCTTGCCACATGTCGAAGACTGCGCCGGCAACGGGCTTGCCGGTCTCGGCATCGGAAATGACACCGTGGAAGTATGTGAGCTCTCCGTCCTTGGGCATATTCTGCACGACGCTCGAGCCGAGCTCGCGGAAAGGGGTCTCCGGGGACCAGAAAGGGCCCAGAATGGTCGAGGATGTGGGCTTAAGGTCTTTGTCGGTCACGACCTTGTGGTTGATCTCGTCAACAAGCCTAGAGAAACACCAAGATTAGCCATTGGTCATGCAAGTCGTTTTGCCGGGGAACGGGATCGCTCACGATTCAACGCCCAGGATGTCGCACACTCTCCACGCCTCATTCCGGTTCTTCTGGTAAGCCTGTCCTATCCGGTTGATCTGTCGGCAGCAGATATTAGTTCTTGATCTTCAAACCTCTCGATCCTCACAGGCTCCAGTTCGCTGCCTGCAGTTTTGGCTGATTCTCCGAGAAAGAACATGAGGGACATACATAGTTCACACCCATGACCCACTCGTCTTGGGTCAGCTCGACCTCGCGGCAAAAGTCGTGCAGGTGCGAGATGAGGGAGGTCAGGACCTCTCGGTGCCTGGGCTTGGTCTCGGGGCTCATGAGGCCGATGACATGTGCGGTGAAGTTGGGGTCGAACTTGTCCTGCTTCTTGGCGCCATTGGCACCGCTGACGCCGGCTGCGGCCATGATGATGGTGATGGTAGTAGAGTTGAGCTGACTGGAATGGATGCGGGGCTGTGATGGATGCGCAACAGTTCTGCTAGCTAGCGGCGAGAGGCACCAAATAGAAGAGCGTGATCTAGGGTATTGTCGAGGCGAGGATTCGAAACCGACGACAAAGAGGCGAGACAGATCCCCAGCTTTTTAAAGATTCTATGGGGGACGGAAGGCGAGGGGGAAACCGCCAGCTAGCATCGCCGGTCGCGCATTCAGACCCCTCATCGTATGTTGGCTGCGACCAGAGTTCGGTAGTTTGACTGACGTAAAATCGCTAGAATCGCGACTGGGGTTAATTTGGCGCCCCGGCCCTTTGGGGCTATTGGAGAAACATGAAGCCGTGCTAATGGCGGCCGAGCCATTGGTCATGCCAATTGATCCGTCGACGCGGATTCGCTGGGTCGGGAACTGCGCTCGGCAGTCGGCCGCTGGTCCCGGATAAACATTCAAACTCCTGTGCCAGCTTCGGGGTGGGGGAGCCCCGGTTTTTATGGCGCTTGGGGAATCTAGACGCCAACTGGACACCGTCCTCAAGGCCCTGGCTCGGCTGATTCTCCGGGTTCTTATGCCCATGGGGATCAATTCATGTCCAACCTTAGAAGTCTTTAGGGATAACAATATCGCAATGGCGATCCCGCGGAGCATACATCTCCTGATCGAACTCTAGTCTGCGAGCACGAGCACTGTCGATTCTTCTCGTGGTCTTATGATACTGGTAATTCGGTTCGACCGGAGTCTAGGTAGTGGAATAATCATCACCCGCTTCAGCCAACACAACAGGTCTTACTTCAAAATTCTGTCTGGGAGAACACGACATTCTTTAGCTTTGATTTCCCTAGTCGTAGCAGACACCGCATCAGCCTGCACCTTTAGAACGCTGCGATTGACATCGAGTTCTCCCTGATAAGCAAGACCCAACACCATCCTTAACGCTGTTCAGCAAGAGCGTGGCGGTTGGCAATGCAAGGTGCTCACGCTGCGCCGAGTTTGCGAGAGCGTGGTTGCATGAGCTCGCCCGGCGGATGGAATGGGCTTCGTCAAGATGAGACAGCCAAAGCGCGCATTCAAGAGCGTGCGATACAGCTCCCTGTCTGTAGTTACGTCTCGTACACGACTGTGGGATCTTCAAATTCATCTTCCGCAGTCGCCTCGTCATCATCACTGCGCTCTTGCTCGCCATGCTCGCGGCGTTGGCCATCCTCTCTAACCACCGTAACATGTTTCTCCTCCTCCTCCTCCTCCTCCTCCTCCTCAAGTTGAATGGCCTTTCACTTCAGGCTGGGATCTTCGACGAGATCCAACTCCGGCTCCTAGCTTCCAGCCACCAAGGCATCAAGCAAATCATACTATTACGATTTTGTTAATACAGTAAAAGCTATAGACTTGTCAACTATTTGTAGAACCATGAGTTTAATGGAATTAATTGGTCTCGATACCGACTAGCCAAGGACTTTCTCTACCTATCTTGGACTGGACACAATACTAAGTAGACAGCTAGCCTTGAGGCCTACGTGCTACCCCGAAAAAAAAAAAACCGTACTCTTGCGAATAAAGAGCCGGGTGAAAAAAAATAGGTTGAGTAGATCTCATACAGGATAAGGAATCAGTATGTCTTTACTCAACTCTTTACTCAACTGGTATCTCTATTAAGCCCACTTTCCGAGCAATGCCATGATGCCAGCGCCAAGATATAACGACACCAACATAAACAGGATCCGCTTGCGGTCCCTCGTCCGGCTGGGGTTGTACAAAAAGTCGCGAGCAAGCATCTCCACCAGACCAGTGTAAATCAGGATGCCTGCTGAGATGGAGTCCAGCAAACCAGAGACCACGTTGGCGGTGTAGGAGCTGCCGTTGTACGAGTAGCGCAAGCCCAGACCGATAGCGATGGAGATAGGAGTGGTGAGCCCATACGCGAGGCAGAGGGCCCAGGGCATCCACTGCAGGCGCGATGGGAAGGGAATGACACTGAGACGCGCACCAATTCCCAGACCTTCGAAGGTCTGGTGGAATACCAGGACGGGGTACAGAGTCGAGAACTCGTCGCCCACAACGCCAAGATTGAGGCCGATGATGACGCTATGAAAGACGACACCGAATTCGAGAATCAGGAAGGCGGCGATCTGCTGTCGAAAGGCGAGCTCGGTGGACGTGGAGTCGCCAGACAGGTGGGCCAGCTCGGCAAGTTTGAGACTGTTGCCATCGTCTGTATCCTTGGAGCCGTCAATGGGAGGGTCAAGAACATGACCTGGTGCTTGCTGTGCCAGCACTTTCTGCGCTGGCTGCTGGTCGCCTTGGTCGGCAGAGTGGAGGTACTGGTGGTTCTCGTGCGAGCTACCAGTTACGGCCTCGGCACCACCAGCCTGTCGTGTAACAGCATTTTCAATCTGTCCGCCAGGAGGCAGGTTATATTTACCCTCGACGTAGAACTCGGCAGCAAAGTCCATGAGGAATACGAGCATGACAGATGTCAGTACAATAGCCGGCGGCCACGAATAGACAGCCCATCCGCCCGTGAGGCCCACACAGGTGTTGGGCCCAATCTCGCTATATGCCGGGTCCAGCAGGTGTACGAACGCCGTGGCGATGATCACGCCTGCTCCGAAGTAGCGGGCAAAAAGGTAGACATAGAGGGGGATATGGAGGCGACGGCTGCGCGTGGCAAGGACGGGGAAGAACGTGCCGCATGTCGAGACGATGAGGATCACGAAGATGGCGGAGATGCGAGCACCCAAGTGACCGTTGTACTCGTTGGACGAGGCATTTATGTAGCAGATGATATCCGTCTGGCTGGCTGTATCCAGGTCGACAGAATGGGGGTCAAAGGAAGACATAATGAGAGTGATGGGCGCGGAGTAATAAGTAGTATAGCGAGCTTGCCAAGAGTTTTGAAACACAAAGCTAGGAACGGTAGTTTCTTGGCTTTTATATCAGGAAACTTGGCATCCAACGGAAACGGAAGCAACATGCAGAGCCCAATGAGCTGTGGCAGGATGGCGTGGCTACGCACGTGTGCAAGTGAGATCTAACTCCTGGTGGTCCGTTGAAACTCGACCTAGAGAACCCTGTTAGACAGCTCTTCGCGATTTATTGAGGGTCCTCCTGCCCAAATAGTATAAGTCAAAGGTCCTTTCTGAGAACCTTTATGGCCAAAGTTTAATGGTAGTCTGTTCATTCTCGACAGAGTAAATCAATCCTTGCAAGCCTTGCAACTACTTTATAGGCAGGGGTTGCCCCCAGGACGGGGGTTTGCGCAAAAACTTCTGATTTTACGGGATTTCCACAGCCTGGTAAGGGGAGGGTTTTGTTTAATCGGCATCCTTCGTGGATTTTAATCATCAACTAATCGCAATTGATGACAGTCCATTTCTCCTGACATCGCTACAGATCTGAGGGCCTATCAGGGTTCTCACGCTAACATTTACCCACCCAGACCCATCCATTACCAAGGTGCGGCCTCACCACTAAGACTGATAAGCAATCATCTATTTATGGGTACAATAAAGTTAACATGTCTCGAGCATGTATATGTAATACGGATTATCTTTGTCGCTTGGTACGTCGGTAATCTATAGGGCTAACTATTCCTAGGAGGTCAATACAAATAGATACGGTAGGTTTGCCTATTCCGGTTCTTGAGACCGAAAAACACGGCCTACATCTGGTCCGTCTTCCACTTTGAACTGCGACATCTTAACTGTCAGCATATCATCTTCTCGTCTCGTCTTTTGTCACCAGTCCATCGTCATCCTCCCTTGCCTTTTCCTGCATTGTCGTATGCCGCACCACTCCTCCAGCGAAGCAGACCAACATCACCATCGCCTTGACTGGCGCCCAAGAGCGACTTTACCAGACCAAACACACCGACTGAAGTATATGCGACAGAGATCTCTCTCTATATCTCTCTGGCGTCTCCTTCCCCTTTTCCAGTCTTATAACTAACCACACACAAACAACCGCAGTCCCTCCACGGCCGCCCCATCACCGACATCAAGCGCGTCGGCTTCTGCATCCACGAAAAGACCCTCATGTACTGGCGGCGTGTCGACCAATGTGTATGCTACTCTACAGCACCCGACATCCCTCGCCAGTTTTGTCGGAAAATACCAGCGGCCTATTCTATCGAGCATAACAAGTTTTAGTCAAGTTACTGCACAATACGAACTCCCTTCGCGGTCTGTCACACTGGCACTGTGGCGCTGACCTAGCTTTGATAAGTGCATGTGGTTGTTCCTTATATATGAATAGGTGGGTAGTATCATGTTGGCATGAGTCGCAAAACTATTTCTCTAGCATGTATAGAAAGGTATCTATCCTGCTGCGGTGAAAACCCGACCCTGCAGAGGAAAATCCTATCCCGACGACCTGATGCCCTGCCTGCCTTGTCCACTTGCTCGCCCCTCTCCACCCGCGACTTTCTTCCTTGCCACACTAGTCTTTGAGGGGTTGCGGCTGAGCGCACCTAACAAGAAGGCTCTAGAAAGTCCAGTCGAGTAGCTTGCCTGGCGCGACCAAGGTTGATTGGGACGTCTATCACGCCACTAGCCACATCTTCATGCTCACCCATACGTTGCGGGCCGACTACGCAGTTCCGCTGCTAGCTGTTTAGGGATCTCAGAGGCCATCATAGGTGGGGACCTGCGGCAGCCGGCACCGCCGCAGGTGCCGTTGGTGGTTCATAGCGATGCCCAGCGGCTGATCGCGCTTCCTCCACGTCAAACAGCGGGGGGCACCAGAGCGGCGTGCAGCCTGTCGAGGAAGGGGTTGAGCTTCAAGTCATAAGGAAGCCAGGTACGCCGGATCTCGAGCGGACCGGCGGCCGGCGCTGCGCAAGCAGCAGGGTGCTCAAAACGGGCAAGGAATGCCGGCGATATATCGGTGGCGTAGATGAAGACGCCAGGAGTCTCGTTGTCACGGGAGATATCCATGGCATAAACCTGCATGTGGGCCGTTTGTTAACTGGCCGGACCAGTTCAACCACCGGGGACAAGATCTATCGCGACGTACTTGTATGGGAGGGCGACCCTCCAGGGCAAAAGCCTCTGATTCTTGTTACTCAGCGGTGGTGGCGGCCGAGGCGGCGGCCAAGGCGACGAGGACGGCAAGGACGTAGGGTTCTCGCCGGGAGCGGTGTAGATGTGCTCGAGACTGGGAGAGATTGTGGGTCGATGAAAGTCTCGTAGCGGAGCCGACGACTGTGCAGAGATTGACGATGGCGATCGAGGGTGGCGGCTGTCGTGGCGGTGGCGGCGGAGGAGCCACAGTGGGATGGTGGATGAGGCCTTGGACGGGGAGCCAGCAGGTGTAGTGGCCGAATCCGAAGGGGAGTTTCAGATCTGAGGCGGTCCTGCGAAAAAGAAGTATCAATCAGCATGTACGAGTCCTCAGTACAAAGGGGGATTGAAACAACAACAAGACAGTACATACCGTTGACACCAAGAGAACCCCCAAGGCCTCAGCATCTGGCTGAGGTGCAAGGCCACTACATGGGCTGTGTTGCGATATAATCGCAGGCTGCCTAGGGAGCTGCGCTGACCGGCGGTTGCATCAGGGCGGCGGTGGCGGTGCTGCTCGGGGGGGTGTTGTTGATATCTTGATGATCCTGTAAGACAACATCGACAAATGTGGTACCGATGAGATCGAGATGCAGGCCAGTCCAGAGGCTCGGAGGGACGAAGAGTCTTGCACGGTGATGGCGGCGGATGGTGTCTTGGAGGGAACCCGGCTGTGGTGGCGGCGACGCGGTAGCTAAGCGCCCAATTGGTGCAGCAATATTGCTGTCCCTCTTCTTGATGAGGGGCTCCTGGTTCTTCTTCTTCTTCTTCTCCTCCTCCTGGGTTTTCTGTCTCTTGACCGGCTTATTCTGGACGGTGGTGTGGCCCTGTGATAACCTTTCAAGGGCTTTTCTCTTGTGGCCTTGCAGAAATGCTGTCGTCTGGGCACTACCACCAGTTCCTGTTGTGCTCACCAATTTCTCCATTTTGTTCAAGGTATCCTTGCTGCCAGTCCCATGGCTGACTCTGTTCTCGTTGTTGTGATTGTTCTCTTTGTCGTAGTCGTCGTCGTCGCAGCTGAGCACGAAGGAGAAGGCGGAGGGGGTGTCGAGGAGGTTAGGAAGACGAGCCATCGTTGTAGTCAATGTCCGAGGCTGTGTGTGTGCGCGCACACAGTCGTGGTTGGGTTTGTGTGAGTACTTATGCCCAGAGGAAGGATGAGACAATCAATGAACATGACACGACATGACAGTATGGATGGTGATGATGGCAAGATGAGGGGAGATGGAGTTAATGGTACAGATTGATTGATTTGAAAAAAAGGTGGCGACGCGTCTGTCGCTTCAGGTGCTTTTATCACCCTAAGGCATCCGCACAGGATGTGGTCGGAGGACGACGGTGGTATTAACCTGGGCACCTACTACAACGGACCGTGGTGCTGTTGAGGCCAAGCGCGCGCCCATGATTAGACTCCAGGACAAAAACGATTACGAGAAAGAGCTCGATGACTCGGACCCGGCGGCCCAAGCCCAAATCACTGACGCCTGGGTTCTGCATGACACGCAACCAAACATCTAGAACGGGGAGGCCAGTGCCCTTGTCGATTTTCGTATATCTGCACCACTCGATAATCTAACCTGCTAATTAGTCCAGCTGCCCAGGTCAACACAAACTGCAAGCAAGTTCTTAAAAGGAGAGGGTGAGGCACGAACTTGTCTGTCAGATGAACCTACACGTGCATCGACAATCTGTCCAATCCGCGTTGCAATATATAGCTCTGTTGACATTGAAGGCCGAAAATTGATGCTCAGACTCGGAACACTAGTTGCGAAAGGTACCGAATGGTTCTCTAAGAGCTATCTATATGGGCGTATATGGGCGAGATAGCCTCCTCGAAAGCCTTGTTTCGGAGATGTTTTGGTTCTATCACTTGCGGAGATGTGTTTCTTCTTAATCCCAATGGCATGCAAGTTGAGATGAGTCTTAGTTATGGACGAGACCTGTGGCTGCTTCCTCTTATGTTTGGGAACTAGCATGGTTGGGAGCATAGAGCCTGGGCAATACTAAATTGGGCACATTGTACACAGTACCCTCTCGAGATAAATGTATAGCGCCTCAATATTGTTGGTTTCCATGGAGCTGAGAAACTTTTGAGTCAGTCTACATTCATTGAGAGGTAAAGGGATGACAGCCTGGGTCGGTTCAAGTGTGTTTGTGTTTGGTAAGACTTGGCAACATTGATAATCTTTGTCAAGCTTAGACAGTGGGATTGGACCCTTCCGAAACACGGGGCTTTGGTCCAGACAATGGGGGCGTAACAAGGCATGACGCTGCATTTACAGTAGTTTCCTCAAGCTCAATCTGGGTAAGCGAGCACCCATCTTGGCCAAGACTCCTGAGGGAGATCTAGATTAGTGGCCGGGAAGTTGTGTTTCCTGCCTCGTGTCAGCCCAAAATATCGTCGAGTGCCTCTCAGAGCATCATGTATTCAACTGAGTCAGTTTGATGGCGGGAGGCCACGCTCTTCATGGAAATGGTTTGTTGATCCTAGGCGGAAAACTAGACCCGGGCTTGCCTCCTGGGCTAAAACATCAATGGCCCACACTAGGCTTCGCCTCTCCACACCCTCTCCTGGGACAAGTGCTTGAATCTGCAATGTCATACCCTTAGCGCTTCAACTGGTGTGCTCCAAGACCAACCAAGAATGAGCTGACAACTATATCCAGCGATTTCCGGGCTTGCTTTACTTTAGGTCGTTGTGCTTGTGGTTGACTTGTAGCAAGGCTCCCTAAATGCAATTGCCCGGGCTGCAAGCAAAGGGATGTGGGCAGAAGGGAGACAAGCAGAGAACTAAACTTGTTAGAGGCCAGAAAGATCGAGTGCATGTATTCGTTCCATCCAAATCCTCGAGGAGCTTGACTTTAGAGACCAGATGCCGAGAGACGCGGTGCGGGACGCACGATTTGGCCCGGAGAATCGCTGGTTCAATGGATAATGATTTCCCACTAATGGTCACAGGGGGTCCAAAATGTGTGGGTCGGTCCCAAGCGGCGAAGAGCCTCCATGCCAGTCCTAAGACGCAAGAATACTTAAGTCCAGTCGGCTTCGTTCTATTTGCATCGCCATTATCTGGTCTTTCATTTGCCTGGACCATTCATCCAAGACTCCCTCACCTACGAAGATGGGCGCCCTCGAAAAAGTGTACGAGAATCCGGCCATTGTGCCCCTTGGAGCTCTTGCGGCCGTGCGTTGTCACCTATTTGCATATCATTTTTGACCTCGAGACTGACATTGAAATATTTTAAACAGTTTCTAGTGTATATGTTATGGTCTTGCGTCTATAATATCTGGTTTCATCCTCTTGCTCGCTTTCCGGGACCTTTTCTTGCCAAAATATCCCCAGTATGTTGTCCACACCGCGAATCGCAGACTCGGTTTGGTTGCTAACGCTAAGTGTAAAGATCTATAGCATTTGGGGTCTGTTTAGGGGACGATGGACTTTTGATGTTCATAAGCTGCACAAGAAATATGGACCAATCATTCGACTGATGCCTAATGAATTGGCCTTCACTGATCCCCAAGGTAAAACAGAATACCACAGACTTGACTCATGCACGAGGAGCTGACACCGTCTATTCTGACAGCCTGGAAAGACATCTACGGACACAGGCAAGGGCATCCTCAATTCCACAAAGATCGTAAGCACTTCCGCTCAGTGAGACTTGGGCCCAGCTGACAGATGAACAGCAATTCAGTAATCTCAGCCCCCTTCCTCTGAGAGTTTCTGGAACAAACATTGACAACGCTACCAAGTGTCGGTTCCGTACAAGACATCCCGGGCTCAACTACGTTGACCATGGCAGACGATGCAAATCATGCTAGACAGAGGAGGACATTGGCTCATGCTTTCAGCCAGAAGGCTCTGTTGGAACAGGAGAGCATCATCCGTGGGTATGTCGACCTGTTCATCGCCAAGTTGACACCCTTCGCCAAGTCCGGTCAGCGGGTCAATATGTGTGATTGGTATAGTAAGTCATATTGCTCTTCGATGTTACAGTGGATTTATGTTGATGTGGAGGTAGACTTTACCACCTTTGATATCATCGGCGACATGGCCTTTGGCGAGCCCTTTGGATGCCTTAGAGACGGCGTCTGGCATGATTGGGTATCCCTAATCACTATCACAATCAAGGCAGGGGCTTATGAGCAAGCCACTCGGCGCATGTTCAAGGCTGGGACCTTCATGCAGAAAAATTTGGTCAAGCTGATCCCGAACGATTTGATGCGGAAGAGATTCCAGCATTTGGAGCTTAGCAAGGAGAAGTGCTTGAAGTGAGTCCTGAGTTTGCTAGAAACAGACAGCATGGTAACTAACTGGAACACAATAGACGTATCGACGAGGGCTTGAGGCGCGAGCATCGCGACTTCCTGTATTACATCCTACGAGCGAATGAGAAGGGTGGGGTCAAGCAAGACGAAATAATCTTGAACAGTGCTCTCTTCATGTAGGCTTCTCTTCCACATAAGATTCCTTTAGGCTATCATACTAACACCTGGTCCAGTGTTGCCGGCTCCGAGACTACCGCGTCGTTGCTTTCCGGCATGACCATGTGGCTTATGCGAACGCCGCATGCGTACAAGAAACTGACCCGGGAGATTCGTGGCCGCTTTCCATCAGCCGAGAATATGCACTTCTCCGAGCTACAAGAGTGCACTTACATGAACGCCTGCATCGACGAAGCCCTACGGATTTTCCCACCTGTGCCGACTGGCTTGACTCGTACTGTCCCCGATGGCGGCGACACAGTTGCCGGGGAGTTCGTCCCGGGAGGGACCACCGTGTCCGTCTATGCATGGGCTGCCACTCACTCCCCGCATAACTTTTCCAAGCCCGACGAGTTTATCCCTGAGAGATGGATCGACGCGCAGTACGACTTTGAGAAGAAGGAAGCAAGCCAGGCCTTCTCCCTCGGTCCCCGCGGGTGCATTGGCAAACATTTATCATATCTCGAGCTACGGTTGATCTTGGCCAACCTGCTTTGGCACTTTGATATCGAGCGAGCCGATCTTGACGAGCCTGTAGACGTGTGGGATCCTAGCGATGACTTGAAGCACATCAAGGCTTTCAATACTTGGAACAAACCGCCGCTGTGGATCAAGCTGACTCCTGTCAAGCGTTGACATTATAGTTCTCTCCTGGGAGAACTAGAGGTCGTGGCATTATTGATGAAAGCAAGGCTGGGGGATAGGAAGAGGGATAAAAACAAAAGGAATGTGGTTCGCCACAGTCACTGATGTATTGCAGACATTTAGTGCAAAATCGTCTATTGATTCTTTTTTTGCCACATTCATATCCTTAGCCCGTTCCCTTCCAGTACAATTCCCTTACCCAGGAAGCTCATGGGGTTTGGGTGGTGGCAAAGCATCCAGCTCTCGTGGTACACCATGTCCCTCCAGCTCCTGGCTCTGATGCTGATGTCCATAGCCGTACTCCGGTTTGGCATCCTGAGAGTAGTACGTGGGTGCAGCGGATATAACTGTATGTTGGGGCTGGCTCTCGACAAACGAGCCAGCCGTTGCCGCTGATATGCCCTGGCTGTTGGCCTGGTTGCCGTTGCCATGTCCTGTGTTATCCCAGTCCTGGATATTTCTGTCATCTTTCGACCTGGCAACGTTGACGCGGTGCTTTCTCCTCCGCCATAGAATTGCCAGGATCCCGCCGCCTATTGCAATCACGCCGAGTGCGACGCCAACACCAATACCAGCGGAAGCACCAGCGCTGAGGCCGTGATGAACGGTAGGAGGGTTAGTTGCTGTCTCGACAGCACTTGTGGCTTGTATTGGTGCCGAGGATGATATTGTCGACGAAGTAGACGTGGAGATTGACAGGCCGAGGGTTGTCTGCACGCGCTGGTTGGAGAGAAGGGTGAAGCTCGGGCTGTTGGCGCCATGGCCTGGCTCTTGTCCGGGCCTCAGATCAAACCAACACACCGTATCACTGGTGAAGTTTAAGAGAACAGGATAGGTAGCGTTGTACTGGGGTACCTAGAAGAAGCATATTAGGGTACTTGTGAGTATTGCGCTTTCTACAGAGGCAATCTTACGGGGTCCTTGTAGACTTCACACGGTATCACAATCAGCATGTGGTTCCAAACAAGCATTGCATTCTGAGATTACCTTGTCGCCCTCCACCATCGCAGAAAGTGAGCAGTGTCGGCTTATCAAATGGAGACGTATATTGGACGTTGACGGTATCAAGGTAGTGGAAGGTCAGACCCTTGGGAGGGTACAGAAAAACGACGCCGTGGTCGTCAGCGCGGCAGCTGGCCGAGAAATACGCGAAAGTAAGAAGTGCTTGGAGGACATCAGTCCTTACACGCCGCTGCACCATCTTTAGAAGAGGTGTACTGAATCAAGAAGCTAAAAGGAGCGCAAACTCATCTTCTTGAAGGAAGGACTTTACGTCTGCGAGTCAAATGCGCGGGGAAAACGGCGAAGGGTATGATCGTTGCTCGACAGCTTACTCTCAAGCCTACAGAAAGAAATCTCCTCACATAATATCCTCCCGATCACGCATGTATTCCAATTTCCAAATTAGGCCTGCCTAAGTCCGCAAGAGGTGGGTCATGCTGAGCACCATAAACGGCGCGATTGGACTGCTCGCACTCAATGCACAGGGTTCATCTGCCGGTGATCCTTGCTAACACGGGCCGGGAAAGCTTGAGTGAAACCACGATCATAATCAGAAGCCGATGTTACAGAGCTCATCTAGTAGATGAGACCCATGCTAAGCCAGAAGCAACTTGTGTTTCACGTCGCAGCAGGCCCTGGGCTGTAAGGCAGTTCACAAACCTCTAGCTTACAGTCACTTCATCCTCTATGAAAGGACTTTAGATTTATACAGCTTTTGAAATCGACTCAAGGATATGTGTCGGTTTAGACAAAGACGACTCTGCTGCATATACCCGTTTTTATCCCTTGCCCCTTTCTGTTCTTCTTCTTTCCATCCCATTTTCATTTTTCCTTCTTTCCTTTTTATTTCCTTTTTTCTTATGGCGAATTCATTAACTGTACTTAATATTTAGATGCTACGTCAGTGGAACGGGAGCCTAGGGGTGGCAACCAGCCGGAGAGCCAGTCCCACAAATGATAGCTGGTCATACTGCCTCAAGTAGTCATCTGAATTCCTTCAAAATCAAACGACTCAATTTGTAACAACGTATCAGGTAGATAGCCTCATATTGTTGAGCTCAGAGCACTTTGTCAGCTTGCAAAACTCCTGATATCTACACTTATTGGTTCTTCGACTACAATTTCTTCGCACGAAATCACAAAGTAGTGATACACCGCCCATCCATTCCTCAGCCGCCAATTCCATCTCCTGCAACAACTTCACAGCACTACAGAAGCCACGAACCCCACGGGATATAAGCCTCTTACACCAAGTACCTGAAGCCGCGGGGCATGTTGAGCGTCTCCTCTGGTGCGTACCAGTGCACGGGGCCGTGCGTGTGCGTGGCCGCCTCGGCCTCGCCGGTGCGGGCCTCGTCCTCGAGTAGCTCGCGAGCCGAGATGCGCTTGTTGAGGTTGACGAGGATCATGCGGAAGGCGAAGACACCGACGATGGTGATGCCGAACATGGACAGGACGATGCCGTAGCTCTTGCGGAAGCCGTTGTCCTTGAGGTTCCATACGTACGAGCCGGCGACGTTGCCGAGCTGGCTGAAGGCGTTGATCATGGCGAAGGCGACGGCGCGCTTGGCCGGCGGGCGCGGGAACGAGGACGAGATCCAGGAGTAGAAGGTGATGAACCTGTGGAAGGGGATCATCTGCGTTAGAAAAAGACATGACGTTATCCTGAAGGGGTTGCTGTGCGGAAAATACTCACCCAGCGTAGGAGCTAGCCTGGAGGAACAGCGCAACATAGCGAGCGGCGACATTGCCTGTCGCCATGCTGATAACGAAGCCAATGATACCAATGAAGATGGGTCCGACAATGTGCCAAAACTTCTCCTGCGTGCGATCCGCATGCCAAGCAACGAGAAGCGAAACGATACAGGACAGAACCCATGGGGGAGCACTAAGCAGCAGAGTCTCAATCTCGGGGAAACCGAGAGTCTTGGTGAGGGTCGGGAAGTAAGCGTTGAACGACAGGCCAACAACATAGGCGGTGAGTGTCAGCATCATGAGGTAGATCTTGACGTCGCGGGTGGCCATGAACAGACCACCGAACGTGCCGTCCTCCTTCTGGTCCTCGTCCGCCTCGCCGACATCCTCAATCATGCGCAGTTGGGCGACCTGCAGCTCCTCCTCGGTGAAGCCGCGCGAGTTATGCGGCAGATCGGGCAGGATAAAGGCAGCAGCAACTGCGACGGCCATAGTGGCGGCACCCTCGATGTAGAAGAGCCAGCGCCAGGCAGAGTGACCCAGGATGCCGTCCATGTTGGAGAGAACGCCGGCGGCGACGAGGGCGGAGAAGGCGTTGGAAATGAGGTTGCCGCAGAAGAGAACGGCATTGCGCTCGGTCAGCTCCTTACGGGTGTACCAGTTGGACAGGATCATAAGGGCGCCGGGGAGGAAGGCGGCTTCGACAAACCCGAGGAAGAATCGGATGACGACCATGTCCGCGAAATTTCGGGCAACTCCTGATAAAGTACTGATGAGACCCCAAAGAAGCATGGCGATGGAAATGTACAAGGAGGGCCGGCTGATTCGATTAATGAAGATATTGGAAGGGACCTGCATCAGGATGTATCCTACGTAAAGAATCGACAGGCAGGTCGCGTATTGTTGATCGCTGAGTCGCAGCTCTTCTTGCAACCCTTTCAGTCGAGCAGAAGCTATGTTGGATCGATCTAGGTAGTTTAATATATAAATTAAAACGAAGAAACTGCATCGGAGATCGATCTTTCGCTTGAGGCTTTTCTCGACACGACGCCGGTACTCGGGATCTCGAAGGCGGTTGCTGATTTGTAGAGTACCAGGCATCACTGAGGGCCCTCCTTCGTCGTGATGAGCAGCTTCCATGCTGGCTGGATCAAGTTTGACCATGTTATCGTCTTCAATTGGATGCGACATTTTGGCCGGATCCGTGGAGTTGTTGACAGTGAAGGAGGAAGATATGTCCTGGCGAGGTTGGTTATTCGCACCAGCGAAACAGAATTGATTCCCTTCTCAGATGGATCCTTGCGGACTTTGCAGAGAAGCAGGAAAATGAGAGAGAAATGAAGAACTACGTGGAGGAAAGCGAGCCTGTGCCATGAGGCGAGGGTTCATGGTATTAAAGCGTGGAGACGCGCCTCTGATTCCCCCTCACCCCGCGTGACCTCCTCAACAGCCCATTTCTGATCCGTTATCCGGAGATCAAGTAGCATCCACTGACACATTAGACCGCCTGGCCCCTAACTAAAAATCTTCTAGTCATAGTAATTGAGTGGTTCCGCAAACATGATTGCTGGTGGTTATATCGCTCCCGGCATGGGGTTCCGTCGTTCGGGCACTTGCTCGGCGTCTTGGCAATGATGGTATGGGCCCTCTCATGCCCCCCACGCTACCGACGCCACAAAAAAGCTTCAAAAGCTTCCTTTGCACCATCGGATATGTTCCACTGCATGCCAAACCTGATCCCTTCTCTTTTATGCAGATCTCCCTCAGCACTCTGCATTGAACTACTTGTACCAACTGAGATTTTACGGTATTCGTACCCCTCTACTTGTACATGCCTGTATGCTTAGCCGAGCTGCCGTCTTCCCGGTTTCCCTGCGGGCATCACCACCCATACATAGATACAAATTGTCTTTCCCGTCACGAAGCCCCCTTGTAGAACATAGATCTTATTTCAACCGCATTATCTCCTCCTACACCTTCCATTCCCAAGACTACACGCCACATCATCGGTAGATTTATATGGATACATACTCTAGCGGCGTGGGGGTCTCTCCACACGGTTTAATCCTCGGGATAATACCACAACGCAGCCCCGGTCCAGTCCCTCATCAAGCCCAAAATATTCTCCCTGATTGCGCTTACCTACTCGCAGCATAGTTTCACCCTCCTTAGAGCTGATGTCAGGCCAAGGCCAGGAGCCCTAGTTTGACCTTTGCATTTATACAGCGTGATCTAGGGCTTTAAAGCTCGTGTTGTTATAACCGGCAAGGGGAGATTCAAATCCCCGCTAGGTGGACATTCACCCATAGCTACTTTCTCATAGCTACTTTATTCTAAAGAGGTACCCCACTACCTATATCTGATCGCTACCATAGCTCATTTAACATAAGTAAGATCCCATGCTTTTGTAACAGTTCAGCCTGTGCTAACAGTTGGTTGCTGGGTTCTCAATGCCAAAAGAGACATGGATTCAATTAAGGAGCAAGAAATAAATCTACCTTACACCCGGAGCCTTCCCCTTTTCCAGTCACTCCTTATATTATCGTAGGCCTGGGTTTAAAGCCAGGCCGGCTCCGGGGCCCGGGCCGGGCCCTCCCCAAGCCTTCCCGGGCCGACTCTTCTTGTCGGGTTCATCCCATTACATTTTCCATGTATTATGGTTGGTATTGATAGTTGAAGTAGGTTCTTGTATTGAATAACTTCTCAGGTGTCTCATCTTCTACCGCCTAGAAATAGGATATGTGCTCCGGTATTTCGATGCGCAAGTGGTTCTTTGTCACATAAACGAACCTCATGCTTGTCAATATGTGCTGTGGGCTGTCACACCGATGGAAGAGTCCATGCAACTGATTTTGGAGTCATCGAGGGTTAGAGGAAGAAAACGTCTGTCGAAATGATCTCCATTCTTACTAGCCGATTCGCACCTGATTTTTATCTAGTTGTACATGGAACTCACTGAATGCAAGATCATGGATTTCCTAGAGGTCCACCTTCTCATACAACCAATATTGATTCTGCCCTCCACTCGACTTGCAGGTCTCGCCAGGCTGCAGATCTCTTCTCCGTTCCTAGAGGAATCAGCGAAGTATCTGTGATACCCATGTTTGAGAAATCCATAATACCACTCCAAAGACTCATGACCGCCCATATACCACCACAATTGGCAATAATCCCTGCAATAAACTGACAAGCATTTCTCCCGTGAGGAAGAATATCCCATTCGCAAACAGGAATGTCAGCAGATGATGCAGATGGCATGTTTTGTGGCACGGGAGATCTCAATTGGCTTTATCCCCAACCAATTCCCGAAGACGTGCCCTGGCTGTCTCAAATTCATTCCTCAAAGATCGAGTTGCCGCAACATACATATCCGCCAATGCTACCATAGCACCAGACTGTGAAAGGGTTGCAAGATCGCCACCACCGATAACCTGGGTCTGGATACGGCTATGAGTGGCGAGCAACTCTGCCATAACCTGGAAACGATCTTCCTGGTGAGGTTGATCCTGTCTTCGCAAAACGGAGGCGCTGGACCGTGATGCCATGCGCGTTTGACGAGTCATCATATCCCAGGCTGTGGTAGCGGGAACCTTCCGAGACTTTGAAATCTCATGTGGAGACTGCGCATCTGCATGAGCGTCGAGCTTGACTCGTTTCAACGGAGTGTCCAATCCCTTTGATACGGTGCTCAATCGCTTTGATGGAGTGCCAACTCGCTTTGATGGAGTGCTCGTCGGTGCATCGGCCATAGCAGTTGTCCGAGTCTTCACAACTATGCATGACTCTGCGGATGATGACGAGCTCTTCGGTCGCTTAGAAGAGGTGGCGCTCGGAGTATCATTCATGGAATCAGTCTTCGATGCCAATTCCTGCGTGGGAGGTCTCGGGCGGTGCGATGACTTATGGGAGCCATACGGCGAGCTATCCGGGTTGGATGGTGTCGACGGCCGCCCCTGTTTGGAAGCAGGCATCGTACGCTGAGCAGTGGAAGTCTGACTGGAATCGCTCTCTGGAATATCCGCATCCTCCTCGCTGTCCGGAATTTCTAGCCGCGAGGTCCGACGCAGGGAAGCTTGAGGATCAGCTCCAGCCTTGAGCTGTGATGCAACTGTATGCATCATGTAGGAAGCTTGTCGAACTCGGCTGTATCCACTTGCGGTGATTTGATGCCTCGGGTCTTGGGTACGGCGTTTCGCCGGAGTCATCACGAGAGTCATCTTTCGCCCGACAGGAGTGTCACCCGAGGAGGCGATACCTAGAGGGCTGTCCTTGCTGGTCTTGACGGAGGGTGTCCGTGGAGAGATCTTTGCCGACTTGTCCAAGTCCATCAGGGCTGGTGCGAGAGCGGGGGGATGATCCGGTACATGAACTGGTGGCAAAGATGGTGCCTCTCTCAGTGCCATCGGTTCCTTGACAGGGGCAGGCTTGGGTTTGACACCAGAGAAATGGTTCATGATATTCAAGGAGAGCGCGGCCTCACTTCCAGCCTCTTCTTGAACATGCTCGCGGGCCATGTCATTCTCAATCCAGATCGTTGTAGTGTCAGCATCAGTAGTCCTCAATAGGAACCGCTGATATCCCATATCCCGACGGATAATACCGAGAGTGACATCGATGCCGGAGACCTTCAAAAACCACTGATGTACGATCGATGCAACATGATCGATAGAGAAATGTGCATCACTCTCGAGATCAGCATCTCGACGATCATATCCGGGGCCAGTTTCCTGACCGGCATTTCGAGCCTCTTCGAGCATCATGCGAGCCTCTGCAAGCTCAGGCCAGCTCAGTACAGCCTCAAGGTCCTGGATACTTGGTGCTGCAAGTTCCGGGTGCTGAGCCTGTGTGCTGAGGACGATAGCAAACAAAGCGCACCGAAGACCAACTGCACTGGTGGGAAGTATCTCATGGCCGTGAGGGAACATCCTGGAATAACACAAAGCTGCTTGCATGTCCGAGTTGATAGGGCTATGCCTGTTACTGGCCACGATAGGGCCGGCGATGGCTGGAGACTTGGTGATATCTGCCTTTGATGTAGAAGCCCCAGGAATAGTGGATTTGGCCACTGATGGCTTGGCTTTCGAACCCTGTAAGCCTGGACGAGGCTTGGTATTGGGCGCAGGCATTACATCCTCCTCCAAATCGTCTTCCGATTCCGAATCAGGTTGAAACTCAATGTCCATCGCATCAACATCGGATCCATCGGAGTCGTATCCACCCATGGGATGTATAACATCATCCTCAAGGTTGTTTTCGAACTCCATGAGCTCGTCGTCATCCATATGGTGCCATCGATATCGAAGTTCTGGAGGGACTTCATCAAGAGGCAAGGCCGCGTCGTAAAGCTCGGCCGGAAGATCCACAGTTCCAATTAGCTTTCTCAAGAGGTTGTAGAATCTTGTGGGGAAGTTGCTCTTCATAAAGTTGGAGAATCTTGTCTCTATGAGAATGTTGTTTCGGTCATTGTTTCGGTCTGCTAGTGACATCGGCTCTGGATGCTATCCAGTACGCATCTGCGCGGAGTAATTAATAACCATTCTCATGGCATTGAAAAAGGGAATAGACATACTTGTTGACCGTGGTACTTGTGACCGATACTCAAACACAGTGGATTTCGGTTCTGTATAATCAACGGGAGGCGAAGAAGCTCGGCATACTCAAGTTGCCATGCCTTCTTGTCCTTGGCCTTCCAGAACTTGTCTTCAAAGACAATGCAGTTGACAAGACAGCCTTGGAACACACATTCGACAAATATGGTTTTGGGAGTATCTTCAGTGATATCGAGGCCATTGCAGTTCTCCCGGAGTCGATCAAGTCGATTAGCCATGAAGTGCATAGCTGCAGGCCATCCCCAATCAGTTGGCATAGAGGTCTGGTGGCCAAACCATGGGCAACCATCACTCGCTTTGATGAGAGTTACGTTGAACTCATCCTCCAATTGTCGAGTCATGTTGATGACAGAATCTTGGAATGCAGACGGAGAATACGCATGAGTGGAAATGCGAGAGTATTCTCGAGAGACCATAGAGTAATAGCGCTTATCCCATGGTCCCGACTCTGGACGGAGTTTGCCAGAAATCCATTCCTGCTTGTCGAGCTCGATGCGTCGAGGATTGACATGTGGCTGGTTACGCAGTTGAACCTTCTGGTGCAATGCCTTGATAGTGATCCTCTGGAGTGTCTTGCAAATCTCTACCAACCAGACTTGAGCGTGGTGTATTGCTGCAACGTCTTCAGATGTGAGAAGTTCATCAAAGGTATGTTCAACAGCACGAACATAGTCTCTGACATGAACCAGGACAGCTGGCATCCACGTGTGCTTCGCCAGGTTCAGTGGCAATGTCGTGATAGCTAGGTTACCCCTAACATGTTTAACTCCGATGCCAAGATTCGACGATGTGTACGGCCAGGTAGCATCGATGCTTGGGACAGTGGGATCGAACTCTTGAAAAGATGTCTGGTGTTCGTGTGACATAGTGGAATCCACACCGCGGTACTCATCCGGAAACGAGAGAGATGGTCCTTTGAAACGACTCTGGATGTAGTCGACATTGTCTCTCATAGCAAGCTTGGCTTCCTCGCTGTTTTCATCGACCTTTTCCCTACGAAGCTCTGCACGGAAATTTCGACGTAACGCCGCAACCGCCATCTTGCTCGATACTCCTCCCCCAATCCCTGAGAATGCCGCGCGTAGCTCAGCATCTTTGCAGGGTGGACAAACACGAAACCCGGCAGTACCCATAGCAAGGTCTGCATTGGTGAATTCATCGCCACATCGGCCGCAGTGGTGAACACATGTGCCGGTATTCCCAGAACAGTTGCAGATGTTGCTAGAGGGTACACCATCCATAATCAACCTTCGTTGAATCTCGATTGCCTTGGCCATTGCAATCCAGGCTGCCCGAGGGTCCTTTGTGGTGCGAAGGGCGTTCATACAAGCATCGAGCACTGGGATAGCTCGAGCTTTGTCCAGGGAGGGAAGGTCTAGATGTGGAAACTTGCCTCCCCCCATATCGTTTCGAAGAGCCTTTGACGGCCAGAACACGGTGTGTCGGTGATGAGGATCCATGGCGACCTTGACGAACCCTTTGTTTCCCCACCACTGTCGTTTGGCACCCTTTCGCTTGGACCGAAATCCCATGGATGCAAGAAGAAATTTGGCATGAGACTTTGCGTATGCGGCAGTCGTGCAGGATCCGTGCATCTTGACAGCAACACAAAGTACCAACTCAAGTAGATCTCGAATCTCTTGAAGCCGGTCGGTGTAACTGTCAGGCACGTTGATGAGGGCCTGAATATCATGGTGGGCAACGCCGTTCTCATCTGTGAACACAGGCCACAACCCTTCCTCTGACTGAGTCAGAAGATGCAGTCCTCCTTTTGTCCGGCCTCTTAGACGTAGCACACTCGGAGGAGGGATTGCTATCCGATATCGAGGAAGCACTGTCGGCTTTTCCACAGGCAAGTTGACTGGCACAATGAGAGGTTTGACCTGGCCAGTATCAGAGTCCAGATACTTGTAACGTCCCTCAATCCTAATTTTGCCGTTCTGAAGCACGAGGCTCGGTGCTGACAGGATTATTGGAGCAGGGCGATCGTTCCACGGAGCTGATGATATGATCTCCTGCACGACGAATTGGAGCATACCAGGGAATGACTGCGCCGTGGCTCTACGAGAAGCGAACCATTGACTGGGTGGAGGACTCGGGAGTGTGATCAGGTCGAGTGCTCCTGGCCAACAGTTGACCACTTCGCAAAGAATGTCGGCAAGGCGTTGAATTGCTGAAGGATCTGCCCAGCAACCTGGAGGAGCGCGTAGCCAAGCCTGGCCGCCTATGTGGCCCATGAACCTGTCGTCTTCGCCTGCAACCTGGCTGGTTCCAGTGAAGGTGTAGTACAGAGAGCTGATGCTCTTCCTCTCGCCGATAACAGGCGTGTAGTGGTACGTTGGGGGCATGGCGAGTATCTCGTTGACATTTGCCCTGAGAGGTGCAACTGAGGCATCCACGTTGGTGATCTCCCGAGTCTTGAACTGCATGGCGCGAATCTTGTCGGTAAACCGCTTCAGTCGCTCACGATCATGCGCAGCGTAGATATCCACGGTTTGAGCTCCGTTTGAGTCGGCAGCGAGCGACTCAGCTCCGACTTGGAGATTCTCTTGTGTCTCAGGGAATACCGGCCGCTCCTGCGGTCGTGCTCTGGTACCTTTGTTGATTCTTGAACGTGCCGTAGAAGGGCGGAGTACTTGAGTAATATCGTCGACCTCCATGCTCTCAGAAGGTTGCGAATCCGATGATGATTCCGTATTGTCGGGGGCGAAGTCATCGTCTGGACCAAGACGCGATTTCTTCCGTGAAGAAGACATGATGGCTCTTGGCTATCCTCGAGAGGAGGCAGTGTCCCTAGATGTGTATTAGAATGAAGTGCGTGATGAAAGGGCATCGGGAGCTTGAGATTCATACGCGTTTGGCAATGGGTGTGTTGAGATCAAGATCAAGATCTGCTTGAGAAAGAAGATTGTGAGGCGCAAGAGGGTTTCTGCCTGGGTGATCGTGTTGACATTGACGCGTGGGCAGTAAAAGGATGTTGGTCATCGATATATCAGATTGAACTCAGATTTATCTCAGATTGGCCGTCAAGTTCGTTTGACCAACGGGCTGATTAAAGCTGTCTCCAAATTTAGTCCTTGGTCTGGAAAGTCACCCCTCCACACTTCACATGCTTTTTTGCTTCCAGCGACTCACTTGAGGTCAACCACCCTTTCCCCCACAAGACTTCTTAACTGCCACTAAGGTGGTTTTCAGGTGACTTAATAAAACCCAATTCTTCAATACTGGGTCGGTTCAACTGCTAAGTACTTCCTTTAGCAACTTGAATAATCAGACCCTCCACGATCCCATACCGACAGCATTCAGCATCACCTTCGCGATGGCAGCGTCACGATTGAACGGCATGGGTCAGGTTTACGATGCGTACTACCAGACTGCCTGGGCGCATGTAGACAACGACGAGTTTGACAAGGCCAACGAGCTCGCCAAGTGGCTTCTCATGCAACCAGACTTGGGACGGTATCATCAGGCAGGCTGCCACGCCTTGTTGGCTTTCAGCCCCGATTGCTACGTCGAACACGCCCGAAAGGCCCTCGAACTCTACGAATACATGCCCCCGACGGTCGTGCTCTTCAGCTCAAGGAGTCGTTGATCAAGGGTGCGAGAAGGACCCTGGAGAAAGCGGAGAGCGACGCCAAGAAGCATGCCCAACCGCTCACTGAGGAGGAATACGACCGGGCTATGGATGAGTACTTTCAGGTTTTCGAAGCGGCCGAGGCTGCCTGGGAGGAGTCTGGCAAGGAGAGCGACGAGAGGGCTGTCCCAGAGCCCGGTAAGGATGGCTCTGACACCGAGGATAAGTCCGAAGCCCAAGACGCTCAGGGTGGTCCCGCAGTGACGACCACTGACACACAGACTCCTCGGGACGCAACCATCGTCCGGTCGGTTGGCGTTGGCGCTACTAAACTCGACAATACCGCGCCTATGACACCATTCACCCCGGGCATGGAATAGATTTGAGAAATGGGCTAGTTGACAGAAGTCTTTGGACGTCGGGGTGTACTAGGCGGAAAGCTAAAAGGATCTGAGGCGGCTCGTCTTTGTGAATTCATTCAACTTCTTAACCAGCTCCTGGCCTGCAGACAGTGTGTATATTTGTACCCTCCCACGCGCAGAGTATCCTTTTCGGGGCCTTCTCCGAGGTTCCATGGCCTCCTGCTCGTCTTCAGCGTTGAAAGCCATTTGGCCCATGAATCCGCACCATAAATGGCCTCATCATTGATGGAGCGACGAACAAGGCGGTGACAGATAGCGAGCCGCTCAAAAGCTCGTTTCCAGGACAGGCTAAGAACCAAACCAGTCAACTAAAACACTTACTTCCCCCATTACTCACAATCGAAACAATCCTGTTCAGAGCAACACCTATTGGGCAGGAACCCTTGCGTTAGGATACTTGTACATTTATGGTCAGGTGAGATGATGCGGTTTTATTGAAGACCACCGTCATCCGCTATGAGCTTCATGCTTTATAGGATAAGAAATTTGTGTCCAATCAATTCGAATTGTCACCCTCCTTCAACGCCAGGACGCCTTCGCCATCATAGTTAATCCCAAGACATATGTACTCCGTACTTTTGTCCCACACTCTCCCACCTTGGTGAGAACCCCCACGCCATCCCTCACATGCCAAAGACTTCCCCGATGCCATCGCCTTCGTCTGGCGTGACCGCCATCTCCAATAGCTCGTGGGCCAGCTCCACCGTCTCGGCATCGATCCCGGCCTCGAGGACCAGGTCCTCCTCTGCAAAGTTGAGCCGCGCCAAGGTGAGAAGGTAGCGCTGGGACCCGCCGTGGAAAGCCGCCAGCTTGGCCGGCACGTTGGCGTGGTTCGCCGTCACTGGGTCGGTGGCCAGGGTATGCAGGAGCGCGACGGTGGACGAGATGATGGCGTGGAGCAAAGGAACAGGATCCTCGTCCCCCGCCATCTCCAGTCTCTGGGTTGTAGCTGGGTTGACTTTCGCCGCAGGGCTTGCTGCATCTTGCGTGGCATCCGGGTCATCGCCAGCCACGCCTTCCGTCGGATCTTTGCGTCGTGGTACATCTGCTGCTGCTGTGAGTCCTAGCCCGGAGATTTCAGACGGAATTTCCATGTCGTAGAGTGCATCCACCGCACCAGAGAGTGCAGTGACTAATCTAGGGATCGCTACATCGCTCTGTGCCAGCTGCCGCTTGCCAAATTGGCTGAAGGTGAAGCTGATGAGTGTTCTCAGCAGCTCTAAGCGAACCTCGTACGCTCTGTAACTGCGAGGCGGAGCCCATTTCGGAGGGTCAACGAGAAGCTGGCTTGTTTTGTCAATAATGGCGCTGGCGATCAGCGAGACGTCCTTGTCTGGCTCATCGCTAATAGGGCCAATAGAGTCGGGGAGGACCGAGGAGCGCAGCAGCGACAACATCCCCAGGAAGTCGTCTGGAGCTTGCTTGGGCGACAGGATCATAAGCACAAACGTAATCTGCATCAACCGCCAGAACTGGACTTGGGCAGACTCCCCCGATGGTGTCGTTTGGTCGGCGGTGTCCCCAGGAGGAGATAAGCAGCCCAGCGCCACCAGATAGAGCACGGAGAGGATCTCGGTCGTGGGAATCTCAGCATAGAGCTGCTGCACCGCCATGTTAGAATGGTTGGCGAGATCTCCACTGGCTGAATGAAACGCCGGCAACGCGAGGAGGGATATTGTCGTCTGGGCCACAGGCACCAGAGCGTACATGATGCGTGGTGCAATCAACATGGTATCGAGCTGCAGCACGTATAAGATCAAGGCCGAGATGTCGTAAATAGGTTCGTGGTATTTCTCCGACAGGCATTGTGACCATATTTCCAGCAACAGAAGACAAAAGTCTACCGGGAGCTGCGTCACCTCTGCCGCACTGCCCATGGCTGGAAGTCGGTGGAGAATGATCGAGGCAAAGGTTCGGTCGGGATCTGTGGGGAAGGAGTAACGGGCGAAGGCATCAAAGGTCATTGGTCGGTGAGCCTGTCCATGGTGGTCGAGGGCGAGCTTCAAGAACTGGTGAAGAGGATCAGCTTTGCGTAGGAGATAGCGTACTCGCTAAACTTACGTCGAAAGGTAAGGACTCGGGCTGCCGGGCGAGTCCGATTGAAGGCTCAGCCTTTGAAGGCGAGTCATCCAGCATCAGCACATCATCCGAGTGTGTCTCGAGAGCCATAACAGGACTGTCCACAGCCGGGCGCTTCCGCTTCCCTTTGGTGGGCGTCCGCTCAGTGACTGGTATGGCTACGGCGCCGATATCTTTGTTTCTTCGGCCCTGTCCCTTGCTCGGACTGGGAAGCAGCTCGACGTCGTCAAAGCCGTCCGCCACATCCCAGTTGGACCTCCCACCGGCACCCTTCCGCGGAGTGGTGGCTTCGCCGTCCTTCTTGCCCTTCTTCGACTTATTCAGCACTTCCTTGAGGTCCTGACGGGTGAACTCGAGATCGGTGGCGGCAGTTTTCTCGGCAGCGACGGCCATCTCGACCGCGCGCTCCTGTTTGGCGAGCTGCTCGGCATTGAGCTTCTTGAGACGCGCGATCTCGGTATCGTGAGACTTTTGTGCCGTTTCAAACTTTGAGCGCATCAAGGCCGCTTCGCCCTTTGCCGTGTAGAGGTCCGTCTCCAGGGCCCGCAGCCTGGCCTGCAATTCCCTGACATTGTCGTCTTGCTGATTCGGCAGGCCGACCTGAGAGGGTTGGGCTGTGTAGCGGGTGCTGGTTGGTGGAGGTGGGCGAGCGAACTGAGTCTGGGGAGGAGCCGGCCGGGCGAGGGGAGCAGGGCCGGACAGTCGCGGCGGGGGTTGGTATGGCCTCTGCGGCACTTGTGCCTGGGAAGGCGTTTGATAACGAGCATTGGACGACTCCGGCTGCGGGTTCCATCGCTGCTGGCTGGCGAGGTTCGGGACGGTCCGAGGCTGTTGTTGGGGTGGGAGCGGCTTCTCGACGTTGTGACGGACCGGTATCTGTGCAAGCTCATCTATGACGAGGGTATCGTCGAGGTCGTCGTCCTCGAGCACATAGTTGTACTCTGCGGAGTCGAGGGCGGGCTGCTGCTGGGTCGGCAGAGGGCGCTGCGCCTGGGTGAACTGGATGGCGTTGTTCTCGATCTCTTGCAAGGTGTTGAGGTCGAGATCGTCAAATCCATCGTCCGAGAAGTCGTCCATCTCGGCCCGCAAAACCTAGCAGCCTCCGTAGAGCATCCATCTACAACGGGCAGCGCGACAGAGCCGTGGCAGGTAGGAAGATGTTGGCAGGGGCTGACTGTTGACTTGACGTATTTTTGCGTGCTGGTTGCCCCGCCGAAGGAGCAATTAACGCGTCCACGTCTCAATCCAAAGCGATCGCGCGTCGGTCGGGGGACACACTGGTGCGGCGTTAGGCATTGGACAGGCAGGATTACAGGGAGTCGTGCCTGAAAACATGCACTAATAGCAGTGGCCTCCAGGCTCCAGCTGGTGGTACGGAGGGACGTCAGTACGGAGTACGGGATTGCCGACCACCACTACAGAACCCTAGTCCCAACGCCACATGAAGTCATTCTCCAATCGCATTCCGCTGGTTCCAAGCATTGCGAACCTGCAATTCTTATCGATTTTGGAGGCAGCCCGAAGGACAAGCCGGACGCAGCCCTTTGCTGCTCTGCGATCACAAATGAAAGATCTCCAAAACCTCTTCCCTCGATGCAAATGCAACTGCGAGGGGTGGTAATTGTCGGGGTCCAAGACAGTGGAGAACTGGGATGAGCCACTCAGCCACCGCTTGACGTAGCTCGTCCGTGCTCGTCCTAGCTTTCCGAGCTTTCCCAAGCTGAGGCAGCTCTGTGATTGGTGAAGAGCTGGGAATGCTGAAAAGCCAAGAAGCAGGGAAATTCAAAAAAATCGGCATGATGGAGGCCTTCCCCTCGCTCGCAGCCGTCATCATTTCTCGGGGTGTCTCTTTGTGATTGACTTTGCGTGGCGGTCCAACAAGCCTCTCATCTCCTTCCCTTCCTGCACTGCATAGGTGAAAGGCTCCTATTTTCTCGCAACTCCCCGGCAGTCTTCTCTTTTTCCCGTTCTGTCTACAAATACAACTTTAGTCTCGGCGCACGGCATCGCCACGTACCTATTATTTTGATTTCCGCAGCAGGGATTGTCTCTGCTTATCAATTATCTCACCTGCTCCATATCTGCCCGCCAAGCCTCGAGGGTGCTCCTCTCAGCGACAGCTAGCTCCGCCTGCCAAACCACCAAACCCGAAGAAGCCGCAGAAAACGTTTCCTCTCCAGAACCACACCCAAAAAACGTCGATAACTCGGAGACCTCGACCCTCATCCTCGACCTCTGACTCTCGCCGGATCCTCTCCGATATCCTGTCGCATCCGACTATCCCACGTCGTCCGCTCATTAGACTGTTCACTTTCCACACCTAGCCCACCATGTCGGGAAAGTCGCGACGGGGCGTCAAATTCCCCCACAGGACAAATGGCTTCGTTGAGGGCCGCCGCGCCAGCTTTGGCGAGGCCGAGGGCAGCAGCCCCGTCAGTCCGACCAGGTCCAGATCCAATCTGTCAGCTGTCGAGAACACTGTAGAGGTAAGCGAAATGCTCCGTCCTGCGATGCCGCGATGTCGCGATGCCGCGATGTCGCGATGCCGCGATGTCGCGATGCCGCCCCCGCCGCTCCCCATAGAGTGCTGTGTTTCGTCATCGCAATCTCAACCAGCTCTGCGCAATCTCGAAGCTGACGCTGACCGTGAACCCGCGCGCGCAGAAGCAAACGCCCGAGCAAGAACAGGCCGCCGAGTACGAGAAGAAGAAGCAAAACTTCATCACCAGGACCTTCTGGACGTTTGTCATGATCGGTGGCTTCTTCACTGCCCTCTTCATGGGCCACATCTACATCATCCTCGTCATCACCGCCATCCAGATCGTCTGCTTCAAGGAGGTCATCGCCATCGCCAGCGTCCCTAGCCGCGCCAGACAGCTGCGCTCCGCCAAGAGCCTGAACTGGTACTGGCTCGCGACCACCATGTACTTTTTATACGGAGAGACTGTCATCTACTACTTCAAGCATATCGTGCTGGTGGACAAAGTCCTCCTTCCCTTGGCTACCCACCATCGCTTCATTAGTTTTATTCTCTATGTTATCGGTATGTCGACGCGATCCCGACCCGAAGCGCCTCGTGACCCCAATCTTGCTAACCGTGGCCTCCAGGATTCGTTTTCTTCGTCGCTTCCCTCCAGGCCGGCAACTACAAGTTCCAGTTCACTCAGTTCGCCTGGACGCACATGGCCCTCTACCTGATCGTAGTCCAGTCCCACTTCATCATGAACAACGTGTTTGAGGGCATGATCTGGTTCTTCCTCCCCGCTTCGCTCGTCATCACAAACGATATCTTTGCGTACATCTGCGGTATAACCTTTGGCCGGACCCAGCTCATCAAACTGTCTCCCAAGAAGACGGTCGAAGGATTTGTCGGCGCGTGGGTCATGACCATCCTCTTTGGCTATATCCTGACCAATGCCCTCATGAAGAGCCAGTATTTCATCTGCCCTGTCACGGTAAAATTTCCCCTGTCCAAGTATGATATCTCCCAGCGCTGACCATGCCCTCCCCAGGATCTCGGCGCCAACATCTTCACTGGTCTGCAGTGCGAGCCGAACCCGGTCTTCCTGCCTCACACCTACGTGCTTCCCGAACTCCTGTTCCTTCCTCCTCAATACCAACACCTCAGCGTGACGATGGAGCCGATGCAGATCCACACTCTGATCTTCGCCAGTTTCGCGTCTTTGATCGCACCCTTTGGTGGTTTCTTTGCCTCCGGACTCAAGCGTACCTTCAAGATCAAGGACTTTGGACACTCGATCCCTGGCCACGGAGGCATGACGGATCGCATGGACTGCCAGTTCATCATGGGTTTCTTCACGTTCATGTACTACCATTCCTTCATCGCCGTCTATAAGGCCAACCTTGGCAGCATTATGGAGCTAGCCATTACCGGCTTGACAGCCGAGGAGCAGATTGAGCTGGTCCGTGGCATGGGCCGGTACCTTGGGAATCAAGGCATCCTCGGAGAGGATGTGCTGTCGTGTCTGGACGTAACATTGCCTGTCAAGAGGTAGAAAAGGGGCGGTTTTGATTTTCATTTCCTTCATGGCTACGAGCCTTTTTTTTTTTTTTGGGGCGGTCCCGGTTTCATTACCCGATCACAGTATCGGTCAAAAGTATGATGGCGGTTTCGGTCATTGCACGGCATGTCTGACCTTGGGGAGGGCTCAGGAAGCAATTTTGGAAAGACGGATTACGCGTGGGAGAGGCACATACGCTCCCGCTTAATGATATCACCTGCATGTCGCATATGGATTAGGACATTCTGCAGCATGGTCCTTGCAGCGAAAATGATGCAAACCAAAATTCAACTCGGTGTTCATCACACGTTACCAAGCGAGGTATAATCACCCCCGTCACCGCGTTTCCTTGCTTCGAAGATAGTCATCTTGAAAGGTCCCATTCCTAGCTGCAATCATCAAGATCAGGACAACAAGCTGACTTGTAATGATGAGGCCAGAAGTAATACCTACATTTTCACCATGCGCCATCTCGCGCTGAAAGAGATGCCGAGTGACCCCTGGCTTTCGCATTGCTTGGAAGTCTTCCGCCTTCCGGCTAGCCCATTCGCGCACCTTGGATGTCCACGGCTCGCGATACTCTTCAACGGCTCGCACGGTCAGTGGCCTCAGTCAGACTTCTCCAAGAGCTTGCTGCCCCTGACGCAAAGGACCAACCGCCCTGGCCCACGCAAGAATACACATCCTGGTCCCGGTCAAGAGGGTCTTGTTTGGCCTTCGCTTCGTTCAAGACACTCTGAAATGCTATCAAGGCGTACGTCCGTGACCATCCTTAACCCCTTCATCGTTCGCACTCGGATTCGGAACCGGGGGCCGTCTGATTTGATCGCAGGATCGGACCTACCGGAGCTGCAGTAAGCCTAGGACTATTGCTACATACAAGGTGCTTCCCAAGGGCTTCCATGCCGACCGAGCTTGCGGACTAGATGCTCCTGCACCCCTGCAGGTGCTCGGGGTGCATGCCGCTAGGATTGAGGTGCTGTGGTGGCTTTCATAAATGGCGAGGCACGGAAGCCAGATGCCAGTGGAAGTGGACCGCTTCCTCTGACGGCGAAACCAAACTCGCTGCCCCTGCCGTTCTCAGTCTAGGCCAAGACCAAGGTGTGCGAGACCACTTACTCTTCTCCAGCTGTTAGCAGAGCTGGCAGGGGAGGAGAGGCTGCCGCTAGGCCAAACACGCTGAGCTAGATGTGTTACTTCCGCCCCAGGCCTGAAGCCACACTGCGGAGCGGGACACTGGTCGTAGGCAAAGATAGTGCTAGCTAACTATCGGCTGTTCTTAACATGGGTATCAAGCAGTGGGATCATAAAGAATAGGGAGCTGGTGAAGGTGAGGAATGAGTGCGATGACAAGAGAGTCGGTCCTTTGATAGCTTGTGGGGCCTTGATGAACAATAACTCCAACAATCAGAACTCAACTTCTCCAAACTCATGTCAGCTTGTCAAAGCCACTGGAAACTTCCTGTTCTACATCCTTTGAGCAACTAGCATAAAGGCGGCTACAATCAATCTGATTTCATACTTCTATAAATTTATCTGATTCAGTGCTAACTTGCTGAATGACTAGTATTTACTTTTCCATCCAATGCAACCAAGAGCCTGGTCTTAATCAAGATTTAGACAATAATCAGAAATTCCTGAACACTCCTTAGGATCCATTGTCTTCTTCTTTCTTTGAAAGACAGTCCCTTATATAAAGTCCTGATTTCTGGCAAAATAAAAGACAACCTTTCCGACTTTCTACTCACGCCACTCCAAAGACTACTTGGCTTGCACCAGATAGCACAGAATTCTGAAGCACTAAGTTCAAGACTTCATCTCGTTCATCGCCAAGCACAGCTTCAGCAAGCCTCCCCTGCCGAAATGAACACTTCAGCACATCTCTCGTTGTTTCGGATGCCCCTTCACGTGATGGACAAGCTCAAGGATGGGTTGGATAATGTGACGCTCATGGAGCTTCACTCCAACACCTCGGAGGACGGCGCAGGCCTCTTGTTCAACTTCAATGGCCTCAACATCTATGTCTCCGTCTTCCCACCAGATGGGAACTCCGAATCACTGTCAGAACACCAGCCTCGCAAGTCAATCCAAACACACCTGATTCAGCTTGTTGGTCTAGCTTGCACATTTGAGCTGATAGAGGATTGTGAAGAGTCATGGGAAGTGATGAGCATCATCACCGATGCTGGTCGCAAGGCTTTCAGGTCGGCCGCCTGCGCAGCTCTACCATGGCACACTCTCCGGACGGCACATGATCTCATGGTCCCTCCTCAGATATCATATCGGCTTGTCGGAGACGAGAATAATTGCCCTGTCCTCGTGCTAGTCAACAACGAGCAGGAATACGCTACGCCGAGAGCACTTCAACCCAACTATTGGGCAAATCGGCTCATCCCTGCGGAACCCGACCTGCCCCAATACTCGTCCAAAGACTTGCTTGTCATGGAAAAGTTGGGCTCACCTCTCCCCAACTTTGTTGAAGCGCTAGTCCGGACCCACGCTGGACCAGAGGAGATGTTTTGCAGGCTACTCCGCCATCCTGAGGACGACCCTACCATCTCACCCCTCGAGCGAGACATCACGGTCTTGAACGCAGTACACCGGGTCCGCAACATGGCCCCAGCGATACCGATCCGCATCCCCCGCCTCCTGGGCTACGTTACGGACCCCGCTACGGGCCACATCATCGGATACGTCCGAGAGAACATCCGCGGCCGCAGCCTGTACAATGCCGCCCACACCGCCCCGAGCTGGCATCCTCGCCAACTCCAGCGGTGGCTCGCGGCCAGGGTCGCCCGGAGGAGCAAGTGGATGCGGCAGGTCCGCGAGACAGTCAGGCAGCTGCACGCGATGGGCCTGACCTGGGGGGATGCATTGGTAGGCTCTGTCCATATTGACAAAGAGACGGACGATGCGTGGCTGGTGCGATTCTACGTGCCAACGTGGAGATCGGAGGAGAGGGTCTACACGGTGGAGGAGGACGAGGCGAGGCTCCGGCAGCTGGAGGAGGCGTACTTCAACTTTCCAGCGGCATAGGAGACCGGGGATCGGCGCAGCCTTTGGCGAGACATAGCGAAAGATGAATGGAAACATGCACGAGCAACCCCACGGGATAGCAAGCATCAATTTTCATATGTTCAGCAATTGACAGACATAAAGTATATGGAAGCCCAGGGTTGACCATGGAGTGAAGTCATGATTGAGAACCACGGCGCTTAAAATGGGGAGATTCAACCGTCCGCGGGATCTGCGTCCAGAATTAACAGCAATAGGTACCGTAGTCACCGGCAGTTGGGCAAGTCCCGGGCCTTCCAACCATGCACGTAGATGCAAGTTATTGAGCGGAGCGTCAACCTTGATGCCAACTGTGCCTCGAGAGCCAATGAAAGCAAAAGTGGCCAGAGGGATCGAGATCACATGCAAAGCATGAGTACTAGGTACCTACATTACGCTCTTGATGCACGATCCACGACGGGAGGATCAGGAAGAATTCAGGGAATGGTGTGGCAAGTGATGGTCAGATTGATGGACGGACTGCTAACAGAAGTACTCGCGTAGCCATCAAGCCCATCGGTTTTAGGTAATGGGATAGCCCTTCCGAGTTACATGCCAAGGACATGACAAGGAGATCAACAGTTAACGATGAGGTAGCTCCTGATGAACTTCCGTCAACTATTCTGACGCCCGCTTGTGTGGTCAGTGCCACTGGTCACTGACAGACCGGCGCGACTGGCCAGCGAGCGCTTGGTTGGAAGGGGGGGCAGGGATGCCCCTGTAGATAGTGGTCCAGGGGCTAAAGTGGGGGCTTCTGCTCGTCTGAAGCACCCCGGTCGGGCCCCTGGATGAGCCTCAAAACAGCGGTGCGAAACCCGCTGCAATGGCCTCTTTAGGGTTAGCCTCAGCACTCCAGGGCTGGCTTCAGGTTCGAGCTGTTGTTTCAGGATTCCCACAGCAAATAACTACAGCCCACCTGAACAATGCCTTGTGTGTGTGTGTCCTCTGCATTCCCAACAAAGCTCAAGGTGAGGAAAGAAGTGAAGAAAGCTGAAAAGCGCCACTGCGGTGCTACAATGCCGAAAGACCTCGACGGCGGCTACGGTTGGCTGAGGGAAATTGCTGCGGTTTGGCAGAGTCTGGCATTTGGCCGAGATGACTGGCGCCGAGTCGCCCAGACGAGACCCGGAGGCGGGATGTGGCGAGGCCAATCAGGAGCCTTTCGCTGCTGCTTCCACGGCTGTGGTGCCGTTCAAACTGGATGCACAGGGGCTCCGCTCGTCTTCTCCGACGCTGCCATGTCGCATCTGCAGGCGATCCGACAATGCCATGCTCCCTCCCAGACGCATCTCGAACCAGCTTACCCGCCCGCCCGCAGACAGTGTCACTGTGGCCGCATTCCCGCCGCCCGCACTGTCTCTCTCGACCAACGCAACGTGGCTCGACACAGTGCTCCTCGTAGTTAGTTACGTCTTGCAGACACCCCATCTGGGCGCCATGTCCCGGTCGCATCAGAGATGCACCCATGCACTGGTACCCATGCCCAGAAACCTAATTCAAGGAGCCTTCATTCTCCTTCCTTGCATCCTCGGCGGCCATCAACATCCACCTTTCGCGACCGCCACGAGGGGTCAACTACCTAGTTACTCCGTACGGAGTCACACATGCTCTGCTGCCCAAAGAGCTGTCCTGTCAAGGTCTGGACTTGGTCTGGGTAGGCAGCTTGGCAACTATCCCCTTGCTGCATGAAATCTGAATCTGCCCCTTCTGTTCCCCCCGGCCAGGGAACACCATGACGCTTGTGATGCATTCGTCTAACCTTGGCCCACTGCCCTGATGAGCCCTGGAGCTCCTGGGCCTCCTCGACTGCCCTGCCACCCAAGCCCTCGCCGCCTTTTCCCAATCTGGGGCCTGTCACCGTCTTCTTGCACTGACAGTCCCAGATCTCCTGCGCCAGGGATCCACTCATCGGCCCATTCTCAAGATCCTCGAGGGGAAAACATGGCGGTTTTGCCTGCTTGACAAGACCACCGTTGCATGACCGTCTCTCCATTTCAAACCTCCTCGTCACCCTCGCGGCTCTTACCGCCTGCCCTACCACTGGTCTGTCGCTGCTCTCCTCTCGTATGTCTCTTCGGCGTTTCAATGCCCTTCTAATCAGCTTGTGTGTGTGCGCGTCGCCGGACGTGTCTGTCGTGCTTCTCCCCCACTTTGCATCTTCACTTCTCTCCTAATCCTTCCCTTTTGATACCCCCTTCCGCCAAGTGTGCATGTTCGTGAGAAACCAAACACGTACACACGCATTCCTTCCCTTCGCTGGGCAGGTCCCTCATCTTTTGCTTCGACCCTCGGATCGCTTTTCATCCTAATACCTCTTTTTGGCCTCTCTCCAATCGCTCGTTCTACGGAGGAAGACAATCTGAGGAGGCACCTCGCTGCCGACTTGTTCTCAACTTGGTGCGCCATACCGCCGGACGGGAAAAATATCTACCTAATACGACCGCCTTTACCAATTTCCACGGCCACACGATAATCTAGACGATAAGGAGGAACAAGGAAGACGGATTTGACGAGATGTTCTGGCAATCAGTCATCACGACGGGCCTTCTGGCTGCCGCCGGGGCGCATGCCGGCAGGCAACTCGACGGCATTGCCGATGCAATGCTGACACCGCGGAATCAAGGCATGCTGGAGGGCCGGATGGAGTTTTTCGCATCGCCAGAGGGAAGCGCGCCGCACCCGGACCACCCCATCGTCATCGCGAAGCGCCAGTCACCAGACATCATCCTCAACAGCGACGGGTCCCTCAACATGACCGCCTGGGAGAACCTCGCCAACGCCGCCTGCAACGAGGCCCTCCTCAAGCTGCCCGAGTCGACCAACCCCTCCGGCACCTGCATCTGCTACAACCTGCCCGCCCTCAACAACGTCACGGGTGCCTTCGAGGCCGACCTCAGGCTGTATCAGCTCTCGACGCCCTCGGGCGCCTTTGCCGGGATTCCGCCGCAGAACATCCAGGTCGGCCTGACCTACAGGGGCGCGGCGGTGTCGCCCGTGACGCCGCAGACGGCGCAGAAGGCCGTGGCCATGAGGCAGGCTGCACCATCGGCAGCCGCAGGAGGAGCCGGCAGCCAGCCCTTCGGCAACCAGCTCATGCTGCTGCAGACCTACCTTTTCGTGGGCCAGATCGACCAGACCAAGATGAAGCCGGGCCTCTCTATGTGAGTTTTTTTTTTATTTTTTTTTTTTTTACAAAACAGAATTCGGCGCGCTGCCCCTCCAGCAAAGGACTAACCACCCGAGCAGGGCCGAACTCGAAGCTCTGGTCATGCCCGTCGTCACCCTCTCTGGCGTCAACGCCGCCGGCCAGAGGGTGTCCACCAACGTCTCCTCCAACGAGGCCGCCTTTGTCGCCGGCGTCTTCAGCCAAGAGGTCATCATGTCCGACTTTGCCCTCGCCAACGCCGCCGTCGACAAGATCCTCACCCAGATGACCAACCAGCAGGTCGCCTTCGTGCTGCCCGGCGTCAACATCCTGATCTTCCCCACGGGCCTCGTCATCTGCGGCGCCTGGCTTGTCCTGTTTATGGCCGCCGTCGGCTACGGCACCTACATGCGCATGAACTTTAGGGAGCAGTACAGGCGGCGGGCGGCCCGGGCTGGAGTGTCCAAGGCTATGAGGATATAGTTGCGGTGGTCAGGGAGGAGAGGAAGGTATGGGATAGAAGAACGCGTGAGGATATAGATGGCATCGAAGCAGCAAGCTCTTTCTTTTCTCTCTCTTGGGGGTTTGCTGGGGTTTACAGTTTGCACGAGCGTTCATTGTATACACACACCCATAGTCTACCTACGTCTACCGCTTGGTTCGGCCGACGGAGAAGTGGTTTGGAAGCCTTTTACGGGCAAGCCAATATCAAATTCTGTAAAAACCCTTGGTTTTCTTTTCGCTGTATGCATTTCTTCTACGAAGGTTGGGCCACAACGGCACCCATTTCCTCGTGTTGACTTACAGTTACCTCTTGAAGGAGCTGAATTACTGGCGCAAACTTGCAACCCCTTAATTACCTGTGGAAGCTCAAGAAGAACGGGCTCGTCCCTAAAGCGACCACTCTTGCTGCAGAGAATCTGAAACTCCGCCTGAAGTCGAAGGTATGGAGCATTATGCGTTGTGATCGACATCTTAATGCATGAACATGCCGACATCAGACCCGACCCAGCCAAGACGCGAGGGTCCGACAAAGCTGAGCCTCTGGCGGCAACATGTTCAAACGCCCGTTTGCCAGGTTCTTGTGACAAAGCTGGGTGTTTCCTCTCTGTAAGGCCGATTCAATACTCAGTTCCTCTGCTTTCTTTCTCGTTCAGCCAGACTTCTTTGCTAATTGTTTCATCTGCATCTCCAGTTAGAGCCAGTCGCGGAAGAGAGCACGACAAGCCCAAGCTAGAGCGGTGGTGATTTCCGGGAAATAAATCGAACCTTCTACTTGCCATACAATTATTGCTTGATTGTGCTTCTCGTCCTCTTTCAGAATGGCTTCGGTTCCGGATCTTGTGTCGCAGATGCACGACACCCTCACGACTATCCATTCAACTCTTGCATCGCTATCAACCACTTCACACGCAGAGCGCCTCGACGCCCTTGAGCACCAACGCGAACAGGCTCTATCATCTCTATCATCTACTTTCGAGGCCGAGAATGACGATCTCGCCCACAAGCGTCGGGCTACCCGGCAGGAGATTGCGGAGCGTAGGAGGAGAGAAGACGAAGAGAGAGAGGCAGCTCGGAGGCGGGAAGATGCCGAGCTAGAGAATCAAGAACTCGGCGAGGATACCGAGAGACGAAAGAAGTTTGACAACGAGAGAACGGGCCTGGAAGAAGAAGTGGAGAAGGAGATGGAAGGTGTAGAGAGAGAGGCTGGAGCCATGTTGGAAGAAGGAAGACGTACCTTGGAGGCTCTTGAGGAGAAGCGCAGAGTATGCCGCCACTTGATGACCCGCGTTTCCTGTGCTGGACTGGACTGACACTTTACCAGGAGCTCAATCGCTTGATTGATGAACAGCTCAAGATGCCGCTGCCTGCTGCCCCGACAAGACGAAGGGGCCGGAGCAGCCTCGACCAGACGCCCTTGAACCAAGCAGTGGCCGCCAACAGTAAGCCGCCCGAGTCTATAGCAGACATAACTGACCGGAACGTCAGTAGTAACACTCCATTGAAGGCTCGTGAGGCAGACACAGGATCTGCAACGGCATCGGAACCCGTCAGAGACGTCGATATTGGCGGCATTCGGGCCTTGGACAAGCCCGAGACCGAGACCGAGGTGACTCAAGGGCATGACGATTCCGCAGGGGATCCGCCATCATCCCCAAAGTCAAGACCTAGCTCGCTTCTTGGAAAGATGGGCAACGCAGTCTTGTCACTTGTTGGATCCAGCGATAACGACGAGGAAAAGAGACGGTCAGGCAGCCCCGAGGGGTATCGTCCTGAGTGGTCTGCACCAGGTGGCTACCCTCTATCGGATGTCCAATCACCGCTGGAAAACACTCAGGTCAACAGTCCGGTTGCTGAAACCGATCATGGTCAACATGTCCCAGACCCTGAGCCTGATCTCGTCTCCATGGCCAAACAAGTACCCCTCCCGGAGGACCGCGATGCCCAGTCGGCAGACGACATTCAGCAGGATACTGTTACTCCAGCCGGCGACCCACATCTAGACGTCGTTGATCGCAATCACAACTTGGAGATGCTAGACGCAGGTTCTGCTCCAGAAGAGATGGACACATCTGCCGTTGGGAAGTTACATCAAGATCAAGATGTTGTGCCAGAAGCGCAACTCGATCTCTCCGGCAAGGAGCCCATAAAAGGAACTATGACGCATGGAATGGATGAGCCAGAACGCCTGGTACTGCTGAGAAGCGAGAGCGACATCCGTGCACGAGAATCGGACACGGATGGACAACAGATGGATGCGGATGCAACTGTGCAAGCCGAGACAGAACATGTCATTGAGGAGACACCAGATTCCGAGGTCGGCCAGGGTTCTCACCAGGAGGGCGTCGTCGGCTCCAGCGAAGAACCTGGCTCTGCTCTGTTATCCGCAGACAAGCTCGAAGTGGCCGAGCAAATTGCCTCACACACAGACCATCCCTTTCGAGAGGACGACGATGGGGGAGCAGTTCCATCATCAGAGGTGGTCCACGAGGACATCGTGGATCAGTCCAGCGACACCAGCACCGCCGTCGATGAGCACGGCCCAAACGACAATGCCTACCAAGAATCAGTTGAGCATGGTAGCGAAGGAGCAGCGGACGAGAAGCTTTATCACAGCGACGCATCCAGTCCGGTCCGAACTCCCAGGTCGGCAGTGGGCCATCACGAATTGGATGGCACGACCGTGGAAGAAGTGATTGACGCCGACAGAGCGCTGAGCCCAGTGCCAGGCCAGTCCAAGCTGGGCCACATGGAGCAGGAAAAGAAAAATTTTGCCCTGCCTGAGCCAGCCTCGATACATGTGAATGGTGAAACTGGGGTGGACTATTGGGACGAAAAAGCCACGGCACCTCAGATTGAGTATGTCCCCGGGGGCGGTGCCACCTCTGAGAACGATCCTGAACATTCGCAGGATTCGACAACTGCCCACGAGCCTCGAGCTTGTGGTGACGTACCCGTATACGAAGATCGCGGCGCGATAGATGAAAGTGCCGATGGCCCGACGTCACTCGTTGAACAGCTGCCAGTTAGCGATAGGTCTTCTGCATCTGAAATGTTGGAAGAAACTGGTACAAACCAGTCACGCCTCATCTCTGACGAGACAGAGACCGAGTCTTCCACCCCCATGGCATCCAGTAGCCTGACGGAGAAGGAGTCAGACATGTTTGTCACTCCACTGGAGTCCGCTGTAACAGAGTTCCCCTCCAACCCAGATCTGGCGACAGTCGAGTTGGACCAACATCGAGTGGATCTGGCCAACAAGCCTCTGAAGCGTTCCGGGGCAGATCAGGGAGAACTGCAGCATCCCAGTACCGATATTGGCGACGGTTCCAATGGGATTGAGAGTGAAAGTGCTGCTACTGTTCAAGGGCAAGAACATCTCTTCGATTTAGATGACGAAGAGGAAGATGATCAGGGGTCAGACGTGGAGTATGGGGACAGAGCGAGTGACTCGGAAACCGTTGAAACGTTGCCTCGTGAAAGAGAAAGTGATCGTCATCTCGACAATGGCCATCATACATCAGCAACGAGTTTGGAGGGCATCCCCGACAACAGCTCTGCTGAGGAGAAGACGAAGCCCTTTCTCGGCGGTGCAAAAGAGGAAACTGCAGCAAAGGCAGCAATTGACAGCAGCCAAACTTTTTGTGCGCCCCTTCAGTTTCAAGAGATGTCCCTGCCTCATGACGAACGAAGGGAAACGGACAAGAGATTCGTGGTCGACAAGAGCAGTCCGGAGGACAACGCGACAGGAACATCTCAAGGGAACGACGAGCGTGTGAACACCGGGCTCCAGCCTTCGCCGCTGAGCCGAGATGAGATGAAGTCGCCTGTCAAGGGCCTAGCCGACAGCCGCCATGCTCCGGCGAGGCCAGCTCCTCCTCTCACGCCGCCGAGGCAAACACCAAAGCGGGAGAGGCAAGACTCAGACGCCAGTCTGTTTACTCCTCGTGATGTGACAAATATTCCGTGGCACTCGCGGAACGAGATGACCCCGGTGTCGCTGCATGACCGCACCCTGTCGTCAGCTTCCACGTCTGAGCCCCTGTACGATCCGCCGCTCGGCGGCAATTATGATTCGGACATCCGGGAGACTGGAGACAGTGCTTCTGTCGCTCATGGCAGGAACAGCCAAGGAAGGACCGCGATGTTGGCAAAGTGGCAAGAGCGAGAGTCCTCCCCAGCGATCACGCCACCGCCTCAGCCGGCAAGCAACCGCAGCTCGGTTGCCTCGGCAGCATCGTCGAACCTCTTCCAAAAGATGCGCAACATCTTTGAGCAGCCGCAGGGGAGCAGCACGCCCGTTGGTTCGAGGCACAATTCTGTAGGCGACGGCGGGAGTCCCACACTAACGAGGCCGGCGTCGGGTACCTGGCTTCGACGACAGGAGGCCACCGCTGCCTCGGAAAAGCAAAGATTGCTCGGCGAGGACGAGGATGAACAGCACCAGCGGCGGGTAGACGAAAGGAGCGCCCTGCTGAGCTCGTACTGACCACGCTCGGCCCACCGCGCAGAGGAAAAACGTACAACGGGACCCGTGCTGCACCGCCTGAGTGCGACAGTGGACGTCGACGATCTGCCGGACACAGATGACGAGACCAGCCGCGCGCCGTGGGGCGGTAGCGCGGGAGCTGAGGTCCGGGGTATCACGCGGAGTCATGGTGGCGCTCAGGGGGAGTGGCGGCTGGCTTGGCTGTGGGTCGAGGGCTGGAGGGAGAGGCTGCGTAAGAGCGGCGACATCGTGGAGAAATCTCGGTGGGAGTGGCGCCTCGAGGAAACCGTCGGCAGATCGGTCGAGATTGCTAACGTCCCAATCCAGTCGAAACCGAGGGTGCCGGCGCTCAGGATGGCTGGCAGGCGTTTGGGTGACGTGCAGCGCAAGTCGGTGCATTTCATATAAGGCATATATTAGCGATCAACGGTCAAACGCAAGTTTCATTTTCATTTTGAGATACTTGAGATCATAAACACGCAAGGAGGTCAGTCATCATGAGTCATAGTGTCTGTTGCGATTGACGACTTTGCCCTGGATGTAATTAGACCTCGACACTTCGACACTGAATGTTTGTACGGAGTATTCAGAGATCCCATCTACCATGCTGGGAGGAAAAGCCTGCTATAGTGAATCATGCAGACTCTGATCTCGGCACCACAGGGAGAACTTCAACCCTACCCCGGTATGGAGAGGATGTGTTTCTTGCATGGCAGTGGAGAAGGCTGAGCCAGATACGGCATCGTCCCTCATGACTATTTGATTGGCGGGACCCTCATCTCGAGGCACGCTTGGAGGGAATACCAGACCCATGGAGCTGGGTTCGGATGGCATGGTCCGCAATCAAATGCACTTTTCGATTTTCAAACCAAGTGACGGAGATCGAAGCGAATGTTCCTTTTCCTTGCTGTGCCGCATGCAGATCTCCGCTGTCGTTCTGGGCGATTGCTTGTTTCTCACACTGTGAACCTGCCGCGCATACTTCTAATTCGGTACTTCAACCTAATTGAATCTGTCACAGAAGCCCACGGGACGCCCCAAGTTAAACTGGAATAAAGTTAAAGTTGTGCATGATCTAGCCGTCGAGCCATCGGGAGGGGAACAATTGTGGCTCGGTTAGCAACACGACTGATTTGATGAGTGGTCAGACACAACTGCCGAATTCATGCCAGCAAGCCACTGCCCCAGAATGGTTGCCTCGATGAGTCGGGGTTGGGGCCAGGTTGGGGTAAACCTGAGTAGCCATGAGTTGGGGTAAGTTGCCAAGAAACACGCTGGTTGGTCGATGCCTGGCATGCTAGGACACGCAAAGGGACATAAGTGTCAAGGCCAACTCCAAATCTCTCGTTTACCACAGGACACTTATCCAGTATTTCTCCGCACACCAGAGCCTGATAGGCCTGTCGCGGAGAGCCAAGACAATACCTTGTGGGTCATCCACTTCTAGACCTGTCCGAACACATCTCCACGCCTAACAGTCCACCACGAGGAACCGGCATCGACAAAGTGGGCGCCAGCAGAGATTTCTTTCTCGTGATTCTTCCTTAAGAACTCGCCAGACTCCTGTCGCGTCGGGCCAGGAAAGTCTGCGATCATCGACTGCCTCTCGTATCCACAGATAGCCCTGCTCTTTGCGACAACACTTTTCGCCTCACTTCAAGCAATTCTCCTCTATTTCCCTCTTCGCAACACTTCTGTGGAGAAGGGACGGGAGATGGCCAAGACTGATAACGAGTGGCTCAGCAAGCCCTTCCTGACCTCCCTCTTTCTAGGTCTAGGGGGCTTCCTTTATGGCTTGTAAGTCAGATCATTGCACCAGGAGCTTGGGCTTTTCGTAACCTTGTGGTTGGGGACTGTGGCTGACTGGTGTTTCCACAGCGACTCCGGTATCATCACCCCGAGTTTGGCTCTCAAGACCTTCCGAAACTATTTTGGCAACCCTGCACCTCCTCTCACAGGTGCCATTGTGTCGCTCTTCCAAGCCGGAGCATGGCTCGGCAGCGCTTCAGTGGGCATTACTTCAGATAAGCTGGGCCGTCGCAAGGCCATTGCCTTTGGCTGCGCGTTCGGTATCATTGGTGCCGCTTTGATGGCTGGCGCCACTCATGTTGCTATGCTCATGGTTGGTCGTCTGCTCATCGGTTTTGCTGTTGGAACGGTCACGGGCGTGGCACCGGTTATGGGTGCTGAGATTGCCAAAACTTCAGAACGTGCCAGAGTTACTGCCGTGACACAAATGATGGTGGCATGGGGCTTCTTCGTGGCGCTATGGACTGGAGTCGGCGAGGGGAAGTGGCAGAATAGCCAGCAGTGGCGACTCGGCTTCGCCATTCAGGGCATTCCGGCCGTCATTCTCTGCATCGGAGTCTTCTTTATTCCAGAGTCCCCTCGTTGGCTGCTCCTCAAGGGCCGCACCGACGATGCTAACAGGGCCTTCCGGGCCTACCACGAGTCCAGCTATCAGGACGAGGAGCGCCTCATGTCTGAGTTCACCATCATCCAGGTCAACATTGCCGAAGAGCTGTCGGCTCAGCACCGCCTCAGCTGGGCCGACCTTTTCAAGACGCCGGCCTTCCGTTACCGCCTGTTCGTCGGTTGCTTCGTCTGGGCGGCCGCCATGTTGGCCGGTATTACCTTTGTGCAGTACTTCCAGACCTCCATCTACGCCACCCTCAACTACACTGAAGACAGGCAGCTGCTCATCAGTGGTCTGTACGGCTGCGTGGCTCCCATCGCTTGTATCATCTCCTTGTTCTTCATCGACAGGGTCGGCCGCAAGAAGATCCTGGTTTCCAGCTCTGCTACTCTTTCTCTTGCCTACATGATCATCACCATCATCGCGGCCAAGTTCCCCGCCATTCCCGGCAAGCCGACCAACGAGGCAGCCCAGCGCGGCCTCATTGCGTGTATTTTCTTTGTTTCCGCCAACTACTCTGCCCTTCTGGGACCTCAGACGTGGGTGGTTCCACCCGAGTAAGCTCAATCTATTCACTATCTATGCCCGGAATAAGGTCTAATATCTCAATAGGGTGTTCACGACCGAGCTCAGGGCCAAAGCGAACTCTATAGTGCAAGTCATTCACTACTCGATCAGCTTGATCATTGCTCAATGCTCACCCATTGCTCTCAAGGCTGTTGGATATAAGTACTACGTAAGTTTGGAACCAGTGGATGACCTGGACCGGACTGTAGCTGATCTTTTTTGACTTACAGATCCTGTTCATTCTCACTAACGCCCTCTGCGCCCTCGTGTTCTTTTTTGCGTACCCCGAGACAAAAGGCAAATCTCTCGAAGAGATCGATGAGATATTTGGCGACGTCAAGATTGTGCACGAAGAGGAGATTGGCGGCTTGGGTGAGAAGCACCTGGTCCAAGAGACTGTGAGCAACACGGAGGCTCGTGCCACCCATTAAGCGCTGGGCAGCACCCTTGGGCGCGGAAGACTTGCAGATCCGTCAAGTAACTATCGCCCAAGGCGGGATAAATCGGATTCTATCTGCTGTCATTGGAGTGTCTGACTCTCAAGGGGCCGAGGACATTCAGGGGGCTCGGCCGCCCGGGTGGATCGCCCGGACGGTCGTCGGGGTGGGTCTAGAGGGCGGTGTGGTGGGGCATAAACCTCTCCGCTTACTAATCTTGTCCTGGGGTTGTAGGTACGGTAGTGCTACTAGTCCGCTAATTCAACTATTACATGGCAAATCGTGTTCTCCCTGCTTTATGAACTTATGCCCAGAGTCTCATCCTTACATATCAGTTTGGGTCACTTGCGGGGTTTGGTAGGTCATCTAAGGGACGAAGCTGCCGCACGTCGTCCACCTGGGTATCAAGTGATAATTATGTGGAGTCAACGGCGACCTACTACCTCGTTGCATGATATGTCTTGGTTGGGATGCGGAAGGAGAGACAATGGGATCGACACCTGCATTGCGTTGACAAAGTTCTTAGCTCGAGCTCTAACACTACAAGCCTTCGTAAGCCTCAAGTGCTTGCATTGCGTGCCTGGCCCAATTGTATCCTGTACATTGGATCAGAGATGGAATGTTACATGTGGCACAAATGACCCAGAATGCCATTTTAATCAATTTTCAGGTCTGGATTGAGCGATCCTGGAACTGTTGCTTTGCTGGTCCGCCTCTCCCATGTCTTTCAAAATAGCCGGCCATTTTAGGCGTTCCTGAATCCAGGTTTACACAAGGGTAGTGCATCAAGGCTTCGTATTCATTTGATTCGGTGATTTCACGACTGAAATATAAATATGGAGAGGCATTGAAGGCATGACTGGAGATTAATGGCTGAGTCTGTGTGACGCCAGCTACTTGATCCTTCCACCCGCCCAACATATCGTAACGATGGCATTTGCTTCGCAGCTCTTTGCCACTCTGACTGCTCTGTTAGCAGTGACCCGTTCAGCCACAGCGGCTGACCTGAAGCCCTGGCAGGTTACGCGTCTGTCCACTCATTCGTAAGTTCTTAGTCGTGACTAGTGTCCTCAATACCGTAGCACATGGCTTGACTACTTCCCGCCAGACCTTCTGGCCGCCCCGGCAACCCACCGTTCTGTTATTTGCGTCTAAACATCACCGATCCAAACGAGTTCAACCTTGGCAAAACGCACTATGGTGACGCAATCATCGACCCGTCAAGCACGCAATGCAATTTACAGTGGGACTGTTTACAGGACACCATATGGGGACAAGTCACTCCCTGCAGCCCGACACAAGCTGGCCTCTGGACATTTGAGGTCCTCGTGCCCGCCGGCAACTCCTCGCGGCCAAGCGCTACAGCGGACTTTGATCTACGCTTTACGCTTATTAACAAGATGATCATGAACGACGACGTCACGATCACTCAGAAGTACGTGGGACAGCAGCATTTTGCCGTAGGCAAGAACATGAATGGGGCGTGTGGAGGTAGCAGTGTCTGCAACTGGGGTTTGATCGAGAACACCACAGTCGATGTCACTCAGAAGCTTGTCGAGTAGGCTTCTGAAGGTGCCGGGGACCGTCACGATAGAAGCGTGGCCTGAAAAGTGCCAGTCCACATATCAAGGAGAAGCGAGACACTTGACACCAGACTTGACTTATTTGATTTTCTCACGGGGCCCAATACCGCAGAGGCCGAGGACGCCATGCCGGAATTTTCGGAGAGACAGTTAAGCGAATGAGGAGGATTGCATTCACGTCGAAGAAGGATGCAGCTGTAATTTACGTCAGTAGTTTGAAATAAGCGTAAAATGATGCCTAAATGAAATGACCGACCGGGTTGAAGGCTCGGAGGCGGCATAAGTGCAAAGTTCTATCTCGTCCCGCTCTCACACGTCCCGGATTTCCAGCGTCCATGCAGTCGCCAAAACCGGCGGACATCCCCAACGTAAAGGGAATCCAGGAGCGGCGAATAGAACGGCAGCCGATTATGACCAATTTTCAGCGATTCCATTGGCTGCCTCAATGTGGATGATATGTTGATGCCATGGCGACTTCCGGGCCGTTGTATGTCATTCCAGCTGAAAGTGTAAGCGATCATGACTACACCTATATATTGTGTCGAGCCTCGGATCCTGGTTTTTCTTTTACGGCTAATTTGCATGATCTCTCGCTGAATCAGAGCAATTGCTTCATTCACTGCTGGTTGGACCTCTCATTATGCATCGACTCTCGTTCTACCTAATTTCGGCAGCTGTCAAAGCCACGTTGGGAGGCAGCTTGAAACATGATGTTCGCCAGCGTGCTGCATCAGCTCAATACTGTGCATCTGAGAATATTTGCTACTCCGAATACACAACACCATCAGCCGATATCATTTATCGTGTGGCAATACCCGACAGTTCCGAAGCACCATTCGATATCCTCCTTCAGATAGAAGCGCCTGCCTCCGTGGGGTGGGCTGGCATTGCATGGGGCGGTCGCATGACAGGAAATCCTTTAACAATCAGCTGGGCCAACGGCGATGGAGCTGTTGTTTCTTCAAGATGGGCAACGTGAGTCATCGTTTCTTTTTGTGCTGTCGTGAAGTACGGCTATGCGTGCCTCGATATCATGACTAACTGCAGCAGTGGTCATGTACTTCCCGGTGCTTACCGGGGTGCCTCATATGAACTGCTGACTGCCAGCTCGAACTCGAGCCACTGGTCCATGAGTGTGTTATGCACTGGGTGCAGCCAATGGGACGGCGGCGAGCTAGGATCCACGGGTGCGAACCAGCTCGCCTGGGCTATGAGCAATAACGCAGTCAACACTCCTGCCGACAACACCAGCAGTTTCGGATATCACTCCGCGAGGAGCACATTCTCGCTAGACTTTTCAGATGCCCGCATACCAACCAATGACTTTCGGAGGTTTGTGCGGTCGCTCTCAGAGGGCTCGGAGGGCGGCGAGCAAAGCAGCAGCGTACCGACATCTGGCCCTACAAGCGCTTCCAATTCCTCCACAGAGATCTCTACGCCGTCTTCCTCAAGCAATACCACAACTTCTGGGCCGAGCACAACACGCGTGCGTAACACCTCGAAGCCCATCTTCACAAGCGTTACGGTGGATCCACCCCCAAAGGCGTCCGCATCAACCACGATTCGCGGCCCGTTCCCCTTGAAGAGCACAACAACTCCAAAGCCGAGTACTGCGTCGCCGATGACCACACCGGCGCCCACGGCATCGGGGCAGTCGACGACTATCACTCAGGTTGAGCCAGGCGAGACAACAAGGATATTCACAATTGCTCTGCCACTCAAGGGAAAGAGGAAAGGCAAAGCCAAGCGGAAAGGCCCGTGGCGAGGACCCCCGTGGCGAGGACCCCGTGAATGATGGCTTGAGCTATAAGCACCGCTATTTCACGATTGAGTGCTCGTGAAGTCTAGACGACAGAATGATAGTCCAGAGACGCGCAGTCGATGCCTGCATTTATTTAATATACACCTTACATTATTCACCTCTAACCATGCCAACTGCCTACTCTACCCTGGTCTGTTCAATTAGGACTGGAGCAGACTCGTTCCTGAGGCTGAAGGCACATATGCCACTCGCACCGCATAGGCCTTCCATGTTCTCCCCAACCTCAAAGTGACCCTCGCCAACATAGACCTTCCGTACACTGTTGACTGGGGTGATGATCTCGTCAACCAACGTGAACTGCACCGAGAAGTTGGTCAGGGCCCCTCCACTCATCGCTCCATACTCGCGATTTGGTGGAACAACAACAAAGCTCCATTTTGCGGGATAGCCTGTTTCAAGGGTACAGTTTCGAGACTGGTCATAGGGCTGCTCCCCGTCTTGTGCATACCAAGAGACGTTGCATTGGGCGATGCTGGGCTGGAAGTTGATCGGGCCGCTCTTGGAGCCGACACCGTCGATGATGTTCGGGTCCGCGATGATGATGCTGAGATAACTCCGAAGGGATGGCTGGGACGTGAGACTTGGAGGAGACGCCACGGAGACTTGGCTCACTTCCCACGGCTCGAGACTCTCACCTCGAGGGACGGACAGAGCAAGCATGACTGGGACTGTGCCCAGGATGCTGAGCAACGAAGACAGATGCATTGTTCTAAACGCTACAAAGTGTTCAGAACGTGAATGATTGATCGAGGCGATTTGGTTAGGAAGAGAAATCTATTCTTGGTTCATGGGGCGAGGTGGATTTGAGCTATGGAATCTCCGGTCACATATGCAAATGAACACTTAGCTTGACCTAGGGAAATGAGGGTTGTCTGGCAACAAAAGTACTCAACTTCTTACCAAGCCAATCGGTTTTCGGTAGTGGGATAACCCGTGGATAAATCTTAGAAAAAAGAGCTGCTTTGCTAGCATTGAGGTATCACCTGATGGACTTCTTGACCTCCAGCTTGCCAGGTCATTGGAATGGCGGCTAAACTCGTGCAGATCGCAGTCTCCCTGGTTTCCATGAAGATCGGACCTGCTTACGCCCGTCCAAATCCGTCGATAGCCCAATCACCCAGTCTTGAAGACAAGACCGATGCATTCCATCAAAGCTCAAATCAGCTCGCATCTTGCTACTTCTTTCCGACGCAATAGCACTTCAAGGTAACGTCGCTAGGCAATCTACAATGGCCTTGAGCGTCAGCCCATCCTCGATGCCCATAGCCAAGTCCAGGGATGCCTGCACGTGCATCTCCCCAGGGCAAATCACGAGCTGTACCCGATCCGCGCCGACAGCTTGCGTAATTGTGCCGGCAGTATCTACGACATCATCTCGATATACCTCATCCCCTCCCGCGATGAAGATGATCTTGTCTGCCCTCAGGCCATCCCAGAAGCTCACTTCGGCGGTGTCCGGGCCCGCCCATACATCATCTTTTGGCTGCCAGTGTCCCGTGATCACACGCAAGCTCCTCCGGCCTAGACAATCCTTCCATTTGTTGGTGTCGTAGCTCGCAGTGACTGCTTGGTTTCTCGTCCTGGGGCTGACGGCTAAAAGGCCGCGAAGGTTTCCCTCGGCAGTGACAGCCGTCAGGCCAGGTTTCGGGCTCTGAAGGTGTGCCAGCAACGCGAGCAAGAGGTTTCCGCCGCCAGACTCGCCACCGATCACAATTTGTCCCATCCTCCGGTAGCGCAGCAGGAATCTGAGGGCAGCGTTGGCTTGCGCCAGTTGGCCCGGGTACTTGTTCTCTGGGGCGAGCTGGTACTCTAAGATGACGAGCTTTCCATTGCACGCCTTTGCCGCGCGACTGGCGGTGCCACATCCTTGCAATGGCGCGATATATCCGCCGCCGTGGAACCACACGAATACATCGCCTTCCGAGTCCGTCGACTTTGATCCGACGAAGTGAAGCGTGGCCGGGGGTGCAAGACCGTCGGTATCAGGTAGCGTCACCGCCTCGTGGGATATCCTGTTGGTGGCGCAGTAGCTCTTCACAACGTCACCAGTGGTCAGCGGCCTCAGCCAGCGAAGGTGTCGCGGCGGTATGCCTGTCATGAGGAGCATCACGCTGGCGGCATAGTTGCGCTTGTGCTGGCGAAGATCGAACAGCTTGCCATGGAGGATGGAGACGAGGGTCCGCCGACAGAACTCGACCGCGACGGCCGTGGCTGCTTTGGGAACAAGGTACAGCAGCTGCAGCCTCTCGAGCAAGGTGAGACGAACGACATCGTGGCTCGGCATCTCGGCGTACCCAGCTCGCGGAAGCGAAGATGCCTCCAACCGACGGGGAAAGGACTGGGATTGCCTGCTCCAAGGAAGATGGATAGAGTAAGACAAGTTTGACTGCAGTACTCGCTGGATAAGCCAGGTCCGTAAGCTGGACAGGGTGTTTCCAGCGAAGAGGACTCGAGATCCCGCTACAGGATCGTGGGGAAGGACGCTGGGGTCGACCCACAGGGTAGATATCGGCAGAAGTTCTGGCGAAATGCGCCGGGTATCATCGCCAATTAAAAAATGGCCGATCTCCACCACGTTATTACCGACAAACGGTGAAGTCTTTCCGGATGCGAACTGTCCATATGTACGGTTTGTGTCCTCAAGGTCTGTACTGTTCATACGATAATTGATGAAAAGCATACCTAAGTATGTAGGTAGCCTCATGTTGAGGAAGCTCCTGTTGTTGGCCAGTCATGCGCGCACACTCAGTGGAATGAATCTGATTCGTGCAACCGGGTGATATGCAGTTAACCGTGCTATGCACTCGGCGAATCATGACGTCGGTCCAAGGCCAACATTCAGGCACGCGAAACACGCGTGATACTTAGGCCACACCCAGATCGGGCAGCTAGAATGCTTCGTACCATCAAGTAGATTGCACCCACCCTCGACACTTTGAGCTATTCCTCGAGTTAATGCAGCCGTAGCTATGGCACCGTCAACTCTATTCCAGTACCTGGGCTTCGGCGCACGCAAAGACGAGCCAAGTGAGGCACCAGGACAAGCTACGACCTGCCAGAGCATCGTCCGGGTCGGAGCCACCGGTTTTCTTCTGGGACCCAAGTCGCAAGCCACAATTCCCATTATCGACGGACCCGAACGTTATGTCCCCGCAACCGTCGTCCACAAGCAAGAGGGCAAGTTCGGCGACGAAGAGTTGGAAGAGGTGGTAGACGACTTCGAAAGGAGGGACGATGTCTGGAATACGGATTTCCTTGAAGGTAAGCAGACTTCGAGTTTACATATACCAATTTATCCGCTGACATGGCACCGAAGTCATCGTGCTTGCGGCACCGAGCTCGGTCAAGTCAAATAACGAGTTTAAGCGCGGTAGCAAAGTGATCCGCCCAAATCATTCCCTAGAAGTCGACGATGTACCAAGCGGGCCTTATATACTGCACTCGAGCTCTGGCTCCATATACAAAGTCTTCAAATTGTTCCCAGACGAGAGCCAGGCATTTGTGGGGGCTATTGCACCGAGCGCTAGGCCCGGAGATGCCTTTTCTTGGCTTGACAGCATCAATGTTGGTCCTCAGAATCATCCGGCTGTATAAATCGAACTGACCAAGAAAATCCTAGCACGTGGCGGTGCCATCGAGGCTTTATCACCCTGGACCTACCAAGGAAAGGCCGCTCGAGGGTACGCGTTTCGCTGTCAAAGATGTCATTGATGTTCGCGGTCTACATACCTCTTGCGGCAGCGCGTCCTGGCGAAGCACGTATCCACCAGTCCAACAAAGTGCTCCGTTCGTAGATCAGCTACTAGCTGCCGGTGCAAGCTTGGTTGGTAAGCTACGCTGCTGCCAATTCGGTGACAATCAGTCTCCTTCTGAGAGGTAAGGTCATTACCTGCCGCACTGATGCGCCCCAGATCTACCATGCTCAGCTGGTTGCAGATTTGAAGAAGTCTCGCCTACGAACCCCCGCGGCGATCGGTTCCAGATTCCTGGCAGCACCAGCTCCGGTTCAGCTGCAGCTATCGCCAGTTACTCGTGGCTGGACTTCACCATTGGCACAGAGAACAGTGATTCTCGTCAGCATGCTGCAGGTCTCAACGGAGTGTACGCGCTGCGCCCTTCCAAGGACTCAGTCAAAAGTAAAGGAGTCTTTACATCACCCCTCCTGGAAAGCACGAACATATTCTCCAGATCCGCCTCGTTGGCTGAGGATGTCGCCAACTGTGTCACAGGCAAACTGAATACGGCTGGCAAAGGAAAGCTAGGCAACTTCCAGTTCAAGCTGCTGTATGCCGTCGAATCTCGGGGGTGGTCTGCTATCGACTCGGATCCGGACTTCTTCTTGCAAGATATATCCGCTAATGATCGGTTGGGAGACGCATCGGCTCTATTCGATACCTTCATCAAGAAGCTCGAGAAACAGCTTGACTGTAAGAGGCAGACGCTCTGCCTGTCCGACTTTTGGCGAGACACGAGAGCTGCAAATACGCCCCAAGCCCTGACTGCGTCGGCGGTTAACGCATCGCGAGCAATCATCTACCGGGATCTTTCTCGCAATATCGTGGAACCCTTCATAAACGAGTACCGGGCCGCGCATGCCAACCGGATGCCCTTTATCGAGCCTGTTACGAAAGAGCGACTTCGCTTCGGTGCGTGCGTCTCAGATGATGAATACAGCACTGCAAAAGACCATCTCGAGGTATACGCTGAATGGGTCAACACCGTGCTGTTGCCAAGTCCAGCCGATCCCGTTGATGCAGGTCCGGCCGATGGAAAAGCAGCAGCTGGGAAGCAGGGGCCCGAGATTCCGATCCTCGTATGCCCTCAACACTGGGGCACGCGATTGTATCGAGATGCATCAAGGTCAACCCTTGCTCGGAGTGGTCTTTCTGCATCATCAATAGCTGCTTCCGCAGGTGTGCCTCATCTCATACTGCCCGTGGGTGAGATCAAATACACTTCCAAGATCACAGAGGCGGATGCACGCCTGCCCGTATCGATGTCACTTCTGGCGCCCAGTGGGTTAGATGGCATCTTGACTGAGATAATTGCGAACTTGGAACGGGCAGGTGAGATAGAGGTTGTTAAGCCGGGGCCTTCTGTTTTCTGAAGAGTAGAAGCAAATCTCTAGACATTAGGCGTAGAGGTCTCCCAGATATGCCGAGTATATCATATTGCACTGGGTTTAGGTACCAAGCCAATTTGGAGTGGTGATTTGAGTACTTTCAAGATTATCTCAAGCCTTAACCCTGCAGAGGTCCATCTTTGAGCCTACTGCTCGGCCTTCCGTGCCTCTACCTGGGACTCTTTACCATTCAGTAATTCCCTGCCCACGGCAGGGAGGGCAGTAGCCACGGTAGGTTTGGATCCGCCTCCATCCAAATCGGTCCTCGCTACAACGCGTCCTGTTCGCTTGAGCCCATTGACACGCAGCCGACCCCGTTACATGTGGATGCCCACAGCGATCTGTACCAGCAAATATGTTTTGTCAGAAACCAGGTTCTGTGGATGCCGCTCAGGCTACTCACTGTAGTAATCGTAAAGCCAGACACACATTTTGGCGGCTTTTCGAAGATTCGTGGTAAGATGTAGTCGTTTCAAATTGAGATGGCGTCCGCAAGGAGCTTGGGCTCTTGCTTGAGCTGTCCAGAAAAGAGACAGTTTGAAGAGACTCTTTCGTTTTCTTCTTTTGGTATCTAGATTCTGTGCGAATAAATTTACATAAAAGTCAACCCCGTTAAGAGCTTCATATTTATACTTGCCTATCTAGGTGTGTGATTCTTCTGTACCTGTGTCTTCATATATCAAAGTGCTTCATTCAAAATCCTTCCCATGCTCGTGGACAGAGAATTCTTTGTTCTTTGGGTAGCGGTGCCTTGCCCCGTGGGTCACTGGCCACGGGCGGACACGCGCAGTGATTCAAGAGGTTGTCAATGAATCGCCCTTTCTCAAAGTACGTCCACATCAAGTGCATGAATTGCTCTTTTTAATGCTGCTCTACTCGCAATTCTGGGCATATTGGCATTTCAGGCCGCGACAGAAGTCGGGAGGACTCAACAGACACGTCTAATAGCCTTGTCTTGGCGTAGCTTGAGCAGCACTGAGTACAGAGTGTAGATTAAGCCACTTCCTAAGAAAATGCCAGCAGTGAGATGTAGAGGAAAATTAAGAATGGGACTGTTCAGCTGAACTGGAATCCATGCAAATCAGACCGTACCTTCTGCACCTCCCTAAAGACTCCGGAGCATCTGAGCGGCCGACTGAACACAGCAAGGTGTTGACAGCGGGCCTTCCGGGACACCAATCTCAGCACATAGTCTGGCCCAGCTCTAACTTTGCTCGGAGATGACAAAAGTATTGATTTACTGGATCTAGACCTCGGCTAGATATATGGACGTAGCACTACATCTAGTTGCTAAAAGTGCATCAATCTCCCCTTTTCTTGTGCATTCTACCCCCCCCCTCAATGTTGCATAACAGCTTTGAGCGAGGTATCAAACATTATCGAATGAACGTAGCACCCAGGTGTCATTTTAGACGCACTGGCAGTTCAAATTGCAAAAGAAGTCTGGAGGGTTGTCGCAAGATACCTGTCCGATGGAATCGCACGAACATTTGTAGCGATCACCTTGGCAAAGAGCAAGCCAGGATGGATTGTTGCCACAGTTGAGGGTTCCCTCGGCGGCGACGTAGCTCACGAGAGTGAAGAGAGCAATGGCAACGGTGTTCTAGAGAGCATTGAGATCAGTAATATTTCCAAGAGAGGGACTACTATCGGGGAGGTAGCGTACCTTCATCTTTGTATTTGATATAAGGACGAAATGGAAAAAGCTTTTGACTAGAGGATTTGGAGTTGTGTTGTAGGTGTTAGGAAAAGTAAGAACAAAACTTGATCCGCGAGCAAGAGAGTCTTATATAGTTTCCTTCAAGCCGTTGGCTCCTGCCATTACGAGACCTGATCCATGCTGTCTTTCGGGTAGGACCTCGGACTTAAAGTATACCCAACACTTTTCTGTCAGATAACGGTGCAAGCCTCCACGGTGAGGTTGTGATGAAGCCGCATCAATCACGGTGAGGTCGTCACCTTTCGTATCGTCCGTGCTCTTGACCTCGCGCGATCTATTCTGCTTGCGTGTAGCACCAGTAGGGAACTTCTCGTTCCATGATGCTCACGTCAGACGTCTGGACCTCACGTCAGCGTTGATGTCCGATTGCTTCATGTGGCCGCAATGTTTCCTTCTCACATTTCTCTCCTTGTATTCGGCATCAACCATGTAACAGCGAAAATCTTACCTGAGATTCCTTCCCATAGATTCCAAAGTTTGGTACGGAGGCATTTCCGCGCGTATGAGATGATGGAGTTGCCATCAAACACCGAATCAACATAGGAAACGAACCTCATCACCCCCACACTCTGCCACTATTTGCACGAGAGCGACTTGAAATGTCTTTCCATCAGGTTAATCATGTATAGGGAGACCTGTCGCATTGACTGGTGACTAATAGGAATGAGATGGTAAAATAGTTGCATTTTGCGGCACTGTCACTCTTGATTTGGTCGATCGTGTAGCTTCCAGCACAATGAGAATGACATCGGCTTTGTAGTATTGTCTCGTCGGCCCGGGAGGAAGGAGTACATCAGCGACCGGCGATCCGAAGATCGCTTATCCTGCTATTACGACTCAGCGTAATGACATCTGAGCGCTTTGCCTACCGCAGTCCGCGGGTCTGCTGGTCAGCCGAGCTCAAAGTCCATGCATGCACAGTTTATTGGCTAGATAGGTTGGTCCCAAGTTGGCAAATAATTGTTTGTGCTCCATTCTTCCTGGTCAAGACTTGGCTAAGAGCAGTGGGATCGGCGATGAACAGTTGTTTCAACGCTGGAACCAACATGGTCGTGGTGGTAGCCAGAGCGGAGCTACTCTACATCTCACCGTGTAATTATGGGTCGGACTGACAATGCCCCCTGAGCCATTACAACGGCCTTAAATTCCACAATGCGTACACTATTCACTCCCCGAGCGTCAGGAGTCACTAGTTGTCGGAATCTATCAGGATATACCTCGAGGTACACGCATACTATGGAACTCACAACGGCTATCCCACTACCTAAAAGCGACGAACTCGATGTCTATCCCACTACCTAAATAGTATCCTTGCGCTTCTCCGGTAGGATAATTACACGGCCCGTATCCAGAAGGTCTTGCACACCTTCCTCAACGCAGCAGCCTTGACGTAATAAGTACCCCCGTTTGGCACGATGGCCTGGATACCTGCTTTCCGCTGGCGAGAGCCGGGCCAGAAGCGCCACCGCTGCGAGCATGCGAGTCAACTATCGATAAATCGCATGATTTGGATCAGGGTCTACTCACAGTACCACACAGTCTTTTGTGTGCACCTTGAAGGTGGGTTTATCGGCATTGCCTTTCCTAATTATCGGCGTTGTCCTTGTTGCCGACATTACCCTTCTGTTGCTGGCTCGCAGCCGCGCCACCGGTATTCTCTTGCTGAGACATGGTGACAGACTTCACACACGACAGGGAAAAGTATGAATGCCAGAAAGTCTGAGATCTTTAAAAAGACGCTTACTATCGTTATTCTAAAGGAAACCGGTGGTGAACCTCAAAGCATTGGTCTTTTCTTCGTCGACATACAACGGCCGTGACTACCGAGCTTCTTCAGGCCCTCCTGGTCTCCCTCACCACGATCTGCCGCCTCAAAACCGTCCCAAGCACAACTTAAGACCGCGGTCAAAAGAAAAGTACCGTTCCTCTGAAAAGGCTGGGGGCAACATGCAGTGAACTAATTCTCAGCATGCAGGATGTAACGAGATCGTTCCCTCAGGCAGCTTCCACAATGAATAGCCGAGGTTTAACTAATAAAGATAAAAACGACTCCTCAGGAGTCAATAGGTGTGAGATCACAGATCAGACGGGGTGTCACTGCTTGTAGTGACAAGATCGAGACCGGGTGGAGGGTGGGAAAGAAAAGAAAAAAGACAAAAGGAAGTCCTCTAACATCTAGTGAATGACGGACTTGATATGTCTTAATAAAATCTGGTACTAGAGCTAAGGACACCAGTTGTAGCTTATGATGAGGATATGCAAGATCGGGGTATTGACTTTGTCATTGAGGACGATGTCGAGAAGCCTAAGCACATAGGACTCTCTGTGCCTAGGAAAAGGCTTTGGCAATTATATTTCAAGTCTAACATGCTGTCAAAACAATGGAAATGGAAACCAGGTTGAGTGAATCAACATGAAACCAACATTCTCATTGGTCAATCATAGCATCGCAAAGGACAGAACCCTATCTATTCACAGCCCTATTATACCGATTGTTAGGAAGAAGGGGTCTTCATCGATTTTCTTTCGGAGATCGCCACTCCTCAACTCTTCCATGTCCCACTCTGCCCAGACAAATCTTCCATGAAGAAAGCTTGCTTCAGGAGATGCGGCCCAGACCGCAAATCTCCCAGGAACCTCAGCTCTGATCCAAGAATGGGAGTGTTCATCACATCCCACCTCCCTTGCAGCACGAGTTAAGATAGCTCCCGGATGGAACTGGACAACTTGCATCCTATCTGCGGGAATTCCTCGCGAGATGCTCTGCAGGAACCCCGAAAAAGCAAGCTTCGATGGGCTGTATCCTGGAGGGGCAGGCGCCCTGTGCTCGTAAATGGCTTTTGTGGACGTATGGACAAGATACTAAAGCCTCATGTTAATTTTGGAACCACAACAGGCCGGACATCCTCTTGGATAGATCAACAAGGTGGGACATGCAACAAGGCCGCGAGTACTGACCTTGGGACCGCCTGCTCCTTGGCCTCGCTGTTTGTAGAATCTTTCGACAAAATACAGCTGGGCTTGTAGATTAATGGCAAGATCAGTGCTGAAAATACGGTCTGAACCTCGATCGAGAAGATCCCCTGGTTCGGTGGGAGAGCCTGCATTCAGACAGAGCACATCCACGACAGTGCCGTTGGCCTCGAGCGAGTCCCACAAAGAAGCGCTGGCAGAGGTATTTGCCATATCGCATGATACAGCGACAAGCTGAGTTTTTGCCCCCGGACAGCCCTCTTTCAAACTCGACAAAGCATTATCAAGTCGCGACTGAGTTCGGGAGACCAGGACGATCTTGGCTGCGGAGGCCTCGACAAAAGCCTTGACGATGGCATATCCAATGCCTTCAGATGCTCCCGTGACGAGCACTGTCTTTCCGGCTTGCGAAAGCTCTGGCCTCGTTGGGGAGATGGTGGGGTAGGATTCTTTGTGCGTCGACTTGGTAAAGCCATCTCCAGGCGAAATTTCTGGATTTCGAGCCATAGCGTAGGGAATTGATGAAGGCTGTTTGTTTTCGAGCTGTTATGGCACTGTTGCATCGGGTTCCAGTCACCCGGACCTTTAAAAGTTAAATGGACCATTCAATCAAAGATCAAGTGTCGACATTCTTCCACCGTGCTCTCTTCAGCCCGGATCCACGCCGCCGAGTGGCGTCCGGCGGGCTGTGGACGGAGGAGTGTGATCCGCTTTTGCGGAAGAGTTTCCGCAAACATGATTCGCCAAAACTCAAGGCATCACGCATTTCGTGTCCACGACCAACCTAGCGCACATTTCTCTTCTTACAAATCACCGGAACTCATCGACCATCCCGTCAAAGACACACAGGAAGTCAACCGGAGAGCAGAGAGTGCAGATGCGAAGGTAGATTGCTTGGTCTAGTGACCCGCACCACGTACCTCAAGGCATACAAGCGAGGCACCCTGGACTGTGGAAAAGAACTTACCCGTCTTAGTTTCGCGTCCAGAACCGCGATTGCGGGTAGAATGGTCCCGCAATGTCCGCCAGAAAGATCCAGTCGACCCCGTGGAGAAGGAAAGCCTGTACCGCCTGTACTAAGGCGAAGCGACGGTGCAACAAAGCCTCACCTGCCTGCCGGCGATGCCGGGAAATGGGAGGAGCATGTGTCTATCCCCTGACCAAACAACTCTCCACGCCTGGCGACGCTGTCAATGACCTGCCAACAAACCTCGCTTATGACGATGTCAATGCGCTTTTCGAAAGCACCGAATCATCACAAGCAGACGTGGAACTTTGGGATAGCCTTACTCCTGCAGGTTCATCTGTGGCAGATGTTGGAATCTTGCCCCAAACAAGCGACAATTCTTCAAATTTGAGGGCTCCTCAACCCCTTCCGCGTAGCGATAACCCTGTCTGGTTTCTCGCTCCAGGAAGTTTCTCTGTCAGGTACTCTTCCGATCATGCCGCGACAAGCAGGCTCATCACCTCCAGAGTCCTCAAACATACCGCCAAAGAGCTGTCAGAGATCTGGCCCAAGATGTGGGTGTCAAGGGGAGAGACTCCGTTTATCCATCGGTCATTATACCAGTGCAAGATGCCCGACTGCATTCGAGATGCGTACACGGCCATTGCTACCTACTACTCTCGCACTACTGAGACCGAAGACATGGTGGCCCGGATTCTTGACGACCGCGCGTCACGACTTATCGAAGATCAGGTGTTCGCCGACTCTTTCGGTTCCCTTGGAGTCCTTGATCATCTCGCTCGGTCACAGGCCCTGTACATGTATCAAGCTGTTCGCTTATTCAACGGAGACATTCAAAATCGCGCTCGTGCCGAGGACGCTTTGACGGTCTTGATAGACTGGGTCACCCAAATGCTACAAGTTGCGACGGACGAGTTTGGGAATGGCTTCCAGAGCAGGACTAGTTCTGCCCTGGGAGAGATCAGTAGCAACAACGCGCTGATGCTGAGCTGGAGGATGTGGGTCGTCACAGAGAGTGTCCGGCGGACCTTCCTCGCTGCCAAGATCCTCGTCGGCGTCTACCTGACCATCCGTGATGGCTGCTGCGAATGCGCCGGAAGCACTTATTTTACATCTCGCAAGAGTCTCTGGGATGCTCCGTCCGCGTATGTGTGGTCCAAGATTTGCCAGGATAACGGCCCCTTGTTCGTCGAGCTGGCGACCTCAGACATCTTGTTCACTCGAGCCAGGCCCGCTGAAATCGACGAGTTCTGTCGGCTGGCAATGTCAGTCACCTTCGGACTTGAGGCTGTAGAGGCTTGGCATGGAGAATTGGCTGCTGCAACGCGGCCGCCATTGGATTGAGAGCAGAAGACAAGAAGACCGAAGAAAAGAAAACCATTTAACACCTGTTCAAAGACCTGTAGGGCCTTTAATGCCATTCGCCTTCCTGACTTCTTGGCTCAGGGTCCCACCATAGACACGTAAGGCTGTTGGCTCGCGCATCTCGAAGGATCAACCCAAGATGCTGACTAGTGCTGACATATTACTTTCATACACCACCTTGTATTGATCATTTCCTCGCCGCCCTTTTGCGATTTCCCGGTGCAGATAAATAATAGATCTGCCCCTCCCCTGACGAGCGCTCTCTATTGTCACAGAACTCGCGCCATCTTCCTAATCAGCCCTGTCGCCACTATGTCAGGACAAAAGAGTCCCGTGCTTGTCTGCGTCCCCGGCGTCATGCAGGGTGACTGGCTGTACGAGCCGCTCAAGGCCGAGATTGCGCCACTCGAAGTCGTTGCCCTAACTCTCCCGGGAACTGTTCCGCTCGATGATCCTCGACCAGCCTTGGATTCGATGTATCCAGACGTAGAGCTCATTTCCAAGACAATATCTGACCTTCTCGACGCCGGAAGAGACGTCATTGTGTTGGTCCATTCGTACGGAGGCACACCCGGCGGAGACGCGGTTGGCCGCATTGTAGCCGAACAAAAGCAGAACACGCCAGCTCCGGGAAGTGGTCGCATTCTTTGGATGATCTACTCGAACGCTTACCCTACCATTGAGGGCGTGTCGTGTTGGGACAGTGGAGATCGCCTCTTCGAGGCCGCAGGCATTCCCAAGCCGGCCTCGCCAGGCGCCATGCCTGGAATGGAAGAGAAAGTACGTGCTCCGCGTTCTCTGCTATCGAGTCTATGAGAGCTAGCACTCACAAACGTCTACAGGATGGCTATCTCGTCCCAGACTCAGAGGCCGGCCCGGCATTCATGCACGATGTGCCCGACCTGGAGACATGGGTAAAGAAGCTGGGCAAGCAGTCTGTGGCTTGCCCCTTGAGCCCGATCCTCGCGCCCGCCGTCGGCTACAGGGTAGTTCCGACGACGTACATCAAAACGCTGCAGGACACGGTTATCCCGCCCGACTTCCAGGAAGGGCTGGTCCAGCAGGCTATTCAGCTATCCAAAGAGAGGGAAGGGCTGGTGCCATTCACTGACGAGGAGGTCGGAAGGCTGGAGATTGATAGCGGTCATGCTCCTATGCTGTCAAAGACGACGGAGTACAAGGACCTCATCATGAAGGTAGTGAGGCGGGCCATGTCCGCTTAGAGATGGGGCTGCGGGACAGGCGGGTGGGTTGTGTGCGGCTTTATGTATAAAGCTCACAAGATGTTGGAGATGAGGCTTGGCAGAGTTTCTAGAAGGCAGCTCAGCCGTGCTAGTGTCCTTGGGATGCTGTCTCCTCTTCGAATGAGAAAGCATTAGGGTATTAATCTCTTGCCTTCGCAAAGTCTTGGAGTGCTTCATGAAGCCCCGATCTACCAAGATCGGTAGCCTGACCGAGACCCGAGCCAGCCAAGTGCGATCACTGTCGTATTCTTTGCTCACCAACCTCAGCAGAGCCACATTCGATCGGCCGACGCACTGACTGCCCTTTCCCGAAGCCCTTCACGCCTCTGCCAGGGACATTTGCCGGACTGCTCTCCGGGAGTTGGAACTAGAGTCTAGGCGCGCAGACCCGCCAGGAAAACCCCGCATCGTCCGCGCGCTAGGCTCGGAGGACTTGACGATGAATTGCCGACTGATCTTCTATAAAAGATGCGAAATCCTTTCCCGGGCCCTTTACAGACATCGTCATAGTAGGTAACTCGCACATTGACCGAAGATGGAAGGGCCACAGGGAGTCAAGACCAAAGCGTACGTGGTGAGCAAGCCGGAAGAGCCCTTTGTCCTCCAGGATGTCGTCCTCGACGGCGTGGGCCCCCACGAGTTACTCGTGGAGATACAATACACCGGCCTGTGCCATACGGATATCGTCGCTCAGCACGGGCTGATGCCCATAGGGGGCTTCCCAGCAGTCCTCGGCCACGAAGGCGTCGGCATCGTGCGACATGTCGGCTCGGGCGTCGGGAACAAGGACATCAAGCCCGGTGACACAGTCCTCCTGTCTTTCCGAGCCTGTCAGACCTGCCGGAAATGCAAGGCCGGCCAGCACGGAGGCTGCCTCGGGCTGACCAGGATGAACTTCACCGAGACGGCGCGCCCCGGCGCCAAGGACTCGCCCATCTCGCTGCCCGACGGCACGCAGGTCTTTGGCCAGTTCTTCGGGCAGTCGTCGCTCAGCAAGATGGCCGTCGTGGCCGAGCACTCGGCCGTCAAGATCGACGCGCGGCCCGAGGAGCTCGGCTTCCTGGCCCCGTTGGCGTGCGGCTACCTCACGGGCGCCGGCACGGTCATGAACGCCATGCAGCCGCGCAAGGGGGACACCATGGCCGTCCTGGGCATGGGAGCCGTGGGCATGGCGGCCATGTTCGCGGCGAGGGCCCTGGGCGTGGAGACCATCATCGCCGTGGACATCTTTGACGAGAAGCTTCAAAAGGCGTCGGCGCTGGGCGCGTCGCACACAATCAACAGCAAGACGCAGCCGGATCTCGTGAAGGGGATAAAGGCCATCTGCCCGGACGGCGTGGACTACATACTTGACGCGACCGGCGTCGCTGCTCTGCTCAGCGCCTCAGTCGAGGCGCTGGCTCATGGTGGCCTGCTGACGCTCGTCGGGGTCCCGCCTCCGAATGCAACCGTCCAGTTCAACGCGATGGACGTCCTCACTTCATGCAAGCGGATTATGGGAGTTATCGAGGGCTTCGCGGACTCCCAAAAGGTGGGTGACTGTTCCACTATGCAAGGGGCCGTGGACTGGCAGCAGAGATGAGAGCTGTAAGGTCATCTCATGAAGCTAACACTTGTGCGCGACCAGATCATCCCTGAACTTGTAGAGCTCTTCCATGCCGGCAAGTTCCCTGTAGATCAGCTTGCAACTGTCTATGAAGCACAGAAGCTGCCAGAAGCCATACAAGATCTCAAGGCAGGCACAGTCATTAAGCCAATCCTTTCATGGAAGGACATCTAACGGAGGAAGAGGGGGCATGACGAATAACAAGGTCATGAGGAGATGGAATGGGGACTCGGAGTTAAGCAAAGTAGTTTCACATTTGCAATTGGTATGCACTGATATCTTGTTGCCTCGGGTTTTGTCAAAATAGACATGGCACGATGGGGTACGTGTCAGCAAGATGCTTAGCAAGTTGGCGGAATTGTTGCGCTGCATTAGTAAAGCACGGAGCTCCGTGGAGATCTATTCGGTACCTAACCTGTAGTACTAGTTAACTCGCTGGGCCCGTTACCGTAGATGATCAGTCCACACTAGAAGATTTGAAACCGAGGTTTCCTACCGCACTGGCGGGGGTTTTCCGTGGGCTTGGTCTCAATTATTCAGCCGTATTTACAAATCAACCCCTAATGGAACGATTCTCAGGGGTATAAAAGATATCGAGGGTCCTCGATGGGCTTAGATTGTTTGAAGAGCATTTCCCCGTGATATAAAAAGCCCATTCAAAGCATTGGAGTATAATCCATAAAATCTACCTAGTGCCCTCAGTCTCGGCCAGATCGCACCGATCACAGTTCATCTGCATACATATAGACTACCTCGAGAAGCGAATACACAGCCATCCAACCTAGATCATCAAGAGAAATCACGAGAAAAGAGTAATACCTCACCAGAATGCCTGTCCAAGTATACAGCACCCCCGGGGTGGACGTCAGCCCCCTCGCCCGGCCATTGACGTTCAATTTCTCAAAAAAGACGGCCAAGAACCGCTTCTTGAAGGCAGCCATGGCCGAGTCGCTGTCGAGCTGGAGCGCAACCGACCTCCAAGCCCGTGGCATACCCTCCCCTGAGCTCATCAACTTGTACAGACGGTATGTTGCACGACCAGTCTTTAGATTGCTTGATTCGAATTTGAAGAGATAGCTGCTAACACTGGCAACAGATGGGGCGAGGAGAAGAACTCGTGGGGCGTGATTCTGACGGGAAACCTGTCCACGAATTATGGCATGCCGGGAAGTGCTGGTGAGGCCATGATCACTCCCGAGGATGCCTTCTACGGTGAGCGATTCGAGGCGTTCCAGAAGCTGGCTGCTGCAGCCAAGGCGAATGGCAGCTTGATTGTTGGCCAGGTCAGCCATCCCGGCCGGCAAGCGCCCGAGAAGCTCGTCAAGGAGCCCATTTCTGCATCGGCAGTGCCCCTGGGTAAGTAGCCATGATCATCTCCTTTGTGGCGACACCTCAGCTCTCGGCCACTAATAGGAGTTCTCGAAAAAAAACAGAGCCCAAGATGGGCATGACCTTTGCCAAGCCCCGCGCGGCCAACAAGGCCGACATCGCCCGCGTGATCGCCGGCTTCGCGCACGCCGCGCAGTACCTCGAGAAGGCGGGCTTCGACGGCATCGAGCTGCACGGCGCCCACGGCTACCTGCTGGCGCAGTTCCTCTCGCGCAGGACGAACCAGCGCACCGACGCGTACGGCGGCTCCCTGCGCAACCGCGTCCGCCTCATCACCGAGATCGCGCAGGAGATCCGCAGGCGCACGTCGCCCGACTTCATCCTGTCCATCAAGCTCAACAGCGTCGAGTTCCAGGAGGGCGGGTTGACGCCCGAGGAGGCGCGCGACCTGTGCCTGATCCTGCAGGAGGAGGTCGGGTTCGACTTCATCGAGCTCAGCGGCGGCACGTACGAGGAGATGGGCATGGCGTGGGAGAAGGAGAGCACGCGCAAGCGCGAGGCCTTCTTCATCGAGTTCGCCGACACCATCGTGCCGGCCATGGGCAAGGACCGGCAGACGCGGGTCTACATCACGGGCGGGCTGCGCAGTGCGGGGGCCATGGTCAAGGCGCTCGACGTCGTGGACGGCGTGGGCCTTGGAAAGCCATCGACCGGGAACCCTGCCTTGGCTGCCGACATCCTCGAGGGCCGCGTCACCGGCGCGATCAAGCCGGTCGCGCCCTACGACAATGACGGCGGCGTCGGTCTCGTCGCCTCAGGCGTCCAGATCCGGCAGCTGAGCCGGGGCCTCGAGCCGTTCGACCTGAGCGACACCAAGGCTGTCGAGGCGTTCGGCACGGCCATGCAGCCCTGGTACATGGCCAACGTGCAGGACGTCGAGGGGACTCGCTCGGGGTATTTCGACCTGGACCTTCCTCTTCGGAAGTATGAAGAGTCGCGGGCTTAGGAGAGACAGACGGTTAACTCATTCTTCTAATGGTCATTTGCATGCGATCTGCTGTTTTAGCGACATAGAAGCACTTAGAATTAGAGTTAGAGACTCACTTTGATTGAGCACCTTCAAAGCATGTATTGCATTTCCATCGACAAGATGAGCATATCCCATTAAAGTGATGACACCTACAATGGATCATTGGCGGAGACAACCCCAGGCTCCAGGGCTGGAATCTGAATGGCCGCCTGGGCTGGCCCACTGGGGCCCTCTGAAAGCTACCTAAGCCCGGCCTGATTTCGAGTGGGGAATTTGTCAGCTTCTGTCAGATTCCGCAAGCCAAGCTCAGAAGGGGTGACCAACGACCATTGACTCAAGTCCACGACACTGGCGTCGCTCTGCAATCGCACCGCGAGTTCTACATTGACATCGGTAGGGCTATACCTCCACAGGTGTGAACGGAGATGGACCCCAATGAAGTCACGTCGGACAGGCGCAAAGGTGAGTGTCGAGAATGTCCCTTTGTTCCCGTCCATCCTGGCGGCAGGATTCGTCCAGCCCCACTCGTCCGTCCCTGCTTGCGTCGTGAAATGAATGGAGACGGGCGTGCTGACCGGCGACGGCCATGCCATGCAGCCTGCGACCTGTGCTCAAAGAAGAAGATCAAATGCGACCAGCTGCGTCCCACGTGTTCCAACTGCAGGCTGTACAAGGCCGAGTGCCGGACTACACCGTTGAAGCGCAAAGTGGTGCCGACGACCCGAAAACCCGTCCCGGCATCCCAAGGATTGAACATTTCGGCACCCGAGTACGTTACCCCGGCTCTCTCTCCTTTCTCTCGCGGCCGATAGCTGACATGCACACCCAGGTCTTCTTCACGCACGGAAGCACTTGAGATCCGGCTGGCAAACATCGAGACACAGCTGCAGCAGTTCATCAGTCTCGCTTCGGCAGCCCTCCTGGACAGACAGGCACAGGCTCAAGTGCAGCCGCAACAGCCACAGTTCCAGCAGGTGACGCCGGCGTCTCACAACCCTTCATCTCACCTCACTACTCATCATGGCAATGCTTCCTGGACGCCCGCATCGTTCTCGTCAGACTCACCAGCGGCCGAGGTCCGGCGCAAGGAGCAGCGCTACGAACTGCCGCCGCTGGAGGACATCCTGCCGGTGATAGACAGCTACTTCCACAACTTCAACTCGGTGACGCCACTGTTCCAGAGGTCGACTTTCATGCGCACACTTCAAGCGTGGTATTCGTCCAACAGCTCAGCGTCTCCGCGGTGTCCGGCGGCATGGGCTGCAGTCAATGTCGTCCTCGCACTCGGTCGCCGCATGCCTGACCAGCCTACCAACGACGTCGATGTTGAGGTTGAAGATCCCTTCAGGGCGCGGTGCGTGCGAAACATCGAGTCCGTGCTGCCGCACCTTGCGACGCACGAAGAGGACCTTCTGGGCCTGCAGTCGATGATGGGATTGGTTCTCCTGCTGCTGGACAGAAACGACCCACGTCCTGCCAGCTCTCTCGTCGCTACAACCGTCAGGCTAGCCCACCGCCTGAGCGTCCACAGCCCAGACATCAACATGCGGTACTCGGACGCTGAGAACGCCCAGCGCGCCCGCGTGTTCTGGATCCTCTACACCGTCGAGAAGGAGCTGTGCCTGCGGCTGCAGACGCCGTCCGTCATCGACGACAACGACATCTCCATCCCATTGCCGCCTGCCGAACCGGCCGACGGCGCTGGCGATCTGTACTACCACTCAGCGGGCGACAGTCCGGACTCGCAACCAAGCATTGCGCGCTTCAACATCTTCCGCGCCGCCGTGCAGCTCGCCCGCATCCAGGGCCTCATCTACTCGCACCTCTACTCCGCCCGCTCCGCCCGCCTCCCGATCGCCGTGCGCCGGCAGCGCGTGGAGCAAATCGATTCGCTCCTTAAGACTTGGCGGGAGTCTCTCCCACCAGAATTGCAGTTGGGCCGTCTCACGCGGCTGCTTCAGCAGTGGCGGCCAGGAGATCACAATTACCCGCCTGGCATCACGCGCCAACTCCTCGCACACTTGGCGCCGGTTCACTTGATGGCACACCGTTGTTTCGTGATGACTCACGGCATATACTCGCAGAATGCAGGTCAGTGCAAAAGGCTCCAACCAAGCCGTGTTGGCCGGGTGGATGTCGCTAACAAACGTGAAATCAGGCTGGATCCGCCGTTGCATGAGCAGCTACGGACGCGTAGCGCTACGAGACGCCAAGGACCCGGTCAACGGCACATGCTACGAGCAGTTGCCGCCACTGCCGGGGAGCTGGACGCGGTGCGTCGACTTTAGCAGGGACTCTCTGAAGCTTATCTCGGCTCTGCCCAAGTCGGACTGGAGCATTTGGTACGTATCTGCTTGCATCTCTCAGTCCCTTGGATCGTTCATCTGGCTAATCCTTGGTGCGTTTCGTCTCCGACAGGACCATGGGCTGCGCATACTTCTCCGCCCTTCTCATCATTCTCGCCAACATCGTCGAGTTCCCCGGCACCGCGCAGGCCGAGATGGACCAGAAGCTGGCGCGCCCGGCCCTCGAGCTGTTCTGCAAAGTCCTGGCGTCGAGCGACTGGGCGCCTCTGCAGCAGCTGTACATCGTCCTGATGGAGATCGACCGGGCTGCTGTGGCCGCGGTGAGGAACGCCGCAGAGGCAAAGATGATTGGCAGCAACATGCCAGAGCATCAGCCCGTCGTCCGACAGGAAGCGTCCGACTCGGCGACCGCGACGCCCGAGGACCCGGGCGACTGGGCTCTGACCATGGGCGGCCACCCAGCGCTAGGCGACTCGAGCCGAGACCTGGACCTTCTAGGCGAGAATCGCGAGCACCCGTTCGAAGATCTGGATTTGGAGAACCTGGACCCGCCAGAGCAATGGCAGTACGGCGATTTTACGGTAGGTCTCAGTGCTCAGTCTGCATGATATATCGTTTAAACTGACAAATTTTGGTAGGACCAGCAACTACCCCTGGATCCCCTTGCCAAGACCTCAGACCAAGTGATGGCAGCCGCATTCGATATGTGGTCGTTCGGAGATCATGCGCTGATCGACCATTATGGGAACGGCGGCGACGCATTCCCTTACCATCTAGTAGGGCGCGAGTAGTGCGTTGTGTGGTCAGGGAACATTGATGAATTCACGATATCATAGCACGCACCATAGTTCTGAACAAAGAAATCACTTTCTCAGGCCAACTCGATGCTTTTCACGAGTTGGCCTTCCCCAATTACTACCAAGACCAGCATCCAACAGATATTTCATTCATATGTCGCCAAACCCAGTTTACGCAGGCGGGCCAAGGCTCAGAACATCCGTACCGTCCTGCAGCGCCTTCTTGCCCGGCATGTTACCGAGCCTCATGAGCTCGGCGCACTGGCTCATGACGGGGTCCTTGCCCATGGTCGCCACCGCGACGACGGTCTCCCCCTTGGTGTAGAAGGCGGCCCAGCTGCCCGCGTCCAGGCTGCCCTGGACGACGACGTCGTCCCAGCCGCTGGCGCCCGTGTTGCCGCAGTAGCGCAGCTGCGCGCCGAGGGCCGACCAGAAGACGGGCGTGAAGAACTGCGCCTTGAGCGACGGGTTGACGATGTGGCTCGCCGCCGTGCGGCCCGCGTTGCCGGCCACGTTCCAGTGCTCGATCCGCGTGTAGCGGCCGTCGCCGCCGGGGCCGTGGTAGGGGTACGTGGCGATGTCGCCGACGGCGTAGACGTCCTTGAGCCCCACGACGGAGAAGTTCTCGTCCGTCTTGAGGGAGCCGTCGCCCTCGAGGCGCACGACGCTGTTGCTCCGGAGGAACTCGGTGGCCGGCGCCACGCCGACGCCCAGGATGACGAGGTCGGCCTCGAGCTTGGTGCCGTCCTTGAGGTGCACGCTGCCGACGAGGGACGGGTCCGAGGTCGACGGCTCGGCCTTGTCAACGCCCGCCGACATGTAGAACTTGACGCCGTTCTTCTCGAGGCCCTTTTGTGCCACGGCGCCCACCTGCTCGCCCAGGACGCGCTCGAGCGGGACCTTCTCCATGCCGACGACGGTGACGGTGTTGTCCTTGGCCGTGGCGTTGGCGACCTCCATGCCGATGAAGGAGGAGCCGACGATGACGATCTTCTTGCCCTTGTCGCCGATGGCGGCGACGATCTTCTTGACATCGTGCACCGTGCGCAGCGTGAAGATGTTGCCGAGGACCTTGAAGCCCTGCAGCGGCAGGTTCTTGGGCACGCCGCCGGTGGAGAGGATGAGCTTGGTGTAGGCGTAGTTCTCGCCCTTCTTGGTCGTCACGCGCTTGGCCGCAAAGTCGACGCCCGTGACCTCGTCCTCGACGACCTCGACGCTGCCGGACTTGAACCAGTCGGCGTCGCGCCACTGCAACTTGTCGAGGTCGGTCATCAGGGCCTTGGATAGCTTGGGCCGGTCGATGGGCAGGTAGCCCTCGGAGGAGATCATGGTGATGGGGCCCTGGAAGCCCTTCTCGCGCAGGCCTTCGACGGCGCCGATGGCCCCAGAGCCGCCGCCCACGACGACCACCCTGTCAGCCTGGGCGCCGGTCTGGGCGCTGCACTTGAATGGCGGCTTCCTCCTGCCGGCCTTGATGGTGTCCTTCTCGCCGGTTATGTAGACGGCGCCGTCGCGCTCGACGACTTTGAAGACAGGGAGGGCATCGAGAGCAGGCGCGTCTTCGACGTCGCCCGTCTTGCCGTTAAAGCATGCTGTGACAGTGCGGGGCGAGTATGTCAGGTTCCGTTGAAAGATGGCCTTGGTCGGGATTGGAAAATGATATCGATCGGGACTCACCTCCATGCCACGGACAAGTGATACGACCGCCGGTGGTTAGCACGCCTTTAACTAGAGGTGCCCCGTAATGTGTGCCTGGTTGTCGCTCGAAGTTAGTCCAACGGACGTTGCAAAGTGCTTCGGATGATGCTCTGCGGCGAGCGAAGGGGCGGATGATGGCGAGATTGCCTACACTTGGGCCCGATGGCCTGAATCTGTCCTCCGGCATTGAGCAGGAGTACCTTGGTCTCGTCGATGCCCTCGACCTCGACTTCCTGCTTGTCACCTGGCTTGAGATCCAACGACGTCACCGACTTGAGCTTGAACTCTTGCGCCATGGCGACGACAGCGGATGCGGAAAAGGTGCGGTGGGCCGTCTGGGGCGGGACTGTGATGACAATTCGGGATGCGCGGCAGAATACTGAGGTGGCTAGCGAAGAGCGGAAGCTTCTCTGAAGGAATACGGAGGGTAGAGTGTTCATGAGGTGGGAAGCTGGGGGGATCCAACGCAGGGCAGCCTGGATGTCGGGGGCGACGGAGAGGCGGGGTCTGGGTCGTCGAGCTTGGTTGCACGCAGCTCGCATTTATCAGCGGTGCATCGTCGCGACATGATAAGCTCGGCCAACGGCAAGGTATCCATGACGGAAGACAATAGGTACCACGCCCTCGAGGAATGGTCCGTCATTGAAGCTCTGCAAGCTCCCATCCTGGTCCTCCCCCCACCCTCCGAGACATGCTCTGCTGATTCCTGCAGCGTAATCGCCATTTCCGAGCCCTGTGAGTGGCTGCGACGCCTGGAGCTAGGGCCCTAGCGCCCCTGGCGACAGCGCCCATGACGCGACCAAAAGGCGATGGTTCCACTCGGTTCAGTGGGTGTCGATCGGTACACAGGCACCTAACTGGGGTCGACCCCACCTTTTGAAACGGCAAATCGAACCATGCCACACGATGTTCACCTACAACAGAACTGGAGTGGCTAGAAACTTGCGACAGCCTCAGTTGAACTGGCTATTGGAACATCACAGTGGGAGAGACAAAATTATCGATTAACAGGAGTGTATTTCAATGGCTGGCAGTGTGTAGAGTCTTTGGATTGTGCCATCTCGGACTCTTGAACGACCTGGTCCGCAACAGACCTAGGTAGCTCAGAGTCATTGACGGCAAGTACACTTTCTCCCGAGATGCCTCCCTGCCTGTAAGAGTTCCTGTGAAAACTGTATCCCGTCATACAACTAACCCAGAAGGGTGATAGCAATGATGTCAACTGATTCTTGAAGAGGCTAGCTGGGAGAAGTTCCTTAGGATCAAAACCATGATCGGATGGAAGCTGAAAGTCACAAGGTTGGGAAATGGAATGGTTTGGAGACAAAGCTGAGAGGTAGTCACAGCGGCAGGAAGGATAAACATTGTTGCGTAATACATAAGCTTTTAGGTTACTATTCCGAGACTTGAGTGGAGGAGAGGATATTCCCTTTAGATCCAACGACATTCGTGCTTGTATCATGCTGACACAAAGGCATTATTATGCTCGAGCCATTGTTTATATATTTGGAGGTACACAATCGTGACAGTCCAGGCAATCCCACCGCCAAACATGATCCCCAACAGTCTGCGTATGCCATGCAACGTGCTTGTTAGCAATTAAAATATGCTTGCCGTTGAACTTCTCTCGGGCGGAGCAACAGAAGCTCACGATATCTTTGATGTTATGGAGCGGCCGGATGCAGAGGTTTTTCTGCAAAGAGCAATACGCTAGAAGGTCACGCTGGAAGAAGTTGAGTGAGGCCGGCTTGTGGATAGTGAAGAAAACAAAGCAGAGGGGCGTGATGTTTGGTACCTACCTCTTATGCGGGTTGCCTGTGTTGCGCCGATGCTAATGATTGCAGACCAGGATATTGCAGGCAAGCGAATCAGTCAGAGTTACGATATTCTTGGAAAGTAACTCGTTCCATTGATTGGTACAACGCAGTATCTGAGCTGCGATTCACTGCGAGGAGAGGTGGGAATGAGAACAATGGAGAAGACAAGAAATGAGAGATGGAGATATTTGAGCAGCTTGAGCAAACATCACTAAGCAGTTGGGGAGAGCCCCTCTAACTCAAATATAGAAAAGAGAAAAGGAAAGGAAAATAAAGAAGAAAATAAAAGAGAAAACAAAAAAGAGAGAAGTTTAAAGCCACTGGTTTATCAGGGAAAAATGAAATGAAGATTATTAAGAAGTCAGCTTTAATAAGAGTCTCAAGTTGAAGAGGAAGTTTCAACACCAAGAGAAAAAGCAAAAGAAAAAAAAATGTTTGAAGCAGGGTTCGAACTTCGCATCTATCCTCAACATGTATCGCCCAAAGGAACTCCTCTAGGGGTAAGCATTTGATGTCATTGTTCGTGTATCCCCCTGAACCAAATCCCCCTGAACCAACTAACCCGCTTGCTTCAATGTTGAGAGTGATCACTTCTAAACTTACTTATGAGGCCTACCTTCGGCCCACAGTCTTCGACGCTTCCCCCGTGCAAGCTCAGTGCGAGGACAACTGACCATGCCAACGAATGCCTGTCTCCAAATAAGGCAAGGAGAAAACACGCGAAGCACGAACCTGTAACCGTGCCATTGGTATTAACTTCACGCATCCCCTTTTAGAGCTCTTGGTAACTCTTGGGCGAAGACAGACGGTCAAATTTTGAGCAATGGGGATATCGCACCCCTAAGCTCGCGATGTTCACGCAAGGCTCTCATCTGCTCTCTGCCCTGATGCCACACCCCAACCACTGGGCAATGATCGAAGGGCACGGATCTTATGTCAGACTGAGAATCCGACAGGCACAGTTTCTTCCTACGAAGTACTGTAGGCAAGGTGGAATGATAAGTACGCATCTTCGTTATTCAAAAAGCTCTGTGTGCCAGCAACTTCAAAGAGCCATCTTGGACTCTTGAACCACCTGGTCCGCAACATACCTAGGTAGCTCAGAGTCATTGGCGCCAAGTACACTTTCTTCCGAAATGCCCTCATGCAACGAATCCAGAAGCTTGATGGCAATGACTTCAACACGACCCTCGAAGGGGCTTGCTGGGAGAAGTGTCTTGGGATCACAAAGATGATCGAGTTTCTTTCGCGTCTTCCCGCTCGCCTATTCTCGTCTTCAACTTCTCTAACATGCTACTTGGAGTCAGCAAGTTGCTTCAATTGAGTCTGGCAGAGCTCTCGAGCCTCGGGAATAATAACGATGATGGCATGATATACAAGCAATTACGGTGGCCGGAGGAGACTGGGAGAACGTGAAACAAGTATCCCGAAGCATGACTGGGCTTGGAGGGTATCTCCTGTTTCCAGCCACTGTTCCTATTTGGGTCAGCTGACTCAAAAGATTCATTCATGTATTACTGGTTTGCATGTTTGGATGGACACATAGACGCTCGGCAACCCAAGCAATGCTATCTCCAAACACGATTCCAACCGTTTGCACAAGGCGGGTTGATGTGAATTCCCATGACGCAGTAATTGTTTCTCAATACGAACAAGCTATTTATTACACTATGCGAGTCTTGATAAACATCGCATGACACCCTTTTCCGCAGACAACCCTGAACACCTCTATTCCTCATTCATTTCCGTCGATCGACGAACTTGCCAAAAGCCAGCCTCCTTCCAAGACTCCTCAGACTCTGGGAGAACCACACCGCCCTTCACTAGTTCCTGCAGGAACATGCAGCTCAGTGTCAACGAGTCCATGTCGGCAGTCACCGGGCTGCGGAGCTTTCCTCCCCACTGGACGGTGCCAAGGGAAGCACCGTGCCTACCGAGCCACTCGACGAGTGTGCCAACCACTCTCTCCCGGAAGTCTTTGTTGAGAGGCTGGTTTTCCGCGGCATACTCCCACCAAAACTCGCAATTGCGCTCGTAGACCAGACTGGGGTCGAACAGGACCACGTGGATGAACTGTTTGTCGGGGCTTCCGCTGACAACCTCTTTGCGAAGAACGAGGGCCATCCCCATTCGAGGGCACTTGGAGGTCCACTCCTTGGGGTCGCCGTAAGTCCAGTTGGAGAAGAAAGGGCTGAGCAGGCCCATGTAGTGGTCGCGACCTCCGGAAAATGACTTGTCGGCATAGTTGAAAAGGTCATTGAGGGTGTCGTACTCATAGGAGCGCTTGTTTGACCGGCGAAACCATCTCGTTTGCATCCATCGGCTGACAAAGGCGACCGGGTTGACATACATCATCCAGCGGCTGCTGGGGCTGTGGTTGGCGAGGGTGAGATGTGATAGAAACAACCGCGAGGCCTCTGGAAGGGAGTATTGGTGGGGAATGCGTGGAGTAACTCCAGCAAAAGATCTGCAAATACCGTGCAGCTTTGGCGGCACGTAGTGGAGAAGAAGGGCCATCTCATTCCTTGAGAAGTGGTTAGGGAGCCAAGGTGACGGTGGAGAGCCGGTTCCCGCGGTGTCTGCGGTGGCTGCGGTGCCTGTGGTGGCTGCGGTGGCTGCGGTGGCTGCGGTGGCTGCGGTGGCTGCGGTGGCTGCGGTGGCTGCGGTGGCTGCGGTGGCTGCGGTAGGCTGCGAAGCATCACCGGCTGGGACATGTTGAGCAGAGTTGTCGCTAGTCGCGTCAAGCTGTGTGGGACTGAGAGACTCTGCTTGCGCCGCATGGAGATTCAGCGTAAGCTGGAAGGTTGGTGCAGCGGGTAGTCGCTTCACTCGCTCAACGATCTTGATGAATTCATCTGCCTTCTTGGTCAAGGGGGTGATGTGGACTTTGCCCTCCCAGTTCCGGCGAGCTTGACAATAATAGCCAATCAACCGCATGACTTGGTCCGGTGACAGCTTTCGATTGTGAGGCAGCCTGTTAATGATGGTCCGCCAGAACTCGTATCCTTTTCCTCGACAGAGGACGTAAAGTTCCTCTTCCTTGATACAGATGTCGAACAAAACCAGGAGATTCTCGCGGCAAATCTCCTTCAGCTGGCTTCCGGTCTTCGATTTGCGGTCTTTGCCAAACAAGAAGTCGTTGATGGCCTCTCCATCTTGATTCGATGCGTCAATTGCGTACCCAAAGTAGAACCCCTCCTGCACCCAGCACTTATGGAGCTTACGCATCGTAAGACTGACACCAGCGGGATTTGTTTCGAAGATCAGGTTATTGATTAAGAGAAAATCCCCCAAAGAGGGGCAAGGGAAGGGGAAGGTGAAGCGATGGTCAGAAAATAATGAAAGAGTGAGGAGGTGAAGAGGGAGGGAGGGAGCAAGAAAAGTGAGGAGAGCTGAAAGAAGAGAAGCGTGGGACTGGTGGGCGACAACAGCTCCCAAAAGTTACCCTATGGAAGAAACCAAATAAATCAGTGAAGACAAGGAGCCAATCAGATATTTAGACGGGGATACAACACAGGAGTGAAAAAATAAAGTCAAAGCTCTGGTCATCCAGGCGATCGGTAAAGCGAAAATCTGAAATGGGCAAAAAAGAGGGAAAAAAAAGGTGGCCAAAGCCGGGATCGAACCTCGCATCAACTGTAAACTTGAAATCCAGTTGGTGAGCGGGGGCTAAGCGTAGGGGGTTGCTCTTCATGGAAGTCTATTATCAATTTCCTGGTCCGTCCGTGTGCTATCCAACTGCACCAAGGCACCCGACTTCTGGCTGTATTGACAGAACTTCGTCTAAACTTATATATAAGGGACACCGCAGGATCAAATTCTTCAACCCCATACTCTATGTAACCATAAATCCCGACTGTTGTCAACCACATGAAGCTCTGCACACAGGCCATCGACAAGAACTTTGTGAGCTTCCTTTTATTTCCCTTCAAATAACTAGGCTTGGATACAAGAGCTTGTTGACTATTTGAGCGGCTTGGGTCCCAGCCATAAACCCGTGATGTTCACGCAAGGCTCTCATCTGCTCTCCGCACTGATGCCACAACCCAACCACTGCGCATTGCATCGGCATCATAGGTAGCTTACATTACCGCTAATGCTTTACCCAGACCAAGTTTCAGGCATGGAATGTGTCGTTGCTAACCACCCTTTCCGGTGACATGTGCGTTTCGCATTTTTTCCCCCATTCGGAACTATTCCCTGAGGAAGTCATGTGCACGAGGCAGCTTGGAGACGATGGATTACGGCAATGCAAAGAACAATCGGATGTATAATCGTGCTACATTCAAGCCAACCCGGTATAGGGACCCGATGAGAGACGGGATGTCGTTGAGTGTCTAAACTCCTAAAGTAGCTAGCTGCCGGGTCTGCCGACCAGCCGCATGCTTGGCACCCCGTCCCGGCCCCAGTTATTACGTATCATGGAGATCCACCCCAACCAGACCAACCAGCCGCCCAGCACTAAGGGACGGATCTTATGTCAGACTGGGAATCCTACAGGCACAGTTTCTTCCTACTGTACCTAGGCAAGGTGGAATGATATAAGTACGCATCTTTGTAATTCCCAAAGCTCCGTGTGCCAGCAATTTCAAAGCTATTGACGAAGACTCTCCCCTCCAGTAGCATGGAGGTACTAGCGGTCGTCGCCGCATGGGCCTTCGCCTCCCTGTCGAGTAGCGTACCCGGAGGCCCACACCTGCCCGGAACAGTCGCGACGACCGTGTCGCATTTCACCTCGCTGCTTTCTCCAAATGCGTCGATACACTTCCGGGGGTCCGAGGCCTTTCACAACTCGACGCTTCGTTGGTCGGCCTACGAGAAGCCCGAGTTCCTTGTTGCAGTCGAGGTTGCGACTGAGCGCGATGTCCAACAGGCGGTAAGAGAAAGAGTCGCCAATGGAAACAAGGGGGACTCCCTGGCTCTCGACACTCATGACTGACTCTCTCTTGGCCTAGGTGAGACTCGCCAACGCGCTGCATCTGCCATTCCTAGCCACGGCCGGTGGGCACGGTGGGATTGCCTCTCTGGGTCAAATGCACCATGGCGTCCAGATCAACCTGCGACAGCTCAACTCGGTCGAGATACAGGACGACGGCAGGAGCGCCGTTATGGGAGGCGGAGTCTTGACGAAAGAAGTGACCGACGCCCTGTGGGCCGAGGGGAAACAGACTGGTTCGTGCCAGGAGGGAAATGTTGAAAGTTTAGGTGATTTGCGCTGACGCATCCCGCCCAGTCACCGGTCTCTGCGAATGCACTTCGCTGCTTGGCCCTACCCTCGGCGGCGGCCACGGCTGGCTGCAAGGGCGCTATGGCCTGGGCATCGATAACATCCTCGAAGCCAACGTTGTGCTTGCCAATGGGTCCCTTGTCACCGCCTCGTCTGACTCGCATCCGGACCTGTTCTGGGGCCTCCGAGGTGCTGGGCACAACTTTGGAATCGTCACCGCTGTCAAATACAAGATCTACGACGTCCCTGAGGGCAACATCTGGACCCTGGGCACGTATGTGTTCACGCAGGACAAACTGGAGCCTTTGTTCGAGCTCTTCAACGAACTAGGGGCTCAAGGCAAGGTTGAGCTGCTGACATGGGCATACTTCCTGTCGCTGCCGGATGTTGATCCGAACAATGTTGGCTTGCTCTGTCCCAGATCTACTCATGCTCCCCTCTGCTGACTCGCCTTTCCACAGGCTTCGATCACAGCATATCTCGTGTACGAAGGCAGCGAGGACGAGGCAGCGCCCTACCATGCTATGTTCATGGCTCTGGAGCCCGTGATGGCTACGACGACCCCCGCCGAGTTCCCCGAGCTGCCGGGGCTCACATATCAAGATCTGGCCTCGATTGCGTGCCTGCATGGCGGTTACAGCGCGGTCCGGTTCCCTGTGAGCACTACGGAGTACAACATAGCTGCCCATCGTGCAGCGTTCGACCTGTTCAGCGAAGCATTACAAAAGCACCCCGGGCTGAACAACTCGTTCTTCATCAGCGAGGGCTACACTCTGAAAGGCGTCCAGGAAGTCCCCGAGGAGAGCACGGCGTACCCGGACAGGTTCAACAGTATCTTGCTGTAAGCTTATCCCCACCCCATGTCGCAATGGAATCAGGTGGCGGCTGATGCATGGTAGATCACCCATCTTGATCTACTTTGACTCGTCCCTGGACGAAGAGGCCCTCAAGGTCGGCAAGGCGCTCCGAAATGTGTTGGTGGGCGGTACGGAGTCGAAGAAGCTGTACGCATATGTCAATTACGCGACGGGTGACGAGAGCGTCGAGGCGATGTATGGCTACGAGGAGTGGCGGATCAGCAAGCTGCGGGCTCTGAAGGCCAAGTACGACCCGGCCAACGAATTTCGCTTCTATGGTCCTATCGTGTAGGTGGCTGAGGACAATCTCGGGCATTTGTTGGGTTTGCTGCGCTTGGTTGACCGTAGACGTGCCCGAACTGGCTGTGTGTCCACTTTTGATCGTGTTTATCGCGGCGGCCGCCAGAACAGGCCTCGGGCTGGAAAAGAGGACAGAGGAGGCTGGTGGGGGTGTCGTGATTGGTGTGGGATGAATGCAGTCCCGGCTTCTTTCGTCATAGGCCTGCCCGTTTCGAGGAGATGCAGGGGTATGGCAGGTGTTTGTTTGGTGGGGAGCTGTCAACCACGCGCTGGGATGTGTTCCCGGGTTTTGGTGCCTGAACGTGATTGTTTTGACAGCGGTCGCAAAACGGGATTTCCAAACCTGCTGTCGATGTGAGCGATGACAACAGCCAGTACAAATGATTGGAGCTGCCGTCGATCCTGAGTTTGATTGTCTTGTCGTGGACCAGCCGCTGCAAGCTGTCGTTGAAGATCTGCAATTGAATCTCCACCCCTGCGAGTTCACCACTTTAACGCAGAGTCGCGCCAGAGTCACGCTAATAAATTGTGAAAAGCGCCATCACTTGTTCTCGAGTCGTGCCTGGCCGGGATGGTGTCCTGTCCCCACCATCGCCCTCGACGCCCTCCACCTTTGCTCGCTTCAATGTCCCCCCCCTCGCGTCGGCCGGACCCTCCCTGCTAATCTAATCCGACTCAACCTCAATCAGAGAATTGAAGAAACGAAACCACCTCGACACCCGGCATCGTCTCCCTTGCGTCTAGCCGACCGTTTCCCCTTCTCTAGCTGCCGCTGGTCTACACCCTCTCTGCACCCAGCAGCATGCGGCTGCGGGAGCCATCGCCCTTCCCCAGCGCGCAGCACCAGGTCTGCATCTCCCCCCAGATCGCAGTGCCATGGCCGATCCCCAGCAATCCGGCAAGCCTCACCATGACACCATGGATCTCGACGACCTGCTCAAGACGGCCGCTACCAGCGAGCCCGCCGCTCTCCAGTGCTGCTGCGGGCGCCCGGACTGCTCCGTCTTGAAGCACAATTGCTCAGTGCTCGACAGCGTCGAGAAGGATGTCTACACGGCCGCTTCGATGGGCAAGGTACGTGAATGCATGCGTGGTTCACCTCGTCCTCTTGACACCCGCCACCCCGCTCCCTTTCTACGTTATCGTGTGTTTCACAAGGCGTCACTCTCTGGTCCCCTAGCCGGGGCCGGCTCTTTGTTCAAATTCCAGTCGGACCCCTCTTGCTTCCATTTTTCAGCTCGCCTTGTCCTGTCCTGGCTGTCCATGTGCCTCTGCTGCGGGCCCTGATCGTTGTCTCTCGGCTTCCGCTAGGCGAGCATTCCAACCGCTGGCGCATGGCACAACACATCATACCCTACCCTTCTCGTCTCTCTCCCAGAAAAATATTCGCGTCTGCTGGAATGCCGACTCGCCATAGACCCTTGTTTCTCTGCAACGCTCCTCCAGCAGCAGCAGTAGCAGTCGCAGCATCAGCACCTCCAGCAGCCATGGAGTGCGATGCGCTGCCTTCGGCCGATCCGGCACCCTCGCTGACATTTGCCTTGCAGGCTCTCCTCGTCCGGTACAATGCCTCTGTGGCCGATGCCGAGCGCGACCGCAGCGAGCTGTCCGCCCGCATCGAGCAGCTCGAGATGGACAAGAAGGAGCTCGAGGCCGAGAACGTCCGCACCGTCGCCGAGAACAGGGCCCTCCTCGACCAGCTCGAGACTCTCAACACCACCGTCGCCGACTCGGACGTGCGTATCAAGTCCCTCGAAGCCACCCTGCACTCCTCGCAGCTGGCCGTCCGGAGGTTAGAAGGCGCCTCGCAGCGCGCCGAGGACATGGAGGGACACCTGGCGCTGCTGGAGCAGGAGCAGGCGGCGCTGCAGCGCACTCTGCTCGACACCGAGTCGGAAAGGCGCTCGGCCATGTCGCGGTGGAAGAAGGCGGAGCGCGGCATATCGGACCTCCAACAGCAGCTCGAGCGCATGGAGAAGGAGGCCAAGGAGGAGCGCGAGCGTCACGTCGAGCTGATGGGCAAGGTGGAGAGGCAGCGCGCCATGGAGAAGGAGCTCAACACCGCCGCAGGTCGTCTCAAGGGCGCGGCTGCCGCCAAGTCGATGCAGGACGGCAAGAGTGGTAGCAACGTCGTCTCGCACTTTGTGCGCGACTTGCTGCAGGACAATGCCAACCTCCAGGTCGGGCTGGCCGAGATGCGCGAACTGCTCATGAACTCGCACGACGAGATCCAGATGCTGCGCGAACAGCTCATGCTTCACCAGCCCGTCGAAGAAGAGCCTGACGTCAGCGCCGCCTCAACTCTGCGGGCTGAGCTGGACACCGTTGCGCCCACGCCACAGTCCACTCCGACCAAACATGCGACGCAACACTCGCCGTCGCTATCGCAGGAACTGCATATCCACCACCACTACCACGTTGCCAACAAGGGGGACAAGTCCCGAAATCGCAAAAAGAGACAAAGCCTCAACCCTGGCATATTCACACACCCTGCCGCACCCTCGTCGCCGCAATGGAGGAATCAGCAGCGCTCTCCTGCGCCTCTTTTCAGGACTCACAGAGCCAAAGACTCGGCATCCACTGGCCCGTCGCACCGGTGGTCTGTCTTCTCCGAGCAGCCCTCGGATTTCGCGTCCTCTGTGCCTAGCTCACCGCTATCCAATCCCCGGCACTCCATGTTCGACCGCGGGTTCATGGACGGTTCTCTGCCAGGGTCTCCCACTACCAGTGTGGACCCCATGTCCCCGACCTGGAACATGTCTCATCAACGACAGTTTTCAGATCTCTCGGCGCGAGCATTCCCTGGCAATCCGCCCCTCTCAGATATTGCTGGCTCATGCCCGGCAGCCGAACAACATTCGACGGGCGTAAACGATCCTCACCCGCTAGCCCTGCCGATTGATGCCGACGAGCCCACATCGGAAGACCGCGATGAGGAGGCTGAAGAAGCCGGGGAGACCGAGGAACCAGACCTCGTTTCCAATACGACAGCAACCGAAGAGTCACTCGAACGCACCGACAACACACCAACCGTGGCGCCACCCTTCGTGTTTCCCAATATCGATGCAGCCCTCCACCAAGACGCCTTTTCTGAAGACTTTTCTGACGACCCCGTCTTCACACCTACCCGCAGCGCCAGACCAACACTGCACCGCGCCATGTCCCACGAGTCGATTCTCTCGTTGTCTGGCGGCCTTGACATCCACACCTTGAAGTCCCGACCCAGTCAGATGACGTTGCGGCCGATCGGAGCAACCACGGCCGACACTGGACTGTCTGCGATCACGGCCCAACCCACCATCTCTGTCGGTACAGTCAACGGCAAGCGAGGCAGCATGTTCTTAAGGGACAGTCTTTCCGACGCCGGTATGGGGCTGCCCATGCCTAGAACACGGATCGCGTCTGGTCCTAGTACGCCTCCTACTCGTGCCAACGCCGAAACGCCTCAGCGCGCGGCTTCCAGCGGGCTCAAGCTCGGGCGCTTCGTCTCTTGGCGCCCGTGGGGAAACAGCAACAGCAGCACCACGGCCTCCCCGTCCACATCAACCATAAATGTAGAGGCTAGTACCACTCCTCAGCCACGTCGCTCTAAGACGCCGACCCCGACGCCCACGTCTGCCAAATCGGCAACGCCGGCCGAGATTGGTCTGAGAGACTTTTCGCGTGCGTCTGGCATCAACCAGCCCGGCTCGATACCTGGGTTCTACGAGTACTGGGCTGCTCACCAGCGTTTGAGAGCGCCGCCGAGCAAGGTGCTGCCTGACGTTGTCGATCAGGACGCATTACGGGAGGGCCTGGAGGGTCTCTGAGTGGTGTCCATCTGGTGTCTCTGGACAAGTTTTGTGCATGTCGGCGGTACCCATTGTTCACCCGTTGGGGAGCTTTCATTTCATCTTTCCTTTCTTTTGTCTTTTTTTGCATACCGGCGGCAGTTTTCGGCGTTGCTTTTGGAAAGCGGATCGTACGATACTAGCATTTGCCCTCTCTGTGGGTAACGGGTGGGCTCGATCAGTTGGAGGGCTTCATTCTTGGATACCCATGTTCTTTTGTTTGTGTTTGTCCAGCACGCGATTGCATTGCCACTTGTCTTTTCCTTTGTGTGTTTTGGCCGATGACCACAGTTGGAAGAACATCGGTCGGTTCCTTAGTTTGGCCAACCATTTTGCATGGCGTGTCGGGCCTCATATGGAGAGGTGCGACACCGCCCAACGTACGATTCACTGTCCATATAAATATCATTATCCAGATATTTTAATAGCACCTTCATATACGTATGTCCGCAATTCACTTGTGTCGTGTGAAATCTTAGGCTTCCTAGCACATAACCAAAACGTACCTAGGTAGCCCGCCATTCTCGAATGGCCGGACCGAATCCTTTATTTGGGCCCCTGTCGTTAACATGCAGCAGTGCTTATGTACACGACATAGCCATTCACCCTTTGACGGCACACTCCGCATGACATCACAAAGCTCCCTGCGGGGAGACCAGGATTCAGTGTGGGGTTGGAGGGATTGTCGACGAGCATCCCTGCCCGAGACGGCAACTCCTTTGCCGGGTGCCCCGCGACTCGCCGGTAGAGGAAGCTCGGGAGGGTGGTGGAACGTAGCATTCAAGCAAGTGGTCTGCTGGTCTGCTGGACCACGCGGACCTCTCGGTGCAATCAAACTGTGCGCTGCTGACCATGATTCATCCTGAGATCCAGGAACAGGCTTGCAGCTATCCCGGCTCTCTGCGGGGAGGAGAGGGGAAGCTCTGTCTTGGTCCTGGGAGAAAAGGTTTAATTGAACCATGGGTCCGTGATGAGCAATTTTGCCGGTACTGTACCGAGGACTTTTCACCAGGCTTGCTTCTGCACAGCTTCTGTCCTTGCTAGCGGTCGCTCCAGTTCGCGGCATATTCATCATGCGTCGACAGATGGCCCTGCAGCTGCCTCTGCTGGCACTCACAGCAACCGCGTCGCTCGCCGCGTCGCCTGCTGCACAACCGCCAGCTTCATGTCCAGACTACGCCGAGTATTCCAAGACCAAGCACCCTCCGTACAGCTCCGGCCCGCTCCAGCTTGGATACATGCGCCCGGAGCCTCAATGTCGCACATTCAACTCGTCGGACGTGGGGGATATCCTCAAGGACATGGAGGGAGCCATCGCCAACCCGGATCTCTACCGCTTCTTCCACAACGCCTACCCCAACACGCTCGACACGGCGATCCGATGGCACGGCGTGGCGGCCGACAACCCGGATGAGGAGCTGACGTTTGTCATCACGGGCGACATTGACGCCATGTGGCTGCGCGATTCGGCGAACCAGATGCAGTCGTACCTGCCCGTGCTCAAGCCGTCCGACTCGAAAGACAGCATCGCGTCCCTCTTCAGGGGCGTGATCAACCTGCAGGCCCGCTACCTCCTCGCCTCGCCCTACTGCAACAGCTTCCAGGCGCCCGCCGAGTCGGCCATCCCGCCGGCCGTCAACGGCGCCGCCAAGCAGGACGCCGTCAAGCCGCCGTACGACAACGCCACGGTCTTCGAGTGCAAGTACGAGCTCGACAGCCTCGCGGCCTTTTTGCAGGTCTCGTCACAGTACCTCGACGCGACGGCCGACGAGGGCTTCTTCGCCCGGTTCGCCTGGGCGAGGGCCGCGCGGGCGGTGCTCGACACGGCGCGCGCCATGACGCGGCCCACGTACGGCGAGGACGGCCGCGTGCTCGAGAACCCGTACACCTTCACGCGGGACACGACGCGGGCGACCGAGACGCTGGCCAACGACGGGGCCGGCAGCCCCGTCGCCAACGGCACGGGCCTCGTGCGCTCCGCGTTCCGCCCCAGCGACGACAGCACCATCTTCCAGCTCCTGGTGCCTTCCAACATGATGTTCTCGTACTACCTGCGCAAGGCGGCGGGGATCGCGACGGCCGTCGGCGAGGCGGCGCTGGCGGGCGAGATGACGAGCCTCGCGGAGCAGATCCGCGACGGGATAGCGCGGCACGCCGTCGTGCGCAAGGGCGGGCCCGACGGGCCCAAGGTGTTCGCGTTCGAGGTCGACGGGTTCGGGTCCGCGGTCGTCATGGACGACGCCAACGTGCCGAGCCTGCTGGCCGCGCCGTTCTGGGAGTTCGACAAGGGCGACTTTGCCGAGATCTACGCCAACACGCGGCGCGCGGTGCTAGACGAGGACGGGCCGGACGGGAACCCTTACTTCATGAGGGGCCCCGTGCTGAGCGCCGTGGGGGGGCCGCACGTCGGGCCCGGCAAGGGGTGGCCCATGGCCAGCGTGGTGCGGATACTGACGAGCGACGACGACGGGGAGATCACGGGCGTGCTGGGCGAGGTGCTGCGGAGCACGGACGGGATCGGGCTTATGCATGAGAGTGTTGATGCGTTCAATGCGAGTATCTGGACACGGCAGTGGTGAGTTTTTCCTCGACTCTTTATTTTCGCGTTGTTGACTTGGCGTGTTACTGACGAAGTGAAATAGGTTCTCTTGGGCGAACGGGCTGTTTGGGCAGATGATTATCGATCTGAAGAAGAGGAAGCCGGAGTTGCTGAAGCAAGGGTTCAAATGCAAGAGGAAGATGTGATGACTTGCGGCTAGATCGTGTGTTTTGCGCGGTAGCCAGGGTGATCGAGCAGATTGACGAACGCTGTCGATTCGATCTTGAATAGGAAATAATGATTAATGCCAGCTGTTTCAATGAGCGAAGGCTCTGAAGACAAACTATCAGAAAGGGTGGTGGTACAGGTAGTCAGTCGCCCTGGTGATGTCTCACAGTGGTGTCTTGGGCAAGCGACTCATAATGCAGACGTTGGCTCGTTTAATGTGGGTGATTGTCAGGCAGGCATTCAGCATGAAAGGGGCTGGATTGTCACAAAGGCTTGCATATTCACAACAGGCAACTTGGTTTACAGAGGTATGGGCTTTATTGCAAACTCCTCAAAAGGAGAGCCTATCAACTGCAGCAATGCACCAGGCATGCTATCTCTCCTCATTTCCCATGCCTCGCAACAACTCCTATTTTCTTCCAACACCATCCTAGTATAACCAGCAGCCGCGATTCAAGCCTGAGCTGCTGCCGGAGCAGCTCCGATGACGCCCTTGACGCAGACCTGGCCCGCCGCCAGCTGTTGAGGCACGGCGTAGCCAAAGTTGCAAAGACCGAAGTAGCCAGGCTGAAGGCAGATGATCGCTCCCGACTCGGGGCACGGAACAGCCTTGGGGTCGTGAGGAGTATCTGTGGGACCTCCAGCTGCCGGGGTTTGCTGAGCAGCGCTTGTGGCAGCAGGCGAAGCAGCAGAGGTCGCCGCCGGGGGAGGGGCGGAGCCCGCTGGATCCTTGGACTTGGTCGCAGAAGACAGGGTGGTAGCGACCGAGCTTGGGACGTTGGATGCGGTCGGAGGGGCGGATGCAAAGGAGTCACTAGCAGTCGACGTCGTAGTCATGCTTGTGCCACTACCGGCGGGAGGTCCCTGCGATGAGCCACCCGAGTTGCTGGTGCCGCCAGTCGAGCCAGATTTGAACGTGTCGGGGAGGACGCCAGCCGGGCACGAGCCCTGGCTGTCCAAGGTCGGATGACCGTAGAACTGGCCAAACTTGCCCGGGTTGGGGAAGCCGAGGACCGAGCCTCCCTCCTTGGTGGTGCACTTGCCAGGGATGTTGGCCACGAAGACGGGCGGCAGCTCCTTGATGAAGGCCTCGTCGCCCGAGCCGCCCTCGATCTCGACGGGCGCGCAGTTCATGTACATCTCTCGGTTGCCGATCTTGTTGAACCAGGTCCAGGCGAAGATGGCCTTGCCGTTCTTCATCTCCTTGGGGATGGGGACGTAGAAGTCGCGGACGCACTCGGTGTCACGGTCGTTGTTGCAGTGCGGGCCGTCCTCGCGGCCGTGCGGGTCCTTGCCGTTGGTCTGCAGGTTGCCTGCGGCGGCCTCGCCGGGGCAGCCGCCGATGATAGAGTAGATGGTGTGCCAGCCGGACGGATCGGAGGGGGCCTGGTCACCGTAGGCGACGGCGAACTGGCAGGAGCCGCCGCCGTGGATCGCGCTGCCCAGGAACTTGACGGTCTGGGTGGTGCCGGCGGTCATCTTGGTGACCTTCTCGGCATGCTCGGTGCGGCCCTGGCAAGGGAAGGGCAGCTTGTCGTCCAGGGGCCAGGTCTGGACGAGAGGCGCGGTGTCGAGATTGTAGGGCTGCGGCTCGATCATGAGCATGTGGGCCTTGGTGAGGCTGGTGCCCGCGATGAGCGCGGTCTGTAGCACGTTGTACTTGTGCATGATGAAGGCTCGTGATGGATTCTTTCTTGTGTTGCTTTGTTGGCAAGTTTCGATGAAGTCTTTGGGTTTTTCGAGGTCAATATGACGTTGTGTCTCTTGGGGCAAAGAAGAGCTGATCTCGCGAGCGGGCCTTTATACTTCGGTTCTGGGAACAAAGCGAGGAAGTGTTGTTGGTGTAGTGATCTTTGTTTCTCGAGAGGTGAAAGAGGAAGCTGCTGGACAAGAAGCACTGGAAAAAAGAGGTTGAACCGCGTCGTGCCCGCTGTTCACCGGCTGGTTTGTTGACAAAGAACAATAATGTGGGAGGCAAATTAGTCAGGAGGTCATTGAGACAGTAAAGTGAATGACTGTGACGCGTCTGAATGGCGCGCTCGACCTGGCGTTCAATTGTGGTACCAAACAATGGGCGCCTCTTTGTTCAGTAAAATCTCAGACTACTTTCAAGAATATGGAGAGTTCAGAACGCGTTCAGCTTGTGTTCAAACTTGGCTCTCTTGGTACAGCTCAAGCCCGATACGGCAATAGCCTCGTGATAAGCCCCATCCCTCCAGAGATCCTCTCTGCCATGGACTGCTTTTGTTTCTTATTAGCTCAGAAAGGCAGAGTTCAGTAGTCCCTTCTCAGCAGTCATTGAATTTCAGTGACCAGGCTTGGTTTACTGAAACGGTTTGGTTGATACTAGCATCAACAGAACGCCGCCTTGCCCAACGCCCTTCAGTAACCTATGATGACGCTTTGCCTTGCAACCTCTGTGCGACGTGATAACCACCGCTCCACCTGCTGTGTAAGAACTGCAAAGACTGTATGGCTTGGAAACGGATGGGTTTGAATACGTTGCAGAATTATAATAACTTGCACTTCATGACAATGTTACACATGAGTTCAAGTCACACCGAGTCAAAAGCACCATCCCAAGATCTCGAAGTCAACTTTCCGGGTTAAGATCAAAGGTTTGGGACTAATGTCGCATAATCTACTATACTCAGATGTGCATTGTCTCCCTTGAACAGACTTATTGTTCAACTAGCTTGAATTTGTCTCCAACATATGTTGAACGAGATCAACTGCATGACGAGCGGACCAAAGCGTGGAATAACGATATCGATAGCTGGAATTTCACAGTTCATCCCTTTTGCTACGCTTTTCCAGATCCTTTATGCATACCAACCGTATTTCAGTACTTACATCGATGCGTGGTTGACCATATTGATTGGTGCGCTTGCAGAGCATGCTACCCACTCGCATTCGGCATCGGTACTTCAAGGCCGTGGGGAAATATTCCGTCCATGTACTCCCTTCCATAAATGGAAACACATCCAACGTCAAATACGGCTTTGCTTGTGATGTATCGCGTGTTTCCCCACCTGCCCTGCCTTTCAGGGGATCGTGAATGGTCGACGGAGCAGCCGGACCGAACTACGGATCACGAGATTCTAAACCGGCACGAATTATTCCGTGGTGCGAATGAATCTGCCATAAGTGCTCCGCCCACAGCAGTTGATGATGCCTCTTCTAACGGATCAATACATCAACAGCGATGATGAGCGACCATTTTAAAGAGAAGGGAACTACCGCTGGTTTGTAAGATGGCCTTTCGACATTGACACTTTTGGGCACAATTGCAGCCTTTATCTCGCCATGCTCTCAATGTGGAAATTTCTGGTGGGCGTTGTGCTTGTCGTCACTTCGGCAACGCCGGGTGTCAGTGGCGAGTACCCCAACCCGGGACGGGTGACGGGCGACACGGCAGTGCACGATCCCTCTGTCGTAAAGGCACCAAGCGGTTCATACATACTGGCATACACCGGTGCAAACATTGGCCTCAAGACATCGACCGACCGCACCGCGTGGCACAATGCCGGGGCTGCTTTCCCGAACGGAGCGCCGTGGACGAAGGCTTACACCGGAGGCGATACGAACCTGTGGGCCCCGGATATCTCGTACCACAATGGGAAGTACTATATGTACTACTCTGCCTCGACGTTTGGCTCCCAGAAATCGGCAATCTTCCTTGCCACGAGTGCCACCGGTGCGTCCGGCTCGTGGACCAACCATGGGCTGGTGATCGAGTCCTCATCGGCCAACGACTACAATGCCATCGACCCGAACTTGATCGTCGACGCCTCTGGAAAGTGGTGGCTTTCCTTCGGCTCGTTCTGGACGGGCATCAAGATGATCTCCATTGATCCAGGCACTGGCAAACGTACGGGCACGAACCTGCTCTCTCTTGCCAGGCGCACTGAGGCAGGCGGTGCGATCGAGGCCCCGTACATCACTCGCCACGGCAACTACTACTACTTGTGGGTGTCCTTCGACAAGTGCTGCCAGGGTGCTGCCAGCACGTACCGCATCATGGTCGGGCGGTCGACCAGCGTGACCGGCCCGTACGTCGACCGTAGCGGTAGGCAGATGCTTCAGGGAGGCGGTACTGAAGTTATGGCAAGTCATGGATCCATCCACGGACCTGGCCATGAAGCTGTATTCACGGACAACGATTCCGATGTGCTAGTATACCACTACTATGCCGACAGCGGAGCATCGTTTCTGGGCATCAATCTCATTCGGTATGATTCGGACTGGCCTGTAGTGTATTGAAGAGCACGGTCTGCTCCACCAGCCTCGATGACTACACAGCTCGTTGGATTGTCAGTCAAGAGGTTGAGCTTTCCGGAAAGAAAAAAATCTAAAGAAAGTATGTACGCAATAGCTCAATGCCAGACTTACAATTCATGTGGTCCTGTGTTCCCATCATTCTTGGGACCTGATCTGTCCAGTAGCACCGAACTCTTCAACTCCGTCTCTCCAAGTGCTTACAGGGTCTGAATGGAATTTTATCTCAATGAATCATAATTGAACACCTTTGTGATTGATGCTGTTGACCATCATCGATCAACAACCCATTGATACCTTCGGGCCTCTTCCAAGTCTGAGCCGTGGATGTGTGCTGTGGGAAGAAGCAATTAGGTAAGCCACCCTTGCTGCCGGGGGCTTGAATTAGTGGCGATTGCCACAGCTCCAGTGCAAGCTTGCCCCGCAGCAGCTTGCTGAATGACGCGGGGTCCCACCTGCAGCCTAGCCCACCTTTCTGAAAGCTCAGGTACCGTCCCTGAGGTGATAGGAAGCGGAAAGAAAACACATGGAATGAAAAGCGCAGCTTTGCCTCCAACTCCCATCCACAGCCTCTCCAGGGCACCGTCGTTTCTGCTATCCCATATCACCACCTCACCTTGGCACTCTTGCCCAGTCATCGTCCCAGGCTGGTTTGGACCTCCAGGCGAACAGCACCACCTCCTTCGACAACCCACAAGCCAAGTCCTAGCCGGGCTTTGATCGGCAACGATGGCTTGCCCTCACCTCGCCTCTATCTGTATGGCATTCCGTCTGTCCCTCATTGACTCTGAAATTTGGCTGACACAGACTTCTTTGGACAGCCCTGAAGCCGCCGACTCCAAGCCAGTCCGTCTATCGTGAGGATTGTACACAATGCTTTGACTCCATCGTAAGCTTACACGGCCTCCCGCCACTTCCTTGACCACGGCTGACCAGAGTCTTCAACAGGATGACCCCGACGGCCTCGACGTCTGCCTGCAATGCTTCAACGGAGGCTGCGCCGGTGATAGGCACCATGCCAAGCTCCACAAACTCACCAGCTCCCACCCGCTGGCCCTCAACATCCGCCGCACCCGCAAGAAGGTGGTCCGCGACGAGCCCCCTCCCAAGATGTCCAAGCTCGCCATCTCCGCCGAGACAGAGGCCGACAAATACGATGCAGCACTTGCTGTCAAGTGCCTCGAGTGTAACACGGAGCTGGACAAGGACGACGCCAAGCTGGCCCCCATCGTCCAGGCTATCATGACGGCAAACACATTTTCCAAGAAAGAGGAGGTCAAGGCGTGGGAGCAGGAGCTTACGTCTTGTGAGCACATCCTCACCCTCCAGCAGGATGAGCCGCGCAAGATTGCCTCGCAGGACCTGGGCCACTGCTCCAAGTGCGATCTCAACGAGAATCTCTGGCTTTGTCTGCAGTGCGGCGCTCTAGGCTGTGGCCGGGCCCAGTTTGGAGGCGTTGGCGGCAACTCGCACGCTCTGGCCCACTCCCAGGAGTCGCACCACGGTGTTGCTGTCAAGCTGGGATCGATCACCCCCGAGGGCACGGCGGATGTCTACTGCTACACCTGTGACGAGGAGCGCATCGACGACGACCTGGGTCTGCACCTCGCCAACTGGGGCATTATCTTGGCGGAGCGGCAGAAGACGGAGAAGAGCTTGACCGAGATGCAGATTGAGCAGAACCTGCGATGGGACTTTTCCATGACCACTGAGGACGGCAAGGAGCTCAAACCTGTCTTTGGTCCTGGTCTTACTGGCCTCAAGAACCTAGGAAACAGCTGTTATATGGCGAGTATCCTGCAGTGCCTCTACGATTTCCCTTCCTTCCAGAAGCGCTACGGCGAGGTTACAGAGACTGTCGCCCCGGACGTTTTAGATCCAGCGGAGGATCTCGATACCCAACTTCGCAAGATCGGTGACGGTCTCCTCTCCGGACGATACTCGAAGCCCGATAGCGATGTGGTGGCGTCGGAGCACTCGCCCGAGATGCCTTACCAGAGGGGCCTCTCGCCCAGCATGCTCAAGCATCTCATCGGTCGCGGCCATGCTGAATTCAGCACTATGCGCCAGCAGGACGCGCTTGAGCTTCTACAACATCTGTTCAAGCTCATCACCCGATCGAAACACGCGACTCCAGCAGATGATCCTACTACAGCCTTCCGTTTCGCCATGGAACAGCGCCTGCAGTGTCTCAGCTGCAAGAAGGTCAGGTACTCGACGACAGAGCAGGACAGCATCTTTATCGACGTCCCGCTCGAGAAGTTACCGGCCACAGAAGGGGATGGCAACTCGCCGGATGCATACAAGCCTGTCACCCTGGCAGAGTGCTTTGACCGTCTCACCGGCGAGGAGGCTGTGGAGCTGACATGTTCTGCATGCGGCAGCAAGGATGGGTACACCAAGCGCACCATGTTCAAGACATTCCCCGAGGTCCTGGTTGTCAACGCGCGCAAGATGGCCATTGTCAACTGGGTGCCCATCAAGGTTGACGTGCCTGTCATTGTCGGAGACGAGCCCTTCCTCTTGGATGCCTACATGTCCAAGGGTCAGCAACCAGATGAAGAGGCATTGCCCGAGGACGCGACGTCCGGCGGTGGCAGTGCGCCCGCTTTTGTTCCCAATGCTGAGGCGCTTGCTCAGCTCGAGGCGATGGGCTTCCCTCAGGTCCGCTGCGAGAAGGCGCTGCATGCCACTGGCAACAGCGACGCCAATGCTGCCATGGAATGGCTCTTCCAGCACATGGAGGATCCAGACATTGACGCACCGCTTGACTTGGGCAGCAGCAGCGGTGGTACCGGCGCTGCTTCGACCGCCGACCCCGAGAAGATCGAAATGCTCGGTGCTATGGGATTCGGCGCCCCGCAGGCCAGGAAGGCACTGAAAGAGACGGGCGGTGACGTCGAGCGGGCCGTTGAGTGGCTCTTCAGCCACCCCGACGACCAGGGCGACTTCGACGAGGGCGGCGAGGGTGCTGCGTCTGGCGAGCCTAAGGAGAAAGTCCTCGCTGGATCGGGCGACCTGCCCGCGCGGTTCCAGTTGCAGAGCATCACTTGTCACAAGGGCACGAGCATTCACACTGGGTAGGTGATCCCCTTCCCCCTTTGTATTTGTCTTTGCATTTAAGTTTTACTGACACTCTGGCCTTCTGATATACAGACACTACGTCGCATTTGTGCGCAAGCATATCGGCGACAAGGTTGCGTGGGTGCTCTTCAACGATGAGAAGGTTGTCGAGGCTGTCGATGTCGATGAGATGAAAAAGTTTGCCTATGTCTACTTCTTCAAGAAGGTCTAGATGTGGTGGCGTTCCGGACGGATGAGATTGGGGAGTTCTGCAGGTTCAGTGGGTGGCAAGCATTTGCTAGGCGTAGCTCAGGATTGTGGCGTGCGGAAGTAGACGGTAGGAACGGAACGAAGGGGGCGTTGTTTGCATCCTCGACGCCGGCGCTGTCGAGAGAGGTGGATTGCATCAGTCGGTAGCATGGCGGCATTGTCCCGTGCGGGAGTTGGTGCGAGAAGTCATAGCAGCCATGCAACGAGAAATTTCAAAATAGGTACATGATCGGTTTCAAGTCGTGTCTCATTATTACAAGCTGGTGGTCCAGTGGCGACTTTGTCTCTGTGAATCTGCCTATCCGGAAAAGATCTCCTCGGGACTTGTTCTAATCCTGCATATATACACTTTTCGAATCGTAAGTATCACACGCAAATCCCCATACCAAACGCCGAAACCCACGCACTCTGCGGTGTGCTATCCCTGCACAGCAGCCGTGCCCCTTCTTTGTACGTGTCAAACAACTCACTCATCCATCGATGCCTTGGCTGCACATCGCAGCCGACCGCTCTTTTGGACCTTTATGATTCTACCCCCTCCTCTCCCCGTGCCGCGTACGCTCAGTCCGCGAGGCGGTAGCTGACGAGGGTGTCGACGCGGTGGCTCGACGTGCTGAAGCCGCGCAGCTGGACGCGCTCGCCGTTGGCGATCTCCTTGGCGTCGCTGTCGCCCCACTCGACGGGGACCTCGGAGTCGGCGTCGGCGTAGACGAGCACGTTGAAGGTGCAGTCGCCAGCGAGCTGGGGCAGGAAGGTGACCGAGGCGGTGATCTGGCGGAAGATGGCGGCGATCTCGGCCTGGATCTCGGCCTCGGTCTTTTCGAGGGGCGGGGAGGAGGAGGAGGCGCTGACGCCGGCGGCGGAGGGTGCGCTGCTTGGAAGAGGACTGTATCAGAAGGCGTGGTAACAGGGAGAGAGATTGCGGAAAGGAAAGGGGGATAGTGTCAAGGCAAGGGAATGAAGGGGGGGAGAGAGGCGACATACCCCGGGGCCACGTTCTCCTGGTCCGCGGCCTTGGACGCCGACGACGACGAAGACTTGCTCTTGGATGAGCTCTTGGGCTGCGCCATGATCTGCACGTCAAACTGCCAGCGCTCGACGTGCTCGCCCGTGTCCTTGTTGGTGATGACGATGACGAGCTTGCTGATCTTGCCGCCGACCATCCACCGGTCGAGCTGCGACATGATCTTCTTGATGTAGGCGCGCACCTGGTCGTCCGACGAGACGAGCATGTTGAGGCCGTACTTCTTCACAGGGCTGAAGTCCTCGGCCGGGTAGACGCCGCGCTGGAATCTGTCGCACGGGGGCCTGGGGTTAGCACTGAGCAGGGGTATGTCGGACTGTATTCGCCGAGGAACGTAGGGAATGAGTATCGTACAATATTGTGTGTATTGAGTATTGGAACTGCAGTTTGCGTATTGTCAGCCGCTGTCACTGTCCCCATCTGATGCATCCGAGGCCAAAAGCGACTCACGAATTCTGCGACGAGCTTTGCGCTGCCCTTGAGCGACAGCTTGTGCACCTTGGACTTGTCCTTGTCCTTGGACTCCTTCCGGTCTTTCGACTCCTTCTCCGGTGGCGGCATGGTTTCTTCTGCGATCCGTCAAAATGACCCTCGGCTGGAAATTCTCGCTGAAAATCGTATGCTTTCGCTTCAATGTCGGCACCTTGTTTGTTCACGTTGTCAATCACTCGTTCTGGTTGTGCAAAGGTCCAAGTGCGCTTTGTTTACTTTGGAGGGGGTTTTGGTTGCTATGGTGGGGAAGGCGGTCTGGCGCGGGGGCCGATATGCTGCTATCGGGGTTATGCTTTCGAAGTGAGTAAACCTGGTGAGCATGAGGGACACCCGCCAGCTACTTGTTCATCAGGCAAATCAATACTTAAATATTGCGTGTCGCGCAAGGGCCGGTAACTGTTTCATTTGCTACCTGGGTATTCGTATTGCTATCGCATTGCGGCAATGAGGCCTTTGTCGGGGTCTCAATTTGCGCGCCAGTGGATCAGCTCCCTGTAGCCAGATCCCTTCCCTCCCTGGCTTCAGAACACACCATCGAATTCGCTTTGCGCCGATGGCTCAGCGAGATCGCCGTAAAGCAAACACGGCTGCTTCTCGGCCCAACCCGGCATGCTGTCTGGGTCAAAGGCCGAGGGGATGAGCCTTTGCATGCCGCAGGGCCAGTGTAAAGCCTTCTCATCAACCTGTCCGTGATCTTTCCATTCCCTTCGTAATCCCAGCCAAGTGTGAAGATTCCCGAACAGAAGTCGGAAGAATATCGTCGCGATGGCCTCGCCGAAGTCAAAACGAAATCGGGCTCGTAACCTCCCCAGGCAACCCTGCAGGGATGCAGACATTCCAAAGTATTGTGTCCTCCACCCACTTCGGTAGCAAAAAGCCACAAGTGACATGTGCCTCAGTCCCCCTCCACCCTCTCAATCGCGAGTGTCGACTTCCAGGTCAAGCTGCACCCCGTTCGAAATGCCGTAATCCGCAAGACAGATCATGTCCTTGAAGGGCCGCTCGCTCTGCCGCTTGAGAATGATCTGGCCCGGCTCGCGTCCGATCCTCGCGGCAACCATAATCTTCAGCTGACCGACCGTGTCCGAGGGGAGGCATGGGATCGCAGCCTTGGTGCCCAACCGGTCGTTGACGTGTACGACAATCATCTCCTCTCCGCCGCCAGCGGCAGGCGCAGGCGCAGGCTTGGATTTCGGCTTCGATTCCTGGTCTTTCCTCGGACCCCTGGGATCTCGATCGTCCCTCCTCTGACCGCGGTCGCGATCGCGATCCCGCGAGCGGTCTCGGTGACGGCGCGGCGAACGGTCGCGGCGGTCGCGAGGTTGGCGGTCGTTCTTGGAGCGCTCGTCCTTCCACCGGAAGCCGCCCGAGCCCTTGGGCCGTCGCGGAGGCGAGCGCGATCTAGGCGAGCGCCTCCTGTCACGGCGGTCGTAGTCTCGGTCGCGATCTCGGCCATGATCTCCACGCGGCGAGTGGTCGCGCGGGCGGTTGGATCGGTCAGAGGTGGTCGCGCGGTCGTCGCGAGAACCAGAGTCGCGGGTTTCTTTAGAGGCGGGAGCTGGTGATCGCGGCCGTGGCGGTCTGTTGGGGCTTGGAGATCTCGTCATTGTTTCGGGCGCAGTTTGGAGGGAGTGGTCTTGAGGATTTGGTGGATGGGAAGTGTGTGAAAGGAAAGATTTGTACAATCTTGCCTGGGAGCAGGTAGGTAAGATAGAGAAAGCTCTAGATATGACGAAGATGCGCAATCTAGTTAGGCCTTAGGCGGCTTAAAATGGGTCTGGCACTCTGAGGTGCGCGTTGCATAAATGAGCTCGCTGCATAACGAACCTCGTTAGACAGATCTGAGGTCCAGAATTGATTTAGACTAGCGCACTAGGTATCTACTTGTACCTGCATCCACACATCTTTCGTCCTTCCCGCACCTAGTAACCCCATAGGCAAAGCATCGAATGCCCTGCACAATGAGCATTGCAAACCCCCCATCATGGACCACAAAGGGCACTCCTCTGCCTGCGATCGAATCACGTATTTTCTACGCCAGATTGCATCAGATGACGCGATCCGGACTGGTCTTGTCGAACGGATACTTGAGCACAGAAATCCCTCCAGTATACGTGGTCAGATCCGGATTCACCTGCTCCTAGATCATTCCACAGCTGTCAGCACCCTGTTCCAAACCACATCCCATACTTAAAAAGAAAGCGGGGATATGCACATACCTGATTGATGGTTGAGCAAGTCGCGGGCTGGGCTCCCCAAGTCCTGATGGTCGTACCGTTCTCGGAGATAGCGAGCTGCACCTGCTGCTTGGACGCTCTGCTTGGGTCGCCGGTCAGGTAGTTGAACGGCTCAATCAGCATGGCCGAGTGGGCCGTCGTGAAGACCGTGTTGGGCAAGTCGCCCGTGTGAGGCATGTGGTGCATGCCGAGGTTGAACCAGACCACGAGGTCCTGTTGGTCCAAAGAGTCGCCGTCGAAGTATTTGGCGAAATCGATGGGCGGGTCGTTGATGGCATTGCTATTGTATGGGTGCGTGGCCGAGTCCTCGCTGTCTTTGCGCTTGGTAACGTAGAGGTGGTGGGTGGTGTGGTGGGCGGAGTTCTTGGTGATATTGGAGTCCTGGACGGTCAGGTATGCTACGCCGGAAGCTGTTGGGCACATGATCGTCAGCATGAGGACGTCGACCTGGGGAGACAACAGTAGAACATGGCATAGGAGAACATACCTGGAACGATCCTCCATCCCGGATATTCCCCATATGGATTCGGCTTGTCCTTGTTCACAACGGCATACATGGAGGCGCCGTTAGGTGACCAGTTGATTTTACCGTCGTCCTCCGTCGCGACAAAGCTCTTGCGTGCCTTCATCGTGTTCCTGGTCCCATTCAACCAGACGTACTTCTCCGTGGACGGGACAATTTCAATCTTTTGCAGCGAATTCTCTGTCCCCAGCACGTCCAGGTCCGCCTTGAAGGTGATGACGTGGTCGTGGAGCGAACCCGAGAGGCTGTCGTGGATCTTGAAGCCGTAGTCCTCGTTGTTGGCATAGAAGGCTGACGAGATGTAACCGGATGCGCGGACCGAGACCTCGATGGACCCGTCCAGGTAGAACTCGTAGGTTGTCATGTAGTCGTAGTTACCGATCGTGTAAACGGCCCGGACAGTAAGCGCAATGTTTTTGGTCACACCCGTGTGTCCAGCCCATCCGTGGCGCTGGATCGGGTATCCCTTGTCGATCTCGAATAAGCAGATTCCGTCCTTCTGGGTGCGGGTTGTCTCCTTGGTAGTTTGGGTAGTGTTCAAGAAGGTCGCGTATCCCGGACAATCGTAGCCACGTACGAGAGACACGATTGTGGGACCGAAGCCGGAACCCGAGTCAAAATAGCTATCCCATCTTTAGAACTCGAAGATTAACGTGTGTTCATCAAGGGTGTTACTGACATTGTGCCGGATTGCACCGGATCGATTCCTCTGGTCAGATGTGTTAGCGACAAGGACACAAGTTCGTCAGTGGGGTGCTAGTGCTTACGCGTAATGAGCAATGGCTTCGTCCAGGCCAAGCTTGTTATAGGTAATGTTATATTAGCCGCGGGGTCCCGTGATCGAACATGTCGAGGAAGACGTACCTCATAAAGGATCCTCTTGCCCTTGTACTTAACATCGTACAACCTCAAGCCGTTCTGACGGGCAGCCGTCACATAGAAGGAGAAGTCCACTGCGAACACAGCATGGTTAGCCAAAGCAATCTTGACATTTGCGAGGGAGATCTTGACTTACTCCACTCAACATACTCCTCCTCGGCATCAACAGTAAACCTCGGCGGTCCTTGCTGGATAGTCACTGGCGGAGGCATCTCGTCAAACTTCAGAGGCTCTCCGTGGTGATTGTTCCGAGCCCATTCCTCGTCTGAGGTGCCCGACAACTTTTTGAACTTGGGGTCTTTGATAGCCGCGCGCAGGTCATCGAGCGAAGGATAGAAGATGTCGTTGTAAACCCACCCAGTCATCTTCCACTTGGACGGGTCTCTGCCTGTGATGTCGCTTCGGACATACAGACCGAGGGGCATGAGATACACGGTTTCGTAGATGCTGGTGGTTGGGGCGATGAATGACTGCCACTGGTAGACTTCGTTGTCGCTCACGGTCAGAGGAGCCATGAAGGCGAGAGGCAGCTGGATTTTGTCGGCGGCCGTCAGGTTCCATAGGAACTTGGTGACATCTTCGGCCTCTTTAATGATATTGGCAGTGAACTCAGCATACGCCGTCTGATCAGCGTTGATTATGGGAATCTTGGCATCGCCGCCTTTGGTGGTTCTGAAGGCGTAGGGCGACACGGTTGACTGGTTGGTGATCGGCAGGGGTCCAACAATGTATTCGCGGACGTAGGGTTTCTCGGTGGCGCCGAACATCAAGAATGCTCTGGCATGGCGAGTGGGGCTCGTCGTCGAGTTGCCAGTGATGTACTGGAGCACATCGGTCTTGTTAGGCAACATCAGCTCGACCGAGAGGATTATATTGTCCCAACTGGGTCAACCCGGTTAGTACTTGGCACTGTGCCGTTGTCTCAAAGGCGACATTTGATCAGTACGTACTCTGTAGCGTTGGCGGCAGCCGTCAGATTCAGCCCGGCGGCATCGGAATGTAAGAGCTCAATGACATCGACAGCCTCCTTGTCAGTCAAGCCTTGCCATATATTCTTGTATGGGGCGACTGTGGTAGGCTGCTCATAAGAACATGATGAACAGGAGCCTTTCTGCGCCGCGCTCTTGGCTTGTAGCGATTGTCTTAGAAGGGGGTTGCCTAAAACAGCCTTGGAGACAAAGCTCGCTAGGAAGAGACTGGTGAACCGCATTTCTGAGTGCCGATGAGTTTCAAGCGCAAGATGCCTGCAGCATTCATTCAGGGTGAGTCCTCATTGTCGCAACCCTTCTCCTTTATACATCTTCAAAGCATGACGGCTTGCCCAAGCCATGGCCCGAGACCCATTGTCAAAGCAAAGGTCTGTGCTGCTATTGCTATGCCATCATGGCACCTAGAGGTCTGTGCTGCTATCCAACTTGTCTCCTCTCCGGATGGCGATGTTGCAAGATAAGACTATAGGCAATGAGTGGAGATGGAAGATAAGGCAAGATGTTCTAGAGCTCAACCAGAATGGGGAAAAGACCTTCGCCTTATCAGTTCACTTGCGAGCGTTTTATGGCCATCAAACGGTCGGGGCCCTGTTTGTCAGTCATAGTTCAGGAACACCATTGGCGCGCTCGTATATCGGGGTCCCGGCTCAGGAAGTCGGTGGAGCCAAGACCCTTGCTATACCATACAACCTTATCGCCCATGCCCCCACGGAACCCCATCTTCTTGCGGGGTTTACTTAATGGCGGACGGGATATAGGTAAATCATCTTTAGAAACAACTCTAATACAACTAGAGTTGAAGCTCTAGTGGCTATCCTTGAAACTCTGTGTTCCGGGTCCTTGTGACTGCTAAGGACTATATTCTTCATTTGGGAGAGCCTATCCTAGGGGCAGAATCTGATATACAGACAGCACCAGCTGACACACTATGAAGAGATAGAGTTACGCTCTGGGAGTGTTCAATGTATACACAGAATTAAGGAAACCCCTCCCCCAGATCGGAATACGGAACCAATAGCGGAACTCGATTTAAAGCCTCAAGCTTTCCCTTTTTTAGCAGCGCAAGGTCACTAGGCTCCGTCGAGGTTGCTTGGCATAGATAAGGCTGCACTGCTATGACTCGGTGATCACAGGGGTCATTTTAGTGCATTTAGTCCGTCTGCTGAGATTTATACAGTACTAGCTACATCAATGGCTGAGCTCAGCTTCGTTATCACTCCTCAAAAAGCAGACCCGAGTTGACACACAGAAATAGTGTTATTCAGGAACTGAAAGATATCAAATCGCTATCGGACTCGGAATAACTGCCAGCTTGAACTTCGACGAGAAAAGTCGATCTGTGTCGACCTCGGCAATGGCACACTGCAACTCATCCACCTCATCCGGACCGCTAAGCGAGTGACGCTGATGCTGCTAGATTTTGGCGGTCTCCCCGGAATTGCGGCGGGCCGCCTGATTGCAGGGTGTCGAAGTGGCTGCGGAAATGACTTTGAAGATCAATGATGAAGAGAACTGAAGAGCCGGCAAAGCTTAATGACAGCCCAGATCTTCTTTTGCAAGCGCTCTACCCCCGGTGAGTGGTACTGGATAGGTCAAATCTTGAATTACAAAGTAGCGGCATCGTCTAGCAGCGTGTGGGTGGTAGCCAAGCAAGTCAAGGCTTGATATACTGCTTGCCAGTGTAACTCCATCCTCATTTACTATCCTGCGAGGTCCCGTGACTACAGTATACAGAGGTCATTCAAGCAATACACAGCCACAAGATGCGACAGCCTATCCCTTACATCATTCCTCTGCGTGCTGCCGACTGGTGTACAAGATACGGAACAGCCCTTGGGTCTGAGGCTCGATAGGAGAACAACAGTATCTCGCTCAATGGCAGTGACTCTACGCAATCTCGATGCTCGAGAACTTACAAAATAGCGAGCAACCTGATCACTGTACATTAAGAGGGAGTAATCCTCTAGGTAATACGCCAGGTGTCCATGCCCTGTGCTTTACGCAGCACGATCAAATTAGCTAGATGAGCATCGACATAGACTCCCTAGCGTCGCATCACGGCGAAGAACCTGCGTGATGAATCACGGTGCCCACCACGCTAGCGTGATTGTGGTGAGGTGTGCAAGTAGGAAATATATAAGTAGGTCTTGGGCCACAGTGTTGAATCCTTCGGCTACGAGCTTGGTGTGCGTGTCTCAACCTGAAAGCCATTGAAATAGGTTGCCAACCTGTGCTACAAGATAGAATGGAGTACATGTACGCCTACTTTTTACGGGTAACAGCTGCAATGCAGCGTTTTAATGGTAAACAGTGCGGCCGATGCTAATGATAATGGATATACTTCAGCAAAGAAACTGCGACGGTTTGACCTCATCAGCGCTCTATTACACTTTCTTTTTCTTGACAGCTGTAGCAAAGTAACCTTTTTTTCGCTAGTACTATCTAGTATACTGTTATATTCTGTATAGGTTAGATACTGAATAGATCTCTATGGAGCTCTGTGCTTTACTAATGCAGCGCAACAATTAGTTCGGCGGCCGCAAAAGCTCGGTAATCCTTTCAGTGTGGGGCTCATTTTCGTCAATACGCATCAACTCTTCGTTCTCCCAATTTGCAATCGTATTAACGAAAAGACACCGTAATTCTAGACACGCTCAATTCTTCTCAATGGGCAGATAGTCGTCTGTCAACTTATTTCAGGAAACAAGACTAGATCTGGGGATCTTAGAACACCAGCTAAAGCTGCCCGCGCAGGGACAACTCGAGCGTGCTGCAGCAAAACATGAGAGCCACGAAGTCCCGAGCTGTAGAGCTAAGGTGACACGGACTTTCATCGAGACCGAGTCCCCCAGCGCTGGGTGTGGTGCTTAGCCACCTACATCTCACTAGTCTATTTTGGCTTCCCCCTGGTGGTGGCTTGCAACCGCGGTTCATCAGCGTGTGTCAGATTCTGACAACTACCGACAGGGCTCAACCGGCTGACCGCACGTCAGGCCGACCAGCCATGTAAGCTTAAGCCCCGACGACCTGCCTAGCTCCGCTGTCCTCGTGCCTTGCATGATCCATTCTGACAAATTGGTAGCTACAAATGGCCGCCGACTTGATCGGATCTCGCCTCATTGCTGACGCTCCAGTGCTGGTGCCCACGGCTGCGAAGAGACTCTGACGAGATGCCATATCCTCACGAGTCTTTCTCAGCCTCCTCTTTTCGAAGTTGGCCACAATGAAAATAGAGAAACCCATAGTTGTCAGCATGGACTCGAGAGCCTTCAGTTCCCTATATAAACGGCGGCATGCACGCCCATGAAGATGGAGTGAACTCACACAACACAATTAACCACCGCAACAACTGAAACAACAATCCAAACATCTAACCTTCTATTCTCTTTTAACTTTCTTCAACTCCATTCTTCCATACAATCAGTCAAGATGGGTGCCAAGACTATCATCGTCCGCAACATGTCTGGCCATGTCCAGACCTTCGAGGTCCACGGCTGGAACAACAACCAGAACATCAACGTCCCCGCCCATGGCGAGCACCGCATCAGTGCCCCCGATGGCTCTTCCGGCGCCATCATTGCCCTCCACGACGGCAAGGAGGGTGAGCAGGCCGAGATTACCAAGAACGGTAAGCCTTTGGGATGTCCCTAATCACTAGTACCCAGAGACTGACTCTCGAACAGGCTTTGGCGGAAACGACTTCTTCGACGTCTCCGTCATCGTCGGAGCCGGCGGCAACATGGTCTGCCAGCAGGTTGGCGACCCGAAGACGCGCAAGGGAGACGCCCACTTCATGCAGAACCTCAACGAGGCCTGGAAGAAGGCCAGCCAGGGCACCCGCGACGCCCTGAAGAACTGCGTCCACCTGCGCGACGGCAGGGTCGTCCGCATCGACGCCTGCAAGGACTACCCCAAGCTCGAGGAGTTCGTCCGCACCTTTGCCGACGGCAAGCTCTACATCGGCGTCGGCGCCTGGGGCGGCAACAAGGGCAACCCCAACGACAACAACCAGGTTGGTGATCCCCCCATCGTTCTCCCCATAAAGCTCCAGCTAACAACCCGCACAGAGCAGCGCCGCCCACGGGAACAAGGATATTCTGGTCTGCTACAACGATGGGGATGCCACGCCGAAGTAAGTGTCGGCTCGCAGCATATTTTTATTATCTAGACATCTTTGAAGTAGACAGCCATTACTCACAATACATTCCTTTGCTCTCCTATCTAGTGACGGTCCCGCTGCGCTCCAGAATGTCACTCATGCTCTCGCTGCGGCCCCTGCCGAGCCTGCTGCCGAGCCTGCTGCTCCTCAGGAGGAGGCCGCCCCTGCACCTGCCGAGGCCGCCGCCGAGAAGACCGACGCTCCCGCTCCCGCCGACGCCCTGGCGCAGCTCTCCATGACCAGCCACGCCGTCGCCGACAAAGGGCCCGGCATCGAGCTGACCAACAAGTCCAAGCAGCAGCACACCTACTACTTCTACAACAACTACTGGAACGGCGACGGCAAGGCCGGCGCCAACTTTGACCACCCGGAGAAGAACGTGACCCTCAAGCCGGGCCAGTCGAGCTTTGTGCCCCTGGCCGCGTCCTTCAAGGGCCGCGTGCAGCGCGGCACCCAGCTGCCCTGCACCTGGGTTGAGTTCCAGCTCGAGGCGTCCAACGACCACGCCGCCCACGGCGACATCTCTCTGCAACAGTTCAGTTTCCCCTCCCAATCATACATGCGTGAGTTGTGTTCGACTAACATGTTTTTGACAGGGGCTGTGACGGCGCGGCCACCATCGCCTCGACCGACGGCAGCAACCAGAAGAACGGGTTCGACATGGTCGACATCGTGGCTAAGGCCCCCGACGCGGCCATCCGCAAGAAGCCCAACGGCGAGCGTGCTATCGACACCACCGTCGGCAACTGGATGGGCGGCCCGAACAAGGCGGCCATCGACTACCTGAACAAGGTCGTCGGGCAGAGGCGCGCGTACATCCTGGGCGGTACCGGTATGTGTCCATCCCGGTGGCAGGATATCGTACAAGGCTGACTCAGTTCTACTCTGATTAGGTGTTCCGGATGTCGCAAGCAAGAACAAGCGCATGGCTGTGGTCATGTACTAAGCTTGACTGCAAAAATTCCGGCTTGGAGATACTCAATTGCATCCTTCCGCGACAGTTTCAATTTTGTACATGTTATGCTTGTCGGCTTCCTTGGTTCACTAGATTGCCATCATCACGGAGTTTTGGAGGAGCTTAGTGGGTGGGTTTTGAATGGGAACTATCATCTCAGAGAAACATTGGATATCTATGCTTTATATACTAGTCAACACTGAACAAACGTCGCATACATCGGGTACTAGACTTTAACTTAACCACTGCATAACTACCAACAATGCTCATCGTATATGCGCCAGAAATGCAACAGGGGGTCATTCGGCTTGGCCGACATTCAGACTGTATCAATCATCCTTGCTCTGCATTCTCGGCAGTCCCAGCCAAATCAAGAAGATAGCCGCCAGGAAGGCCAGGATGATCGGCTGCAGAGCCTGCACACCAGCGTGGTTGGCGATGGCGCCGACGGCGAAGGGCAGAATGGCAGCGCCCGAGCCGCCGAAAGCAGACGCGAACCCGACGGCAGAGACGTGGAGATGGCGCGGCAGGAGCTTGGTCATGACCACGACGACGGCGGGAAACAGCGGCCCGATGAAGAAGCCCTGCAGCGAGACGGCCACCGCGGAGACGTAGAACTGGGGCACCAGCCAGAAGAGCAGCTCCATTCCCATGGCGATGGGGAGGTAGATCTGTTGAGTCCAGCTGGTCAGCATGAGGTCAGCACTCAGTTGATGGGTGAGAACGTACCGCAATCGCCAGCTTCTCGCCAATGCGAGGCGTGACGAAGCCGAGAACAAAGCGCCCGGCCGCAAGGCCGAGCCAGAAACCAGTAGCAGTCATACCGCTGGCGTACTCCTCTCCCTTGCGGACATTGATCATAAACACGACGATCCAGCCGCCGAGGGAGACCTCTGTGCCCACGTAGCCGAGCAGGAAGATGGCGCAGAGCCAAGTCACACGAGCCCACGGAGCTTTGAACAAGGCCTGCTTGAGTGTATCCTCACCCCCTTCCGAGCCGCCTCTTGCCATGGACTCTCGGTAAACTCTGCCTGTCTCGGGCCAGAAGGCCCACGAGACAGAGACGAGCTCGACAGCCGCACATGCAATCTTATATCCCAATCGACAGTCAGCAATGTGAATCTTGAGCGGTGTGAATACAACTGCAATGACCGACTCACCATGACGTAATAAAAGTAGTACCACTCGAGATTGCCCCGTTTGATCATGTTGGTAGCAATCACAGGGCTGATGACGGCGCCGACGCCGTACAGGCCGTGCACGAAGCCGAGAAGCTCGTTTGAGCGGGCCAGGTTACCCGCCCAGGCGTTCCAGGCGGCGTCGGCGAGCCCGTTGCCCAGCCCCACGACGGCGTAGGCGACGACGAGCACGGCGTAGGGCGGGTGGAAGGAGATGACGAGGTACGAGACAAGATGGAAGATACCGATGCCGAGGGCGACGCCGCGCTGGCCGAACTTCGTGTGCACCCAGTTGTTGAAGACGGCGGCGACGGTGTAGCCGAGGAAGGGCGACAGGAAGATGAGAGAGACGACTGTGTAGTTGAGATTGTAGTACCTCTCAAGCTATATCGATATGCTGGTTAGTAGGAGCATAAGAATAGGAAGTTGTAGAGTGGGCAGAAAACATACATATGGGATTAGAGCCTGCGGGACAAGAATTTTCGTTTGCGGTTAGCAAGACAGTCTTCTACAGGCGATCGTCGATGCACCCTCGCGGTTTGACATACTCCGTAGGCTGCATCGTTCATGCCAAAGACAACAAAGCTCCAGAAGATCACTGCGGTTCTGGCAATGTTGTGCTTCGGGTAGTTCCACCGCTGCACCACATCCGAGGACGTGGTCGGCGACGGGAGGGAGCGCGTCTCCGTCTCCTGGGCGGCCAAGTCGCTCTGTCTGCTTGATCGAGGGCGGTCGAGCCCGCTGCCCACTGACTCTGATTTATGTACGCGGCGACTCCCGATTGAGGTGCGGATCTTGACCGGCTCGACGGGCGCCAGCTCGACGGTGCAGGTGGCTGAGCCACTGCTTGGTGTCGAAACGACAGCCATGGTATTGTGCTCAGACTTGGAACGCAGCGAGAGAAGGGTGATTGTCCCGAGTTCCCAACAGCCGGAAAGAGATTCAATCGTGGGAGTCTCAAAACACAGTGAAGCTCGCTCTCTCCAAGGTGCGGGTCCCCAAGCAATTATATACGGTCAAAGAAACACACGGCGTCAAGTACTCGCCTTGGTTGACTAATAAAGGCGGAGTCCGAGTCACCAGCCTTCTTGTTAGGGCGAAAGCAGCCGTTTGTGGAGAGAGACGGAATCTCCAGACCGGGCAAGGAATGGCAGTCTGGGCAACTCTTGGAGAGGGAGAGAGTGGAGAACCAGGCCTATGAGAGTGATGCAATCCCGCTAAAATGCGACTCGTCGGAGTCGGTGGCGGACTTGGATCGCAGCGGAGATTCCCAAAATGGAAACGTCTTTACCTCGTAAATGTCAGTGTTCTCACCGCACAACGCACAAGTCTGCCAAGGCTTTGTAATAAGAATCCATCTAGCTTAGATGATTCAATCGGGATGAGATGCCAGATCTCCCGGGAGATCTTCGGCAGAAGTGGAGAGGAAAGCTTCCTGCAGGCGCCGTGCCCTGTGTGCGTGTGCAGGGAAATGTGGGGGTAGTTCGTACCTCGAGGATCCCCGCGGGCATGTTCCTATAGAGAAGAGTTTGACAATAGGCTAGGATATATGACAAGGCTTGGAAGAAGAATGGTTTTGATACTAGCCACTACTTCTTACACATGGTCAAAAAAAAGGCAGGGATGTAGTATCAGACACAATCATGTCACTCCGTCCAAGTCGACTCTTGGGATATTGTCAAGGCTGTCATTCTTCCCCTCAAATTCTCCCCAAGAAGCAAAGCCTCTAGCTCAGAGCTCGAAGGAATATGCGGTGAAAGGGTCTTGGAGTCCCCGAGTCTCTAGTTTCTGTAGCACAAGCTTTTCCAGGACACAGCTCCTCCTGTATGCCCACCAACACTTTCCCGGCGGAAGCAAGATCCGCGTCGCTCGATAGAAGTGGTGGAGAAAGACCAGAGCCCGCGAATCACCATTCACCATCAACGTGGCGAAGGGGCCGCAGCAGAGAATAGGGAATCCGTAGAACAACTGCTCAATGTCCGTCGTGAGTGATGTGATAGCAGATCGCACAGTGATGTCCGGGGTCGATAGGAGAGATGCGCAGCACAGGAGAGGTGACATGCGGCGGACGACACTCTCGAACAGAGACCGGACCGATTGCGATGAGATGTCTCGATTGTCGCCCGTGGTGTAGTTTGTGGTAATTCTTGTGACGGTGTCTCTGACCCGAGCCAGCCTCCCCGTTTCATCATGTTTTGAGTGCGAAACCGGTGCTGTGCATGGTCGACACCGATGACCCGCCATTTCTTTGTCCAGTCCAAGGAGAAGGCGCCACGCATACGATGTAGACCCGCCACCAGGAGAAGGCTCAGCAGCATGGAAATCGGTAGTCTGATAGCGGGGATCATCCCAGATCTGCATGAACGGCTCGACGAAACGTGCTGGGTTCTCACCAATTTGCAACAAGGTTTCTTCGATCCTGGGTCGTGGATTTTGGTAGATGATCTGGGTAAAGACACTCCCCTGGTCGATGAAGACTGGCATGACCTGGAACCACACTTGGAGGATACCCGGGCCAAGTAAAAACAACTGATCCCGGGCGAGGTCTAGTCTCGAAAGGGAGCCAACAGGTAACTCCGTTTCAAGGAAGCTGACATCTGCCCAAAGAATATAATTCATGAGGAGTGATGTACCCATTAAAGACTCACAATGACTCAGAGTGAGCTGCGAAGACAGATTCTTGCGAAACAGCTCCGTTGTCTTGGCCATCAATTGCGTTGATGCGAGGAAGTATGTGGTGTTCTGTGGGCAGAGAACGGTGAGATGTGATGCTGCTATGCACAGTATGGCAGACATGATAAATTCTTCCTAGCGCATGGTCAACTGTAGGTTTTCACATGTCAAGCAGGAGACAACCGTACATGGAAAGCTCGCTGCGTGATGACGGGCCAGACTTCTAGGAACGCAAGGGTCATCCGGGTATGCTTGTCCCAGTGGTGGAAGAGCTCGAGGTGCAAGAGATTGAAATGGACTCCTGATGGTGCGGCCCCGAGGACTGCCCTTGGGACAGACAAGCCTGGCACCACATTGTGTTCACGGGCTGCCTGCAGACATGGGATCTTGCGCTTGACGCAGCCAGAGCAAGGGACTCGTTCGTCGCACTGTGACTAGGCTGTAAGAGTACCCGCTCATAGCAAGCCAAGACTTCCCAAGGTGTCATACCTTCACCCTCCGACTCTTGCATGGCAGACATCCGTGACGACTCTTGCAGTGGGGCCGCTTCTTCCGCTTCTTTTCTTCGACTCCAGTGGTCCGCAGCACAGGGGGCTGACCTCCGTCCCGCAGTACGAGGGTCGAGTGGGCGAAAAGGAACGACCTTGGCGTCTCGGCCATTGTATGCACTGGTCGTGATACAGTAGACTTTACCCTTGCAAGAGTAAAGAGTCAGAGTGAGAACCAACGTTGCCTTGATGTTATCCGGGCAGATGCGCCAAGTGGAGACGGTATTCATCAGCTCTCGCATTCCAAATCGGGAATGAGCTGGTCTTGTATTAAGATGCTGCCTATTGACGGGCTTATTAGCAGGCCCGTTATTTGCCGGATGCGGCGAACGAGTTAAACGGCGACAAGAGCCAATCATCGGAGACTATCATGGTAAACTTCAAGAACTGGACTGGAAGATGGCAGCGATATTGACCATATGCAGTGAACATACTCTACGTGCAATATACTTGGTGTATTTTCTATATAAAGCCGCACAGCAGTCCTTTCCCTCAGACCAGAGTGTCCCAGATTTCATCACTCTTCTTAGACAATACCTTGTTTCACCGAGCCCAACATGTCTTCAGTTCCACCCGGAGGTCTCATTCTCGTCACAGGCGCTAATGGTTATTTCGCCAGCGTCACCATCAAGGTCTTCTTGGAACGCGGGTACCGGGTCCGGGGCACCGTACGCAACATCGAATCTAGCGCCTGGATGAAAGCCTACTTTGGTTCTGGATTCGAACTGGTCGAAGTTCTCGATATATATCGACCCGGTGCCTTTGACAAAGCCGTCAAAGGTGTCAGCGGGATCGCCCACACCGCCATGAATATGAGCATGGATCCTTACAACCAAGGCATCATTGAAGACACGGTCAGGTCCTACCTCGAGCTCCTCGAGGCGGCCGCCAAGGAACCCAGCGTGCAAAGCATCGCCGTGACCTCCTCTTTGTCTGCGTGCGTCCTCCCAACAACCGGTGTGCCGTACAAAATCAACGCAGAGACCTGGAACGAAGCAGCTATCGAACAAACGGCACGGCCGTGGGACCGCAAGGGCAACTCACGCTGGCACGGGATCAAGCTGTATGCTGCCTCCAAGGCGCGCGGAGAGCAAGAGGCATTCGCGTGGGTGCGCGAACACAAACCACCCTTCTCCTTCAATACCGTTGTTCCCAACGTGGCTTGGGGCATAGCTATCTCGCCCGAGAACATGGGATATCGCAGCAGCGCCGCGGTCATGGATGCCGTCGTCAAGGGATACCCTGCCGCGCCATCAATCCTCCCATCGCAGTGGTACATCGATATTGAGGATGCGGCACTGCTGCAGCTAGGTGCTCTGACGCTCCCCGAGGTCAAAGGCGAGCGCTTGTTCGCCTTTGCGGGGAGGTACTCGTGGACGCAAATCCTCGAGATCTTACACCGGCGCTATCCCGACAAGGTCTTGCTGAAATCGGTTGATGAGACGGCTGTTGATGCTATGGAGGTGGACAATGCTCGCTGCGTGGAGATACTGAAGATGATGGGGAAAGAGGGCGGCTTCACTTCGTTGGAGGACACGCTTGTCAAGGCAGTGGACACCATCCTCGAGAACCAGTCGAAGAATGTGCCAAAAACGACGATAGACCTCTATTACGAGAACTTGAATATCGAGTCGAGCAAGAAATAGCTGATGCTGCAGAGTTGTGGGGATTTTGGAGCAGGTACCCTCGGAAGGGGATAATTTGGTTCAGTTGAGGGCAAGGCAATAAATGATTCAGGAAAGTCATCGCTTTGCAAGCCCGTCGAATCTTTCAGCACTTCGAGGTCTTGCCTGCCCAATGCCTCTTTATGTTATATCTGTTTCACTACTACTCCTGGTCTTTTCTTTATTTCCAGCCCTTTGAGGCATTTAGATAGAATTCAATGTCATCAGTGCTCGATTCCTCCGGTGCTGGAAGCCGAACAATGATATGCTCTCTCGCCCTGCTGCCTAAAAGCCTTTCATTGGCTTAAGGGTCTCCTGAAAATAAATTCCACATCGTTTGAATTTGCCTTGGGCCATCCATCCCAGGATTCACTCCATGTCGGCTTGTTTTGTTTCCATGTGTAGAAAGAATCATCCCCTCTTTCCGCCTACCAAGATGCTAGGCCAGTGAAGGGTTCAGACCCCTTGGGTGACGTCGGATCAACTGGCAATGATGTCAACCTGAACAATGATCTCGTCGGGCCTGGGATAGTCGTTCACGGCGAGGCACAGAGCAAAACTGACCCCAGAAATGTCCAGCACGAGGTCAAAGGAAGGTACTGACCGCGAGCCGACTCTCTCGGCAAGGGCTCTTGTTACATTAACCGCCGATGATCAAGACCTCATCTGCGCCCAGATCACGACAGAGCTGCCCATACGACCGAGCATGAAGTCGTCATGTAAAAGCCCCGGGCCTGTGTGATTTGGATCCGATATGTGCCTGATTCGTCTGAGCCGCCCGGGGCACGCAGCCCTGGGGTTCGATTCAATGGACCGAGCTTGATCATTAGAGATGCTTGGGAGGACATGAAAATCGCTGCCTGACTTTGAAATTATCATTAATACGAGGCCGGAAGGGATTGCACTATCTGTCACTTAGGCGATGCAAAGGCAAGAAGTGGCAGAGTGCATGTCACTACTAGTTTGTGCGGTGGCTAGTAATGGCTCTGCCTTGATGAGAAGAGTCAAGTGCCAGGCGTGTTCGCATAGAAAGACTCAGTCTTGTCGCAAAGCCGGGGGCTGGTGGTTTGAGCTGATGCTGAAGGATCACGATGTAGGGAGCTGAGGTGCAACACCTGGAGTGAACAGAGGTCAACAGAGTGAGGGCCTGGCAATTCTTTTTGTGCAAACCCAAAAGATCTAAACAGTTCCTGATTCACCAATGCAAAAAGTCTCTGTCCAGCAGAATCGACCCCCCTGGTGGCTTTCTCATTGTTTTGTTGACACCGACGTCACCTCCCAGCTCACCACCAGGTTCAGACTCGCCTGGCGGCTTTTCTTCGGTTGTCCTCTCTGAGAGAAAGCCTAATCTCTGCAGCTCTAACTCGCCTTTGAAAAAAATCCTGTCCACTGCAGGATCCCTTCTCTTGACCATCCTCCAGACAAAATTGTCGTCCCTTCATCCTCCGTTCATCTACCAACTCAGACATCAGTCCCAACCTCGGACGCCAATCCATCATCATCTCACCTCTGACAATTCAACGTCGACAAAAAAAGTCATTCGCATCTCCGCAAGCACAATGCCTTCCGATAAGGAGATCCTCAGCAAGCTGTCCTCGCGGGACATCGAGGTCCTCGTCTGCGCTCTGTACTGCCAGAAGCACGAGCCTCAGGTACGTCTCAGCGCCGTCTCCATCCTCACCCGGGTGAGGCGTTACTGACAGAGAGGCTCTGCCGCCGACCTCCAGATTGACTACCACGCACTGGCTGCCCGTGCCGGTTTCAAGAACGGCGCGTCCGCCTCGGCCTGCTACCGCCCGATCAAGAACAAGCTCGACGCCTTCATCGCCGCCAAGGACGCCGAGAACGACGCCCTTGGTCTCACCTGCGCCCCCGTCACCCCCTCCAGGAAGCGCAAGGCCGGCAGCACCAACGCCAGCCCCGCCCCGGGCACCCCGCCCGCCAAGAAGCGTGGCCGACCCCTCAAGGCCGTGAACGCCGCCGTCGAGAAGGTCGAGAAGGTCGAGAAGGTCGAGAACATTGAGAGCATTGAGAAGGTTGAGAAGAAGGAAGAGCCGGAGATGAAACAGGAGGAGATTTCGTATAATATTATCTCCGGCCGCCCCTGCGGGACGAACTATTACGCTGAACTCATGGCAGCGGAGCCTTACCCTGGCGAGATCTGAAGGCTTTATTTATCTCTGGGGGGAAGGGGGGATGGAAATCATGCCGGACACTGGGGAATCTCGAGGACGGACTGTGCGCTTTCTATGATTAGATTATGCCTTGCCTTTTGCATTGTGCGGAAGCATCACTTGATGGACATTGACGGCTAGAATAAGGAACTTGCTACGATATGGAAAGCAGCCTGGCATTTACGTACTCGAGAGGACTTTACAAAGAAAAGAACCTCTTACCTGCACCTGCAAAACCCGGCCAACATCCAGTGAGTGATAGGCTTGTGAGTAACCAGCGGCGACCTTCGGGATCATTGCATGCTCTGCGCGACCACAATGTGCAGCTTGAACGCGCGACCGTCCAGGTTACGACAATGCGATATATCACCGGCCACCAGGGATTACACCACATATGTCTCAAACGCGAATACGAAGGCCCGGCTCCCACACATGAGGGTGACTGACGCACACACGGTCGACAATCTCCCGCCGATAGCCGGACGTAACGAAGGACGAGCTCCAAGGAGAAAAGGAAAGGAGCAGCACTTGTCTCGGATCTAAAATACGATAAAACACGGCCTCAGAAGCCCGACAAGTAAGAACCGGATATCAAATACCATCTTCTGCCCCTCGTCAATGCTGCGAGGTTGAGATGATGCGGCGGCGGCGGCGGCGGCGGCGGCTGTGGGTTGACGTTTTGGCTTTCAGCCATCTTGACCAACGGGATGGCAGCTTAAGCGAGAAGCAGCCCCATTTGATTCGCTTAATACTGGGGAGCGACGGAGGCTAGACTCTGGTGGCGTTAGATGGGGGGCGACCTGCATCTTGAAGAAGACCCATGCTGCTTTAGCCCGAAGAAGGACTCCAAGGACGACGGAAGTTTTACAGCTTGTACATCAGCGATGGCCACGTCGTTGCACGAAGGGCGGCGGGCGATATCGAGCAATACAGGGGCCCGTGATCATCGCATGGAATGGGCATGGAATGGGCATGGGCCTGGCCATAGGAAAGTGAATCATCAATGGTTGTGGAATTCGACGTCGAACGAGGCCGCCAAGAGTCGAATCAAGCACTCGAGGGCTTGCCCAGCCCGCTTCGCTCAAGGGCCCGGCGTCCTGACGAATGGCGCGACGGCGCCGCCTCGAGATCAAGTACATGACAAGCGAGAATGGAGCCCCCGGGGACAGGCCGGAAACGCAGGAATCTCCGGGGGTGTGGCTTGCAAGTTTGGCCTCAGACCAGCTGGATTCGGTAGCAAGAGGCGAGAGAAACATGCTGCCCATTTCCTCATACCTAGTTATCCCACCCGTATTAAAGATGGCACATTGGAAAACATTCCCGTATGTGTTTGAGATGGCAATCCCGAATAGAACGAGAGCTTACCGCCTGCAGCATATTTTGGCCGCACAGCACAGTAGGCGACTCACAGCTCATCGCATTCGGATCCTCTCCTACATCGCACAGCAGGCTGCTTGTTTCGATTAATTAATATCAACCAAGGCGAAAACGAAATCGCCGTCGTCGTAACACCGTCGCCGGACCGTACCCGTCTCTCTTGGAGCGGCCTCAACTCCCAAGGCACGACATATTAACTTTGCAGTTCTGTCGCCCCTGCGTCCTGGTCTGGTGTGCAGAAATGCGAATGCGAACCCACCTTCCCAGGTCACGTCAAAGTCGGTCGCATTCACACCCCGTGCTCTCCCTCGCCTAGGGCCGCCCAGGAAAGACGCGGCCCATCCATGCTACCTAGTAGTGGCCCCCATCCAGTTCCTTGATCACGTACTTTTGGAGCTGAATTGTTAGGTAGTGAGCTCGCGAACGTGAGTCGCCAGTTCAGTCAGTTTAGCGAGTGTCTTGCGCTAATGAGCCGCTAAAAACCAACTTTCAGATCGCCACCACATCTCCAGCTCTCAGGTCTCAGCCAGTCAGTCCTTTCAACGGGCGGGCATCACGCAGCTGATGAAATAACACATAACGGTGGTTCGGGTGCGTGTGTACTGCTGCTTCCAGAGAGTTTGAGGCAAAATAAGTTGCTTTGTCCTCAAGTCTTCAAAATCCAAAAATTATCGTCATAGGAAATCCGGCGGCACTCTCACCCAGCAAGCTTGAACACTGCAGACTCGGTGACTGTTGATCAGCTCCGACTCGACCCGGTCGGTATCTCAGCCTCCCTCACTCACTCAGAACTCGCACTCGCTTTCGGTGCTGTGGGCTACTGCACACCATTACGGCATCAAACCTCCAACTTACACCCAGTACAACTCACCCATCCACGCACGTACGCATCTGACGGCGGCCACCTCGCGGTTGCTGGTAAGAGCGAGTCGGTCAGAAATTTTGCCGACTCGGGTATTCGTCACTCAAACACTACCATCGTCATCGGGTCAGTTGTTGGCCCAAATCTCGAATCTGTACTCACATGGAACACGGGGAACAGAGATAAAAGAAAAGTTCACCTGCCGCATGAGTCTCAGGACGGCCTCTCCAATCATTCCCAAGGGCTTTCTATCTTCCACGGACTGAAACCTCTACAAGAAGCCAGCACAATGAACTCAATCAAGCCAATAACTTCAAAACCGGCCATACGCCGTGGTGCCGAGGATGCAAAGGCCGACAACGACCAGACCATCCGCAATCTCGAAAAGGGCGCCTACCATGACTGGCCCAACGAAGCCGCCTTTGACGGCCTCAAGGAAGAGCGCGGCCCCATCGAGATCCCCGTCACCGGCATCATCCCCTCCTGGGCTGCCGGCTCTCTCTACCGCACCGGACCTGGCCAAAGCAAGGTCGAGGGCACGCCAAACGGCACCTTTCGCATCTCTCACTGGTTCGACGGCCTGGCGCACTCGCATCGATTCGAGATCGTGCCCGTCGGCGCCCCACCCTCTCCAGACTCCGATACGGGCCGGGCAACCTCCGGACCGACCCGTGTCCTGTACTCGTCCCGTCGCCAAGCCGAGGGCCTCGAGGCCCAGATCAAGCGTACCGGGTCGTCCAAGATGTTCAGCTTTGGTCAGCGGAGCGACCCTTGCATTGGCTTCCTCGGCAAGTTCATGAGCACTTTCCGGGCCACGGTCTGGGGTCCGCGCCTGCAGCACGACTATGGCAAAGAGAACATCGCCGTTGTCGTCCTGCCGAATGCGCCCTTCAAGGCCAGTGTTCATCATCCTCGTAGTGAAGCCGAGAAGAATGTCGAGGTCCATACCGAGAACGAGACCTCCTTGCCGATGCCGTCCGGTCATCGCTCTGGTCTGCCCGAGAATCTGTGGATCACGACGGACAAGGCCGGCATGATGCAGGTCGACCCTGCCACGCTCGAGCCCATCGGCTTCGCCACTCAGGCAGTCCTCCATCCCTCCCTCAAGGGCCCGCTTTCCTGCGCCCACGCTCAACGCGATCCCAAGACTGGAGACATGTTCAACTACAATCTCGAGATGGGAGGACGCAACGCGACGTACCGAGTATTCCGTGTCAGTGCATCCACCGGACAGACCGAGATCCTCGCGACCATCGAGCGACCAGGCCTCAAGGGCGCCTACATCCATTCGTTCTTCCTCTCGGAGAACTACGTGACCCTCTGCGTCCCGAGCACGCACATCGCCATGAACGGACTCAAGATCCTCTGGGAGCGCAACCTGCTGGATGCGATCGAACCCTTTGACGCGTCCAAGAAGTGCAAATGGTTCGTCGTCGATAGGCACCACGGCCGAGGCGTGGTGGCCGAGTTCGAGAGCGAGGCGGGCTTCTTCTTCCACTCGGTCAACACGTTCGAGGAGCCGGCCGAGGACGGCAGCGCAGCCGTCGACATCCTGGCCGACGTCATCGAGTTCGACAACTTTGACGTCCTGCGCTCGCTCTACTACGACGCCATCCTGGACCGCGACGGCGCCTTCGGCCGCTTCCACCAGACCGAGGAGAAGAGGCGCGCCTTCGTGCCGCGCCTAGCCCGCTACCGGCTCCGTGTCGCGCCGCCGGCGTCCGAGCCCGCCAAGCCCACCACCGCCAAGTCGGCGGCGGCGGCGGAGCGCATCCTCGCCATCCCCGGCCCGCACGCCGGCGAGCTGCCCACCATCAACCCGGCCTACGCGCTGCGGCGCCACCGGTACGTCTACAGCCTCGCGACGCGCGGCCTGGCGACGGTGGCCGACACCATCGTCAAGACGGACACGCTGACGGGCGAGGCCGTGCTGTGGAACAACGAGACGGCGCACACGCCCGGCGAGGCCATCTTCGTCGCGCGGCCGGGCGCGGCAGACGCGGACGAGGACGACGGCGTTCTGCTGAGCGTCGTGCTCGACGGCGCCGAGGGCACGAGTTACCTGCTGTGCCTGGACGCGCGGACAATGGAGGAGATGGGCCGCGCCGAGGTCGGGTTCGCGGTGGGACAGGGGTTCCATGGCGCGCATCACCCGCGGGCATGATTGGCATTGCTCAAGGGATCGCACCGAGGCGAATGAGGAGGGAGAAAGAAAATACGAAGGTTATGATCCGGGGTACCCCGATTTGTGATTATGGGAGGTGATCTGCATAGCGTAATGATTTTGATGTACTGAATTCAAGTGTCATCTTCGGCGTTGAGATACTAAGTACTACCTTATGTACTCTGAGGAAACTTTGAGATATCGTGAATGCATCCAATGTTTCCGAGGTTCAATTTGAGCCAAGCCAGGGAGTTTCAGTGGACTGGGAAGTCTCTCAGAACGCCACAGCCGCTAATTTCGGGCGCCACAGCGGTGACTTGCCCCCACAGCGCCAAATTCCAGTCCGGGAAGGAGGGTCCACCCATTGAAGCCACATTTCGATATCAAACTTCCATGGATTTGAAGCTCAGGAAAGGCGCCAGTGTTCCATCACCTCCGCAAAAGATCTTGCATCTTTTGGCTCGGCGCCTCTTCCTCAGTCAGGCCGATTATACACCATGGCGCAAGAGGACAAGCCCGTATCGGGACCTTCGCCTCGGCCATCGAAAGGTGGCGGCGGCGTGGTCCGGGGCGCGTCGCTCCTCATCCTCCTGCAAGTCGGCTCCCGCGCCCTGACATTTGTCGCCAACCAGGTGCTTCTCCGATTCTTGACGGCGCAGCTACTCGGTATTTCGACACAGCTCGAGGTGTACTACTTATCAGTGCTGTTCTTCGCACGAGAGAGCCTACGTGTTGCCATTCAGCGACAGGCCGGCAGCGGCGACGGTGGCGATGGCAAGAAGACAGACAACCAAGCTGCGACCAGGGCGCGGACAACCCAGGCTCTCGTCAACCTCGCCTACCTCGCCATCTTGATGGGGATAGCAGCCGCCTTCATCCTGGGCCGGCTGTACATCTCCTCCGTGCCGGCATCTACGGTCGCCAGCACCCCGTACCTCTCGCTGTCTCTCAGGCTGTACGGCATCGCCGCCGTCCTGGAGCTGCTCTCGGAGCCCGTCTTCGTCATCATGCAGTCGCGCCTCGATTTCGGAGCCCGCGCGTCCGCCGAGGGCATCGCGACGTTCCTCCGGTGCTTCGCGACGCTCGGCCCCGCCGTCTGGGCGTCTCGCGCCGCCGCCGCCGGAACGGCTGGCAACCTCGGCACTCTGCCCTTCGCGCTGGGCCAGCTCGCGTACGGCACTGGGCTGCTCGCCGTCTACCTCGCGAGCGGCACGCGCCTGGCCCGGGCCGAAGGTTTCTCGCTGCTTCCCGGGCGCCTGCGCGGCGCCGACTACGTGGCCTCCTACTTCTACCAGCCCACCCTCAAGCTCGCGGGCAGCATGATCGCCCAGTCTTTCGTCAAGCACATCCTCACGCAGGGCGACACCTTTCTCGTCAGCGTGCTGTCGAGCCCGACGGCGCAGGGCGTTTATGCACTGGCCAACAACTACGGCGGCCTCGTGGCGAGACTGGTGCTCCAGCCCGTCGAGGAGAGCAGCCGGAACTACTTTAGTCGCCTCCTCTCGTCCGTGAACTCCAACGATGAGGTCAAGGACGCCGAGGCAAAGGCTTCACTGAAGCAAGCGGCTTCAGACCTGACCACCCTCCTCCGGCTGTACATCACGCTCTCCCTCCCAGTCGCCGCCATAGGTTTCACCGCCGCCCATCCACTGATAGCCCTCGTCGCTGGCCCGCAGTGGTCAGCATCCGGCGCTGGTGCCACGCTTTCCGTCTTCACACTCTACGTCCCTCTGCTCGCTCTCAATGGAGTCCTCGAGGCCTTTGTCGCCTCCGTCGCGTCCGAGACGCAGGTGCATGCACAGTCCGCCTGGATGGGGGGGTTCTCCCTCGTATTTGCCGGTGCCGGATTTCTCTTTCTGCGAGTCCTTGACATGGGTGCGAGAGGGTTGGTGTTGGCGAATGGCGTCAACATGGCATGCAGGATCATCTGGTGCGCGGTTTTTGTCAGGAGCTACTTCAGGCAAAAGGGTGGCATCGACTTCAGGATCGACGATGCCAGTCCTACGGCGGCTTCTTGGGCAGTGATGGCCGCCGCGGCCGGAGTCGTGAGCAGGGCAAGCTCTTTCCGTGTGGGCAGCTCGAAGGATGCACTGGTAGAATTGGTCAAGCTCGGGCTGATTGCAGTCCCGTTCGTCGCGGCATTGTAAGTCTTTGATGTATCACACACCCCATTCTTTTCTTAGCAGGTGTCTAATCTATGTCCACAGAGCCATTGCCGAACGCAACTTTATCCGCAACTGCTATGAGACGGTCCGCGGCCGACGCCAAGGCGCCTCTACTGCCGCATCATGAAAGGGAAAGAAATCGCAAACATGCCAGGACCCATGAAGTAACGCCATGTACAGAAACTTTCTTGAACCTTCATCCCATCTTCTAGTCAAATGTGATCTTGGTACCCTTCTTGCTCATATCTACATCCTTGAAGAAGGCGCCGTAGGTGTCGTGGGCCTTCTTCTTGACCGTCGTGCCGAACTTCATCAGATCCTCGGGGACGGGTTGACCCGCGGACTTGAGGACATTAATTAATCTGCAGAGATCATGTCAGTCAGACGAGGTGCTCGTACAGGGGGCTTCGTTCAGAGGTAGACTTACGATCCAGAGTGAGCCTTGTCGTGCTCTGTGAAGAGGGTGATGGCCTCGCCAGTCTTTCCCGCACGACCCGTCCGGCCGATGCGGTGGACGTAATCCTCGATAGTGAGAGGGAACTACAGTGTATGTCAGTCTCCTGCGAAGACCAGAATGTTGAACGCGAGCCTGAGGTAGAAAAAGTACATACCGTCGCATTGACGACGAGCTTGACCTCGGGGATATCCAATCCGCGAGCGGCCACGTCGGTAGCCACCAGCACCGTCGTGGTGCCGGCCTTGAACGCCTCCAAGCTCCGCGTCCGCTGCTCCTGCTTCAAGTCGCCGTGGATGCTGGCGACGCTGATGCGGTTGCGTGACAGGTAGCTCTCGACGCGCACAGCCTCCTTCTTGTACAGGCAGAAGACGAGTATGCGGTCGTTCCTGCCCTTGCCCTGTTGCGCCTCCTTGAGGATCTGCAGCAGCCGCCACTCCTTGCTGCGGGGGTCGACGACCTCGACGCGCTGGGCGATGCGCGAGTTGGCTTGCAGCTCGACGGTGCCGTTGCCCTCGCCGTCCTCGGTCTTGGTCTTGCCGCCGATGGTGATCTTGACGGGGTCGACCATGAAGCTCTCGGCCAGGCCGCGGACGCTGGCCGGCCAGGTCGCCGTGAACATGAGCGTCTGCCGCTCGCCACGCGCGGGGCACTGGCCGAGGATCTCCTTGACATCGTCCTCGAACCCCTTGTCCAGCATACGGTCAGCCTCGTCGAGGACGACGAAGCGGGCGGACGCCAGGGAGACGGTGCCGTCGGAGAGGAAGTCCTTGAGGCGGCCGGGGGTGGCGACGATGATGTCGGCGCCGTTCTTCTTGCGCAGGAGCACGCGCTGGTCGTCCTTGCTGGCGCCGCCGTACAGGCAGACGGCGGACAGCCCGGCGAGGCCGGCGAGGTCAGCCATGGCGGCGTGGGTCTGCATCGCGAGCTCGCGGGTGGGCGAGACGACAACGGCCAGAGCCTGGGCCACGTCGGCCCTCTCCATCTTGTTCAGCCTGGAGTTCGCGGGCAGAGGGCCGGCGGCGATCGACTTGGGCTTCGAGAGGGACTGCAGGGCTTCGATGCAGGGCAGGGAGAAGGCGAGGGTCTTTCCGGAACCCGTCTCGGCAATGCCGATGACATCGCGGCCGGACAACGACAAGGGCCACGAGGCGGACTGGATTGGGGTCGGGACAGTGAAGTTCTTGAAGGGGCCCTTGGCGAGGAGACGAGAAGGCGGGAGCTGGTCAAACTTGAGAACGGGACGCAGGGTCATATTCCTTGAAGGGTCCGTCACGGTGATCTCTTGCGCGGTCAGGAAATCCTGGATCTCCTTCTCGGGGACGGCGCTCAGGGCTTCGGTCTGTTGGTAGGAGTACTTTGCTTTGCCGTTGGTAGAGGGCGCTGCGCTGGAGTCAATTGACTCTTCGGCCTTGGCAGACTTGTCTTTCTTGGACTTTTTGGACTTCTTCTCCTTCTTGGGGGCTTCAGACTCGACGGGCTCGGTCTCGGAGGGCTTGTCGGTGGCTTCTAGAGTCTCGTCGGCCTCGGCAGAGTTCTCCTCCTTCTCCTTGCGCTTCTTCTCCTTCTTTTCCTTTTTGTCTTTCTTGTCTTTCTTCTCCTTCTTATCTTTCTTTTCTTTCTTGTCCTTCTTGTCCTTCTTCTGCTTCTTCTCCTTCACAGGGACATCGTCGGCGGCGGAAGGGTCGCTGACGGTCTTGGCCTTCTTGACACGATCGATCTCGGGGACGACGTCGTCGTCGGGCCGGGCATGCTTCTTTCCGACAGACATTGTTGCTGTGAGGAGAGGGCACAGCCGTAGGAAGGATTGCTGTCTGGATTTGGAGGGAGGGAGCACAGCAGAACTGATGGGGAGAGGCGGTATTGGAGGGTCTGGCAAAATGCTTCCCGCCGCCTTTTTTTCCCACCGAAATTTTCTTTATCTTATCGATAAGCCTTGGGAAATCAATGGGTCCAGATTCGGAATGTGTGGGGGGCGCTTTGGGACCCTGAGTTCTTAGTGGATTCTTGTGCGTGGCAGCTCAGGTGGTACGTACCTCAACTAAGTACTCGAAGAGCTCTGCAATAACATAACATCAGGAGAAACTCGGCCAGAAAAAACATCCTGGTGAATTCAACATCATGTCGTCATGTATTGAGAAATAAACATAGGTATATTGTGGTCATCATTCTTGAAAGACATGTTGCTTCCGACAATAGATCCATCTGGATTGACATTAAAGAAACGGATATTACAATCTGCCAATTTGGTACAAAACTCCTTCACAACCCATCACGCAAAAGCACATTTTCCACCTGAATACTGCTATTTCTTCATGTGTAAAGCATCCTTGACACTATCGAGCTTGGACTTTTTCGTGTCTTGATGGGCCTGGGAAGGGGCATTGTCTTGACTCTCCAAGCCAGCACTCTTTGTCGACGTGGCCCCTGGTGGAAGGGTCATGCTGTCGTTGGGGTGCAACTTTTGGACCCGAGTTAGATTCAGTTCATGTAGTCGTAAATCACATCATGTGCTCGACAACGAGGGTCACTGTACTGCTTGCTGTGAGCGGACTTACTCTCTGCTCCTCAGCTTCGGCTCGCTCGAAGAGGTCGTGTCCCTCTTCGACTGCCTCGTCAGTGTATCCTCCACTCATGTCGATTCTGTGTGTTTATAGCTTGGGATAAGTGTGTCGGTTTGATTGTTCGTTGTTGGTGTCTGGAGAGCAAGAGGGAAGCAGGCAGGATGGGGGAGATTGAAGGAGGCAAGGGAGGGAGAACTTTCTTCATATACCTCTGGGCGAAGTCCCCGAGTCAATGCTGAACCCGACGTCATCCTCGTCATTCTCACTTTGGTGCATCATTTGGTGATGTCTGAAGGATGTCATGCTTGCCGAATGAGAGCTTGCGGCACAACACCCACAACCTTTCCCCCGCACTCCCAGAACATTGTAGACGAAGGGCACGGTGCTAAGGCTGTTCTGTTTACTGTGTGTGCCCCGGCATCTTTGCCAATCGAATCCTCTGGATCTTCCCGCGATCGCCGGAGAGTTTGTGCTAGTGCTGGCAGTCACACGACCAACAGCGGGTGCGAAGGACCAACCAACGAGGGGAGCAGTTCTGCGCTTTTCAGGTCCCCAAGCTCAGACCGCCAGCTACTCTCAGGATCTAGGTGAATGCTGTACCTTCCCTTTGATTGCTTAGAAATGTCGACTCGACCTACTGTTGGATTCCAGAATGTTGACCCGCTGGTGTGGTTGAGGCTCAGGCGGGGTGCGGGGCTTTGAGCTGATAACAGCCTCAAATATTCTCGCCTGGGTTGGAGGATTCTTCACCGCAATCGAAGCCGCTTGTATAAATTTAGTCTGATCCAAGGCGAAACAGATATTAAAACTGCATTGGACTGAGCAAACCCTCTGTGAGGAGAACAGTCGTTTGAGCCTGCAATGCCTCCCGTCAAATCAGAGTAAGAGACACGCCTATTCCTTCCTTCCTTCCAGCATCACATCAACTCAGGGACTCACACGGTGGCCACAGTTTCCCGCCCGTTCGGGCCTGCATATTCGACATGGACGGCCTGCTCCTCAATACCGAGGACATCTACACCCTCTGCGCCAACATCGTGCTCGCGAGACACGGGCGGCCAAACCTGCCTTGGAGCGTCAAGGCCAAGCTGATGGGCGTGCCTGGCGGGTCCACGGGCGACTCCTTCCACGAGTGGGCTAACCTCCCGATACCCCGCGAGCAGTATAAGCTCGAGCAATTCGAAGAACACAAGAAGCATTTCCCGGAGTGCATGCCCCTCCCAGGCGCGGAGGCGCTGCTCGAGCACCTCAACGCAGCGCGCAACGTCGACGATCGCAAGGTCGAGGTGGCGTTGGCCACGAGCAGTGCGCGGCAAAACTTTGATCTCAAGATCAGACAGCCAGAGTCAGTAAAGTTGATGAGCCACTTCCCCGAGGGCAGACGCATCCTGGGAGATGATCCGCGGGTAAAGAAGGGGCGCGGCAAGCCGGCGCCGGACATCTACTTGCTTGCCCTGGAGACGATCAACGCGTCGCTGGAGGAGGGTGAGCCCAGGATATCGCCCAGTGAATGCCTGGTGTTCGAGGATAGCGTCCCCGGCGTCGAGGCAGGACGGAGAGCCGGCATGAGAGTGGTCTGGGTGCCGCACGAGGGTCTGGCAAACGAGCTCAAGGGGAAGGAGACGGAAGTCCTGGCTGGGAGAGTGGGACTGGTCAAGATTGGCGACGAGCATCAGTTGGGTCAACTCGACGACGGCTGGGCTGAGCAGCGGCCGAGTTTGGTAGACTTTCCGTATGATAGATATGGCATTGTAGCATAGAGTCTTTAGACCAGTCTTCGACAAGTTTGTTCGGGATCTCAATAGACTTGGGCGAAGTAATACTTAGGCTTTCCGAGCTCCAGAAGACAAGACGCTCACTTTTGAAATGGCACGTCATATATCACGTTTTGCGATGAATATTCGATTTGAAAAACAAATTTACGGCTGAAAACTGAAGTACCTTGAAACTGAATGCCAGCTTTATGAGCCGTGGGGTTGGACCTTGAACCAATCCTACCGTATCAAAACTGAGCACTTACGTATCACAACCACCAGAACAGGTATGCTGATCCATCGAGAAATTTTGATTCGGCAAGCAATACACCACTCCTCGGTTTTCATATGTAGAACACAGCCTAGTCTGTTGCCCATGCCGTGGTGGTCCTTCTGGAGATGATGTCAGCTTAAGTCCGGTATCGCCGCCAAGACACAACTTTACAAGAACGTGAACCACGCAGTATTCTACTTCATCTATTTACAGTCTGAGATAGTCCGTGCTAACATTTCCGAAATCAGAACGAGCAACTCCAAGGTGGTTCTTTGCACTGGCGCCAACCAAGGGTTAGGCTACTCTATTCTGAAGATAGCAGGCCTACGCCACTCTGACTACACTTACATCCTGTGCAGCCGCAATCTGGCTAAAGGCAAGGACGCAGCAGACCAGCTTAAGGAAGATGGTGTTTCCGCAAAAGTTGATGTCTTGGAGCTGGATGCCACCAAGGACGAGCATATCGAGCAAGCGGTGGCATATGTAGACAAGACTTACGGGAAACTCGATGGTAAATATTTTGGCCTGCTCCTCATTCTACCCACGCGCTCGGTAACTAATGCTTAATATCGCCTTCCAGTCCTCGTCAACAATGCCGGCATACTCGGGCCTTTCCCGAAAAAGGACGAGTCCCTTCAGACTGTGCGGTCCCGATACGATCTGCTCCTCAGTGTGAATCTTGCCTCGGTAGCTGTGGTAACCTACGCTTTCACACCGCTGTTGCACAAGTCGGCCGATCCCAAAGTCATCAGCATATCCTCCGGCCTCGGCAGCATCCAACTCTCGCTGACGACCAAGATGGGACGGTTTCCTCCATATGGGGCCACAAAGATCGGACTGAACGGCCTCATGGTTCATCTACAGGTCGCCGAGAACGACCGTGTCGAGGCCGGAGGGCAAGAGGCGGAGCCCGCCTGCATTCGGCACTACGTGTGTGCGCCGGGTGCGCTCAGAACGGCCTTTTCTGGGTTCAAGGATGGGTTGAGAGACCCGGACCGAGGTGCCGAGGTTGTTGTAAGGCTTCTGGAGGATGATAAGGGCAAATATGAAGGAGGTTCATATTGGGAATTTGAGGAGGATGAAATGAGGCGCAGGCCTTGGTGACATTCCCGGTTCCCGTGACTTTATATAGCAAAGGTCACCGTGACAAAGATTTGGAAGGAAATGAGTTCAATGCTTCGCGAGAGACTAAGCTACTTCATGGAAGGTCAACTGACCATGAGCTGTTTAAGTTCCCAAACATCTTAGACTTTCTCTTCATGATTAATAGTCTCAGTCCATGCCTTGTCGTTGCCTGCATGGCTTTTGTCTGTGTTCTCGGCATGCACGATCTCATCCTCCCCGCCGAATTGACGACCCTTGTTCTCGGGCCCGAGGAGTGTAGTAAACGTAACGAGAGCCAAACAGGCGCCCAAGAATGCACAAATAACGATGGCATAATCGTAGCGCTTGACCCCACTAGGCGAGGGAGGCAGCGCATAGTGTTGCTCAGCTACTCTTGACTGAATTGTAGCAGCGGGTGAAGAAGCGAGATTTCCCAGCTGGTAGGCTGTGCCCACGACGAATGTTCGAATCACGCCCGGCGAGAGCTCCATCAGATACGCGGGAATTACCGCAAAGGATCCCTGCACAAAAAACTGGGTGAAGAAGGCACATGCTGCAACGCGCATGGTGGTAACGTGGGTGTAGGGATAGATCAATGCCGCGGCGCAAAGGCAGGAGGAGATTATGGTGATTCGTCGGCCCATGATCTCTGAGATATAGCCAACAATCAGAGCTCCAGAGATAGCCCCGAGGTTGGCAACGACTTGCGTGATAGTCATCTGGTTCGAAGTGAAGCCGAACTGGTTGATGAGCATGGTCGGGTAGAAGTCCTGCGCACCATGGGCCTGGATAGAGAGAAAGAACAACACGTTAGGAGCTGCACTGGTATATTATCCTCAGGAAGAACCTGGTTACTTACCACGAAATTGATGCCCGCCATCAATACGACCATGTAGATCAGCGTCAACCAATGCTTCCTGATCGTCCGGAGGCCCTCATGGATAAACCCGACAGGGGAGGGATTCGATTCGTGCAGGGCTCGGCGTTGAATGAAGGCGTTCGTCTCTGGGAGGAAGTAACGCCAGATGATGGCCAGAACCGGTGGTCCCGCGGAGAACCAAAAGAGTGATCGCCATCCTTGCGGAGTGGTGTCGACAAGAGCCCTTGCAAAAGCCGTCGCCAGGAGATAGCCCATGGGGTATCCGGCCTGGAAGAAGCCTGACATGACACCACGAGACTTGTCCGGAAGGTCTTCCAGGGCAGTTGCCACGGCGTTCCCATAGAGACCACCCATGGCCACACCGAATATTGCACGGCAAGCAATAAACTCGCCATAGGTCTTGCAAAAACCGGTGCCGAGCTCGATAACAATGAAGAGGAAGTTGTTGAAGATGAAGGGCCACTTGCGGCCAAACCTGTCGGACCAGATGCCAAATATGGCGGAACCAAGGGAGCGGAACATGAGCACCAGTGTGATGCCCCATGTGATATCCGAATTTTGCTTATTGAATTCTTTCGCCAACGGAGTGATCGTTAAGCTGACCGTAAAAAAGTCCAAGGCGTCGATAACCCAAGCAAGCCAGGCGCACTGCCAACTCTCTGAGTTAGCAAAAGTTTCTCTCTCGTCAAGGGGAAAGAAGAGGTCTACCATAAAGAAGTTCCATTGCTGCCCACTCATCATCCGCATGGCGGTCCAAGGACTGACCACTTTGTCCATGGGAGGCTTCAGGGTGGGGATCCTGGACTTGAGATACTGTAAAACAGCCATCTTGGGTTCCAAACTGTAGTTCAGAATATGGGAGCAGTTGTAGTAGGCCGCCTGTTCGCCGTGGCTCTTCAGCCTGGTGTTTCGCGCAGTATTCGCTAACTATGGCCTGAGTTGTTGAGGGAGCAAATCCCACGCAGTCTTATATACACACCATCAACACGCAGCCTTGGCGGTTGCCGTGTCACAAGACAGTTTACACCCTGCCTGTCAAAATAACTTTGCGGAGTCCCCGCAATCCGGGGTGACGAGGAATCACGTCCAGGGCAGTCTCGTTTGCAAGGGTGTGGACCCGTCTAGGTCAAATGTTTGCAGAGCAGAATGATCGCGAGCGGAGTATCGTTGCCGGACGACTTAGTCCGAATTGGAGGTATGTTGTTCATTCGTGGGAATTGCCCCATGTTTAACGCAAACTAACCAAAGCAGCTACTCCAAGAAACCCCCGCACCGGCTACATACCCCGTCCGGCTAGCTAGCTCAGAAGGACCCGGTTTCGGCCCTGATCGACGGTCGAATACTTCACCGAATGCTTAAGCAAGAGGGAGAGTCAAGCAGCAACACCAACAGCGTCACTGTTAGACTCTCTTAAGCTCTTCTGTCACAGTTGTCGTCCAGAACTCGAGTTCAAGAACCCGCATCATCACGAACATGGAGACTCTGGCTGCAGCGGAAAGCCTGCAAGTCCCAGCTCCACAGCTGTTTTCTCTCAAGGGAAAGCATGCCTTCATCACAGGTGGCTCTCGAGGCATCGGTGCAGCCATGGCCCATGCCCTAGTCGATGCTGGGGCATCTATCTGCCTCGCCAACCGCAGCGCATCAGATACGGCGACCGCGGATGCCCTTCGGGCCAAGGGTGCCAGGGTCGAAATCCTCGAATGCGATCTAGCCAATATGGAAGACGCCAAAAGCATCTTCCAGAAGGCTGTTGATGTGATGGACGGCAAGATCGACATAGTCGTGAACTGCGGTGGTATTTTAAAGCGCAAGGAAGCTGTTTCCGTAACGGAAGAAGACTGGGACAGTGTGAGTCTTTGCTCGAGCTCGTCGGTTCCTATCAATAAAAACATAAAGACTGACACGGATCAGGTCATCGATGTCAACCTTAAAGCCCTATTCCTCATCTGCCAAGCAGCAGGTCGATACATGATCCCGCGAATGAGCGGCAAGATCGTCAACGTGGCTTCGCTCAATAGCTTTATCGGCGGAGAGACTGTAGCCTCCTATTCATCTTCTAAAGGAGCTGTTGCACAGCTCACCAAGGCTCTCAGCAACGAATGGTCAAAGTACAACATTCAGGTGAACGCGATTGCGCCAGGAAACATTGCCACAGACATGTAGGCTACCCTTCTCAGATTTCGCAATTCGATCTGCAGTGACCAGGCTTACATGGGACATGCCCTTATAGTAATACCGATCTTCGAGCCGACCCGCAGCAGTACGCAGCTCGTGTTGCTAGAGTTCCAGCTGGACGATGGGGCTATCCCGCGGATTTTGCCGGTCCCATCTTGTTTCTCTGCAGTGATGCAAGTCAGTATGTGACAGGTTCGGTTCTGGTTGTTGATGGCGGATTTCTGGGAAGGTAGTAAGCGAAGAAGTAGATGAGGTTAAATAGAATTTATTAGAGTACATTGTGCATTGGCGGTTCTCGATCTGTCCCCGTGCCTACGACTTGCGTTCATAAAGACAGCTAGATCACACGAATTGCTTGCAGGGAGTCATGCAGGTCACGGAAGACTCATTACAACTCTGCTAGCAGTGATCACGAAAATTGCAGATCGCGTGCTATGCAGATATGAATTGCATGGTATGCTAGATATGCTCAACACTTCTGATCATCGCCCTTCAGTCACTCAGTTTTGGTACATCAACCCACGCCCGCTTCTCCCAACTTTCAATGGCCAGTTCTGTAAGCTGCACCCCCTTCGCGCCTTCTAGCAAGCTATGGTTCCACGGCTCATCAGCAATAACGTGCCGCAGGAACAGCTCCCATTGAACCTTGAACGCGTTATCAAACGTCTGATAGTCCGGTACACGGGACCAGCCTTCGGAAAACTTGATGGGCGAATCAATGTCCGGATTCCAGGTGGGCCGCGGCGTCTGGCTTTCATGCTGTGCGACACAATCTCGCAGCCCGGCCACAGCACTCCCTTTCGTCCCATCTACCTGGATTGTCAGAAGATCATCGCGGCGGACTCTAACAGCCCACGACGAGTTGAAGTGGACGACGACGCCGTTAGTCAGCTCAAACGTGGCATATGCGGCGTCGTCGGCCGTGCACTTGTACGTCTTGCGCTGCTCGTCCTTGCGCTCCTTGATGTGCGTGGCGCCTTTGCAGGTCAGGGACTCGATGTCGCCAAACAGATTCTGGATCACATACTGCCAATGGCAGAGCATGTCGCTGATGATGCCGCCGTCGTCCTCCTTGCGGTAGTTCCAGCTCGGGCGCTGCGGGAGGACGGGGCCCATCCCGTCGAAGACCCAGTAGCCGAACTCGCCCCGGACAGACAGGATCTCGCCAAAGAAGCCGCTGTTGATCAACGTGCGCAGCTTCACGAGACCCGGAAGCCAGAGCTTGTCCTGGACGACGCCATTCTTCACACCAGCGGCCTTGGCGGTCTTGTACAGGTCGAGGGCTGCCTCGGAGGACACGGCCGTCGGCTTCTCGCAATAGATGTGCTTGCCCTTGGCGATGGCCTTTTTGACAGCGTCGGCGCGGCGGCCGGTGGTTTGGGCGTCAAAGTATATGATGTTGTTCTCGTCGTCTAGGCATGCGTCGAGGTCGGTCGAGAACTTCGCGATGCTGTGGCTGTTGCAGAGCTCCTGCAGCTTGAGCGCGTTGCGTCCGACGAGGACTGGGTCGGGCATGATGACAGACCCATCGGAGAGCTTGATGCCACCCTCTTTGCGGATGGCGCAGATGGAGCGAATCAGATGCTGGTTTGTACCCATGCGGCCCGTGACGCCGTTCATGATGATGCCAACATTGTGGACAGTAGGTTGCACGGCGGCCATGGCGACTTGTCGAAGGAGGACACCGAGACTCGACTCGATTCTTGACACAAAAGTAGTAATGAAGGATCCTCGAACGAAAGTTTGATACAGAGGCTTGAAGACCTATTCAATGCCATACGAACTAGGGTTTTCAACTCCTTGAAAGATATAGACCGAGTCAGCAACTTCTGCGTCGCAGTCCTGACCGATTCCCGGACCAAAGAGGGCGGAGGCTCGTGAATTCAAGAAACACCACGGGAACCAGGACGATTAGCCGGTAACTAAGAATTTGGGGTTCAATGAGGGGGAATAAGTGACCCGGTTTTCTCTTGGTGGTGTCTACTAGTGATGCCGTTCGGTCTGACCTTCGGATGGACAATGGCGCGAGCGACTATCTCATCTTCTTGATTGGCTCCTTTCCCCACAGTCCGAAGCTATTAGCATCCCCGCAACGACTGGGACAGATCCTCCACATTGGGGTGTCATTGAACCGCGTGAATGCTTTCCCGGGTCCTGCGAAGATGGCATTCCCTCTTATTTATTCCGGCACGGAATGGCTGTCGTTGGTACTCTTGCGTGAGCCATCCACACAACACCGCCAAGTTCGCAATTTCTTCTGAACCCTGTGATTGCCATCCGCCGGAAGCTACTTTAAGCCAGCATCACCACCATGCGTGACGGAAAGAAGACGGTTCTGGTCATCAACGGACCCAATCTTAATCTCCTTGGCACTCGTGAGCCGCAGCTTTACGGACACGAGACGCTTGCTGATGTGGAAAATGCGCAGAAGGAACAAGCGAAGACGCTCAATGCCAACGTCGAGTTCTTCCAAAGGTACTGTCATGGCCTCCCAATCCGGGAGTAGAAGAACAACCTTTGACAATTCGCTGACTACATACGGCGAGGTAGTAACTGGGAGGGCGCTATCGTCGACAAGATTCAAGAAGCAAGGACAGATGGAACCGACGGCATCGTCCTGAATCCCGGCGGCTTCACCCACACCTCCGTCGCGATCCGAGATGCTCTCCTGGGCGTCGAAATCCCATTCATCGAGCTCCATGTGGCTAACATACACGCCAGAGAGGTAACTGATATAGTTTGAATTCGTGATGGAGCTTCAGAAATTAATCGAATCTATAGGAGTGGAGACATCATTCATACTTCTCAGACAAGGCAAAAGCCATTATTGTGAGCAACAATTGCCAGCTAGTCCGGCAATAGCATACTGATATGACTCTACAACAGGTCGGATGTGGTGCTGCAGGCTATGGATATGCAATCGAACATGTGGTGAAGAAGTTTCCAGAGAAGGTCAAGCCGTGAGCCTCAAAGGAGGATTAAGTGTAACTCAAAGGGATAGAAATAGACAATATACACCATTTCGATTCAGTGTATGGGTGACCGCTGCCGGTATCAACAGCCAACCCTTACAGTTTCATGATAGAACTACTGCCCTTATACATGTGGCCAATGAATCAGCCATATGAGAAGGAGCCGTCGTATCCAGTATCGAAAATTCCATCGTCGAGGCTGATGATCCTATCAACGTCTACAAAGCTCTGATCGAGAAATAGCTGAGAAATCGAGCTCATATCTTGCATCTCCGCGCCCTGATTGGGAGCTTGGAACGCCCGATTGGTATCAAAGTACATCTGTGCAGAGTGCGAAATGGGAGCTTCAGGTACTGTCGTCTTCGAGGGCGACGTCTCGGCTGGGCTTGTGCGCATTTCGGGCCTTTGGAAGCTCTGGCCGGCCGTGGCTGGCGAAGGTTCCGAGCGGGCTTGGGATGGGCTGTCGTGAGAGATCTCTACGGTGTAGTCCGAAGGATCGATCTGGAAATGGGTCACCTGAGACGCCTTCTTTTGCAGGGCTCGCAGTCGTTCGGCATATTTGGCGGCCAATGTGTACTCCTTGGTCTCGTCAAACCCGGCCCACGACCGTGAAATCTCGTCCAGGCTTTCGAGCAAGGAGTTGAACTCAGGTGGAGGGTCTTCAGCTGCAGCCCTGTAGTACTTGCAGTGGATTAAGAGCAGTCGCGCAGAGATAAAGCAGCAGAAGGCAAACTGGTTGGCGACCGGAAGCGAGGATGTCCTGAGGTAGTTTGCAGTAATGGAAGCCACCTCAATCGCCGCAGCATAACAGGTCTCGGCGCTGGATGTGCTCGGTAGTCGCCCTCTAAAAGACCATTCCTTCGGAGGAAAGGCGATTGGTTGATGCAAGAGGATGATTGATGTGTTATGCGTAATATGTGCTAGGGTCAGGTTTGGGTCCATGGATGTGTGGACGGCCTGCCTTGCCATGTCGGGCTTCCACTTCTGTGGCAAGAACATTTTCCAGTGTATCAGTCGAAGGTCGAGCTCTTTGAACCGAACGAGCCAGCTCTCTATCTCGCGCTGATCCCGTATGTCAAACTTCTGCTGTAGAAAGTACGTTGTCACTTGGCTGAGAGACTCCGTAGCTTCGACGGAATACGCAAAGGCGCCAACGGTGGACATATTGATGGCCATGCCTGCACCGGCTGGGGATAGTGTGATGTTCTCGCCCGAAGTGGTAGCACTTTCTCCTGGGCTAATGCTCTGTGCCATCCCTCCGTAGGTTGAAGGGAGCAACGAGATTGGATTCCCGATGCGGCCCTCAGATTTGTCCCAGATGTTATAATAAGGCGTTTTGATGAACTCGTCTTGCCACCATAGAGAGATGTCGCAAGGCAGGCGCCTACGGATGTCGTTATTCGTGAGGCTAGTATTCCAGCCCATGGTGATGGAACAAAATCTGTCCAGGTTGAAGATGTTCCAGAACACCCTCCGTCTCTCCTCATCTTCGACCCAAGGTCTCTCTACCTGTTGCGAGCGAGAGAAGAGGGACTTGGACAGAGGCGCTCGGTCTGCGTCTTCTCGTTCCACCGTGAGCTGTAGATACTCGACAGTTCGAGTCAGAGAACCGATAATTGACCATGCACGCATAGCTTCTCCGTTACCAATCTACCGTTATGTTATTAGCCCTTCGCATTCGTAGGTGTCGGAAGGGCACACCTACATCATTAAATGCAATGATCGTCAAAGCCTGCAAGTTCTCTATGCTCAATGAGCTCATGGCAGTCGATATGACCCAACTCCGTGTAGCTTCGAGTTGCTGCTGAGTCCAATACTGACCCACTGCGTTGTCTCGGGGGACATGACGCATTGCGGCAACCATCATAGCACGCAGGACGACCAGGAGCTTCTCGTTTTCTTGCACATCTGCTCTTCTTTTATCGAATCTCGCTCGATGAATCATCGGAATCCAGGGGCTAAAGTTGTTGAAATACGCCTCGATGAGTGCTTCCAACACATGTGGGGGCGGAAGTGGAAGGACCGTGCTGGTTGCTTCGGCCGTTGTCGGCGACGGCTCTTCGTACTGGACGCGGGTGCGCTTTCGGGTTCGAGATCCGTCCTCGCCATGATCTTCTTGCTCATATGAAGAGGTATTCTGTAGGTCTTTGACCTGCTGTAGCTCTTGCAGGAGCATAGACAAGACACTGCCTTTTGCGTCGGTGCTGCTCGAGGGTCGGCCGCTTTGCAAGGCAGAGTACTGGACGCATTCTTCTAGCCGGTCTAATCACACTTTGTATTAGCAGGACTGTATCCGGACCTGACCGAGGTACAAAATAACCCACCAAGTCTTCGATGTATGGCATCTATCGCGCCGGGCTTCATACCCGGCTTGCCCTTTTCGCCCCGATAGACGCATTGGTTGTCTGTATGCAAGTCCAAGCAGACCGGTCAGCAAAGGACCGTAGCCGAGATCAAATATAGAGAATAAGCATTCCGAAGTCAATTCTTACCCGTCTTCCGGCATTGCTGGCATCGTGGCAGCTCGCGCGAACACCGTAGTTTACGCCGCCGGCAGCAGTTGCAGGACAAGATCGACTCCGCCATGCCGTCGGCCTCGTTGGCGGCGTGCTTATCACCACCCCGGTCGTGAGAGACAGATGCATGCGTGTCCATCGCTGCGCATGCTGCTCGATTGCCTTCCTGACGGGAAAAAAACGTGCGGTTATTGTTGTGTGCGGGGAAGCGTGCGGCGCATGGTGCGAAGCCTTCAAGGTATCCGACCGATGAGGTCTCGGGCCCCACCTCCTCTAAGCGTTTCTAGCTGCGGATGTCGTTTGTCGTCATAATAGAGGCACTCGAGGCCTGTTTGATAGCTATCATCAGCCTCATGGGCATCTTTGCTAGTGCCGGGAGACAAGGAGGACAAGGCGGAGAGCCTCACGCATGCACAAGGAGTATTCACCTAGAAGGCTGCAGTTGGCACAGCAGGGCCTCTCTCGACTGCACTTGGTCTTTGGCCTCCGGCAGCTTTGGCACGAAACATTTGGCTTGGCAACTCTTGGCTGTGGCCTCACAGTACTCATCTACAGCAATCTAAAACCAGCATCTGACTCTCTAAATGAGATAAAGAATACCCAGCGCCCATAACTCAAGATGCGAGAAGCGACCAGGGCAGCAGCAAAGTATCCGGCGATCAACAAGGGCTGTCCACCTACTCGGGTAATACGGAGGCGGCACGGGCAGGGGCTCCGGGGCTGCTGGAATTATTAGACTATTGGCTTCCAAGCCACTTTTCAAGCTACTTATTCCCACGAACAACTTGTGTGTCGCCAATGTTGGGGATATTGTTCCCAGACGCCCAGCGACCCTCACCAACTAAGCTTCCCCCACACCTCCACTTCTCCCCAGGTCAGCGATCACCCCTCGCGCCATTATTCCTCCGTCAGTTAGTCCGAAGCCACTTCACCCGAGCATATGGAAGAAAGATTATGTGCAGTTAAACGGCGGCCTACAATCGCGTAGAAGAGTTGAGAATAGTGTAGTGTAGCATAGGGACTCTTTGAATTCATGTTTCAAAGTCGAAATGTTCTTCACATGCCCGGGGGTTGCAAATAATGTCTTGCTGCCACTTTGGTCATGGCGAATATGTTGGAACACAGCAGGGCAAAAGTTTTATCATCTTTGAGGAAGCTCTGAGTTTGGATAATAAGGAGTTGAGTTCTCCAAGAGAATGTGAGTCAATTGTTCTAATGACAGTCTCCATTTGCTGTGAACTGACAGACAGAGACCTTCGGTGCCGTCTCAATCCTAGATCACTCATACGACGAGCTCAATATTCATTTGATGGATGTCCGCGATCAGCCGTCACAGTATATGAAGGGATGACGCTGCTGTCGACTAAGTAGCCCCAGCCCAAACACCCCAGGATATGGGGGAAAAAAGAAAGAAAGAAAGAAAGGAAGTTAGACCAGAGCTCTAGCCGAGACTCTGGAACGCCAGAAAACGTCACCTTGCCCAACTGACTGCCAACAGCAGGGAGAAATTCGATGTCTTCTGAGGAGCCTAAGGGTTGGATGTGCCTATCTGATTACTTCCGTCAGCCCCAGCTTGGACATTTCCCCTCTTGAAAGTGGTTGGCCACCTGGCTGATCGAGTCTCAATGACCTCTGGTGGTCGTACGGGAACATATCTTGTGCTTTGCCGTCGACCAGGTAAGAACTTTGCTCCAGTGATTACAAAGAAGGTGCTTGAAGGAATGCCAATGTGACCCCCCTTTTGTCCTTTATGCATCTACGAAACTTTCACGAGTGACATTTTAGCCCAAGTTCTCATCCTTCATCAGACCAACTCGGTGATAATCATACCATGTACTCTATTGACTCCTCCGAGTGACGCATGTGTCTCCAAGTCTCGGTGGTCGGCCAATCGTCACCTGGAACGAAGCTGCCAATGCCAGAATAAACACATCTTGACCTTCCTTGGAGTCTCGCCCCAGGACATGGGTGCCATGATATGCGTCGGTTCTCGGTGTCAGCGGTGGGGCCACTAGATGCCAACTACGATTAGTTCAAGGGGAGTTTATGTCTAAAAGCCAATGATCTTGTGCCCAAGGTGATGCAGTATCCCGCCATACGGGCTCAGGATTGCGATGAGTGGTTGTTTGGTACGGATTACAGAGCAAAAAAGCGAATGGTCTATGATCCACAACCACGGTTCTGCCATCGCCACGGAGAGGACTACACACCCCCCGATCGAGGACCGGGCTTGGTGGCTCCGGTCTTGAGATCATTAGTGTGTGGGGGCTACAATCTAGTGCTGGAAGGGACAAAAGAGAGTAGAGAATCACTACTTGAACAATACCCGAATGGCTTCACAAGGAACAATCGCAAGTGGCGTCTTTTGTCTTGCTGAAAGCGTGATGGAAAAGAGCAGCGCGCCAGGACTGAACTCCCCGAGAGTGCGGGGCCTCCGGGTGGTGACCCCACCTGTCACCATCAGGAACACTGGGGTCCGGATGTCGGTCGGGCGTTGCTGCCACAGATTCTGGGCTTGATAAAAGGCCATAGACTGCCAAATGAGCAGGGAGAGACAGCTGCGTGTTGAGGTTTGTTTATCTGTATCTGTCATATCTTGTCTAGGCGTACAAATATAACGATCATGGCCGCCAAACGCCCCAACTTTCTGATCATCGTCGCAGACGATCTCGGCTACAGTGACATTGCCCCGTATGGAGGCGAGATCAGGACACCAAACCTGGACAAGCTGGCCAAGGATGGCGTCAGGCTGACAAACTTCCACACGGCGCCGGCATGCTCACCAACACGTTCGATGCTCTTCTCCGGCACGGATAACCACATCGCAGGCTTGGGTGAGTGACCGTCGTTGAATGCCAGGCCGTTCAGCTTGGGCTGGTTCTGATTCGATGAACAGGGCAAATGGCAGAGTACATGAGGGGGAACCCTGAGATATTCAAGGGCAAGCCAGGTTATGAGGGTTATCTCAACATGAGAGTTGCTGCTCTATCCGAAATTCTGCAAGATGCAGGATATCTTACCATCATGTCTGGCAAATGGTAAGTGTGAACGTACATCGCATATGAGGATAACCAAGACTCTGACAACTGTCGTTCAGGCATCTGGGCTTGACCAAAGAGTTCGCGCCATGCAGTCGCGGCTTCACAAAGAACTTTGTGTTTCTCCCTGGCGCAGGGAATCACCACGCCTGGGAGCCCCAGCTCGACGACGAAGAGTTCCGCATCCCTTGCATGAAGACCGAGAAGTTCTGGATGGACGACGGCGAGTTCATCGATATGAAGAAGGACCTGCCGAAGGACTTTTACTCGACCAGGAGCTTCACCGACCGCATGCTCAAGTTCCTTGGTGACCGGAATGCCGAGGAGAAGGAGCAGCCTTTCTTCGCATACCTTCCTTTCACTGCTCCCCATTGGCCTCTCCAGGCACCGCGTGACATTGTCAAGAAGTACGGTGAGTGACTGACTCAGTGAACCTTCCTTGCCGCTGGCTACTGTGATATACTCATCATCTGCTCAGAGGGCATGTACGACGACGGTCCGGATGCTCTAACTCAAAAGCGTCTCAAGCGCATGGTCGAGCTCGGTCTCATTGCCGAGGGCACCGAGTGCCACCCGCCGGTTGGATTCCTCGGCAAGGAGTGGAAGGACATGAGTGATGAGGAGCGAAAGTCATCGGCACGCAAGATGGAGATTTTCTCTGCCATGGTTGAACTCATCGACGAGAACATTGGCCGCGTTGTCGACTACCTGACGGAAACTGGAGAGCTTGACAACACCTTTGTGCTCTTCATGTCTGATAACGGAGCAGAGGGCGCGGCGTTGGAAGCAGCGCCAGTAAGTTGCATGGCAGTATCATCAAGTTCGTTGCTAAGTTTTACCTCAGGTCATGGGAGGCGCCAAGACGATGGCGAACATCATCGACAAGCACTACGATAACTCGTTTGACAACATGGGAGAGCCAACCTCTTTCGTTTGGTACGGTAAGTGCCGCGAGTCGAGTTCCGCATCCTCCGGCGGTCATGACTAACACTGGCATCCCAGGACCCCGCTGGGCTTCGGCCGCGACGGCGCCTAGCCGAGCTTTCAAGACATGGACGACAGAAGGAGGCATCCGCTGCCCTTGTCTCGTCCGGTACCCCGGCTTCGGCAACAAAGAAAGCGCCATCTCGTCCTCCTTCGCCACTGTCATGGACGTCCTCCCCACCGTCCTCGAGCTGGCCAAGGTGCAGCACCCAGGCACCAGTTTCCGCGGCCGCACGGTCGCTCTGCCGCGCGGCAAGACGTGGGTGCCGCATCTGTCGTCCTCGGACCTGAAACAGACGTCGATACACGGGGAAGACACGCATATCCACGGCTGGGAGCTGTTCGGCATGCAGGCCATCCGCGAGGGCCCGTGGAAAGCCATGTGGATCCCCGCGCCCAAGGGGAAGGACGACTGGGAGCTGTTCAACGTAGAGAAAGACCCGGCAGAGAAGTATAACTTGGTGGACAAAGAGCCGGAGATCTTGAAGAGGCTCGTGGAGCATTGGGAGAGGTACTTTGCTGAGACGGGTATGATACATGTCCCTCAGATAGCTCTGACACGGGGCGTATTCCCCAAGAAGTAAAAGTTGCCGCGACAGAGCACTTAGAAAGGCTCTTGATTGCAGCAGATCTCAACGCGAATAGAGTACGTACATCATCGGTATCGAGCCAGGCTAGTCAATCTTGAAATCAGCTGCCACGCCATGCTTCCTCATGCCCCAAGCTGCAAGCCCTTCCTTCAGAGCCTTTGTGAATTCCAGGTCATACCTCTCTCCGCTCGAAGGCCACGCCAATTGTCCAGATCTCCACGTGAGCCAGTTCTCAGCTAGGACTCCTTCAGGAGCCCTGAATACTCCAATGGCAATATCGACGATAGCCTGCTGATCCGTCGGTATGCGCCCATCATAAGCAAACACGACAGTAGCCCCGCAGGTGCCGCAGAAGCCCCGCCTCACACCCTCGGAGGAGTTGTACACTTTGAGGGTGCCAAATCCAGACAGGTCCGGCTTCAAGGGCGGGTCGAGAAGTGCGGCAGGCAAGAAGGTCCAAGCGATCACATGCGTGCCGTCGACGAGCCGGCAGTCGTCACAGACGTCGAGACAAGCGATCCATTTGTTGGGATCCAGCGGAGATGCCCATTTGCGCAGGTACGGATCGTCCTGGACTGCCGGGATGGTCGGGCGCGGCACGGTGAAGGAAACACCGCCACAATGGCACTGGCCCCGGAGCCGCTCGTTCCCTTGGGTGTCGTACTCGGCTTCCGGTGGAGCTGCGGGCTTGGCGTCCCACGTCGGGTCTTCCGGGTCCGGGTTCCAGAGCTTGATCTCCCGGCCCGCGATGCTGGGGAGGAAGCTGTGCAGGCCGTCTCCGGGAGTGGCGTCTGTGAAGCAGTGCCTCTTGATCTGGAAGGTGGCTTCTGTGTGGTCGGCAAATATTGATGTAGCAATCACCCAATCGGTGCCATGCTCGCCTCCGAGGCCGCGGTCGCCGATGTGACACCCACAGGTGGAACAGAAGAACCGCTCGCTTTTGGAGCTCGCATGGCGGTAGGATGTCAGCTTATCAAGCGTCGAGGGCGCAATGAACTGCGGCGCGACACCAGTGGGCAGCTCTGTATGGAAAGTGCAGAGTGTGCCATGCGTTTTTCACGCACGTCGCAGTGGCAGAGATGGACTGGCAGAGGAAAGATTGAGGTGGGGAGAGTGACGGTGAAGTGGATTGCCTTGCAGAGACACTGCGCCTCCAGAGTTCTCATTTCTTGGCCAGCCATGTCATACACGGTCGAGAAAAACTTGACACTCGTTAGTATGACTGGAGCTCTTGAAGAGAGTCTCCTTTTTCGACACTTGACACGTCTGTCCCGGAGGAGGTCATTCAGACGCGAACAAGCAACGCGTTTTGGCTTTAAGCATCGAGAGTACCCCGCAGTGACCCGATGCGCCCTTGTCGTTGGCAGGGCGTCACCACAGCTGCATGCAATTACGTCCAGTAAGACAGATAGGCTCTTTGGCCAGCTACGCGATATTTCACGAGATCAAGTAATATGCGTGATGTGTCTTACTGCATTTCAGTCATGCAAGATACTTAGTAAGCTCGGAAAGATTACGATCTCAGCAGAAGCAACTCCCACCATCATTGGACTTCGGCACACAAACGGCTGATGGCCTCATCTAGTGAAGTTTCTCCTCTCTGCACGTTGGCTGTCCGCCCTGGTTCCCAGCTTTCGGCTAGAAGACCACCGGGAAGAGTGCTGATAGTCATCTCCGTGAAGCATTTCGCTACACGAGTAGGAAAGGCTTTGCCCCAGTAGGCTTCCAAGTCTTCCTTTTCTACAGGCTTCACGTCGACAGACTTGCCCAAAGCTTTCTCAAATGCCCTTTGCACATCCAGAGAACCGTAAGCGTCTGGGCCCTCCAGATCGAATATGTGAGGGTTGGAAGGAAGCCTGGAGCCTGCTGAGAGCAACTGAGCACACAGGGTGGCGCCGATGTCCTTGATAGAAACCTGAATTGGATCAATGTGAGCATATGTATTTCGAACTGGAAGGCGTCTTGCTCACCATGGGCAGAACATGATTCAATGGAGTCAGAGTACTGTAAAAGAACGGATTCTCGGACCTCAGGGTCTGCAGGGCCATCATCCAATTTTCCATAAAGTAGGCGCATCTGACAAAGACCACTTCGGGAGCCGCGTCCTTCAATGTGACCTCTGCGACATGGTTTGTGCCTATTTCTCCCTGTGATAAGATCAGTCGACTGGCTCTACACTTCCAAGTGAAGAACATACAACGCCGTGATCGAACTGGGCACCCTGACTAGACAACAGCACAAGTCTGTTCACCGTTTTTGCCGCCCGCCGGACCGCATCTCTTGTATTCTGAGACATCTTTCGAGCTCTCTCGATGATATCCACGTCTTCGAAAGTCGGTGGCGTGATGGCGAGCACGGCATCGCATCCCGTCAGGTCCAGGGTTGCTGCATCCATAAGATCGCCTCTGACCGCTTCAAATCTGGTATTGGAGGTGAACTCGGCCGGTGCCCTGGCAGGGTCGCGATAGAACGCAATCACATTGGGCGAGCTAGGATCCGCGAGCAACGAGCGAACAGCGGCCTGCGCTGTCTTGGTCGAGCCAGGGAGGACGGCGATCTTCATGATGATGACAGAGGTTGATGAAACTTCAAGGTGTTCCTGAGCAGTTCTTGGGCATGCTCTAGGCTACCACATTCAAAATGATACAAAAGAAGTTCGATAGTACAAGCTCTTTCTTGTATGCGCACCACGTACGTCTGGCCACTCTAATAGTGGTGTGATGGTGGCTGCCGTACATAATTATGACGATTGGTGCCAATTTTAGGCCAGACTAACACCACAGGGCTTAGTGTCGAAGAAAGCAAGTACTGTAGGTTACCAGACGCACGGGACGCGATGAGCTACCTACCGCAGAAAGCTCTCCCGCCACTTGCTCATTCGGGATGTTCGGAAGGGGTCGTATTCACACCTGAAGCTGTGTAATTGCGGGCGCATTGTGAATCTCGTTCACGATGGCAGCCTGCGTGGATCAATCATGGTCACCGGTCTCTCCGTCATCAACGGCTCAAAATTCATCCGTTTGATTACAAGATACGAATAAGCAATTCAACGAATTGTCGATTAGGAATTATCTAGTAAAACCGGTACAAAAAGAACAGTGGTATCTGTGCAGCGCGGTCGGCCGTCTTCTCCTCCCAGTGGTATCAATTGGTATCAGTAACTCTAAACCAGTCGCAAACTCCGTTCCTGCTTCCGTCTCACCGGGCCCTCGGTGTGTTGAAACCCAAACAAAGTCATGTTCAAATCACCAATTTACTGCTGGGGAGCAGGGGCGGAGGCTTCGGCGGGGGCAGGATAGCTCATGCCGCCCGAAGGCTGGTACTGCTCCTTGTGGCCACCGCCGGACGAGGCCAGCAGGGGCTCGCGGTAGGCAGACTCCTTCTCGTGCTGGACGAGGGCGCAGCAGCCGCAGCAGAAGGCCTTGAGGAGATCGGACACGCAGTCGCCCTCCAGGTTGTACTTCTCACGGATATCAGCGCTCTGCATAGCCAGAGGAATCCAGTAGAGGCCGACGCAAGAGGAGCCGCAGAAGAGGAGGCACTATAAGAATGAACATCTTTGATTAGTTTTACTGGTTCTCCCGTATAGGGCAAGACGAAAGGAGGTGGGCCTGGGGGGGACATACAGAGGTGTTGATGGGCTCATAGCCCTCGAGGTTGGCATCGCGGCGCAGACGGTGGTGAGTCTTGCCAAAGGTGATGCAGGGCAGGCACCAGGTAATGCAGCAAAGGTCGATAGGGCTAAAGCAGCCGAAGAATGACTCGTGCCACGCAGAGGCGCCGGCGGGGGAGCGCTGGTGGATTGCCTCGCTGGGCTTGGCCAGGACGTGGTTGAAGCGGTCCTTCCACTCGGTGACGTCGCGGTCGCTGATGGCACCGCCGGCGGCGCTGTTGCTGTGGCCGTTGGTGGCGGCGGGAGCAGCAGCGGGAGCAGCAGGGGGCACAGCCGGAGTCTCGGCAGCAACCGGGGCTGCGGCCGGGGCGATCTGATCCTGAGTGGGGGCGGGAGCAGACATGATGTAAGTCGGTATTAGTCAGGTTGATATAAAAAGTCGAGTAGGTAAGAGTAGGCGAGCGAGTGTATTGAAGTTGTGGTGTGGATGAAAAGGATCGCGGTTCCTGTCGATCAGGGTATTATTGGCACAGGAAAGGTACAGAGAGCGTGTGGTGTAAACAGAGGGGGAGTGTAAGTGCGTTCCTCTTGGAACAGAAAAGCGGCTGAGACGGGTATATATGGGAGACGATGCGAGACACGGAGACCTCGGGTCTTGGAGACGACTCGAGCACACACACGCACGCAGAGTTTGAAGGACGGGCTGTTAGCTGCGCTGCCTAGCACACATAGCTCATGATAACACCACCCTTTTTCCCAGGCGCACCATCGATCGTTGCGACAGCATCGTCAGTAGGTAAGAAGGTAACATGAACTCTCAGCCTTTCAATCAGCCCGTTGAAAGTACCCACTGTCCGACATGCCAAGCCAGCCCAAGTGCCGGCGGATTGTGAGCCTTAACCCAAAGCGTCAGTGACGTGGCTTGTCAAGCGCTTCGGGACATGGGTATGGAGATGAAAAGAGATGAAAGAGGCGTCCCAGGTGGGCAGGGTATTGGTCAGGCCACCGTCACTGCCTCCCCGCTCAGAGTCAGCCGCTGGAATGTAATCTCAAGAAGCTTACTTTGGAGCGTTGGCTCACGCCCTTTTCACATGATGTTGTTTATGAGCTGAGGTGCTAGCGTCGAGATAGTGGAACTCTTTTCGTTCGAGACCCATAAGGCAGAGGACTGCCGGGGATGTGATTGGTGATGGTAGGCGAGTCGCCAAGCAACGAGACTTTCACTGGTCTTTTTTAGGCCTCCAGCAGGCAAGACTCACAAGTCACAGGTTGGAATTCTTGTCTGGAAAGGGGGTGCCAGGAACGGCTTGGTCAGGCATGTTCCACGAGTCGGTCTCCAATAGCAACCCGGGCATGTCATGAGATACTGGTAGCCTTCGACTGGAAAGGAGCTAGCTACATTTCTGCCCGATGAGAAACAAGAACTGGTACTAGACATCCAAAGGATTTGGTAACATACCGAAAGGAAGAGGTGTGTTTGTGCAGTGATGCCTAACCAGTGTCTTGAGAGTGAAGACCTTGCCGTCTTCCTTCGTACAAGTACAAACGCACGCATGCAGGGATAGGCAGTGATCGGCAAGGGATCGTTTAATTAGAGTCCTTCAGTGCTCTGGTCAAGATTGTTCATTGCCAAGACCGCCAAAACGCACCCGATCCAGTATTGGAATTGCCCCGATTCTCCGGAACGTTGGCTGCTCTTGGTGATAGTTACTAAAAAAGAGCATTTTGAGTCAACGGAGCTCCACTGATGCACTGATTTGTGACACTGCCACCACTTATTTCGCGGCTACACCACTCTTGTGCACGCGAAAGTGGATGCAATCCGGAGACAGGTCCCCGTCCTGTCAAAAACCGTTGGGTCTGCACACGGATGTGTTCGTGCTAGTTTCAGCTTCAGCATCGGAACTCCACCCGCAGCTTTTGCATAGCTTGTGGGCTTGAAGGACTTTTCCTCGATGACATGCACCAACCGCGTGTCGCGCGTGCTCTCTGACCTTCGGCTTGGCAGTTATATCGGGATTTTCGGGAGGGGCGTCTCACCCGGCTGTGCAGTGTCTGGGCCCCCGTTTCGCGTGTCATCAATGCGTCTCTCACTAGGCCGCGGAGCAGTTCACGGAACTCCGTCAGAGACGCGTGAAGTGCAGACGAAAGTAAAATGAGCTGGGTATTGTTCTCTAGATTCGTGTTTACTTTTCATGAACATGTGGCCGAAACGCCATTATCCCCCAATGTTACAAAATTGGTCCTGTGTAGTTGATGTGTCCAATGCTCGCAGTTGAAAATGAAGAAAGATACTTCCAGTTTACATCGCTCCTATGCATCAAATACCCGTGATGTATCCACCGCCATTCGTATCTGGTCTGTAAGTTGTCCGGATTAGCATCTGCATATGGGTGCTGTCGGTCTATTGGGGGTCCTCACCTCGCATGCCACCCAAAGCCTCGAAAGCTGTGGCATAGTTTTCCAGGACGGCCGATATCGAAGTCAAGCCCTGCTGTAACTGCACAAGCATGCTGCTCACAAGCATGAGGTTGCCATTGCCCTGTGGAAACCGTGCCTGCGTCCTTTGGAAGATCATGAGGAGTGAGTAGGCGCTCTGCATGGCGCAACACGCAAACGACGGCATCGTCCGGGGCGCTATCACCGAGGATGTGGGTGACAGGAACGGAAGCTCTTGACCTGCCAGGTTGCCCGACGGGTTTGGATAGGGGAGGTTGTCGAAGCCCTGAGCGATGGCGAGCGCAGACCGCAGGCAGATCTTGGCCGAGATGTGGCTGCTAAATGGTTGGCTTGTAGGGGAGACCGGCCGACCTCCTGACACATCACTAGCTATGGATGTCGACTGGGCTGACAAGGCCGGCGAGTTGGCCGAGTCGGCTGAATTAGCCGGGCTGCTTCCACTGATGGGACTGTGACCGCAAGCCACCCAGACCCTGGAGTCTTGTCCGTTCAGGTCACCGGTTGATCGTAGGTCGCAGTGTTTCGCAGAGAAGACGGGGAGATCGTAGAAGGCACAGTACCTGTGTATCTTGATCCGAGCGCTGAGTGGAAGCGTCAGACTTGAAGACGTGCGTAGGCGCAGGAAAAGTCGGTTCAACGTACCTGTTCAGCTTGATCCGTGCCATTGCCTTCAGCGAGCGGGCAAGAATGTGTTCTTCCGTGTCGACCTGGGTGGTCAGCGACCCACCAAGCGTCCATTTCTCGGATTCCTCAACAAGAGGGCCGATATAAGTCTCCAGCTCTCTCATCTTTCGTGATATCGGGCCCATGTCGCCGTTTGCCTTGACAGTCTTGTTTCGTAGGATGACAAACTCTGTTGCTGCCAGAATAGCTTGTTGCGAGTGTATCAAGGCTGGCCATGCCTTGACAGATAACCATCCGTCAGTTTCGGCTGCTGAATGTTCCACCAGGGCATGTGAGTCTTTGACTTACTTCTGCATCAACATCCAAGGTCGGGTACGTGGTGGTAAAGGTAGGCGAGAAACAATCAAAGGATGGAGACTGGATAATAGATCAGTGCATGCCCTGGACCATCAGAGTCCCAGTCAACTTACTGTGTTGCTCACAATGCAAGCTTGGCACATGCATAGGAACTGAGGGTAAAACCAAGCTGTTAGCCCACAGTTGTGGTTTACCCAGGACCGGCTTTAAGGTACGAACCGTCATCCACCATACCCTCCGCCTTGCCTCCGCAAAATAGTCTTCTTCTGCGCCCCTAGAGTGCAGAGAGAAGTTCATCATGGCTGTGGCAAAGGCTTGCGTAGCTCTACTCTGCATCTTGCGCATATTGCCTCTTTGAGCGTACTCGTAGACACTGAGCATGTCCAGAGCAACAATGGATTCCAGCTCAATAGGTAACCGCGGGTGGAAAGGCTCTCTGTTAGGAACAAGGCCTGCTGGTTCATCCAATGCCTTGGATGGCTCGACCGAAGAGTTCGGGATTTCGTTCTCCATCTCGATGGCCTCGACGGTCGCCTGTGCTAGGTATTGTGCATACTTACGGCGGAACACTATTGACTCGGAACTCAGGTAGTTGGTATCTTCTGCACATGGGATTAGAGCAAGAATGGCGGATATGGCCAAAGTCAGCGGCGTTGATGGCTCAAGATCTGATGCAAAGTCGTTTGCATTTTGTTGCACCAACGGCTTGACCCTATCGGCATGTGAGGAGGTCTCCGGCGGAGGCAAAATGGGAAGGAAAGGATGTATCCATATGTAATATGCCTCCAAGCTGATGAACATCAGTAACAGGTGCGCAGTCAGCGTCCTTAGGTCGAGTAAAACTCACATATCTTGACTGGTACGGTAGGTTCTTGCCATCGGGCTAGGTGGAGGCACAAGAGGCATCCCGGTGCTGAAGTCCACGTCTGCAAAGTTCAAGCCGGAGACGTCTGTCATGAAGAGAGTATCGAATATGAAGTCGCTATCCCCAGGGACATCCTGGATCTGCCTCAGTCCGGCGCCAGGGTCGACATAGTTTTCAAGTTGAAGAGGCAAAGCTGGAAATCGATCAGCTTCTAATGAGCTTCGATGACGAATTGGAGTACTTACGTTCTTGTAAAGCAGGGTCAATATCCCCGACGGCGTGTTGCTCGGGATCTGGCTTTGGGCTGATTTGCTTCTTTCTGACCCGAGGCCCGCCACGCCTGCTTGGTCGGTAGATGCACTCATTGCCCTTGTTGAGGCACTATCAAAAAGCACAAAGCCAAACTTGTCAGCTTTGAGGGGAGTTCATGGCGATGGGGGGACCCAAGGACACAACATTGGATGCCACTTACGCTAGCACACGGCGTTCCCCCGTCACAGCGCGTCCGACTTGCTCTGCTGGATGAGGCGATCAGGATCAGCTACCGAATATCGAGAACCAGGCGGACTCTGCGCCCAGAGAAGAGGTTTATAGCCCAGCAATGCTTACCACGAGAGACATGCAACTTTTACCGGGGGAGTTGCGAATTTCCGTCGGGCCGGTGCCGGCTGGACTTTGATAGAGTCACCCGGACTTACTACGGCCGCCATAAGGTGATCGTGGGTCCCGGGGGACAGGTGAGGTTCCAAAGCGCGTCTCGGAAGCGTCTCTGAATCCAGGCAATTTCTTTGAACGGCCGGCAATGATACCGGATGAGATGGCGAGATGCAGACAGCCCAACAAAGATACAAGGGTGGACTGCAAGTCTGTTGCGTATGTATGTCAGCCTTTTTGCCCTGTCGGCATCCTGACTGTGCCAGCGGGCAGCAGTGGTGGTAACTGCGGGATTCAAAGAAGGGCAAGCCGCGAAGCAAAGGGCCGAAGGAACGCAGCACCGGCCAGGGCGTGGACGGAGCAATGGCACGGGTCTTGTCCAGGTCCAGTCTTACTCTGAGCATTCAACGGTTGGAGCTCAGCTAAGGGGCACGGTTGATGCAACAGCAGATCCCAGCAGATCTGGCCATAGAGCACCATAGAGCACTAAAAAATGAGATAACTTACGTGAGCGGCTGTCTGTTCCCCCTCGTTGTGTGTGGAGCCGAGCGTGAAGGCGCCACTTGGACGGTTTGGTCTTAACCTAGCCCTGTTGGAACAGGAATAGCAGCCCAGACAAGTTCAGAGACGAACGGACCAGTTAAAAGGTCAACAGTCCTGCAAATGGAAGGGAAGGTGGATGGTCTCTGGCTTCTGTTCCCAGTGGGAGGGGCACGGAAGAAAGCGTCGATGGGTTAGCGAGGCCCTAAGCCATCGGCCGATTCTTGTCTCTTGCCCGGTCATTTCCGTGGGTCCCGCCCCTCTGATCCTGGATTCGCTGAATCAGCAGCAGACCAGGAGCGCCGGTGGGTGAGAATATTAATCCGATGCTCGCTCTGTCAGCAGGCAACCTCACTCTTGCCTGTTGGATTCTGCGGTTGGCGATGCCAACCTCGCAGGGAGCTTGATGCGACTGCGCAACTCATCCCAAGTGACGAAAAGGATGCTGACCAAAGACGCTGAGGCACCAATGGAATGTTAATGATTCGGAGTGAAATCAGTACATCCTATGGTGATCCTGCTAGCGTGGACCTCGACATCCAGGAGCCTGCACGCGGCCCTTGACACATTTACTTATATCTGGGTCTAAGTCAACAGTGATCGCGTCTTCACATTCGCCATGCGAGTTGTTGATGTAAAATTATTTTCTCCTTGCTAGTTGCGCTCGTAGTGTCAGTCCCTGAACAGCCACATAGGACGTGCCTAGTCCTAGCTCTCACGGTCCCCTAACATGATAAATTGGGGGTCTCAAGATGATAGTAAATTCTTGTTGAACTCCTCTAACGCTTCATAGAAGTAGTCATGCAGAGAGAAATTGCTGTCCTGAGAGTTTGCTTAATGCAATATGTAGCATTGTGTCACCCTTGGTAACTAACCAGAGCCCCTGGGCCTCCGAGATGTCGGTTTCTGGAGCGATAAACCCGCTCCGCAATATCCTCCACCTCATACACCGAGCACCTTGTCAGCCGGCTCCTCCTTCTCGTAACCCGGAGTGGAAGGATGTTCAGTCTCGCTCTCGACACCTCTCAGGACCTCTACCTCACTGAAAGTTCCAAACACATCCACATCATCCACAGCCAGCTTGTCCTGCATAGGCCAGAAGAAGTCCAGAGCAATATAGACGACCCCAGCCACAGCACAGCCAACAAACCATGACATTTGGTACAACCTTGTCCACCCGCCCCAGAGGTCGGTCGGAGCGATCGCCCTTTGTGCCAGACCCGGCACGAGGAACCACACACCGAGCACAAACGCGATACCGCAACGCCAGTTCCACCCACCCGTGTACCAATAGATGCAACTTGGCTTGTTTCCATATAGCGCCGTAAGCTTCATGGTTCTCTTTCTCAGGATGAAGTAATCTGCAAACATGATACCCATCAATGGGCCGAGGAAGACGTTGAAGCTCCCCACAACGGTCAAGAAGTTTGTTGCGGAATTGTACAGCGACCAAGGCTGCATGATGAACACAAACAGGATGGTCAGGTAACCACCACGGCGCACGGTAAACCAGCGCGGAAGCAAGGCAGCCAAGTCGATTCCTGCAATGACAGAGTTGCATGCAACCACCATGCCGAACTGAGACAGCATAAAGGCAATGCTTGCAAAGGCAACACCCGCGCGGGCTCCGGAGTTGTCCTCGTGGCGACGTACAGCATCGAGGAGAGCATACGGCTGCCAAAGGAGCTTCTTCTCTGAGGGATACAACGTCGCCGCGCACGAGGTGGACACGATCCCGATGCCGGCCACGACAATCGTGCCGAGCGGCACCATGACCAGCTGCGCGAGAATCTGATCCCCGGGCCGGCGGGCATAGCGGGTGTAGTCTGACTGGGTCCACATATGGGTCGCGATGCCGCCGATATTCGCGTTGATGGCAGACATGAAAGCCCATCCGAGTGCTGCTCCTTGGGCGGGCTTTACTCCCGAGATGCCACTCACATCGGCCAGCAGAGCTCCGCCTCCACCTGCACGGACAGTACACCAGATGAGAAGAGAGAACACCCCCGTGGCGACGGTAGTCGAGGCAAACAGAAAGGGCTTGCGGTAATTCTCGGGGCTGAACCACATAAGTGGCAAGCATAGAAGGACGTAAATGATGAACGAGACGAAGTCATATACACGCATAGCGCCGTCAGCGAGGGGGGTGTCTAGCTTCAGAAATGAAGGCCAGATGCATGTCAGGAGGACCTTGAGGCACTGGCTACCGTACCAGGTGTTTGTTGAGGTCCAGACGAAAGAGAGGAAGACCCGGATAGCCTAGACGAATCCCAAGTGTCAGTCTTTCATACCTAACCATACATGTGGCTGGCTCTTTACCATTGGAAACAAGTAGCCCCATACGCCCCAGTTCTGTTTCATCCACCTTTATCCGAGCTGTCAGTAACAGGCTATATCGAACAGAGCCGTAGTTCGACTTACAAGGGAAATCCAATGTGCCAGCGGGCACCAGGATGACCACCGGCAATGCAAACGAAGCCCACAAATGTGTGAGCTATGATGATACAGATCATTGATTGCTGGTGGCATAGCAATTAGTACAGATGCAATCGGTTGTGAGTTGAAGAGAGACTCACCCAGACATTGAGACCGAGAGAGATCAGCGCCGATCCGGTTGTCCAACCACCGACATTGAAAGAACCTGTGATCATCCACAGGCCCACAAACTCCCACGGGCCATAAGTGCGACGAGACGGTGGCAATGGCCGAGTGTCTTTGTTGACATAGATGTCTACATCCTCCGTATCCCGGTTGACCTCGAGTCGGCGGACGAGCCGTTTGAAAAGAGAGGTATTGCCTGTCATGATCTTTGGTTGGATTGGGAATAAGAATCAATTGCAATGTAACCGGCGACGCTCGATCATGAGATGCCGTCAGGAGGAAACCCCTCCGCCTTATACGGCCATCTTGATGCGGAAGTTGAACAATCACAGAGGCACTGTCTACTTGCCTGATAAGCGACTTTGGCATTCCCTGTGGTATATTCTTATCTGCCGATAAGTCACCAGACGAGTCTAGCTCGAAATGACTACGGCAACTTGGAGATAGCCAGTCCAGGGCAATCACTGGTCACGAAAAGTCGGGGTCAAAAGCAGCCACTTCCTGCCCCAGAAACTTGGCATTCAACTTAGAGCGTAATAGTAGTGGGATTTTTGTATGCTTTGTGGAGATCTCTGGCCAATGGCGCCGACGCAGTAACTTCAGCAGTTCAGCAGTTTATCAGTTTACAAGTTTATCCTTATCCTCACTGTGATAAGCTAATTGACGGTTTGATTGGCACCTGTTCAGCCGTTTAAGCAGTAGTATCAGGTATGACCTGAATCATAGTGGTATTAAGTAGCATCGTAACTCATGCTTGAGCACAAGCCTCATTTGAACTAACGGCGGCAAGATACACACTTATCGGGACGCTTCTTTGACAGAGCAAGAGTGTTCAACTATTCTTTGCTTATCAGCTCTGAGTTCCAAGATGTCTTCGACAACCACTGTTACCCCGTCCACCATGCCGACCGTCGTGACGCTCCAAAACGGACAGACCTTCAGTTTTACATCTAACATTGCGACCGACCTTGACATCATTCCTGTGATCGACGGTTCAAGGATCTGGAGCGAGTCGTTAGAAGATCGACAAGCAGTGGCCGAGGAGATCCGGGAAGCATCTCGGAAGATTGGCTTCTTCTACCTTGTGAACCACGTCAGTCACTCTCTGCAGGCCCAAGGCGGCTCGAGCTAATTTCTTCACGTAGGGCGTTGATGAAGAGTACACTGAGGCAGTGATGAGACAGGCGAAGCGGTTCTTTGAGCTTCCTGAAGAGAAGAAGATGGAAGTGTTCACCGGCTTGGTGCCGAATGAATATGTGGGCTATCATCCCATGGAATGCTATAATCGCAATGGTTGGAAGCGCCAAGGTCAGTGCGCATATTGGAAAGACCAGAAATTCGCAGCTTTGGGGCTGATCAGGAGGACAGATTTGAGCGAAGCCTTCAACTGGGCGTACGATCCGGCAGAGGACCCCGAGGCTGTCGACCAGAGCCCTCCGGCGGTGAGTATTTGGCCTTCAGACCTTCCAGGGTTCCGCGAGGGGCTTTACGCATATCACACAAAGTTACTCCAATTGTCTCGTCGCCTGACGCGTATCTTTGCACTTGCCCTGCATCTGCCGGAAGACTTCTTTGATGAATACATCCGCCAGCCAGAGGCGGGCGCCCGAATCCTTCACTACCCCCAGCAATCTGCATCAGTTGATGAGCAAAACGGTATTGGTGCCCACACCGATGTTGAGTGCTTCACGATCGTCAACCAGGATGAGACGGGAGGCCTAGAAGTCCTCAGTAAGACCGGGGCGTGGGTCAAGGCGAGGCCGATACCAGGCTCCTTTGTGGTGAACATCGCAGATGCCTTTATGAGACAGACTAACGACTTCTTCGTCTCAACCATCCACAGGGTAATTAACCGCAACGGCAGGGAGAGGTATTCTGCGCCGTTCTTCTTCGGCTTTGACAGAGCCAAGCCCCTTGAACCAGTTCCCACATGCGTGAGCGCGGACAACCCCATGAAGTATCCGATCATGACTGGAGGAGAGTATTATACTTGGAGAACAAACAAACAGAAACAGACCAACACAAGGAACACGCCCGGCCAACGAGCCAACTAGATCGGTCGAAGTTAGGGTTCGACTAGTTCATGGAAATACAAACGCTTTCCAATGTAGATAATTGAGAGCCGACCGAGGTTCATCAGAGTCTTTGTATATATCATATCTGAATGAGAAGAGAACAAAATCAACATCCTGCGTCTCGTGCCGCATAGCTTCATTTGCGTGTGGGTGACGATAAGGTCTTATCTGCAGCGATCCCTTGACTAATAGTTTTAGTGACACTCGTGATCTTATCTCTCCCCGCACATGATGCCCATTCTTGAACCTGCATGGACTCTCTGCATCCTGTCCTTCGATTAACAGTGATAGCAACTATATCACAATGTCACAAGTCAAGCCCAAAACTCGACGTATTACGCAAGCATGTGACTTTTGCCATCGACGAGGGATCAAATGCAGGGCCGCTTCTTCGGCATGTGGCTCCCCACTTGATAGCAGCACATCAACGGCCCTCACACCATGCCTCACCTGCGTCGAATACGCGCAAGAATGCACTCGACTTCGTCAACCTAAGAAACGGGGTACAAAGCCTCGTAGCAGCTCTCAGGTGACTTCCCCAGCAGGTCTTTCCCCACCAGAAAGCTCAGTCAAAAGGATCACGGCCATCTGCACCCACGATCTCGGAAGTTCGGTATCGCAGCCTCTGTGCAATCGAAAGATTGTGACCGCACTTCTTGACGTCTACCTTGATACAATTCACCCAACGTAGGTTTACTCTGAACTTCATGCCAAGCGGCACAAGAGCTGATCATTGTGATACAACCTAGCTTTCCTCTGTGGTGCGAAAGAGAACTCTGGGTAGGATGGCGGAACGGCTCCTTTCCCGAAACACCCTCTGACTTTATGAGCCTCATGTGTATGTGTGCACTCTCGGCTCAGCATGTCGGCGATGGTGCCTTGTTTAGTGGCGACGTTTCTTCAGACGAGGCGGCAATACTGGCGCAAGACTACCTTCAAGAGGCTATCCGTCTAGTTCCTACGGACTTTGACGAACCGAGCTCAAATATAATCCGCTCTTACGGCTTCCTGGCTCTCCTTGGTGCCCAGATTGGCAACAGCGCCATGGCTCACAAGTACTTGGGCCTGTACCACGGTCTATCCGCTCGATTCGACTTGCACGATGAATCACGATGGCCGGTAGGAATCAGCCAGTGTGAGCGGGAAGTACGCAGAAGGCTATGGTGGGCAATGTATCGGCTCGAGGTACACACAGCTTGCGTGCTCGGAAGCCTAGTGCGATGTCCGGAGGCCCAAGCAAACGTTGGCTACCCATCGGGACTGCACCACCCGGCCTTTATCCCAGGGCGTGATGGTGATTTCGAAGACTGGTTCGCCGGCTGGAACTCAACAACCGATCTGTACCGGGTGCTTGAGCACGCTATCTGCGACTTCAGATCCCGGCAGAGACCGCATCGGCCCTCTATTCTCCACGAGGCGCGCGATGGGACTGTCATAGCCACCCTGATCACTGAAAGGCTATCACGTATCCAACAGGAGCTGTTACCACAATTTGGCACCGTTTCTTCACGCTCGTCTGACAGCGGGAGAAATAGGTGCGGGTTCCAGGCAGTCAACATCCTTTGCACAATTCATCTTGCCCGGATGATATCGTCACTGTCATGGGGCGACGACCTACAGTCTGCGTGCCGCACCGCGAGAGACATGATGCTTAACATGAAAAGCATCCCTCTTGAGTACGTTCGAGCAGTGGGGTCGCCACTCCTACAACAGCTTGCCGGGGTTGGACACATGCTTGTTGGCGTGGCCAACAAGCATGATCTGCAACGAGCTGAATACATTCAACTGACGGATGTGCTCACGTCTATCATTGAGTTCCTGGCGCAACTCAAGGAGTGCAACAAGACTGCTGCTGCAGCAGAGAAACGGCTGAATGACCAGCTGTTAAAGCTTTCCCAGTCTATGCCAGAAGACGATATCCACGATCACGTTGTCGATTTCGAGATAACCAACCCTTTAGACGGACCGAATCTGCTTTGTCCGTCTTACCTGGACCAATTGTCTCCTTCATCGCTCGATGGTGGTGACTTTTTCACCACTAGTCTCCTAAGTACATTCATGTGGCCGCGCTGAAGATGAATAGCGTCCGTCTCGTGGTGCAGAGTTCTGAACTACCAGAGCCCCATAGTATTCACCGCAGGGTTGAACTGAAACTTTTGTCGCCTTGCAAGTGGTGCTCGACATCACCGGTCAGTATGCGATATGCACTCATAATTATGTGGTTCTTCGGACGTTGCGCGAGACTAGGGGACCTTCAGGGTACATAGAGAAATCTCCTCGAGGCCGTACGAGATCTCAATAAATTCCAGCATAAAGCATGGGCACTCCAATTTATGGTTTGGGGGTCAGGGGCAAATCGTTACACGTACCACCCACATAAACCTCGTGGCCCCTCTTGCCTACATCCTATGACAGGATTAGCCTTCTACCCGAAGGCGCAGAAAGTGGTGGTAGGCCAGAGCCAGCGGACTTAACACATGGCTACATCCAGTTGGAGTAATCGAGTGGGCTTAGGCTTACAGCGAGGCAGTGCTAATGTATCACTCATACATGTAGAGCTCATGCATGGAATCATTTCGAAGAGGGCAGAAAGGTAGCACGACCCAGCAAGAAGGCGGTCAGGTTTGCTTCCTTTCCTGGCAACGCACATTTCCTTCTCTTTATCCTAAGTTTGGCGACATTTTGATCTTCACATCAGACCCTCTAGTCAAACATACTCTGTAATAATGGACATTTCTTCCTTGTCTAACTTCATCAAGTGCTGCAAGACCTGCTGGAAATTTCTCGAAATTGCAAACTCCGACCCCCCTAAATTGGGCCACCAAGTATATCCAGCATTTGATCCAGATTGCCAATTTTGCCAGGTGCTATCCCCAGTTGCTGCCATATATCTTCGGCCGACCCAAGACTTCACAGTCTTTGTCATACGGGACGACTTGACCAACTTGACCAACGAGATACGGTGCAGGATTGAGCCAAAGATTAGCGCAGTGAATAGGACTGAGGGCATAGCAGAGTACCTGCTATATACAGTTGAGCAAGAAGTAAGAGGCTCTGCTGCTCCCTTCGACCAGAAAACCTGCTGATTTGCAGATAGTGCCGTCCTTTCTCTTGTCTAGCTGCCTATCCAACGCGTGTTGGCCTTGATACTGCTATCCCTTTCATCAAGGCGAATTTACACGAATGTGCCAGAGATCACAAATCTGCTTGCAGTCCGCAAGGTCGCCAACGCCTACCCAAGCGCCTTGTTCACATCGGGTTAGATGATTCGGATATTGCACTCGTCGAGCCTACTGAGGACAGCCAGGACTGTTATGCAACACTCAGCCACTGCTGGGGGACTACACGTCCATTACAGACCACCAAGTCGAACATTACGGACATGTTAGCCGGCATACCGAAGAATAGGCTTCCCATCGTTTTCTCTCAGGCTATCTCTCTAGCGCGTGATTTAGACATACCATACATATGGATTGATTCGTTGTGTATCGTTCAAGATGATCTGACGGACTGGGAAATCGAGTCAGCCAAAATGCACCAATACTACTCACAAACCTTTCTCAATATCTCAATAGCGTCATCTCCTAACCCAAGGACTCCATTTCTGACAGATCGAGACCCTATATGGATACCCTTCTCATTCACTGCCCAGACCGCCGTCGCGACACAGCGCTTCTATGCGAGACGAGTACCACTTCTATACGGAGGTAGTCGGGCAGACGAGGGCGGGGACTTATTCACGAGAGCCTGGGCCTTCCAAGAAGCAGCTCTTGCTCCACGCTCCATTCATTTTGCTCGCGACGACCTGATATGGGAATGCCGCAAAGACTACAAGGGACAGCATGCTGCTCCGACCGGCCTTGCATGCCACGGTTCCATCAATAACCTCACACAATTGTCAGATTGTAGGTTCGCACACTGTGCAACTCACGGAAAGCCTTCTTACTAACTTTATCTACCCTTGACCAGTATGGGTTTATGCCGACTTTGAGGATCTCCAATCCTTCATCCCTGCTGAGGCGAAGTGGCATAGCATAGTTCAGAGTTATAGCAGACGAGATCTGACATTCGCCCAGGATAGACTGCCAGCCATCGGTGGCATGGCGGCTGAGTTCGCCCTGCTCGCCAATCCGGGCCCTTATCTCTGTGGCCTTTGGGGTGGCGAATCTCTGCCACATGATCTGGCTTGGGAGATTGATCCGATCTTCGACGACAATTATGTGTTGCCATACCAACCTTCGGAGTATATAGCACCATCATGGTCCTGGGCTTCAATTTTGCAGCCGGTGACCTGGGGCACTTACGCACACTTCACGTCGAAGGCAACCATTGTTGCGGCCACTTGCGATAAGTCCGGGTCAAGCACCTATGGGAGGGTCAGCGATGGCAGGCTGACTCTTAGAACGTCCGCCGTATGTCGGGAGCTATCTATTGATGACACGGCCCAGGTCGGCCCATACACATATTACCATTTGGATGGATTTGAATGGTTCATACCCGACTGCGTGTTGGAAGGGAACGGAGAAAACGTGAACCGTGCGGCAGCCCCGGGAACCCCGTTGTACCGGCCGCCGCCAACATTCGCTGAGACACAAGCATACATGGTTTGGTGCGTCCTACTTGGGGCCCTCAAGCCAGAGCGCGAGCTCGATTCAGACCAGTCCCCCCTAGTCACACCTTCATCAGAGCTGCGCGTCATTGTTTTGGGCAGGACCGGTGATGTCTACGTCCGACTTGGCTGCGCGGGCCCCCCGCTCGAGAGCTCACTTTTTGAGGATGCATCAACAATGGAATTTACTATCGTCTAAGCATGTCCGTCCAGCAAGGAGGGTTCCATATGCATTTCAGATGTAGCTGGTTTAATTGAGTAAAATTGTAGCTCTCGAGTCAGACTCGCAACATTGTGAAAATGCTGGATGCTAAGGGAACACCTGATACTTTATAATCGCATACGTGATCGGAGCTGACATGCACCTCGTTCACTAAGCACTAGTTGGCAAGCGCCCTACAAGTTGCGGACCAAAAGTTGTGATGGATGTTTTGATATTAAACGAGCCGTTCAGGCCGTCCGTACTGGCAAGCACTTGAGTATCTGTTGTGTACCACATGGCTCGAAGTGCCATCAAATGCTAAGCCTCATATCTGCCCCTCGCACCCAACATACGCTCTGTCCACTGGCAAGTGTATGTATTCGTCCATCAGTCGAGATTGAGTGCCTCCTCGAGTGTGCTCGCAACAGCAGCGAACTCAAGCGTCTTTTCCTTCTCGAGGCTCCGGACGACCCTTGCGGGCGAGCCGACTGCGAGAGACTTGGCAGGAATATCCCTGGTAACAACGCTTCTAGCTGCTATCACCGATCCTGGTCCAATTGTGACACCGGGCCTGTGCGGGTTAGCGCGCTGCTGAGCTCCCTTTCATCAGGGACAACGTGTGAACTTGAAGATACTTGCAAAATGATGACTCGAGTGCCGACCCAAACATCATCTCCCACTTGAACCGGCTTTCCATAACTCGCTGGCCGACCTGTCTTGGCCTCGGCGCGGTCCTCGGCACGCAACGGATGACTGACAGATATGATGGTAACATCAGGGCCGAACAAGCAGCCTTCGCCAATCGTCACGTCGGCAACGGGGCTGTCCAGGACCTTGAAGCCGCGGTTGATGAATGTGGAGCCACCGATGTGCACTCGCAGACCGTAATCCATAAAGACGGGGACTTTGACAAACGGGACCTGCGGCTTCAGGCTCGGATCGTTGAACATCTGCTCCGCAGTTGTCAGGGTTTTCGGAGCTTCGTTGGGCGACACGATCCTGCAGGAAGGGAGATCAGTTGAAGTGTTTGTGCGTGATGATGATATATAGGAGTGGTTGGCAAAGTCAGTGGCCCCAAGGATCGGGGCGGATTTTGGATGGGGGTAGCGGTTAACTGACTGGAGCCAGAGAGCACCTCGCTCTCTAGGAGACACCTTTTCGGCTTTATCATTATATGTCAGGCAAGCTGCTATGCAGCGGTCGCGCGCTACGCGGAAGCTGTTGTTGCCCGCGAAGTAGGCATTTGCGTTCATTTTCAATGCTGAAAGTGGTCTCTAAAAGCTTTCGTGCCGTAGCGTTCGGTGGAAAGTTGATTCAACAAAGACGTAGGATCCTATTTGAATACGCCACACCAGGTAGTATCTGTTCGTCGGCAGTGACAACTGGTACATCTATTCACTGACAATCACAGCCGTGTCACTGGTATCTACCTACCATGCAGCTCAGCAGGGCTCACTTGCTTTGTGGAGCCTACACGAAACGGGGTTGGTGACTTCTTGACTGAAAAGAGTTGTTTGAAGAAGACGAAGTGCTGGCAATGACCTCAGAATATTCAATCCCACCTTCGATACAGGTAATGAGTCGGTGAGGTGGCATCACAGTCACATGGATGACTAGTGTGTAGTGAAAGTTGTTGTTTCCCATGCACCGCCAAAGCATGACTTGATGAAAGAATGCACACACGCATTGCGCCTACCGTGGATACAAACATAGTACCTGCCGTGTGAATTTCCATTTCAGGCAGTGTTTATTGAATGGCGGACCTGGCTTTGCCAGTTCCATTTGGCCCAATTCCACGCTGAAATACGAATCTTGTCATCGAGGATTTGCTCTCTCGGGAGTGGACTGGTGTAGCTCCAGCCGCGCCATGTGCGCTGGGTGTGCGAGCGGGGTTCATCTGAGCATGCATACATCATGACTGCATTGTGAGAGAGGGAGAGGCAAGTGAATTTGGAGCAAATGTGGTGTGGGTGTGGGTTCATTTTCTTGAGGGTGGCCGTCTGAGAATGGATCTGCTCGACTCATGGACTAGCCATTTCGAAAGAGCTTCGTTCTCCCCTTCCAAGATATGATCTACAGGGTCATGGCATTCAGAGATTAGCATAGCATTGACGACCCACGCTGATCGGCTTTCAAAGCTACAGACAAAGCAGCAAGAGTCGGACACGTGAAATCCTCGTCGCGCGGGATATTTGTTGGCAGATCAGACTAAGCGAGCAAAATAGGGGTTCAGTTTCGTTAAATTTAGACGGCACTAAAAGAGGATCCTCAACCGAATCTAGCAAGTGAAATCTCGGCCAGGTCCCTGGCTTGCCCTAGATTTAAACCGGCCTGGTCCCCGCCAGACAGTCTGGACCACTCAGAAGCACGGTAAAAGAAGAGCCGCACGGGCCCTGATGGCCCGGGTATTGTTTTAAGTCCCCTGCCGGTGGAGCAATGGTATCGAATTTTTCAATGTTGATATCTGCTTTTCCCCTTAGCTTGGCGCGACCCTGTTTCTTAGCTCGAGGAGGAGGAGAATAAAATGGCGGGCGCCGCCGGTCGGGGGCTTGTTCCTGGGGATCTCCTCCTTCAGGATCGAGAGAGGAGGATACGTCTCGAGAGCTAGATCAATCACTATGTCCCAGACCACCATGACCGTCACGGCTCGAAAGCCCGAGAAGAAGGTAATGTCGAATGATGGCTACTACGATACCTTGCGCCGCTGAACTAACGATGGCTCAGAATGCGGAGGCCTCTTTTCCAGATGTGAACACCATCCGGAATGCCATTCCAGCGCATTGCTTCAAGCCGTCCACGCTACGGTCATTGTCTTACGTGGCTCGGGATATCACCCTCGCGGTCGCTTTGGGCTGGCTGGCTCTGACCTACATCCCCCAGCTTCCCACTACGCTGTATCGCACAATCGCGTGGATCGTCTACGGTTTCTGCCAGGGCTGCGTTGGTACTGGTATCTGGATCCTCGCGCATGAGGCTGGTCACGGTGCCTTCTCAGCGCACCAGACCTTGAATGATGTGGTTGGCTGGACTCTGCATTCAGCACTGCTTGTCCCGTACTTCTCGTGGAAGTTCTCCCACCACCGCCATCATCGCTTCACCGGCAACATGGAGAAGGACATGGCATTCGTGCCAGCGACCCGCCCGAATACCCCAAAGAGGGGCTTCAGCACGCTCTATCTGGACCCTGAGTGGCTTGAGGATTTCGAGGATGCTCCGGTGATCCAACTGCTACGTTTGCTAGTGCACCAGCTCGGTGGATGGCCGGCATACCTCTTGTTCAATGTCTCGGCTGGTTCAGACAGCCGCCAGTGGGAGGGATCAAGCTGGTTCCGCAACAGCCACTTTGACCCTTACAGCGCAGTATTCCGACCCAACGAAGCCGGCTACATCGTGCTCTCAGATATCGGCCTGGCAATCACGGCTGCATGTCTTTATATGGCGTCTACCGTACTTGGCGGAAGCACCGTCTTCCTACTGTACGGTGTTCCATACCTTTGGGTTCATCATTGGCTTGGTAGGCGCTCCTCTCTCCGCGTCGAGTGACTAGTACTAACAATCCATCACAGTCGCTATCACGTACCTGCATCACACTCATCCAGAACTGCCTCATTACGAAGCTGAGTCCTGGACTTTCGTCAAGGGTGCTCTGGCCACGGTTGACCGTGATTTCGGATTCATTGGGCGTCACATGTTCCACGGCATCATCGAGACCCATGTCGTTCATCACCTTTTCCCGTAGGTTTCGAGCTCCTCTGGGACTAAGATACGAATGGAGAGACTAACATTGGCTGCAGGCGCATTCCATTCTACTATGCTGATGAGGCAACTGAGGCTGTGAAGCCTCTGCTTGGCGACCTTTACCACCGCGATGATCGATCCTTCATGAGCCAGTTGTGGACCACGTTCAACGAGTGCAAGTTTGTCGAAAAGAACCCCAAGGTGCCTGGCGCATTGAAGTGGGCGGATTAAGCGTTTTTGCATGACTGAAAAGACATAGAAGGCATAGCTGCCTGGATCTGACGATCTTAGACTTCAACATGAGTAGACATAGATGAGCATAGATATAGACGAGGAGAAACGTACATTGTTATTGGGACTATGTATCCCCGTGGGTGAGAGTTGATATGCTATAGTAGTCAGAACAAGATGGTTCATATATTTCACTGCCGGTAGGTCATAAAAGTCTCCATTCAACTAAAGTGAACAGGTTTCTCAATAATCCCATCAAGCATCTAGGAAATATCGCGCAGTAGGATAGTACATCAGCTTCGTGGCCAATCCATCTCATCTGAAGTTGGAAGCACCGAGAAAGATATCCGTGAGATTCGAGTAAGCACCTTTGGGACCAATAAGTTATAGATACATTGCATAAACCATCGCTTACGACAACAAAATCCCACAACGCAGACATTTAGCCCATGAGAGGGTCTGACCAGACAGGGAGAAAGATAAAAACGAGAACGCCTAGGCTAGCAAAAATCGCGCCACCTAGCAGGCTCTGGATGACAATCTTGTGCTGCAGACGTCGGAGATGCACGTCCTTGACCCTCAACTTCCGGTCGAAGATCATCAGGCGAGACACCCGGTGCAGAATGCTAGAGCGCTGCGAGTGCATCGACGCGCCGTCGTCGAAGCGCTCCCAAGGCAGCGGCTGGCGGCGGGTAAAGAGCAAGAGGAAGAAACAACTACCGCGCAGGCCCGAGAGGATGAGACTGATACCAAGCCACCACAATGGCCAGGCAGCAAAGGCGTCCCAGCGCGGCTGCGAGTGGATGCGCGGTGCCGCAAAGGCGCGAAGCAGGACACAGAGGAAGCCGGCGAGAGTCAAGACGATGCCCAGAGACGTAGCGACACAGATGGTCTCGAAGGTACCGTTGGAGACGCCCAGGCGTACAAAGTTGCGGTGGGAGCAGTTGCGCAGCAAGAGGTAGACGTGGTCGGCGACAGGGCGGAGGTGCCGAGGATCGGACGAGTTCTGGAGTGCCGCGAGAGCTTCGTCGCGCATGGACGGCGGGATGTTGAGCTCCTTCTTGGAACCGGGGACAAGGAAGGCCTGGATTACGGCGTTGAGACCACCACGGCTTGTTGTGTTGATAGCTGTAGCGTCTGCACCGAGGATGTCTAGAGTGGGAGCGCCGGCAGCTGCAGCTGCAGCAGTCTCCTTGCTGCTTGGCTTGGGTGATTCGCTCGACTTGGTCAAGTTCTTCAAACGGTCGGCGACAGAGGGTCTCTCGCATTTCCCGTTTGAACAGAGGGCCTCAGAGCTGATGAGCTGCGTGATCTTCTCCAGCGTTTCTCTGGCTGTTGAGATATGTGAGTCAGTAGTCTTAGGAGATCATTTACATCATGAGGAATAACTTACCAATCTCTGGGTCTGCCGAGGAGAGATCTGCCAGCTCAGTAGTAGAGCTGCTGATCTGTTCACCTAGCTTGGCTACCGAGGATGTGCTGTCACTGTGAAAAGAGGCTTTGTCCGAGTCAAGGCCGCCGTTCTTGACGTAGTCTGCTTCGTAGTTTTTGAACCTATGATGATTATCTTAGTGTGCTGTAGGTATGTAAGATAACCAACGACACGTACCAGATATAGAATTCCAAGTTCTCGGCGCTGAACTCGATGTACTTCAAATACATGTAGAAATCGTAGAGAGACATAGGACTACCTTCAAGCCCAAGACTGTCAATATTTCTCCTCAGTATGGGTCAGACTCGCTTGTACTTACATGTCTTGTTTTCCAGAACACGATCCAGCTTCAAGCGGCTAGGGATCGCCGTCTTGTTACGTCCATCTGGAGAAGGTTGGCGTCGGCCGGTGCCAACGGCAGTCGAATACTCCTTGATGTCGCGATATTCCGGCTTCTTGTACCACGTCAACCACGACGGTAAACGCATGATGTGCAAGATGAAGGGCGTTGGTGCGCCTGTATAAGACGTGGTCGGTCTTGTGTGTTCTTGCAGCAATACTTGCTGGGTATCAACAAGTTTCAAGCAGCTCTGCAGGATGTAGCTGAAGAAGAAAGACAAAGGACGAGCACATTCTGTTCACCTTGCTTGGGAGGGGGGGTATGCCGCTCTGATATGGCATTGACAGCTCCCATCAAGCACCCAGGGCGCACTGCAAGTTGCTTGTTGATGGACAGGCTAAGGAGAGCCCACCACCCTTACCCACACGTCAGGTTGCTTGCGCAGGCACCGCCGGCCAACCGCCGTGAACGGATCCCCCGCTCAAGTTCACGGACGCATCCCAGGGCCCTCAAACTCCACGCCAATGCATGTCTTGGACCCTCCCAGAGGAGGACGCTATGAACATTTGGGTAGGAACTGCAGGAGCTGTCATCATCTACTCCAGCTGGGTGGAAGGGGGGAGTGGGGGGACCTGCTCGAGGCTAGTAGAGCTGCGTAGTGCAGCAACCGTTTTGAGAGACGCCGTCAAGCCTGCCCCCGCTCCCATTCCCGTTTAGGAGGTTTAGGAGGACGTTTGGTCCCCGTTTCGTGTAGTTGCAGGCGCAGAAGCAATGTTCAAGTCCAAATTTTCCTTGTGTACAGTCATGAACTTGCCGTCACGTCATTGGGAACAGAAGCAAGGAGTAGTCTGACTACTTGTAGATGCTCGGTCATGACTTGACCGTTGCGTCGGAGCTACCCAACGGCCGGGTAAGGAGGCGGCGCATTCCTATCGTGCAGTAGCTTACTCGTGAATGATCCTTTTTGTGACCTGTTCTTCTCGGCAAACAAAGAAGGACACAGACCCGTCCAACTTGACAGACGTCACTTGGGATGTGGTAGGAAAGGGTCCGTGTTCACAATCTCACATGGCTCTCTCCCGCCCCGGTGTCGCACATCAAATTGGAGTATAGGCAGTACCTGCGGCGAGTAACGCACGTGGACTGTGGGGGACGGCAGCACCGTATTTATCCTATGTAGACGAGTGCGTGGCCAGCTACCTGAAGAGCTGGAGTCACGGCGAGGAGACTCCGGTTAGTTTCTATGGGCCGACCAGATTCACCGTCGATAGTTCCTGGTTCGATGATTCTCCGAGCTCGTGGCTACGAGTGTCGATCAGTGATCTGTGGCAGGGAATCATGCCCTGGGCCATGGGAAGCCTCCCTTCCCTTGGGACGATCTCTCTGGGCGATTTGCTTTTGCTACCTACTTTACCAGGTTCGGCTGGTGGACTCCCCACCCAATCTGGACGCCAAGTGGAGGACTCAGCTGCCATGACAGGCCGTAGTGGTGTGTCTGTGCACAACAAAAACAGATGAGTAGTTGCCTCATCTATTCCTCGGCTTACGAGATCTGGAGTCCAGGCAAGGAGAATAAGGATGTTATCATGAGAGCGCTTAAAGGCCCGGCAAGCGAGCTACGGCAGAGACGTTTGCATTACTTTATGATTGAGTCACTTTTAACACCATGAAGCCAAAAGCCCACTTCCCCCGATGATCGACAGCACGAACTGGCGCAAGGGATGTGTGGGCGTCCTTTTTGTGGTCCCTGTCCAAAATAGCGCCCTCGACTCCCTGTAAGCCTCTGTCAATCTTACGGAGTAGCTCCGGGCGTTTCCTCTCTGCTCGATATCTCGTTGTGGAGAACACTGAAGCAATAGGTAGTCAGCATTCCAGACCGATAGAAGACATACCCGGGAGCAAGACACCATGCTGGCAGAATGTGGCCTGTTTGCGGGTTTGTCTTGTTTCCCAAGGAATTGTTTGTGACATCTGTCCTCATATCATGTTTAGTGCTGGCTAACACAGTGTCTTGAAGTACGGACTTCAATGTTGCCCTTCCCAGGCCCATGGCTTCCGGCCGGAACATCGGCGGTTTTCCTTGACCAGCAAGAGGGCTGTCACTTCTCACAGACAACCTGTCGTTTTTTTAAGACAAATATCACAAAACGCCATCAACACAAACCCCTCAGCGCCATCCCTTTGCCCCTGCCTGCCCCATTCAGCTGCACCCACTTCCAGCCTCTCCCCACTCGATCCATTGCAAGCTAGTCGTCGGGAAAGCTCCCGGGCAGTGGGTCTGATCTCTTGACAGGTACGGAGTAGGTAGCTTTTGAGCCCATCTTGGTTCATCATGATGATCATCGATAGAATTCCAAGGCGAACCATGGTGATGCTGGGGCCCTCGAGGGCGTGGGGGCATGGAGGTCCCCAACACCTCGGACCGCACCGCTCAGTTCCAGTGTTCAACACGCACGGTCGCCCAAACCTGCAAGCTCGACATTGTGCTCGGATGGGTCGAGCATGCCCAGACCCAATACGCTTGGACTCCATCAGAGTCCCTGCTCAACAAAAAGCAAAAGAACACAGTCCTGTAAGGGCCCGGAGTATGGCCGCTCAGACGAGAAATGCATCAATCTGGAATGCTGCCAGGTGTCCATGCGTTCGCTTCTGAAGGGCTACATATGTGCTACCCCTTCACAGGTTGTCCAGCACGGGCTTCGGCTGGTAAAGTTCCTCCAGATACTGCTCCTCTTCAGCCGTCAAGACCTTGCCCCGCACTGCCGTGGCCTCGTCCAGACGCTTGATGCTGTTGAGGCCGACGATGGGGCTCGTCACCCGCTTGCTGAGCCACGCGAGTGCTACGTGCGCCATGGGCCACCCGCGCTTCTCCGCAACCTCCTGCACCCTCTGCACGATGGCCAGGTCCGTGACCGACAGCTGTGGCCCGCCGGCGGCCTGCTCCCACCTGCTCCGCACCGTGCTGCCAGACTCGGACGCCGGCCGCGCGAGGTGCCCGCGGCACAGCGGCGACCACGGCACGAGGCCGACGCCCGTGTCGTTGCAGAAGCGGACCATCTCGCGCTCCTCCTCGCGGTACAGCAGGCTGTACTGGCTCTGCATGGCGACGAACTTGGTCCACCCGTTGCGCTCGGCGCAGAACTGCATGCGCGCAAACTGCGTCGCCCACATGCGGCTGGCGCCGAGGTAGCGCACCTTGCCGGACTGGACCAGGTCGTGCAGCGCCCGCATCGTCTCCTCGACGGGCACGTCGTAGTCGAACGAGTGCACGTGCAGCAGGTCGATGTAGTTCGTGCCCAGGCGCTGCAGGCTGGCGTCGACCTGGTTGAAGATGGCGGTGCGCGAGAGGCCGTAGTTGTTCTGGTAGTCCTTGGACGCCTCGACCGCAGCGCGCATGAAGGGGTGCCGGATCCTGGGGTCGTTGTCGCTGACGCCCCATCGGCACTTGGTCATGAGGACGACCTTGTGTCGCGGGATGTTGTACCTTTTGAGCGCCTTGCCCACCGTCAGCTCGCTGACGCCGTTGGAGTAGCTATTGGCCATGTCCCACGTGTTGAGGCCTCTATCGTAGGCTGCTTTGAGCAGTGGCAAGGACTGGTCTACATGTAGCTCGTCAAATCAGTTCTCGCAGTTCCTGATTCGGATGCCGTGTTCTATTACCTTCGTCAAGAAACCACTCCAACGTGCGTGGGTCGCCAAAAGACGCGCATCCTAGGATGGGTACCGAGACACGAAGCCCACTTTGACCCAAGTTACGGTATTCACATTTGGTGTTGTCCAGAGACTCTTGGAGCTGTGGTGGTAAAGACATTGTGCCACGAAGTCGTCCGCATAAAACCCAATGTGAAAGATGGACAAATCAAGATTAAAGGCAATCCGCTGAAAGTAATACAAAGTATTTTGTACATAAACTGTCCTTTTACAGCTAACCTCGCGCATATCATACTTCCGCCGGTCGTCGGTTGGGTGACCGCTTTTAGTGGACCTGCTATCACTACTGGCCGAAGGCGCGGCGGAAGCATTCATTCATAGGTAAGGTTCACGATCCTAGTCCGCAAGGTCGTCGCTAGGGTGATCTGAAAGCTCCGGAGTTTCGTCATCTTCCTCTTCCGGTTCCCACGCCGCTGCCCGTCTTGGCGTCCCTCGGCCTTGTGCCTTTTTGCCTGCCGGACTGGCCGTGGGAGTGCCGCCGTTGCCCTTCTTCTTCCCCGTTCTCTCTACGAGATGCTCAATGGGGCAATTCGCATCGGCCCATCCCTCGCTCCCTTCACCCGTGATAGCCCGGCAGCGGCCGCAGGTCTTTCCATGACGGATCAGTAGCCGGTGAAGCGGGTATTTGAGATGATCGGGGACCCTGACTTCGCAGTGGCTGAACGTCTGATCTCGCGTGGCAGTAGGCGGCACCCACTTGAGCCACTTGCACAGTCGCCACACGTGCGTGTCGACGGCGAAACTCGGTTGTTGCATGCAGAAGAGCACCACACAAGAGGACGTCTTGACGCCAATGCCGGGGAACTTGATGAGCTCCTGCATTGCTTCGTCGGGGGCCATACCGTGGATGTGGTCGAGCGACAAGATCTCTGACTCCGTCTTCAAGATCTCGAGATCTTTCTGGCCTTGAGTCTTGTCACCAGCGCCGATGATGTTGGTCGCCGCACTGCCCGTCTTCTTTTCTTCGAGGTAGGCGGCTCTGCGGGTCTGGTTCTCTTCGTAAACCATGTTGAGAATCTTCTTGATGTTGTTGCTCTTGACTTTGGCCAGCCCACCGGACTTGATGGCTTCGATGACGTCCTCGACAGGAGCTAGGCGCACATTGTTCCAGTTGACGCTACCCTTCCCGATGCCATCCTCGACAACGCCAAAGGCCTTGACCAGGCCTTGGAACGCCCTGCTAGAGTTTGTGTTGGTCGTGTTTGCACTCAGCAGCGTTCTGATCAGGGCATCGAGGATGGACGGAACCTCGCCGCACCCAGCAACATCCAGAGACGGCGCCGGGATCTTGTCTGGGGCCTTGTACACACCGTGTAGCTTGGACAGCAGTCTAGTAACCTCTTCACACATCTCTGACGTCGGCCCGGGCCAGTCTGGAAACGGTGTGGTTCCAGGAGTGAGGCCGTATGGATTTGCCTTGGTCCTGGGTGACTTTGGCTTCTTCGCTGTCGAGGGTGGCGTCTTCATTTTAGCGTCGAAATCAGTGGCATCAGGCTCTTCAATCTTGACCTTTTTCCTCGGGGTGCTCTTCCTAGCCGTCGCTGCGGCCTCATCCGCACGGTTGCTTTGCTGATCAACTGATCTCCGTGACCGAGATGACCTGCGTAGCGAGTGGTCTCCATTCGCAACGTCTTCTGACTTGATCGTCGCAGATTGTCTGTTCCGTTTTGGCACGGGAGTTTGGGGTGGGCTAGAGTCCTCCTTGATAGCCCCCCTGTGAGAGCCATTCAGGTCGCCGTTGCTGGTGTTGACCTCTGTGTTGGTAATTCGCTTTCTCTTCTTTGATGCACCTGCGGACGCAAGCCTGACCTTTTCACTAGAGGCAGCATTCGAATTCTGAGCGACTCGCGCTCTTGTGACACGACTTGGAGCCATTTCAAGACCAGGAGTCTTCGCCAACAGCTGTATGGTTGGGAACAGCGCGCCAATGAATGCGAGTCAATGCACAGCCTAGGATTCGCACTGACAGCGTCGTCATGTACTGCAGCAGCACCCTCCACTGTCAACAGGACTAAGATAGAAAGCCTTCAATTACTTCCAGGTTCTATTGTGCAGCGTATGTTGTGTGAGGTGTGAAGAAATCGTCAAATGGATTGCGGAGAGAGCTGGGGGGAGCAAGAAGTTGAGCTCAGGGGCAATTTAGGTGCTAAGATCGCCCGCAAATGAGTTGATGACGTAAACGAACAGTGCTTATTTCTCGTTTCTCGGAGATCGCGCCATGCCTGTCCCCGTATCGAGTCCTGATGACAGCTATCATCTTTCTAAGCAAATATTGATTTTCGATGCATTGTCTATAATTCTTAATTCTATTCTATGCTCTATCTTCTCGAAATCAATTGCAGAGGCCGACCTCTTGTAATCCATAATCTTGGAGGGCATCTATCCGTTCAAATCATCATCAACCTCTTTTCGTCCCACGACCCTTCGGAACTCTCCATATCCAGTAGAGCGCCATGGCCCCTGCAACATTGACGACGATGTACACCCAGAGCAGGCCAAAGTCCCTCCACCGGTTGCTGTAAAGGATATCGAAGCGGCCGAGAAAGTCGTTCGTAGTGGCCAGCGGGCAGTAGGTGCACATATCAGCGGCGGCCGGGTTGAGGACTGCGCCGTGCGCAGCCTTGGCATAGGGTGTCAGAAACTCGCCGCAGGTCATGTTCTGCGGCGGCTGCATGTGGAGCAGCTCGTTTGGCGAGCATACGACTTCCGAGTTGGCCAGGCAGGCAGACATGATACCGGAGATGAGATACGTCGCGGGCGAAAGACGGTACATGAAGATCCAGAAATCCGGAAGATCGACGCGAGGCACCGCAACACTGGTGTGGATGTCAGTCATCTTATTTGGCTTCCGTGATGACGGGTCAGGCCTTCTTGGTACTCACCCGCAACATGCGATGCAAAGCATCCAGATCAAAGTAGCCAATATGCCGGCGACAGCTTCACTCTCGATCCATGTGATAACAAGGTGTGAGAAGGTACTCGTGAAGAGCAGGTACATCCACAAGAACAGGAAGACCAGGAATCCCCGTATTTGCTGGTCATCCGAGGTGGTGTTCATAACGAAGCCCACCGGATAGTACCAGCAGAAGAACGCGACGACGGCCGTGAGGGTATTCCAGCCGGCTTCTACAAGAATGTTTGACAAGACAAAGGCTGCGCGAGGGGCATCATTAGCGAATGGTCGACTGTGACTCTCATCATCTCAAAACGTACTTGTCCACTTGTATATCTTTGAAGGCCGTTCTCGAACCTCAAACAGGTCGCGCTGCGGTAGGAACATGGGCATAATCTGCTCGTTGATGTTTCCAAACATGGCCAGTAGCATGAACATGGCGTAGAGCTGGTTCTGGAGACCCTGGATGCTATTCTTGGCACTGAAGCTGAAGCCAAGGTACAGACACTAGACAGGTCAGCATATTACTTCCTTCAGCGGGTCCAAGAACGGTCAATACACATACGGAAATGATGATCAAAAGCGCCTTTGACCAGATATAGGTGGGCGATCGCCAAAAGTGCTTCGAAGTGCGCAGCAAGACCTCCCAAAGCTGGACCCAGAATGAGGCCACGAATTCCCTGTGCTGCGAGGCATCCTGTTCTGCGGGATGATTCAGGGAGGCGGGTTGGGTGACGGCCAGTGACCGAAGGCACGAGAGCTCTTTCTTGACCTCTGAGTATTCGGACGAGTTTCGCCATTGCTCATGCCAGTCAATCTTCTTCTCGTCGTCCGTGTGGGTCGGAGCAATGACCTGGAGCATCCACTCCGCGGGATTGGCATCGGCGGGACACTTTGGCGCTCCCTGGGTTTCAAGATAGCTGATGAGTTTTGTCGAGTTCTCTCCCATGTCTGGAACCGGGTATGAGCAACGTACGTTTGAAGGGTCACGAGACAATTGCTAGACTTACCTCCGAAGTAGACAGTCTTCCCGCCAGGCGCAAGCAGAAGCAAGCGGTCGAACTGCGTAAACAGCATCGCAGACGGCTGATGGATGGTGCAGAGCACCGCTTGCCCGCTGTTGGTCAGCTTCTTGATCAAAGTAACGATCGACCAGCTCGTCTGGCTATCCAGCCCCGAGGTAGGCTCGTCGAGGAAGAGCAACAGCTGCGGCCGGGCGGCAAGCTCCACGCCGATCGTCAGCCGCTTGCGCTGCTCCACGTTGAGGCCTTCTCCCTGGACGCCCACCACGGCATCGGCATAGTCCTGCATCTCGAGCATGCCAATCACCTGGTCGACGTACGCGAGCTTCTCCTGGCGCGGGATCTCGGCGGACTGGCGAAGGAGGGCGCTGAACTCGAGTGCCTCCCGCACAGTCATGGTGTTGAGATGGAGGTCCTGCTGTTGGACATAGCCGACGCGATGCTGGAAGGAGGTATCGGTAGGCAAGCCGTCAATCATGGTTTCGCCGCTCACGGCGCCGACAGTGACGCGAGTGGCGAGGACATCTAAGAGTGTTGTCTTGCCGGCACCGGACACGCCCATCAGAGCAGTAGAGGCTCCTGGTTTGACCCATCCGTCGACGTGGTCGAGGATGCGACGCTCTTTACCCTTGATCTTGACATCATAGCACAGATTCTCCCAGTGGAACACTGCTGTCCCTGCCGCGATTTGCGGAACGAACTCGTTTCCGGTTGTGCCCTGTGCTGCCACGACCTTGGTCTCACCGGGCTGGGCTTCAACGTCGGTCTTGTCTCTGGCCTTCTCCATTCTACCCTGAGGCATTTTGCCTCTTCGGAAAACGAGCACCTCTCCCTTGCTCTTTCGGGGCTTCATAAACTCGGCGGCGGTGACGTAAGTGAGGAAGAAGAAGGTCAGAAAAGCAAATAAAATGCCAATGTTCCTACTAGTAGTTAGTTCTGCGGGAGAGGAGTGTACGAGGGACGGGGAAGACAAATCACGTACCTCCACTTGTGGCTAGCTTGGAAGCCAAATGACATGTCGAGATACCGGCCGCCATCTACAATGGACGATCCTGGCTGTGCGCCCACAACAGCACAGATCCGCGATTCCAGTCCTAGCTCATCATACCCGGGCCCTTGAGGTGTCATGTTTGCACACGGAAATTGCCGACCATCGAACTCGTTGGACATCAGGGCTTCGAAAGCATAGGACAGGGGGTTGATGTATCCCATCCACCGCGACCAGCCGAGCATGTACGCAGGTGGGATAGTGAAACCCGTGTAGATCATGAGTCCCAGAGAAAGCACAGCGCTGGGCACCATGGCTTGCGCTGGAGTGCGGGTCAGGCAGGCCAGGGTTCTGAATAGGGCAGACATAATCAGTGTTGAAAGATAACTGCCAAGACAGAAGAAGAAGAAAGCGCCGGCGTCGCGGCGCAGGTGAGTCATGAAGTACAAGATAGTGTTGAAGATGAACATGTTGAGTGTCTTGTACGGTAGGTCGATCAGGTAACTGGCGATGGCTTGCGCAGATTTGTGGTAGAAGGCGTAGCGATCCTGCTTTTGCACAGTATCGCGCTCGGCGTAGACCGTCAAGACCTAGTGGCGTTGTCAGACAGAGGAGCCCTCTGTGAGAGCAAGACAGTCATCATGAGCAGGTAACTAACCTCAAGCATGCTAGCAAAGGCATTGAAAAGGAGTGAGAAGAATATGACGCCCCCACGGTAGTAAAAGCTCGATGTGTCTTGTTTTAGGTCGAGAAACACGGTTCCCAGCATGATGGCCATAACGAGGTTGAAAAGCAATTGGGCTATTGTGAACCAGGGATCGGCAAGCAGCCGTCTCCAAGCTCTCCAGAAGGTCAGGCCCACTTGCTGATGGTATGAGATGATGTAGGGCGACTTGGGCCGCTGGCTGGGTGCCTGTTCGACGCGTCTGGACCGCCGGTACTCGCCGAGTCGAGTGTTCAGAGGGTGCTGCTTCTCGTATGCGTCCAGCTCTGCCAGTAGCTTCTGGCGAGCATCACTCGTCCGCCACCTCTCGGCGAATTCATCTGGTGTCCTGGGGGCCTTGTCTTCGTAACCCTGCCGCACGATACGCTCACTCGCGCTCGTCATAGACGTCAGAAAGTCGGGAGTGGTTTGCCGGTCAGGGCCTGCTCGAGCACGGTATGTAAGTGACAGTTTAACAAGACAAATCGCGACCTGCATCTGGCTAGGTGCTTACACTCGAATCCAAGGTCTTCGAAGTAGGCTTTGGCCTCGGAGATTGGACCAAAGTATATCTGCCTGCCCTCATACAGGACAGTCACTCGGTGGAAGAGCTGCGTCGAATGTCAGTCGGGGTATCGTCTCATCAAAGAGGCGGTGCGTACCTCGTATGCAGACTGCGGGCCTTGGTAGATGGCGACTGCAGTCGCGACGTCGAGCAAGTCGGCCTGGTGGCGCAGGTTCTGGCAGAACTTGATGGCATTCGCGCTGTCAAGCCCGCGCGTCGAGTTGTCCCAGCACTGGAGCTTGGCCCCGGTCAGGGCAGCTTCAGCTATGCTAACGCGCTTCCTCTCGCCCCCAGACACGCCGCGGATAAAGTCGTTGCCAACCCTGGTATCTGCGGTGTGGGAGATGCCCATCACGGCCATAACGGCGTTCTTCATCATATCGCTGACTTGGGCTCTGGTGCAGCCTGCCGGGGCGAAGCGATTGGCACGGGCCCGGGCTGCGAAGCTGAGGGTCTCCCCGACGGTCAAATGTGCCAGGTGCGCATCGATCTCGGCATTGTACAGCACCTCGCCACGCAGCGACCCCCTGATGTGTTTAGGCTTGATGCCTTGGGAAGCAAGCCTGTCAGTATAACGTCGCTACCACACTCAGTCAAGGGAGCCCTACCTCTATAATTGATCTTGGCGTCCGGGCTCACTGTGAAGCCTTCCGTCTGACCCGCTAGGGTTTTGAGTAGGGTCGAGCACCCTGAGCCGGGCGGGCCAAGGACAAGCAGCATCTCGCCCTCGCCAATGACACCTTCAAAGCCACGCAGGATTTCGATCCGCTGTCCGCGCTTGCTGCCGGTCAAGGGCCGTATCAAGGACCGGAGCAATTTGAGCGGCTCACTTGCAGTGGTGGGCTGGTACTGCGCGCCGTCGTTCCAGCCGTAGACGTCGAGATCCCGGAACGCGACCCCGAGATATCTTTCTGGGACCGCATGAGGGTCGCCCTCATACAGCTTGACGAGCGCCTTGACCCAGGCCCTCGTATCAAAGTCGGGAGACTGTGGGTCGAGACAGCTGCCTGGTGTGGGATTGATGGCCTTGAGCTCGGGATCCAGCGCGGTCGAGGTGCGTGCGAGGATCCCAACGTTTTCGTGCATCTCCATTTCGGAGGGTGCATTACTTGAATCGGTGGTTGTGCCTTGTGTTTGACTGTCCATCTTGGGCATTGTGTGTGCTCCTCCTATGGGCGTTCTCATGTCTAGTTACTAGTTGGGGAGACTGGCGTTTGGTGTTAACAGTAACATTCTCGAGGCAGTTCGTCGGGGAGTGTGATGTTGAGCGCGGGTATGGCTACATCTCCGCTGAGGCCAAGATGCATCATTGTTATATGTAAACTTTCATCAAAATCACGGAACACACCGTCATGTCAGAATCAGAGCGAGCGAGGCTATGTTGTACCACGTGTAGGGGACGGAGCTTACCAGTCTCTCCTCGGGCTCCGCTGCCGGCCAGTTCGCAAGGTAACTAGGTTGCCGTCAGCACTACCCGGGTCAGGGCCAAGGGCTGCCAAGAGCCCGACGTATTCGAGCTTGACTCGGTCATCATTCGCTCGTTCCCTTTTCAGGGCATTTTTGGCGCTGGCTCGCTGCTGGGTGACGGGGTTTTTTAAGCGGGGGCCGGGCGCCGCGGACGGCCGATCTCCCCATCGTGGCATCAAGTGATTACGCAGCCGCCCAGGCAAGGACCTGTATCAGGATGATCATAGGGCTACGCTACGAACATGCAAGCGATGTTCCTTTGCATTAGCGAGCTCCTCATTTTGTGTCACAGACTTCCCCCGACCAACAGCGAGTGCGAGAAAAGTGCAGGCATTCATTCCTCCTACACGGCACATGGAAGCGTCGTGTGGGGGCCGTCAGTTTAACTAATGTTCTGTCAAAACCCCGGGCTGCGGAGCCGCGGGACCCGGGTATGCATCATCGAGGATCAGCTTGCTGCCTGTATGCATAATCATATAATCCTCGAATGGAAAGGCAGGAGAAGGGAGAACCACGGCAGAGAGAGAGAGAGAGAGAGAGAGAGAGAGAATGCTTCTTTCTCCAACGATCCTTTCTCCGCATGATCAAGTGGGTTTTTATTGCTCTCTACCTCTGTCAAGCTCATGCTTGCTATGGTATCTATAGTCATTTTCAATGCTAGGTACGAGTCAGAAGCGTTCAGCTTGAGACACTTCTTCAAGCTGCCTCAATAGTGCTCTTCAACCTCAGATCGCGGCTGCTAGCGCCCACATTGACCTCAAAAGAGCCGCTGGGAACGATCCAATTCTGCTTGGCTGTATCCCAGTAGCTCAGATCCCGGCGCCTCAGGTTGAAGGTGGCCGTCTCGGAGGCGCCAGCAGCGAGCTTAATCTTAGTGAAGCCTCGCAGTTGCTTGGGCGGGGCGGCCGGCGCGCTGGCAGGCAGCGTGATGTAAAGCTGGGGCACCTCCGCTCCCTCGACGGCGCCGCTGTTGGTGATGGTGCATGTCACGGTCGCGACCGTCTCCCACAAGTCGGCTCGGCCGCCCGGGGCGACGTCACCGGTCGCCGGCCCAGCCTTGGCATTAGACGTGACCTTGATGTCAGCGTAGGTGAAGTTCGTGTAGGCTTTTTGTTTCAACGCAGGTCAGCAAAACAGAAACATGTTCATAGGCGGGTGGTCAGATTGGACTTACAAAGGCCGAAACCAAATTCGTATCGGGGCTTGATATTGGCCTTGTCGAAATGGCGGTAGTCGATGTACAAGCCCTCCGTGAACATGTCATTCCCGCGTACCGGAGCAGTGCCATAATCGGCCGGCTTCTCCGCGATGGTGTACGGCAACTTTCCAGACGGCGACACCAGGCCATAGAGAACGTCCACCAGAGCGTTGCCGCTCTCCTGACTCGGCAGGCCTGCCCACACCACTGCCTGGACGCCTGGAGTCGACAGGATCGTCTCCAGAATCACCGGGCCAACACTGTGAACGACGACAATCGTGTTCTTATTGGCGCCGGCGACCGCCTGCACGAGCTGGTTGCCGTTATGCCAAGGATCCAGGTTGTTGCGATCACCGGCGTGGCCTTCCACTGTGATGTATCCCTCGCCGGAATCGGACGTGATCACTACGATGGCAGCATCCGCACCCGAAACGGTGCCGGACACCGACCCCGTGCTGTCCGTGTTGCTGAGGCTGATCTGCGTACCGTCGGCCTGAGCACGGGTCTGCAGCGCGTCGTAAGGAGCGATGAAGTAGGGATAGTCGGCCGTGCCGGAGCCCCATCCCATGCCGAGGGCGCCCTCGTTGCAGCCCCGGTCGGTGCACGAGTTGATCCCCTTCGGGTTCTTGACGGCGGCGGAGCCGACAACGGCGATCTTCTTGGGCTTCTTCAGGGGCAGGATGTTGTTCTCGTTCTTGAGCAAGACGATGCCGTCGCGGGCCACCGCGCGCACATTCTCCTTGTGGTTGCCCTGCACGTTGGCCTTGATGTTGATGTTAGGGAAGCCGGACTCCTGCCCGACTAGGTACCAGGCCGCTAGCACGCGTCTGGCCATCTCATCTAGGCGGGCCTTGGAGACCTGGTTGCTGTTGACGGCGTTGTTGAGCTGGGGTCCCCAGAGCACGACGCGGCCGTTGTAGTCACTGCCGGGCATATCCATGTCCATACCGTTGTTAGCACTCCCGGTCGTCGTGTGGATGGCATTCCAGTCGCTCATGACAAAGCCGGGGAAGGCTAGCTCCTCCTTGAGCAAACCTTGCTGGATATGGGAGTTTTCGCAAGCCCAGCTGCCGTTCACCTTGTTGTATGAGCACATGACCGACGCGACCTTGGCCTTGACGGCATCGGCAAACGGCCAAAGGTACAGCTCGTGCATGGTGCGGTCATCCACATTGGAGCTCATCGTGTCTCGGTTAAGCTCCTGCTCGTTCATGATGAAGTGCTTCGCGCAGGCCTGGACTCCAGAGCTCTGCATGCCTTCAATCGTCTCCGACATGGCAATGCCGGTCAGATAGGGGTCGGGCCCGAAGCCCTCCCAGTTGCGACCGCCTTGAGCAGACTTGCCCAGTGGCCCGGCGACGGGGCCCAGGAGATTGTGGATGCCACAAGCCTTGGCCTCGGCCCCCATGTACTGCCCGCGCTGTCTCATCAAGTCGATATCCCAGGTGGCGGCGGCCATGATTCCTGGAGTGAATGCAGTGACACTGCTGCCGTATCGGACACCCAAGGGTCCGTCCTGGATGCAGAGCTGCGGATACCCGATGGAGCTCACAGGCGCAGTGTTTCCAACGCAAGGACCCTTGTTCCAGCCGACGCCCGAGACGATGTTGATCTTGTCTTGCTGGGATAGCTTGGCGACGGCGGCCGTGGCCTTGGACACCGCTTCGGACCAGTCCCTGACGGCGGCGCCATCGGCGGCCACCAAGGAAGCCGCTGCCAGGAGGAGGGACTTCTGGATTAACATTGTGAGCAATAGGGTTTCCGGTAGTTGGGTTTGGCTGGGTTGGGGGAGACCGTGAAGAAGAATCCCATGCACCACAGAAACTTGCTCACCAAAACAACGAGGAACCCGACGAGTTATTTATGTGTGAATGGCTCCCGGGAATGGCGTCTCGGAACCAAATAAACAGCCAGGTATATCCAGGGTCCATTGTCTTCCCACTGAATGCCGGCTCAAAGTGGTGGATCGTCGGGTCCCATACAAGAACGGCACTGAAGCTCCGTTGGAGGTGGTATAGCAAACATCTTGGCCTCATTGGGTACAAAGCAGTCGGCTCAAATTGGACCACATCTTTTACCCTCCGCCTTGGCTGCCGGCACCTCTCCAGCAAGGTGCCTGGGGTAATGAACCAGCCTCAGTCGGTCCGGATTGGGCCGATGTTACGACACCCGGGCCGCATTGCCATCCAATTAATCATTTAATCTATCTCGCAGCTGCACCTCGGTTCGACCCCGCAATCTCGCTCGTCAAGCGCGATCAGTTGACAATCGCCTGTCTCTCTGCCGGTCACGTCCTCCAGGTTCCGGCCAGGTAGTGTTGCAAGACTTCCGCTTCGGATCGGAGACGGAGCGGTCCATGGTAGTACGGAAAGCATTGAGGCGTCTGCGCCTGAGACAAGACAGAGCTGAGATAAGCCACTGTTTCGCGACGGATGCACTCACCGCCTACTTGAACACGGGCCAGCCCCAGGCGAGCCAAGTAATGCCAAGCCGGATCACCGTTGCCCAGTTCAGGGCTGAGTGGTCTTATTGCAGATCTGAACCATCGATATGGTACGAGCAATTGGTGGAAGCGCCTTTGCCAAAGTATGTCATTGCACAAGATCAAGACATGATCAATGTTCAATGTCTCCAAAATTGTCGCGCGTTGTCTCAGCAGGTAGGCCAGACAGCCATGTACTCTCGAGCTGCGTGCTCGATATGCTTGTGATTTGGTCAACGTGCCTATGGGGACTAGCTTGAAGTGACCACTCGATGAAGATACAAGCCAATAAGCCGGCAAGCCAAGGGAGATTGCGGGGGAGAAAACCTGTTCCTGTAGAGGAAGACATATAAAACATGTAATATGATTTGACAACTCCAGAACGTGCGGTAGTGCTGTCACGCACCCCGCATTTTACCCCTGGAGAACCCTCACAGAAGGGCTGGCGAGCCGAAGTTTTGCCGTGTACATGGCGAGCCGACAGACTGGATACGATGAAGTGCCAGTATCATAATGGACGCCTCGCCGAGGCTCTTTGCAACCTTAAAGAGCGGGGTGCACATATGCGGCTAACCCTTCGGCCATACGTCGGACCCGGCAGTCAGCTTGGTTCAGTGTTGCTGGCCACGGCGGGCTCCATACTCGACTGCCACGAGGACATGATCGATCCCCGTTGTTCAGCCCCGAGGGTGATCGGCACTACGTCGGCAGCTACGACCACGACCACCGGGACACAGGCCTGGCTACCCAGTCATCCGTCTCGAACAGGTATATCGTCACCGTATGCCATTCTGGATATGGCCAGTGATGTGGAAGGTCTGGCCACCCATTCGGTCTGTCCTGTTGAGGTTATTGTTGCCGCACACACGCCGTACGAGGTCCTCAGCCTGACTTTGGTATACACATCCGGCGGCGCATGCATCAGCCAAGAATTGCTCATGGGCGCGGGAATTGACACGGCAATTCAACCCTCTTGGACCCCTGGGGAAAGAAAGAGCATACCGGCTAGGAAGTGAGGGCGTACGATGGCCTGAAAATGCAGCCCAATCCGAGTCTAAGGCTCGGGTTACAGATTTACGGAGCGAGATATCAGAGGCTGTCCCTTGTTAGAAAAGGGCCGAGCCACGGCATGGCTTCTCATGGCAACCACCCAAGAATCAAGACAGTCCGAAAGACAGTGTCCAACAGCCGTTCAATTGACCAAAGATCACTTCTTCATCATGACACACGGAGAGTCATCGACCAACACGGTGGAGGGAGCCAACTATTTTCTCTGGGAGGATGGGAGCACACGAGATACCCAGCAGATTCAACCTCGATTCTCTGTGCTCTTCTTCCCGACTTGGACTGTGAGGTGAGAGATTCACGAGGATACAGTTCTAGTTCTGGCCGCCTATTGGATAACCAGAGACTCACACATGTGGGAACCAAGACTCTACCTACCGGATCATCAGAGCATGGCTATCTGGCAGGTCAAGCTTCGCTTGGTTGACAGTCTGATTACAACTAAAGTCCTCCAAGTCGAGTCGAAACGTCTCCAACTCGAACGGTGTCATAACCGCGATATGGTCAACAACAAACAGCCTTTATATGGCTTGGACATGGTTAACAAATCAAACTTACTAAAATGTCTGCCTATCAAATTGCCTACTTATCTTATGATCATGACACCCTTCCACCATGACAGCATTGCCCTAAGCAGCAACGCCATCGAGATACCAGGTTTCTCGCCTTGATAACTCATCACGCCCGGCGGCGGCTAGGGTCCCCCACCTTACAAGGCCTCCCCAGCACACAAGATTGGTACTTGAACGTTCCGCATTGGTTCCTGACCTCTCCTCCGTTCCACGGGCATTTATCCCTGATAGCCTCGAACGCCGGAATGCAGAGGGCATCGACCCGGGCACCCACCGCGTTATCATCAGTGGAACCACCCTGTTTGAAGAGGTACTTGCAATCCGCGGGCGCATCATTCGCCTTCTCGAACCAAGCGTCGTAGTGGTTGTCGAAGAGGGGATTCGGACTTTTAACTTGCGCGCCGCCGGGACATTGCACGTTGATGTATTTGCTCGCGTCCGACCGGCAGACGGCGGCAAACTCGGGCTTGCCTGCTTTGCAGAGCTTGATGAGCTGGTCCAAGTCCGGGTTGTTATGAGGGGGGCCGTGGGTCGGGTAGCAAGACGGCTCTACGGTGGGCGTGCCATTCTCGATGCCGGTCATGGTGGCGGTTGCGTCGGGACAGACGGTTGTGACCTTGCCAAGGTATGTCGTCACGATCTCGCCGTGCATAGCGTCATCATTACATGTGCAATACGGTTTCAAACTGTAGCTATGGTAGGGGGGTATTCCCGATCAGCTCAAACGGTCCCTCTCATGGCAAGTGGGAGATTCTTTTTGCTTACCTTGATTCCATCCTGCAGGAAGTAACAGCTCCTGTCTGCTTCGGTTTCATAGTGATGCTGATCGTCTGGGTCGGCATCGTGGAGTATGTGCATGCCTTGTCGCCCTCGCCGGACATGGTGGCGTAGTTACCCTCAGTTAGGCCACCTCCGCTTGCAGCGCTCGAGCAACGGCAGAAGGCGGATGGCTCGGCCCTTGGTTTGCCATCAAATCCATCGCCGTGCGTGTTGCGGAAACATTGGGGAGGGATGACGGCCGGCAGCCCTTTCTCTAGCTCCTGCAGGATCTTCTGTTGCTCGTCTAGCCATGGTTTGTCGAATTTCCCGTCGATCATCTTTTTGGTCCACTTGACGCAAGGGCAGTTCTTTTTATCGCCCTGCGTATAAAGTGTCAATTGCATGGAAGAGGGTTTGGGAAAGAATAGATGGGAAGAGTAAGCCTACCTCTGCCTGACAGACTTTCTTGTCTCCCTTGCAGTCCGGGTCATCACAGGCTGGCTGTAGGTGTGTTAATAAGGGGCCCACGCTGTAGAGAATAGTTACAGCTGGGAGAAGACTACATACCGAGTTCTCGTCAACAGTAGCTTTCGGATTACACGACGAAGTTGACGACGAACTTGTCGTCTGCTTCGTGGATGTTGGATCATGATTATCATTGCCGTTGCCATTCGCATTGTCCTTCGGCTGCCCAAATTGGCCACCGCTAAAGACAAACTTGTAAGCCGACTCAGCAATAGGTCTAGCTGCTTCGTCCACCGCCCAAACCCCGGCCGCGCCCGCCGCCGCAACCATGATGGCGAATTTGTTCTTCTGGGCTTGCGTCTTGAGGACCGCAACGGCGGCTCTCAGGATCTCGGGTGCGTTCTCTGCCATCTCGAGGGCGAAGCGTCCCCATTCTGCTGGGTTGATAAGCCCAAAAGCTTGGTCGTTCTGGGCGGCTCCTTGAATGGCATTGATCATGCAACTCATGCCTAGGAAGGGGGCAAAGAAGGTTAGTGCCGTGACTCTTTTCTCTTTCACCATGGTGGAGAGCTAGATACTTACCATCGCGGCTCTTCAGCTTGGCCACACCACCACAAGACGTAGCGGCTTCTTTGATAAGGGCATCCAGCGCGTCTTGGAGTGATTCGGGAATGAGGACCGTGACATCGCCGACCTTGACTCCTTCCGAGGCCGCGGTTGCCGTGACGACAGCCAGCTGCGGCTTGAGTACAGTCGTTGTCGCAACATTACCAACGGTAGTGGTACGGGTCTCTTCTGTTAGGTGATCTGTGTAAACACCGATCCACTATTGACTTGCGAGTTAGTCGTCTGCTGTAAAGATACCACAGGAGCTGAAGATGATATAGATTTCAAGATTTCAAGATAGCTTACCTTTGTGGTGCTGCCCTCTATCTTGAGGTATTCTGTGTCCACGCCGATAGGGGCCGCATACTCTTGATGAATCTCAATGTTCGCTGTCTGACGTTTGACGACGATATTCCTCGGGGCAGCTGTGATCTGAGGCTGTTGGGCATGTATCGAACCCACTAGGGCAGCGCACAGAAGTAGTGTCATATGCCAATACATGGCTGCTGATGGACTTGTGGCCAGAGGTCTTGTGGGTGCGTTATGATAACAATTGGCAATTCTCTAGGAGAACTTGTAAATCTGCAGGATGGCTTATTAAATACAACGGCCAGGCAGAGATACTTGTTCTGCCCGGTGTAGTGAAGTATTATCGACGCATTCTCGAGGGGTCGCCCCTTAGGACGGAGCCTTTCGCTATGCCGTTGTGTCTATCTTTCGCCACTCGTCGAGTATTTGAGGTTACACCCGAGGGTAGTATCGTTGTCAGACGCGTAAAAGGCTCCCTGGTGCTTAGAGGATTGTCTGTTGCCAGTGTGCGTCAGGCGGCACAGTCCAACAATCATTATGTGGCATAGCCGCGCTGCGACCTAGGTTGTTACTTAGCGGCGGCTCAGGGTTCAGTAGATTGGCTGGTGTGTCTCTTGGCGGTTAAGTGTCGCGTAAGCTATAAATTAAGCATAGTTGGGGGCGCATGTTTAACTCTCCAACCTCAACCACACTTCTCAACTGGCAGCCGTAGGGCCCCCAAGTGCCTCGTAAATTCTTGATCAGTATTCTGCACCTCCCCAAAGAGGCCATTGGGCCCCCAAGCGCCAAGGAAGTTGTCATCACAATTTGTTAGCTACGGCTAGGTATGATTGGCATATGGGGGCCATTCGACACTTCGCCGCTGTGGCTGTTAGCCCTCAGGAACCCGGTAAGGAGATCCTATGACTGATTTATGGAAGAGCTGCCTTCGTGTATGCGCGCGTCAAATGTCTGAGTCTTGATCAGCCTGTGCCGTTGATCGACAACCTCGTGTAAGTCCAAAGGGAGCAGGATCGCCACCGCGGCTGATAGCCCCCAAGAAACCAGTGAAGAGATCCTCTAATTGATCTGCGGAATACCTGGCTTCGTGTATATACGCGCCAAGTGTGTGATTCTTGATCAGCCTGCGCCGTAACGCGACAGCCTCGTGTAAGCCCAAGGGGGAGAGGGGGCCCGGTTGTAAAGACAGTCTCTCAGGACCACAGAGTCCCTAGCAACCAATATCTCACGTTTTCATTAATACCGTCCTCTTCCGCTGGTATTTTGCTTTTTGCTGATGTTCAATCATTCAGCCAGACCTTGCTTGCATGTTGTGTCACTGAAACCCCGAACGATGGCTTCGCTCAGCTTTCCTAAGTCGAAGCTTGCAGCTCCGCTGCTTGCTTTAACACTTCTCTTCACGCAGCAATGCCACGCTGGATACGCTATTCAGAGTGACTGGTAAGTTATTTCAAAACTTGATTTACCTCATGTGATGGAACATGAGGCCCTCGCTAACGGGAGTCTAGTAAGCTATTAACCGCTGTTTGTTCGATCAAGATCCTCGGATGCTCACATCGCCAGGCACCGCTCCTCAACGCACCTTTCTCGATGCTGCGTTCGCTTCTGCCAATACTCTCGTATCTTTGGCAGAGGGTTATACAGCTGAGGGGTTCAGCCAGGATGGCACCCAGGTATTCCAGTGGTTATACGGCACCGTAGGCCTCGATCTGATGCGAACGAGCGTGAGAAGTACGTTCCTGCCCTGCAGAATCTCCTGTTTCTTCCGCGTCGACATGCCTGGTCTTTTCTTTACTTACCAGGACTCTGTACAGTGAACCTGAGAGGCATAGCGGCGAATGCGGCGGCCGTACAAGGCGACCCCCAAGGAGGAGGCTCGACGACTGCCGATGTTGTAAGTCCCAATATCTGTTGAAAGGCGAATAGGTGATCCAAGTACTGATGTAGCCTGTCAGCGAGTCTTTTGTACGCATGATCGCCTACGAGAGGGAAGAGCCAGAGCCAATGGGGAGAGAAGAATCTTTGATCCAGGTGAGAATTCCGGAAGCTCCCCCTCCCTCCCTCCCTCCCTCCTCATGCTTGGCTCTCAAAGTTCTGTTTCTAATGAAAACTCAATGTCAACTTCCAGTGACCAAGGAGTTCCTCAAAGCCAAGTTCGACTGCACTCATGCCTTGGCCTGGACGATCGTGCCAGACGATGCGGACGCCAACGAGCCCGATACCCTACAGATCTGCCCTTGGTTCCTCGACTACGCCATGAAGCAGTCAGCCCAGTTCCAAGGCCAGTTCAAGCCTGGCAAGATAGCTTCCATGATCGCGAGCCTGAAGCTAGACAGGCTCGCGACGTGGGTGGCATACACCCCTATTGATTTGTTCCAGCTATTCGACAAGGTCATGGTCCACGAGGTGAGAACCAACCCGGTGGAATGTCTTTCAGTCGAGAAGCTGAGCCGAGCCTGAAGTTATCACATACGCGACGAGGCGGCGCGACGGATGACATTGGCGGGTTTTCGGGCTATGGTATGTTTCGGTACTTTCTTTGGGCCAAAAAGACAGGGCTAATATTACCACCTCCAGGCTGGAAGAATTGTCGCAAGCTAGCCGCCGAACGTGGAGACAAGGCGCCGCACCGGAACGCCGGTAAGCTTTTCTGTTGGGTTTCTACTTGATACTCTTAACACAATCCTGACACTGACATCTCAGATTCTATCGCTCTGTTCGCTTCCATCTCTGGACTAATAAACGCGGGAGGCATGGTCCGTGAGGATGGCACATTCGTCCACGGCCCCGGCGCCGCAGGTGGTGCTGGCAATGGAGGCGGAGACGGGCAAGCAGGCGGAGGCAAGAGGAGTATCATGATTCCGGACGAGATCCGCGAGCCCGTGCCCATGCTGGAGCCTAGACTTGAGCTGGCCCTGGAGCCTCCGGTCGCAAGTAAACGGGCCTCGCAGTTCGATGCTTCGAGACTGAAGGGCCGCCGGCTGTTTTGAGATTGCGTTGTGTATTAGCAGTTCAATAGCTAGTTCATTCGAGGTGCCGATGGGTTAGAGGTGATAGGTCGAAGACAGCGTTGCTAGGATTGATACATATAGCTGTCCTGTCGAACAAGTGCTCTTCTCATAGCCTTTTCAGATCATTTGTGGAACTCCGGTGACATATTATCCGCGGCATCCATCTCTCCTAGTGGGCTTCATCGCTCGACAGTCGGCGGATAATAGTACATGGCAGTGTCTCTTCCTGCGTCGATGCAGCGGCGGGAAATGGTAAAACAAGCTCAAAATGAGAAGGATGCGTCACCTTTTTAACCCCTTCCCACAAACTCCATTCGCGTTCTGTCCATTCCGAGCCCTGATGCGGCCGAGCAAGGCTCAACTCGACTCTCAGCCACTTGAGTCCTTCCATCGCTGCCAGAGTGTCCCAAATGTCCACCCAGAGGATCTCGTACTTGCCAGGGTGCTTTGCCGTGAGTATGAGGGGGTGATAGAGTTCCCAGTGAAGGTTTATCCGGGAAATGTGGGCGATGTGAGCCGCTGGAAGGCGCTCAGACATGACCGTGAGGCATCGCTGAGCATGCGAGAAGTCGAATAAAGTCTCCCGATAGAGGATGTGTATGCATTCAAAGTATCTAACGGTAAAGGTTAGTAGATGGACGCGAGCAGATGAGGCCCGGATGGGAGAGGACATCTTCTTGCACGTCAACAATATCGATATATGGTCGCATCGGATATTTGCTCGACCGCACACATCAAAATGAGGACCCGGCGGGAAGACACCGTCGGCATCCGACTTTACGCATTCTCTAGCGCGAAGCCTTTCGTGCGATCGGTGGATGTGAACGGCGTGCCCGCGGAAGTATGCATCCCAAACCATCCGACGTAGCTCGGGTGGGAGGTGATGATAGAGAGGCGAGGCATCCTGCTCTTTGGCCATGAGAGATGAGATGGGCTCTGGCGGGAGAAAGGGCAGCAGCTGGCGAGCGATGGTGAGGAGCTTATGGAAGCCGAGAGACCGCGGCATGGCTGGAGGGTGTAGCAGAAGGTGAAGGATGTGGTTTTATGTGCCCGAAAGGTGAATGGGTAATTATCTTGTGTTGTAGCGCTGCTGGGCTGCTGACACGAACCCCGCATGCAGCCTTGGGCATTAACCCTAACCCCCAGCTCTTCAGCTTACAGTCTGGTCAAGGGAGGCGTAGGATGGATAATATGTGCATGAGGCTGATCCCCGCAGTGCATGTGAAGAGATAAGTCCCCGCATAGTAAGAGGGAAGGCAGACTCAGCCGAGCAGCCTTGAAGAATGAACAATCACCGAACCAACCCAAGAACCCTTCTTCCCGGTAACTCACGGAGAGGCGTCGGCCACAAGATCTACTGCCTGGTTTGGCCTCAGATGGCTGGGCTGCTCCTTCAGACTTGGAAGATAGGCGGCGATGCGTGGGTTCCAAGAGGTGTCAAGTCATAAAGAGCTCCCTCATAGACAAGTATACGTATAACTAATCCCAAGCCTTGCTGGGAGGCTCAGACCTGTCTAGTTTAGCTGTGAGATAGGAGACGGATCCGTAGTCCCGGATGACTAGTTCTCCATTATCCAACGACGGTATCTACAAGGATTCACTTTCCTAAAATGGCTACAGCTCTGGTCTGGCGGCCTAGGAGATTGAGAAACACTCACACATGTAGGAACTATGACACTAAAACTACCAGATCGTCAGATTCTGGTTATCTGACAGGTAAAGATTAGGCTAGTTGACAGTTGAGTAACAGAAATACTGTCTCTTCATGAAGCCAATAGGTTTTATGTAGTGGGATACCCCGTGTGACTCTTGAGAAAAGATATGCATGATTAGCATTGAGGTGTCTCACGATGACCTTCTTCCGTCGACTATTCTGGCCTCCGCTTGTTTGGTACCGAGGCACGTCTAGATCGCCAAGGTGAGTCACGCAACTGATAAGAACTGATGATGATCGAATGCGCGTCACAAGCCCACGATACACCACCGCGCTGGCAGCTCACGGCTGTCCGCGGCACAACGCGGGACCCTCCGCGCGGGGCCAGAAGCCGGATTCGGGGTTTGATGCATTCCACCCGTCTTGCCCGTGTTTACAGAGACGTTGATTGGCGGTTATATGCCGTATGCAGGAGCTTGCCTACACTCTGCGCCCGCGCCCTTCCCTTGACACGATGCTATACGCCAAGAGGCATGAGCGTCGTGTGTACAGTGACCTGCTGGACTTGACTGGAGGAAGGGAGCCACAAAGCCCGAACTTGCATCACGCTAGGCCTCATGTCGACGTCGGTAGAGGAAGGCTACCTAAGCTGTAGCGCTTGAGGCGACGACGGCGGCGGCTGATGGACGATTCGAGTGGATGCCGGGCCTAGTGTGCGTAGCTTGAAAGCCAAGATTGTGTGACTCTTACTACTTTGATGCAGGAGTCACACTAAATGGATATACCTCGGCCGAGCTATCCCAACATGCTATAAAACCAACCACGTACGAATCTCTTTCTCTGCACTTGACACCATAGATATATCAAAAGTCTAACGCCCACAACGCTGAACTGCGAGTTGGTACCTCATTTGCTCGCTCTATCAACAGCCTGAGTTCCATCTCGCCCAACATGGGGGACTTGACAAGCAACGAGGCCGTATTTGGCAAAGGGATGCTGGAGCACTTCCTGATCGATCCCGAGTACCGCAATCTCAACCAAGGTAAGAAAGCCCGGTGACAGCAAACCTAATGGTGCTACAAAACCGGCCAGCAGTTAGTACACGAGAACTCACCAGCGAGGCACAGGCTCCTTCGGCACGTTCCCCAAGGTGATTCGCGAAAAGCAGCGGGCCTACCAGGACGCCACCGAGGCCCGGCCGGACCCGGCCATCCGCTACGACAACATCAAGCTGCTGGACCGCTCGCGCGCGGCCGTGGCGGAGCTCCTGCGGGTGCCGGCCGACACGGTCGTGTTCGTCAGCAACGCGACGGTGGGCGTCAACACGGTGCTGCGGAACCTCGCGTGGGCCGAGGACGGCAAGGACGAGATCGTGTACTTTAGCACCATCTACGGCGGGTGCGGCAAGACGATCGACTACGTCGTCGACACGCGGCGGGGGCTCGTCTCGTCCCGCATGGTCGAGGTGGCCTACCCGTGCGAGGACGACGAGATCGTGTCCCGGTTCCGGGACGCCGTGGCGGCGTCGAGGAAGGAGGGCAAGCGGCCCAGGGTCTGCCTGTTCGACGTCGTGTCGTCCATGCCCGGCGTCCGCTTCCCCTTCGAGGCCGTGACGCGGGCGTGCAGGGAGGAGGGCGTCTTGTCGCTCGTCGACGGCGCGCAGGGGATAGGGCTGGTCGACCTGGACCTCGGCGCGCTGGACCCGGACTTCTTCGTGAGCAACTGCCACAAGTGGCTGCACGTGCCGCGCGGGTGCGCCGTCTTCTACGTGCCGCTGCGGAACCAGGCGCTGGTGCCGTCGTCGGTGCCGACCTCGCACGGCTACGTGCCCAAGGCGGGCCAGCGCTTCAGCCCGCTGCCGCCGACGTCCAAGAGCGTCTTTGTCAACAACTTTGAGTTTGTCGGCACCATCGACAACTCGCCCTACTTCTGCGTCGGGGACAGCATCGCCTGGCGGCGGGACTTTTTGGGCGGGGAGGAGAAGATCCTCGACTACACGTGGGGGCTGGCCAAGGAGGGCGGCAGGCGCGTGGCCGAGATCCTGGGCACCGAGGTCATGGACAACTCGACGGGGACGCTGACCAACTGCGCCATGGTCAACGTGGCGCTGCCGCTGTACATCGGCGAGGGCCCCGCGGGGGCGGCGGTGGTCGAGGCGGAGCGGGCGTTCGGCGCGACGCAGTGGATGCTCAACAAGTGCATGTCCGAGTACAACACGTTCATCGTGCTCTACGCCTACCGCGGCCGGTGGTGGTGCCGGCTGAGCGCGCAGGTCTTCCTCGACATGGACGACTTTGAGTTTGCGGGCCGCACGCTGCTGGAGCTGTGCAAGCGGGTCGGGGCCGGCGAGGACAAGGCGTGAGTGAGAATGGGAGGCAGAGCACGAAAACACACAAGACTCGAATCCGCGGTCCAATCCTTTCTGCGAAGGAACAGCTTTGCTGAATGCAATGAATGAATGCGGGGGAGGGGAAGGGCAGGTGGTGTGGTGGGGTTGGATTGGCGGCATCAATAATATCACGCTCGCCGCATGCAGTTGAAGACATGTCAGGGACAGAGCAGGGATCAAAAACGACAGATCTAGACAGATGATCACGACGTAGACCTTTGGGTACTGGGTACATACACTCTCAGCCGTACGTCTTACGCCTCCTTTGCAATCGAAAACGTGGCTGTTTCCGAACAGCAGCACCACTGTGATCCCCCATCAGAAGAGAAGTCCCTGTCTGTCTGTGTGCCAGCCCTCCATAATTTTCGTGCTTGCAGCGTTTATTAGCGTCGCCCTTGCAGTGACAAGTTGGACAGACCGAACGACACCAGAAAGAAGCCGATGGAAATTCGATCCACACCTTCTTTGCAGCAGAAACATTGAAGGGCCCGCTGCAACGACACTCATTCGATCTGTGAACGAACTGAGCCCGAGATTCGGCCGCTGTTCATCACTGTCTCGGGCTGGTATCACCAATAAATACGCTCTTCTTAGGTTTCCAAGCCCGTTCTCGTCTTGTCTCGGCACAGCCAGCAACCTCCAAAAAAAAAAAAAGAGAGGCCTCAATTTCACACCCACCTCCCTCACCACTCAAAGGCATGGCGGCCGCAACACAGCCCTCGGCCCCGGTCACGCAGCTCACCTTCCGCGAGGCCACCGAGGCCGACATCCCGGCCCTGCTCGCGCTCATCCGCTCCGCCTACCGCGGCGAGTCCTCGCGCGCCGGCTGGACCACCGAGGCCGACCTCGTCGCCGACGAGCGCATCGACGCCGCCGGCCTGCGCGCCAAGATCGGCGAGCCCGAGGGCGCCGTGCTGCTGGCCACCGACGCCCAGGGCCGCCTGGCCGCGTGCTGCGAGCTGCTCAGGCGCGACGCCGCGCTCGCCTACTTCGGCCTGTTCGCCGTCGACCCCAAGCGCCAGGCCGGCGGGATCGGGCGGCAGGTGCTGGCCTACGCCGAGGGGTACGCCCGGGCGCAGTGGGGGGTCCGCGGCCTCGAGATGAGCGTCATCTGGACGCGCGAGGAGCTGATCGCGTGGTACGTGCGCCGCGGCTTCGTCAGGACGGCCGAGACGGCGCCGTTCCCCTACGAGAGCCTGGTCAACGGGGAGGCGCTGCGGGACGACCTGCACTTTACCATCCTGCGCAAGGAGCTCGTCTGATGCTCGGGTTGGGAAGGGGGAGCCATGTCTGGACGATGGGCGAACTTGAACAGCAGCATCGCAAGCTAGACTGCGATGAAGGACATAGCTTTCTAGGACGGATGGTGCGAGATACAAGAGCGACTGTCCATAGGTGTCGTCTGCAAAAGCATAGATAGATGGGGTATATGGGCAGCGGTATTTTATATGCCCGTGGCGTTTATTTCTTCTTTTTGATAGACGCCAGAAGCAAGCAAACCAAGTATAAACAAGACAGTGTCACCACCAGTACTATCAAGACCTAGGTTATTGAGTCTTGGTGAGGTACAAGTGTGTTCCTATGGTAACTTTGGGGAAGGACCGTAAGGCCTAGTGCTATCGAGCGTGCTACCTCTGGAGGAGTGCCACTGTAAAGAGAACATCATTATTCGTTTCCACCTCGACAACAGAAGTCTCTGGCAAGATGTGGTTGCTCGTAGACAACTGCCCGCCAATCTCAGTGGTCCAGTCGGTCACGTCCCACTCGAGCCCCTTGGTCGAGATGATGCTCTTGCCCCTCAGCGGGATGATGCCCACGTGCTTCCCAAAGACCTGCCTGCTCGAGCCGCGGACGTGTATCCTGTGCTTTCCCGTCTTGAGGACGAAGGTGAGGCTCTCGTCAGACAGCAGATAGAACCGCCCCTGGGAGTACTCTGCGTCCTGCTGGAAGAGGAAGAGGTGGTGGAGCTGGCTCAGTCCCTGGTCGACGCGGCCACCGAGCCCGCCTAATGCGACTATGCTTGACGGCTTCTGGGTTGTGCGGATGTGGCGAACAGCTTTGGTAAAGTCTGTTGAATACTGGTCTGGATCATGGATGACCGTCGTGGGAGAAGGCAGGGACGAGAAGTAATCCCTGGCTTCGTCCGACAGCGAGTCTAGGTCGCCGATCACAACATCCAGACGGTTCTTGCGGATTGCATTAGAAGTGATACTGGCGAGGGGTATCTATCTGTAGTCGAACTCACTGGGTTGTTCTCGCTATCGAGCACCCTATCTCTGAGTTGGTAGAGGTGATTTGCTCCCCCGTCCGCTGCAGCACGGTACGTTGCTGCGCTCAACAACAGGTCAGCTCGCGGGCAGATAGACGGAATGGCTTGAGTGCTGCGCACGCACCATTGTTCCATAACCGCTTCAAGGTTGTCAGATCACGGAGGGGCTGGTTGAGGACGACTAGAGCGAAAGGATCGCCGGTCTCTTCCGGATCATCCTGCAAGAGAGAGGCCGGGAACCAGTCGATAGGGCCGGTTTGCTCACTAGGCATGTCAGGTTACAGAGGACTGATGCGTCCTAAAGGCTAAAAAAGCGCAAAAAGAATACAGAGGCCGCTTTATAGTCAGGTCGCGTGTGCATGTGAGCACACGATTAGGAGAGAAAGTGGTAGACGAGTAGGCGGCACTAGGGCGAGTAGCGGTTCGGAATTTTGCTTGCATCATCTCTCATCGAACCTCTAGGTAGGTATTTAGCTCGCCCGCCACGCGGACCTTGGGGGAAACATCAAACTGCTCCATTGTATGCATGCACCGGGCCGCTAGCTACGCTCCTGCTGCGGCCAAGACTGACTGTGCTGGTGATAGAGCATGTAGGTAGCGAGGCAGAACTGAATGAGGGTGAAGACAAAGGAACTACAAGTACAGAGAAAGCAGACCAAGTCGCATCGAATGAATGATGCCTGTCCTTTCGATGCGCCAGTGTCCAATCACTGGGGAATCGCATAGAAAGCGAGCCCAGGAGCTCCAATTAAAGTGGTTGATCGATCCATTGTTTGTGCCTGTGGTTGATGTGGTAAGCCAGACTGCCAGGCTGCCAGGCTGCCAGCCAGGGTCACTCGCGCCAGACCCAAAAAGGCAGTGAGCCCAGGAGCTCCATGCCCCCAGACTGAAAAAAAAATCGACCCAGGATGGATTATCAAGCCGCTCTGGTGCACGTCCCCCCCCCAGACCTCTGAAGGCCAGGCCACTATTCTGCATCTGCTTTCTAATTCTCTCCTGGCAGCAGTCATCTGAAGCGGCGCCATCACCACCGCTTTCCCTTCTCTCCTTCCGTCTTTCTTTCCTTTCCTTTTCCCATCGCGATCGCGCATCTCTAGACAGCAGCCATGTACCGCACAGCCGCCCGGTCGCCGGCGCGCCTCCTGCGCTGCGCCGGCCAATCCGCTACTGCTGCCCGTGCCGGATCGTCCCGGAGGTTTCTCACCACCGCGCCCGCGGCCAAGAGGGGCACCTGGAAGGGCGCTGCTCTGCGATGGGGTCTGGCTGCCGGTGCTGTCTACTGGTACAGCACGAGCCCCATCTTCGCCGACGAGCCAGTCGGTATGTCTTGTTGTGGAAGCTCGATAACTGCACCTTCAGCGTGACTGACTCTGCTCTCCCACTCTCACAGCTAGCACGATCCCGGCGCCGCCCCAATTCTCCGACTCCGACATGCCCACCGTCGAAGCCGTTGTCGAGGAGAAGCGAAGACAGGCCGAGCTCAAGGCCCAGAAGTCGGCTCCTCCCCCGCCACCGGCACCCGAGACCTCGGAGCTGAGCGCCGCCATCGCCCAGGAGGAATTCGAACCCGGCCAGACCCCCGAGGAGCTCGAGGAGGAGGCCGGCCAGCAGGGCGCTTTCAACCCCGAGACGGGCGAGATCAACTGGGACTGCCCCTGCCTCGGCGGCATGGCCCACGGACCTTGCGGCGAGGAGTTCAAGGCCGCGTTCAGCTGCTTTGTGTACTCGACCGAGGAGGTCAAGGGCGTCGACTGCATTGACAAGTTCCAGTACGTGCCTTTCTTGATGATTGGACGCTAGGGGAATGCGCATCTAACACTTCCGACAACAGACACATGCAGGACTGCTTCAGGCAATACCCCGAGATTTACGGTTCAGAACTAGCCGACGACGAGGAAAGTGACGCTGCTGTGCCCATCGAGGGTGCGGCTGATGCCGAGCCTCCCAAGGACATGGACAAGGAGGCGGCGCCCGAGATCAGCGCAGCACTGAAGGGGTCTCAGGAGACTCAGGCACCCGTCGCCGAGTCCGCACAGCCGGAGGTGCCCCAAGCCGAGAGCGAACCTGAGGCCAAGCCTGCTAGCAAGATCATCGAGCAGGCCGCCGAGACCCCCGTCTCTGCCGAGGAGACCATGACACCGCGCAAGGCCTTTGACGCGACCGACGCCAACAACCACAACAAGACGCAGTCATGAACTCGGGGTCCTGGAGGTCTGGAACTGTACAACACAAGAGAAAAGTCAGGGGTAGACAAGGGATTACATATCTCCCTTTTAAAACGCAATTAGTGTAATTGTACTATATCTACGTGTATCATGAGATAGAAAGAGAGGAATTTAGACAACTCCATACTCTGTAAAACAGTCGTAGACTGAGTCATCTCAATGATGCTTGCGTGAGTAAAGTAGTTTCTCGGCCTCGAGGATGATCGTGGAAGAAGTACACTCAATTGCACCTCGATGTCAACGTCAGCAGGTGCATGCATGCACGTATTGACAAGCAAGCAATTGAGCACCCCTGTCGCTCACGGGTCTATTCTCAATGGGATCCAATTGCGCCGTGCTTCCATGTCGTAGCTCGGCTGTACCTGGTTTCCTACAAGTACTCCGTAGACTCGGGCTCTGGTCGCATGGGTTCGCGCGCGCACATGGAGCCGCATACGTCATGATGCGACCGGGGGCACTGTTTGGTGGAGCTGTGCGCTGTGCGCTGTGCGGTCGGGCGACTGAGGTCACCAAATAGCGCTGCAAGACGTCACGCCAGCAGAGCTCCCGGTTTTCTCCTCTTTTCCGTCTGCCTGTGAGCCTGCCCGTCATTTGATACTTTACTTCGACCATCTTCTTCCTCTTCTCCTCTTCTCACCACAGCAGCTTCGTATCCTTTCGAGCATTTTAAAGAGGATCATCTGCCAATCCGCGCCTCTCTCTCTCTCTCGACACTACTCCCACACTTCCAACACTTTCCATCCCCCCGCGCATCCCAAGAGTAAGTTCGACACTCGTCCCCTCGGCCCATGCACGCATGGCGCCACCACCTCTCGTTGCTCCGGGACTGATCGCATCGTCTGTACAGTGTCTTACGCCGAGATGGCGGCCAAGGGCCCTAAGCAGACTCCCGAGGAGGTGAGCATTTTCTCGCGATAGCATTCTTCTCCTCTCTCCCACACGCAGACTCCTCAGTCACGATGCGCACTCCACGCTCGGGTGGACCTGAGTCAAGCTCAGAGCTACCTGCCAAGCAACCTCAAAACACCCTCTCGCCCACCTTTACACAGCACCCCAAACCACCAGCACGATGAAAACTGACTGACAACTCTCTGCCCATTCACCCCAGGCCGCCGCCCCGCAGCCCCCGCAGATCGAGCACGAAGACGACTCGACGGCGAGCCTCATCGACGTCGACACCCAGTCCGTCCGCACCGTGCCCTCGGACTTCATGGAGCAGAGCGTCCAGACCGAGACGCAGGCCGACCGCATCGCGCGCGAGGAGGAGGCCCGCACCCGCGCCCGCGAGGCCAAGGACAAGGCCGCGGCCCGGGCCCGCCGCGCCGACGGCTGGCTGACGCGGCAGCTCGCGGCCATGAGCGACGGCGCCGTCAGCGCCCTCGCCGTCGCCAACTTTGCCGCCGTGCTCGGCCTCGGCTCCTTCCTCGGGTACAAGGCCTGGGGCCTGTACGAGCGCGGCCGCCTCGGCTGGAGGAGCGTCGGGCTGGGCGTCGGCATCCTGGGCGCCGTCGGCGTCGTCGAGGGCGTCTTTGGCAGGTACGTTTTTTTTCGGTGTATCCGGGTGTATCCGGGAATTTCTTTTCTTTTTCTTTTTTCTCTGAGAGAGAGAGAGAGAAGTCAGAGGCAGCTAACATGGAAGCAGCTATATCAACAAGAGCCGGAGCAAGAAGCACTGATCTGGGCACTGATCTCGACGACCAGGTGGCTTTCCTGATTTGATAACCTTTTTTTTTCCCCCAACTGTTATGGTTCCAGGCGTCTAGTCTTCTCATCCTGGCAGCAGGGCGCGGCGTAATTATGTGTTGATAGTTCCCCTCTTTTGTTGTTCTTTTTTCAGGTATCGAGCTAGGGAAAATCTCAAATGCGACCGACACATCATCGAAACGACATTACTGAGGGTATCTTGTGCCTTGTCTTGTTGGGGGGCTTTTATTGCCCCTTTCCGTATCCATCACTTTGAGACAGACAGGTCACACGGGTTCAGAGAGTGGACAGCCAGCTAGCTGGCCAGCCGGGTTTAGCAGTCAGAAAGGGAGATGACACAACGTCCCTCTTGCAGTCCATAACGTCTGTATTCCTCATAAACGCAACGTGCTTACAAGAAACTACCGTACCTGCATTGGTCGACTTGGGTTGACTAGAGAGCGAAAGCCCATCACTGCCATCAGATCCGGATAAGGGAAGCCGCCCCATTCTGTGCTCCCGGTCTTTTCATTGCCCGCTCCTCTTCTCACTCTCCCCGGCACAATGTTGCGATGAACTGAAAACAACAGCCCCGAACAAGGGGTTCCCAGTCCCATATCTCCCTCTCTCTCTCACACACATACACTCTCTCTCGTCCCATCTCGTTCATCAAACGCGGATGATAAAAAAAAATCGAAAATCGCAAAACAAAACTTCTGACCGAAGCGGCGAAGAAGAAAGCAAGCCACCGGTGAAGCAAAGAACGCCATGTCCCGCGCGCCCTGAATACATAAAAGTCGAGGTATCAAACAAGGACAAACAGAATAAACAACCTGGCCTCTCACGTTGAATAAAATCATGACATCCACCAGCAAGCAGAACAAAACACAACTCCCAAGTCGGAAGGGTCCTCGCGAATAAAAAAAGGGATCCCGGGTCGGCAGTCGAGATCGCGCGGAGGTACTTCCTCCGAGACCTACAACTCATACCCATGCCGAAATCGCCCTCGTCGTCGACAAGAAAGTGTGATCGAGTATCCTTCAAGATATGTACCCCGAAAAACGAGAAAAAAAGGCAGTAGAGCGACCCGACCACCAGAAGAGAAACGAAGATGAGTATTAAAATTTTTGTGTTGTTGATGCTTGAACCGCCACACCACACCACACCACGACAAAACGGCTCTCTCTGTCTCTCTGGGGTCTTTAGTTGCCCAGCCCCATGCGGCTGTGGGCCTCGCGCAGCCTCTTGATCCAGTGCTTGCGCAGGTGGACGGGCATCTTGCAGAACATGGCGGCCTTGTTGGCGTCGGTGAGCATCTTCTCGGCGATCTTGAGCTGCAGGTCCATGTCCTCGTCGGCAAAGTCGCGGAAGAAGATGTCCATGGCCTGCTCGGGCCACCGCGGCGGGGCGGCGGCGGCCTGCTGCTTGGCCAGCGCGTCGGCCAGCAGAGCGATGTTCTCGCCGCTGCCCTGGGCCCCTCCTCGTCCCCCCGCCGCCGCCGCTGCTGCCGGCGGCACCGAGCCGCCGGGCTGGGCGCCTTGCTGCTGCTGCTGCTGCTGCTGTGGCCCGTTCGCGTTGGACAGGTCGATGTATGCGTTCTGGGCCGCTCCCCGCCGCCGCTTGTCGGCGTGGCCGTGTGCGGCGCCGTTGGGCCCCATCCGCTTGCGTGACGTGGGGGCCTCCTCGTCGGGCGGCGTGAGGGCCGAGGTGGAGGCGATGGATCCTCTCGGGGGTATCGCGGTAGAGGTAGGCCGCTGCTGGCTCGCGGGCGCCGAGGTGGCAGACGGCGCTGCAGCCTTGGACGCGGCAGCAGCAGCCGCGGATCGAGGGAGCGCGGGTGGAGCGGGCATCGTCCCCGTGGCCGGCTGCGGCGCGGCTCCCTGGCCGCCGCCGTTCAAGAGGTCGAGGATGGCGGTGCCGGGCGTGTCGGCGTCGTTGGCCCCCGGCAGGGCGTCGGGCCCTTTCCGCCGCGGCTTCGTTATCCGCTTGGGGGCGCCGCCGGACCCGATCACGTCGGGGAAGAGGATTTCGTAGAACTCTTCGTGCTCAAAGGGCCGGCCCTTGAGAGACCGAGATAGTGGTTCTTTCTGTGGTTTGGTGAATGCACACGTCAGAATCTGTCCTTGCCTTAATACGGCAGAGTTTCTTTTCGTGCTCGAAAGAGAAACATCCCTAGATGATGACCTTGCCTACCTCGATATGCGATCTCCACGCATCGTCGCTCGCCGTCACGATCTTGGTGGCCGGGTTGTAGAGGAACTCGGGGTCCTCGACGAGGCCCCTCCACAGGCGGAACTTCTTGCGGGCGTTGTCGCTCTTGTTGATCAGGTGGCTCTTGTTGGGGTAGGCGCCGTGGCGCTCCTGGAGGGCCTGCATGGCGCGATCCCAGGCCTCCTGCTTGAAGGAGTGGTTGTCTTTGAGTCCGAGGTTGACGCTCTCGCAGAGGGAGCGGAAGAAGGTGGCCTCGTAGGCCGGGGTCCAGCTGAAGCGCGGGCCCTTGCGCTGGGCGCTGGAGCCGGCGCCGTCCTGGCCGGCGCGCTCGTCGTCAGACATGGTGGCAGAAACTCAATGTCGCCGGGGCCCGTAGGATTGAATGGGATGGGTCGAGGTCGGGGATGGAGGGGGAAGGGCGGGAAAAAAAAGGTGCGCAAATGCGCGCGCGCGGTCGGTGCAGGAAACAGGCAGGCCTTAGGGTAGCCGCCGAGAGGGTTCCACGGTCGGCGATGGCGACGGGAGGAGAAAGTTGTTGGTGCCGTTAGTCAGTTAGCGGTGGTGGTGGTGTGTGGTGTGTGGTGTGTGGTGTGTGGTGTCGCAATTCGGGGCGGGTATCTCGGTTGATCCAACGGGCTCCAGATGGCCGGTACCAAAAAGAGAAGAGAAGAAGAGAAGAGCTGGTGAGAATGAGAATGGAAATGCGATGGCCGAATCAATCCATCAATGCCGGTTCCCGATCGCCGTGTACTCGGGGAAGTGCCGGTTGTGGTAGTGGTGGTCGTGGTCGTGGTGAAAGGTGAGGGTGGTGAGGGTGGTGAGGGTGAGGGCGAGGGTGTGTGCGTGAATGTGGCTGTAGCTTTGCCTTGGGGGGGGAGCTGTGACGGGACGGGGGGTGCGTGATATTGGGTTCGAGATCGGCTGCGAGCCAGAGCCAGTGCCAGTGCCAGCGTGCCACCCAGGCTGGAGTGGAGGGTCTTTCTAGTGAGGCTGGTGGTATTTTCTAGCGAGACGACGGAGGCTGCGTGCGTGACTGGAGGGAAGAAAACGGGCGGGGGGACTCGAGGAGGAGGACCCTGAATGCCAGCCAGCCAATCCCGGTCCAAGCCAATCAATCCACTGGAGTGAAAGCAGGACGGGCAGCCGGAAGGAAAGGCGGGGCATTTCGTCCAACTACTTGCTTGTACCAAGAACATTGAAGAGGCTGGTGTGGGTGGGCAAAACCTGACTGCGCACGGCACTGGTGTGGCTGGCATCTGGCATCCATGGAAAGTGAATGGAGGGGACGAGAGAGCCAAGAGGGGACTTTCTGTTAGGGGTCCCACGGGTCTATTGGTTACGTACGGGGACCCGTCAAGCGCTACAAGAACAGGGGACCACCGCTAGCGCTGGAGGACCCTGCGCTAACAAGCCCGCGTGTGCAGCACGAGCCGGCGTGGCACGCGTGCGGGTTGGAGCTCGGGTGGACGCATGATTTCAGACCCAGGTTTGCGATCAATTTGGCAGAGACAGGTACTGTACTGTAGGCAGTAAAATAAGATTCCACTTTCCTTGCCTGGCTGGCTGTTCGAGACGATAGCCTGGTGCTCTCTTTGAGAGCGGATGGGACTGCTAGTGTAGTGAATCCCGAGGTGGAATGAACATCGGTCTCGCCGACGTAAGTACCTAAGCTACATGTACTTGGATCTACAGATACAGCGATACTGTCTTGTTTGCGACAGTCTATCGCCTTCACGGCCATACAAAGGCTTGGTAAAACCATTGATCCAGAGGAGAATCAAAGTCCTTGGGAGATTGTGCCATCATTTAGTCTTTGTGTGTCCAACAAACATCAAAAATCGTCCGAATTCACGTCACCACGTCAATCGATGCCGAGCTCTTCTTCCGTTCCAACAAAATCAAACCGCTCAGGGCCATGAGATTGCTTCTATGTACCTGTCTCGACAGATTGCAATATTTACAATGATTGCACACGCTGCTTGGGTGCTACGGGGAATGAATGCCAGAAGCGCAAAAGAAAAAAAATGCCATCCAAGTCTATCGGGACGACAATCCTTGCCGCACATGCAAGCTCAATCCCACCGCAGCCGGCCTCATGAATTAGACGGCATGGTCCGCGATGCCGAGCGTGTTGTTGCCGCCGTTGAAGGCAACAAACTGCGACTTGAAGAAGATGTCGCCAAAGATCATCAGCGACGAGGTCGTCGGCTGCAGGCCAGAGAAGCAGGCTGGTAATTCGTGTCAGTTAGCAAAATAGGGGCCGATATACGTTGGACGGTGCAACGCATGATAAAAACTACTCACTGTTTCCCTGCACGGGCGCAAAGACAATGTCGCTGCCCTTGACCTTGGCCATGACGCCGCCGACGTCGAGGAACAGGTCGGGCAGCTTGGCGTCGCACGGGACCGTGATGCCGCCCGCCTGCTGGCTGTTCTGCGCGCCCTGCACCTTGGAGAAGTAGCCCTCGACGATGGCCTTGTTGGCCAGGATGAGCGTCGTGCCCGTGTCGGCGATGGCCTGGCCCGCCGGGTCCGCCGCCTGCGCCTGCTGCGCGGTGCCGACGGCGAACGCCTTGCTCGAGAACTGCCAGAAGCCCTGGGTCGTGTTGATGGGCACAAAGTTCATGGCGCCCGTGAACTTGGCCGGGTCGATGCGGCCGAACTCGTAGGCGCCCGCGGCGCCGCGGCGCAGGTCCGCCGTGAAGAGCGGCTGCGCGAGCGAGGGCATGACGTTGTCGAAGAAGGTCTTTTGCTTCTGCGGCTTGACCGTGTTGAGCTTGCTGAAGGCCAGGCCGACGAGCCCGTTGTTGGCCGCGTCCTTGACGAAGGAGCCCGACACCGCCGTCGCCATCTCGATGGCCTGGGCCGTGACCGTCGCCCCGCCGATGTCGACCACGTCGGTGCCCACGTTGCCCGCCGCCCCGGACCCGTCGCCGTACGAGATGGTGAAGGACGCGCCCTGCATCTGCTTGAACGTCTTGGACTTGGCCGGGTCGAAGATGGTGTGGCCCGTCGCCGTCTTGGCCGACAGCTGCGTGTTGAACACCCACAGGTCCGACGAGCCCGTGTCAAAGTCCATGTTGAGCGTCTGCCCGCCGATGTTGACGGGCGACAGGTACTCGACGTCGTTCTTCTCGGGCGTCGCCGTCACCAGGCCCGTGCCCTTGGCCGCCGGCTGCGTCCCGTTGGCGGCGGCGCCCGTGGCAGCACCGGCCGCCGCGCCGCCTTTGCCCTTGCCCTTGCCCCGGTTGCCTCCCCGGTTGCCTGCGCCAGTGTTGGTCTGACCTCCCGTCGCCTGGCCGTTGCCGTTTGCCTGGCCGTTGCCGTTTGCCTGGCCGTTGCCGTTTGCCTGGCCGTTGCCGTTTGCCTGGCCATTACCGTTGGCATTGCCGTTTCCATTCGCGTTGCCGTTGCCGTTGCCGTTGCCCCTGCCGTTACCGTTACCGTTGCCATTCGCATTACCATTCCCGTTGGCATTGCCGTTCTGGTTTCCCTTGCCGGTCAGGGCGCCCAGCAGGGCCTCGAGGGTGCTGGCCAAGTCCCGGTCCTGGAGCTCGGCGTTCCGGGTCTGGAGGTCCTTCAAGTCCTGGGCGGCCACGGCGCTCGTCAGGGCCTCGGGCACCTTCATGTTGTACTTGCGGTAGGCCTTGAGGAGAGCCCTCGGCCCGTTGTGGCCCTGGAACGCCTCATTCCGTACTCTGTGGACCTTGAAGGACCTCTTCTGGATCCGCGAGGGGGCTGCGGAAGCGAGTGCGACCAGCAGCAGGGCCACCAGTAGCAACGCGCTGCGGAGGGACTGCATGGCGGTGAGGAAAAGAAAGAGAGAGGAAGGAAGAACGAAAGTAGAGGTGAATGAAGGAACAGACCAGGAAGCCACACCAGTTGGTTTCCACGGCCGAAGAAGAAGAAGAAGGATAAGGAGGGAGAGAGAGCAGAATAGAAGCAAGAGGCGACAAGAAGGGAAGGGAGGACAAAGAAAGTCAAGTGTTGAAAAGAGAAAGAGAAGAGAAAGGACAGGAACAAGTACTCAGTCCAAGATACCTTGTCAAGAAGAATAAGGAAAAAGGGGAGAGAGAGTGCCGAACTCCGCAAGACTTGACAACACCAAGAGGACGAAACAGCCTCCTTCCATAATCACAGGCACGGCGACCGGGTTGTGTGCCAAGACAGTGGATCATTGATCTCCAAGTAGATCTGCCGCGGGTCACTTACATGGCATGGGCACCAGCTCGTGGGCACCAAGGGGTACAGTCTTGACTACCATGGCGATGCAAGACAGTCCTCTCGAAGAGGTGAGATGCAGCGGCTATGGCGATTCTGATACTGTTAGCGCCTCCGGTAGTGAGCGGGCATGCGTCCTGTTAGTCCCCCTGCCCGTCTGCCGGGGTGTCTCCAGAAGGGGAGAGCTTGTCTGGCCATGGCATGGCCTCCAAGACGACTGATGCGGCAAATGTGTGGAGAATAGTCTGAGGGAAGAATCGAGGCATGCTTCGCGAGTGGTGCTCGAGAAGGCCAGAAGAGTGTGTGGTGTTTGATGATGGACAGGGGCTTTGTCCACCCGCAGGGCGACGACAGGCTGCGACAGGGGTCTGGGTAGGTATGAGAGGATGGGACAAGGGAGTTGGAGCCTCCTAGTTAGGTAGGCCGGACGGCCTGGCAAAGGAGGTGCAGCAGAAATAGCAAACAAAGACATTATGAGTAGCCACGGAGTACGTAGTCCTCATTGGGTACCAGGCCACGCAAGCGATACTAGAGCGGCTCCGTGGCCTGCATTTGCGGTCTTTGGGGGCCGTCGCTTGTTGCCGTCACTCATTGAAGACAGACTGCAGTGCAGGATGGAGAATCGGCATTGACTGCCATGTCGTTCTTCCAACGAGCATCGCCGAGGCTTGGCTCAACGTTGACGAAAGCTTGTCTGCCCCGAGCAGAGAGCTTGGCCGATGGAGTCCTGGAGTGATCGGATCGCCAAGTGATTTTGTTTCGGGCTTGGTATTCATCACGAAAGGATGATGAGGATCCGGGGGGGAATGCCCAGAGATGCTTCTTGGAAAGCTTGTGTGTGTGTGTGTGCTGGGCATCGAGGACACCAGCGAACTTGAAACAAAGGCACATGGAGGCGAACCAGGGGTTCGGAGGTATTGGTCTTCGGAAATTTCCACAGCCCTGGTGCCCTTTGCAGACAATACAAACCTGGAAGAGAGAGGGAGCGAGATTTGATAGGATCACTGTTAAGATCTCCCCCGTGCCGCTTATCATTTGATCTTGACGGCTGGGCGCTTCAGGCGTCAACAATGCCGACAATGCTGGCTGATGGGAGTCGCCAGCTTTGGATGAGGCCCTCTTGACATTCTTCGGCAGCTGTGGTCATCTTGTTCTCTTGCTTTGCGCTCCGTTCCTTTCCCTCCCTCAAAGTTCTCTCCCATTTGACTCTGTACAAGTACTTTCGTAGCCCGAGCTCTTGGAGAGAGAGGCCATTGATGCAGTGCCAGGCCAGGCCAGGCCAGGCCCTGCTCACGCTGGAGGCAGCCCGAGCCGAGGGGGATTGGTCCTTTCGTAGCGGGCTCGATTAGTGGACCCCCCAGCCCCCCATGCTGAAACAAAGGCGCTGAAACGGCACCAGGCGCTGAATGCAGCCCCGGACGGCCAATCATCTCCGGGTCAGGGCCACCTTGGTGAAACAACTCATTTGATCCATCGCTTTGGCCGGCTGGCGTGCCATCGCATGGAAATCAAGTCTTACGTGTGTGTTGACCTATTGAAGAACATCCCGCACAGTGACGAAGCTGAAGCTGACGACGATGTTTCCCTCCAGGGGGGTTCGGAAGCACGACCCGTGGTAAAGCCGAGTGAGAAACACTCGGGAGCCGGTGAGATACTACACCCATACATCACTGAATGCACACCAGATGCGAAACGGCCGGATGTGATGCTGTCTTGCTCCGAGAGAAACAAGTATCATTCGATGTTCTCATTGCTCGAGCGCTCGCCTCTCACTACGTATGCAATAGTCGTCATCGACGACGACAACAACAACAACACAACCTCACTCTCACCTAGTTGCAACGCCTTCGCTCATGCATCAGTCCAGATATGTACAACGGTCCACCGGCCAGCTCGTAAGCCGGGCCTGCAGCTCATCACGAGGCCGGAGCTTCGGTCGTCTTTGATGAATCCTCGCCGTCCAGCTTGATCACATACTTGCCCAAGATCTGTGAAGTATATTGCCCGTCAGTCAAACCGCAAACTACTTACTTACCCATAGACAAACATATCAAAAAGGGTAGGTAGTTGGAAACTCACCTTGCCGCGCACGACATTCTCCAGCAGCGTCGTCATGTCCTCCAGCCGGCCCCATTCCGTCCGGGGCGTGACGAGCCCCCGGCGCACAAACTCGAGCGCCTCGAGGATGTCGCGCCGCGTGCCCACGGCCGAGCCCTTGACCTGCCACCCGAAGGCGACGCACATGGCCGGGTGGAAGTGGACGAGGCGGTCCGCCGGCGGCAGGCCGACGCACATGAGCGTGCCGAAGGGCCCCAGCATGGAGAAGGCGGCCTGGTAGGCCGCGGCCGCGCCCGAGGTGACGATGACGGCGTCGACGCCCTCGGTGCCCGTCAGCCGCCTGACCTCGGGGCCCGGGTCCTCGCCCGCGGCCAGCGCCGTGATGTCGACAAAGTGCTCGGCGCCCTGCTCGAGGCAGAAGCGGCCCTTGTCGGCGCCGGCGTCGACGCCGACGACCCGGTACCCCATGGCGCGCGCGAACGCGACGGCCAGCGCGCCGACGCCGCCGCCGGCGCCCGACACGGCGATCCAGCGGCCCGGCACGACGCCGCAGCCCTTGATGGCCTTGTACGCCGTCACGCCGCCGCAGCACACGGGCGCGACGTGCTCGTCCGGCACGCCGTCGTAGGCCGCGGGGATGCGGCACAGGTACCGCGCCGGCACGACGGTGTACTCGGCAAACGTGCCGTCGACGACGCGGCCCGAGGTCACGCGCTCGGCGCAGCGCGTCTCGCCGTCCTGCGCGAGCGTCGTGCACCACCCGCAGGCGCCGCAGGCGTCGCGCGCCCAGCCGACGCCCACGCGCTGCCCGACCTGCACCGACGGGTCGATCGCGGGCACGCCGGATCCCAGCTCGACGACGCGGCCCACGCCCTCGTGGCCCAGGATCGTGCGCGTCTCGCCCAGCTCGCCTGACGCCAGGCCGTAGTCGGAGCCGCAGATGCTGGTCAGCGACAGGCGGACGAGGACTTCGTTGGGCCCGGGGACGGGCCGGGGCACGAGCTGGACGTTGAACTCGGGGTTCTTGCTGGGGGCCTAAGGGGCGGGGGAAGCACGAGTAAGTAAGTGTCAGGTCTTGTGCTGTAAATCAGAGGCTGTGTCTGTCTGAGAGTGAATGAGGGGGTAACTGGAGGTGTAAGTGAGGCCATATGAAGGGGGGTGACATACCACGAGAACCGCAGCCCTCTGGAGGTTCTCTTGTGCCGCCATGATCTATAGCTACTTCTCTATGTCTTGTCCTGCCGTGTACGAAGTCAATGCTATACTGGTGTGGTTCCAACCAAGCCGTGATCGAGACAACAGTTTTTAATTCAAGAGAGACATGATCAGTAGGCACGAGGGAGTCTCCGCCGACAGCAATGCCGTGCATGCAAGGGTCTGCGCATTTGAGAGCCACGAGCTACCCCGTACAGCAGCCCGTGTCCCGCGAGACGCATCATGCCGTGCAGTATTTCCCCGCACTGCTCTCCAAGATTGATCCAGACCTGGCTGCCGGCCGGTGGAGCTGTGCACAGCAGGGACCTAGGTAAAGAGCACCGCCTAGCTGATAGTCTGAGGCTGGGCTGGGATCTGGGTGCGGGGAAGCTGGGTGCGTGGCACGGTAGTAGTGCGTCGAGGACCGGCAGACGGTGTTGGACCCAAGACAGCTTCGGAACATCTTTCAGGAGGTTCATCCACGGGCCACGAGTCGCTGTGGTGGCGCGCACTTGGACGTACGTTTCTTTAGCTCGAGTGGTTTTGCGGGCCATCCGGGGCGAGAGAGAACTGCCGGAATCATCAACCCGATGCGGACTGCTTGCACATGTCACATTGAAGAATGGATTGTGAGAATAGACCGACAGGTATTTTGAAATTTGTTTGGTATTATGTATACTTTGTAATGGCTGACGGATCTCTCTCTAACTTTTCGTCCGTCCATCCCAAGCATCCGGCCCGGGTGGCTTGCCTTTGCTCACTCTGATGCATCAAGGCAGCACATGCTAATCGCTGAGAAACACCCCGAGCACCCCTCTTCCGCGATCAGATAGTAATAGGGTTACAAAAGAAAGGCCAATTGGTGAAAACTAAACGCCTTGACATGATGTTGTTGCTGTTGTGTGTTCGTGTTGTTTGACTAGTAGGCTACTGCTTCTTTATGAAGACTTGCCCTTCCAGCCGAGGACGTTGAGCACGTTCGTCCTGGGGTCGTACGAGGCGTCTTGGAAGACCTTGGCGCGGTTGGCCTCGCTCTGGGGGGTGTTGTAGGAGGAGAAGAAGCGGTCCATCTGGGATGACTCGTAGGAGAGACACCTGTGGACGTAGGCGACGACACCAGAGACTGGAGAGAAAGTGTTAGTGAAAGGGTGGATGTTGTATGTGTGGGGTGAATGAATGAATTGCTTACCGGCACCGACGACGACGAGGGTTGGGGCAGCCTTGGAGGCGACAACGCTCAGAGACATGATGATTGGTGGTTGGTTGGTTGGTTGTTTGTTTGTTTGAGTGATCGGATGTGACCAAAAATGTATAATTGCAGCAAATAGATGTGCAATTAATCAACTCTGTTATTGATGAGAAGGCGTTTTGTGCGTTTGAGATGCTCAAGATGATGATGCTTGTGATGCTGTTTCACAACAGGTTCTTGTCAACTCGGGAGGCGACAGACGGGACGGCATTTATATTGGGCGCTGTTGATAGCAAACCCGGGCGATGGGACGGCCATGATGGGCAACTGGAGGGCAATCCGAGAGCGATGATGCTGCGGTTGTTCGAGTTGGGCGGCGGGTTGGCCCAGAAGTCGGCCAAAGTTGCGTGTTGTCGTGCGGTGGCCGAGTCGACAGTCGTGTGATTTTGGCCGAGGGTGGTGCCGCCCGGTCAGCTTCTGGAATCCAGGCGTGGTGCTGTGCCAGGCTGGTCCAGCACTTGGGATCAGCTCTGCGTGAGTCGAGTGTGTGTGTGTCTTTCTCTGCTGGGCTGCCCTTTTCAGCGGCCATCCATCGTACCACTTTCCACCACCTTGGCTCGACTCTTTTCCGGATCGGGCGAAATCGGGCGGGGGGCCTTCACACACTCTTCTCTCCCATCTCCACCGTTTTCTACTCTTCCTCTTCGCCAGTCCACCCATTCGAACCCTTACCCAGCCAGCCAGCCCATCCCGAGTGCCTGGACTGGGCCGGCTGGCCTGTCAGAACGAACGACGGATCAGGAACGAGGACCCAAAGCTGGCACCTAATTTCACCATCACCTGACAGACGGAGCCACCACCGTCTGTTCTTACACCATGCAACGCATCGCACATCGCCGCTTCTTGGGATTCGTCCCGTTTCATTCACTCTGCCGCCCAGCATGAACAGTGTGGGGAAATGGAACCGTTGCCTCACACAGCTGACAGCTGACAGCTGACAGCAAGGGGAAACCCGGGCTTGAGTGACACTCTACCTATCGTCAAATGGCATTCTTGTTATTAGTCAAAAGCTTCCATGGGTATCAGCCGTGATATGTGCCCAACTATGGCGTCATACTCTTGCCATGTTCCAGCGGGACCACCCGAACTGCACGAACTCCCTCCTGTCCAGTGTGTCTTTCCATCCATCCATCCCATGCATGCATGTGACCGGCTCATAGCCGCAGCCGGCTCCGGACAGCCATGCCAATCTTGATGACCACCAGGTAGAAGGCGATGAGCGCCCAGAAGAAGATAATGACCCCCATCCCGCCCAGCACCCGCAGGTCCGCTATCCTGCCGGCCAGGCGGTCCCGCACCCGGAACCCGGACCGCCACACGCCGCCCGACTCGCTGTCCCTCAGCTGCGGCGCCGAGACGACCTCCTTCTCGCGCGCCTCGATCGCGTCGGCCATGGCCCAGGCGACCTTGTTGTTGATCTTGTCCCACGTCGCCTCGCACGCCTGCCTCCTGGCCTCGGCGCTCATCCTCCGCCGCAGGTCGCCGTCCTTGGCCAGCACGAGCACCTTGTCCACAAAGGCCTGCAGGTCCCCCGGCGGCACGAGGAAGCCCGACTCGCCGTGCCGCACAATGTCGCTCGGCCCGCCCTCGTCCCGCGCCACGACGGGCACCCCGCTGGCCAGCGACTCGAGCACCACGAGCCCGAACGTCTCGGTCACGGAGCAGTGCAGGAAGACGTCGCCCGCCGCGTAGCTCTCGGCCAGCGCCTCGCCGAGCTTGAAGCCCGCGAAGAGGACCTTGCCCTTCCTCTGCAGGCCCGCGAACATGCCGTGCACCTCGGCCTCGACCTCCTTCCTGCGGTTCCCGCCCACGATGTACAGCTTGAAGTCCAGGCCGCGGCGGTCCAGCTCGTCGGCGGCCGCGGCCAGGAAGTCGAAGCCCTTCTCGCCCGCGATCCGCGACACGCAGACCAATATGATCTCGCCGCGGGGCGCGATCTGCCTGCGCAGCGCCTCGCTGCGCCGCGAAGGGTTGAACAGCTCGGCGTTGACGCCGCGCTGCAGCAGGCGCATCTTGTCGGCCGGCACGCCCGTCCGCTCGAGGTACCGGCGCACGAACCGGCTCGGGTAGAACATGGTGCTGACGAGCGGGTGCCGGAAGAGGAAGCCCTCGACGCGGGCGAAGACGAAGGACGCGAAGGCGCCCAGCGGCGGCGGCAGCAGGATGGCGCAGTAGGCGCCCAGGTCGGTCTGGAAGTTGCAGATGACGGGCGGGCGGGCGCGCCGCGGCGGCGACTGCTGCCGCAGCTGCAGGAGCACCTGGAAGCCCAGGGAGGCCGGGCTGGCGACGTAGATGAGGTCCGGGGCGCCGCCGAAGGTGCGCGCGTAGAGCGTCGAGAGGCGCAGCGGGTAGACGATGGAGAGCTCCGGGTTGAAGGGCACGGGGAAGCCGCGCACGCGCACCTCGCCGACGTTCTTGCTGTCGCCCTTGCCGTCGTCGGCGGTGGCGACGGGGACGAACGTGTTGATCTTGGTGCTGTTGTGCGGCGCAACGACGGCGACCTTGGCCCCGTGCTCGCGCAGGTGGTTGACGAGCATCAGCGTGGTGCGCGACACGCCGTTGACGGGGCCGAAGGACTCGGTGCAGAGGAGGATGCGCCGCCCGCGCAGGGACGGGGGGAACATGGAGAGATCATGGGCGATCTCGCCTGGGTTTGCCGTGGCCATTGTCCGGAACTGCTGGAGCTTCGTGTCCGGTCACGAGAGGTAACTGAAGGCTGGCAGGTTAGGTAGGTCGGCGCTGACGATGCAATGCCTGGAAAGGCCGTGACGGTGAGATCGTAACACGCCACACAATGGACTTGAACTGGCCAGGGAAGATACCCTGCTGCCACAATTGCAGTCCAGACAACTTAGATGATAGAATGCCAAGGTAGGTCTGAAAAGAATAGACTCGTCACAAGAAGGGATCCTTCCTACCTTGGTCCCTTCAAGAATAGCAGTAGACCCGGCTCAAGCCCTCCACATCTCAGAGGATGAGCGGGGCAGATGGACAAGAGATAGCACCGAGGGACCTGGAGATGATGCACTCTGGGCCTTTACTTGGCTAGCAAGCTGCTCACAAGCGCGAAAAGACAGCTCGCGATTGGGTACGGGGACCTGCGACCGCAAGAGACCGGGTGGATGGTGAGTCCTCTGGTAGACTGACTGGTCGGGGATAGCTTCACACACACACACCCAACACACACGCACACACTTGCAGACATGCCCTGCACGCGGGGCAGCAGGACAGAGACCCCGCTCACGCGCGCAGAGATACCATCGATGATGTCTTCAACAACGGCTTAAACTCGGTAAAAGGCAAGCCGTCCGTGTGCCCGACTGTCTGATGCGCTCTAGCTGCACTCAACAAAACCCCCATGATGTCGGATCTTCAGCATCAGAGAGGAATCAATCTCTCTTGAGGCGGCCAATAGGGATGCGAGAAGCCTTCACATTGGCGAATACTGGCCGTGGCCTGGCTCCCTTGGGGGCAGGCCTAGCTGCAAGGCTCATAAAGAGCGGTCGGGCTTAGTGGGATCCAGCAAGAAGAGACGCGGTACCCGGCCAGCATTCCATGACATTCCGGTCTCTCTCGCTTGAGGCTGATAGATTGGCATTGATCGAAGCACAAGGACAAGGACAAGGGGGGACAGACCGCGAACCAGCAAGTCCCTTGGTGCAGCAGATGCGACGCGACATGACTAGGGGACCGCCACTGCGCTGCAACCGGCCGCTAGACGAGGCCCGGCGAATGGGCGTCGAGATCCGGGACCCCGTGTGCCCGCCCGTTGGTTGTCGTTCAAACTAAAGCGGCGGGAGTCCGAACCGACTTAGACCGCAGGATATCAAGCTTCATCAACAACACCGTCGACACACACACACAGCATTGCGATACCCAATTTTATTTCCGCCCTCATGACACGCGCCGTCGCCTCTGCCCTCTACCAAGCTTTGGCTCATTGTCGACCACATGGGGGGCATGTGAGGCACACAGGCGACCATGCTGGCTCCGCGTGCCAGGCCAGACGGCTCCGAAAAGGCCACGGATTGGCCTAGCCAAGGTGTACCTCCGGGACACTGGTCCCCGTTTCCTTGGAAGAGATATCTCATGGTGTCTGTATGGTATCTGCAATTCATCATTTGCCCCTCTGTTGGACATGACCGACCAGGAGGCGGTTTGCCAGGCTAGGTACCTGCTCTGGTGCCTGAAGGTGACGCCGGTTTTGTTACCATTATCGCCCCCCTCTTACCACATCCTCTGTCTATCTCTCTAGATGACACGCCCAGAAGTCTGAGCGAGGAATGCACCGTTTCTATATCCACAGACCGGGACACGCTTGTCTCTTCCTATCCCATGATAGACTCGTCAAAGAGCGGCTAGACCAACACGCCGTGCGTCTCATCCACTGGCTGATAGCCACCATCATCTGCTGGCGTCACTCACTCATCCCCAATACCCACGGACATCCAGCCATACCTGGACTCCATCCCCTCCATCTCCTTCCTCCGTCTCGTCAATGCCGTCCACCCTAATCACTCCGAATAAGCGGCCTAGTTCCGGGCTGTAGTCATCCACAAGCTTGCCTCGGCGCTATCAGTCTCTCTTGCTGCCACTCGCCACTTACGGTATCCCGCGCGTCTCTTCCTGCAGAAAGCCTTTTGTTCTCCCTCTTCCCTGTCTTTTTGGCTCCGAACCCCTTCCCCTGCACCTCAACGGACAAGCTACTCTTTTGCTGGTTGTCCATTGCGTCCGAGGCGGCTAGACAAGTCCATACAACACTCTCTCACAACACGTGCCTCGCCGATCCCCTTCAACCGGACCACCTCTGGTTTGGGTCTTGAGCTTGCTTTGTTTTCAGTCTAGAACGCGATATTCAAGCGCACGAGATTTTTTCTCTCTTTCTCTTCTCACCTGCTCTCTCCTCCTTGACAGCAAGTGTGAGTAACAAAGTTACTCTCCCGCTCAACCGCACTCCCTGAGTCCCGAGCAACACTCGTTGGCTGGAAGAGGAAAACAAAGAATACTCAAAAGATCCGCCGCTTTTCATCCGCCACGGGCCTTGGCACGATGAGCAACGCGATTCCCTCACTCGTCGACTCGGAGGAGAGCATGCTCTCCGAAGGGTCGACCGCTCCCACCACCCCGGACGGGAGTCTGTCCTTCAGCCCCGTCCTGCGGCCCATGCGCAACCACATGGACGGCCTCGTCGAGGACCTCGCGGGCCTGACCGGCAAGGTTGGCCTCGTCGGGAGCTCGCGCCTCGCGCTGCCCCAGGGCGCCGCGTCCATCCCGCAAAGAGTCCGCAATATCTGCTGCGTCGGCGCGGGCTACGTCGGTACGTATCCGGTGTAAAAGAAAGAAAGAAAGACAAGCGAGAGGAATCCGAAAGTTAGTTGGCTGACACTTCCGTCTCTCTCTTTCCCTCTCGTTCCCAGGCGGCCCTACCGCGTCAGTCATCGCCTTCCACAACCCCCACATCAAGGTCTCGGTCGTCGACCGGGACGCTACGCGCATCCGGCGCTGGAACTCGCCGCACCCGCCCATCTACGAGCCCGGGCTGGGCCACATCGTGCGCATCGCCCGCGACGGCTCGCGGCAGAGCGCCTTCCTCAACGAGCCCATCCGGTCGACGGCCTCGGACGCGCCGTCCTGCACGAGCTCCACTTCGTCCTCCGAGTGCGGCAGCTTCTGCGCCGAGCACGCGGGCGGCGTCGGCGGCGTCGGCGGCTGCGGCGGGCTGACCGCCATCCCCGCCCGCCAGGCCAACCTGCACTTCACGACCGAGGTGGCTGAGCGCATCGCCGAGGCCGACCTCGTCCTCATCGCCGTCAACACGCCGACCAAGTACCGCGGCGCCGGCGCCGGCCGCGCCACCGACATGACCTCCTTCGAGGCCGTGACCGCCGTGGTCGCGCAGCACGCGCGGCCGGGCGCCATCATCGTGGAGAAGTCCACCGTGCCCTGCCGGACCGCCCAGCTCGTCCAAGAAACTGTGAGTCTTTCAACCAACAAAAGGAAAAAACACATTGACAATGATATGATCGAAGTCGTGACACTGACACTCCCCAAAAAGATGGCCATCCACCGCCCGGGCGTCCACTTCGAGATCCTGTCGAACCCAGAGTTCCTCGCCGCTGGCACCGCGGTCAACGACCTGCTCTACCCGGACCGCGTGCTGATCGGCTCCTCGGCCACGCCGTCGGGCCACCGCGCGGCCGAGGCGCTGGCCTTGGTCTACGCGGCGTGGGTGCCGCGCAAGCGCATCGTGACCACCAACGCCTGGTCCTCGGAGCTGGCCAAGCTCGTCGCCAACTCGATGCTGGCGCAGCGCGTCAGCAGCATCAACAGCATCGCCGCCATCTGCGAGCGCACCGGTGCCGACGTGGGCGAGGTCTCGGCGGCCATCGGCCGCGACCCGCGCATCGGCGGCAGGTTCCTCCAGGCCGGCATCGGCTTCGGCGGCAGCTGCTTCAAGAAGGACGTGCTGAGCCTGACCTACCTCGCCGAGTCGCTGGGGCTGCCCGAGGTCGCCGAGTACTGGGCGCAGGTGGTCAAGATGAACGAGTACGCGCGCGACCGCTTCAGCCGGCGCGTGCTGCGGTGCCTGAACAACACGCTCGTGGGCAAGAAGCTGACGGTGCTGGGGTACGCCTTCAAGAAGAACACGAGCGACACGCGCGAGTCGCCGGCGCTCGAGATCATCAGGACGCTCGTCGAGGAGGGGCCCCGCGAGATCGCCGTGTTCGACCCCTGCTGCAACCCCATCGTCGTGCGGGAGGAGATCGGGCGGGCGCTGCGCCGCGGCGGCGGCAGTGGCGACGACGACGACGCGGCGCTGGTCCGGGTCTACGACAGCCCTTACGAGGCCTGCGCCGACAGCGACGCCATCCTGATCGCGACCGAGTTCGACGAGTTCCGGACGGCGCAGCAGAAGCCGGCGGCCGTCGCCGCGGCCACCGCCGACGCCGCGGCACATCAAGCCGAGGTCGACCCCCGGCCCTTCGAGCGGCTCGAGCCCACGGAGCTGGACCTGCTCCGGCTGCACAAGTTCCTCGAGCAGCCGGACCCTTCGCCTTCGCCTTCGACGGACGCGGACGCGCAGGACCCGCTGCGGCGGCTGGTGCCCGAGCCGGCCTGTGCGGCGGACTGCCCGGACTGCCGGGCCGAGCGGGGAGGGCAGGCGAGCTTGCACGAGGCGTACCGGGCCAGGGAGCGGCTGGACTGGGCGCGCATCGCGTACCGCATGCGCAAGCCGCGGTGGGTGTTTGACGGGCGCAACGTGGTCGACCCGGCGGTGCTGGGCCGGCTGGGCATGCGGGTCGAGAGCGTGGGCCGGCAGGGGCTGATGTCGTGAAGATGAGCGAGGGGTTTTGCATTCTTTTTTGTCTGTCACTGTTTATTCATTCTGCGGAGTTTGGCTCGGCTCGCATACATGAGGTATTTCAAGTTGTGAAGGGAGGCAGTGAGGGAGTGGAGTTTGAATGTTCGCCTTGGTTTGTGTGAGTGCGTCTGCTACCTGTTACTGCATTGGCATACATATACAGTTTCCAGATCTGGTCACCTCGTTCTTTGGGAATCGATGTTCTGGCACATCTTGGGCATATTCTCCCTTTCTTTTGGAAACATGACGGCGGATGAGATCCAGGGCGATGAGCGTATGAGATTGGTCATCTTGCAAAGTCAGCCATCCTTTGGCTTGTTCATGATAGTGATAGATCGTAACACTGGCAAGCGAATATGGACGATGATTACTCTGATAACGACCGCGAGACCGTGCTGTGTGTATGTACGTAATGACGGCCATGGCTCAAACTGCCTGCCGAGGATATTCCACAGTGCAGTACTCGCGAGCTGATTCCACTGGCAGAGACCAGATGGCCACCGCCGCGTGCTCCGGCCTTGGTCATGCTGGCACGCCCCGATACCAAGGCACGCGTGCCGAAGGCCGGCTTGGCTCGTCTCTGCTGCCCTGGCAAACGGTGTCCCGAGTCCACTAAAATTACGTGCTTGTTTTCCGGATCGGTCCTCAGCCGAGAGCGGAGAGTGATGCTGGATTGATGGTATCGAATAACGAAAACCCAAAGCAGCGAGACTCGTCGCTCTGGAAAAGCCACGGCCGATGATGTCGACCAGCTACTGCGGTGGCTGTGTCGCTGAGGAAATTGAGGGAGCCCTACGACTCCAAAGAACTAACTGATTTGATGGATGGATGGATGGATGGATGGATGGATGTGTGTGGTTTGGTTGGCCGCCTGTGACTAAAGACAGAGAGAGAGAGAGAGAGATACGAAGACATGGAACCGGACTCGCACTCTGTGTGGAGGCGCAGCTTGGCACGCACCAACACAGCCCACCACCACCACGGGCACCATCTCCACCATCCACCTTCGCCATCTACTCCGTGCAAGGACAGTGGTGCTTCATCATACCCCCTCGGCCACACCGGCCGCTGCTTTGGGACCTGCTGTTAGTGCCGCTGGCGCATCTGCGGGGAGGGGCAGCTGAGCCTCTAGCTTACCCCTTGTCCATCACTTCGGTTCATCCGCTGACAGGATCCAGGGGTCCATGGCCATCCAACCCCTCTCTGTCAGAGACGGTGGCTAGGTAGGTTATTAATACAAGAGGTGAGGAAGCTGGTCTCTTGTCAGAGGAGCTTGTTTCTTCTGGAACTCTCTCTCTCTCTCTCTCACTCTCCATCTATCCTTCACCATCCCCCATCGAAACCCAAGCCTCGCACTTGTGTGAAACATAAAAGCCCACCAGCAACTCCAGCACAACACCAGTCAAACAGCATCAAACAGAACAGAATGTCTGCCCAAGATTACTACGGCGGCGGCGGCGGCGGCGGCGGCTACCCCCAACAACCGCAGTACGGCCAACAGCAGCAGCAGTACCAGCAGCAGCAGTACCAGCAGCAGCAGTACGGCGGCCCCTCGCCCGCGCACTCGCCCTACCCTTCCCAGCCCTCGTACGCGCCCCCTCCGCCCCAGCCCGACTACAACACCGGCGGTGGCGGCTACCCGCAGCAGCCCTCCTACGCGACCTCCCAGCAGACCCTGCAGCCGTACTACCCGAACGGCGCCGGCGCGCCCTCGCCCTACGACCGCCCCTCCTCGGCCCAGTCCTACGGCGGCCACCCGTCGTCGTCCTCGGGGCAGGCACCGTACCCGGGCGGCGACCGGCCCTCCAGCGCGCAAGGCTATTATCACGGTGGCGGCGACCGCTCCGGCGCGGGTCCCGGCGAGGCCGTCGGCCCGGACGGCGAGCGCGGGCTGGCGAGCACGCTCGTCGGCGGCGCGGCGGGCGGGTTCCTCGGCAACAAGATGTCGGGCGGGTCGCACGGCAAGCTCAAGGCCGTGCTCGGCGCCGCGGCCGGCGCCGTCGCGGCCAACGTCATCAGCAACAAGATCCAGGGCCGCCATAACAACAACAGCCATGGCAGCGGCCACGGCTACGGCGGCCACTCGGGTGGTGGCGGCGGTATGCTCGGCGGGCTGTTGGGTGGTGGTGGCGGCGGCGGCGGCGGCGGGCATCACGGCGGACACCACGGCGGACATCACGGCGGGCATCATGGCGGTCATCACGGACACCATGGGCATCACGGGCATCACTCTCACGGGTGGTAAGCGCGGGAAGGGTATGGGGAGATTGGATCTACTGATTTATGTATTGAGACATGAGGCGTTTACCGGGCCATGGAGGCATGGTTTGATGAGCTTATGACCCTTTGGCATTACTTGGCACTACTTGCACTACTTCACTTCGAGGACCAGGTCGAACAACCTGGCCTGTAGAGCTGCCCCGACCGGCGGCGGTTGACCGCGAGGTCTTGATTTTCACGAATAAAAACTACATTCACATCTTTGATTTCAACTGCTGATATTCCTCCATGTCCGCTTGATCGTGACTTTTGAGAGTACGGTATTGTTCACCAGCGAGATCCATCATGCGACAGCAGTCTCTCTCTTCTCATGGCATGTTAAATTCCGCTCAAGGCCTCATACTTCCATATCTACTCGTCCTTCCATCTCTGCCCGATATGCATACATACATACAACGTGTCGAACCGACACCCCAGCAGATTAAACAACGCCCGTGCCTCCATATGCAAACCAAGAATAAAACAAGGTCGACGGTGGGACCTGTTGTGGAAAAAGATGTGTGTAGTGTGTGTGTTGAATGCAAATCGTGATCATCATAAAAATACTGTGGTCCTCTCACAGGTTGAATGGTCCAGCCCAGCAGAAGGAAGAACACACGAGATGCCACAGTCCTTTTCAAGAACTGCAACAACCACGGGCCCGCTTCGCCTCAGCGACCAATTGTTTACAGCACAATCGCTGAATGGGTATTTCTTCCTCTCACTCGCCACTCCTTCTCTTCCCTCCTGCCCCTAGCCTCACATGCTCACCGTCTCCCTCTGCTGCTCCCCGGGCCCTCGCCGCACGGGGATCTCGATCTCGCTCTCCGAATCCGACGAGTCGTCCGCCGCCGCGGCCACCCTGTCCAGCATCCGCTCGATCTCCTCGTCGCCCACGGACGGCCGCGGCCTCGACGACCCGCCGAGGCCAAGCGGTGTTGAGAGAGACACCTTCGGCCTGGGCGTGGTCTCCCCGAAACTCGCCCGGCCTCCGTTGGCGGCCCTCTGTCGCGGCGTGGCGTACACGTTGTCCACGTCCATCTCGTCGGCGCCGAGCGTCGACTTGTCGAACCCGACCCTCTTCAGGGTCGCCGGCTGCGAGGCCGAGTGCTGATGCGACGGCCGCCCGCTCGGCAGGCTCTTGCGGGGCGCGGACCCAGGCAGCGCAGTGCGCTGCGGACTCGACGTGACCGAGGCGCCGTTCCCTTGGCGGTGCGTGGGCATCAGGGGCTGTGACGACGACGTGGGGAAGGTGTGCTTCATGTTGGCCGAGTTGCCGGGGCTGCTCATGAAGAGCAGGGACTCGATGGCGTCCTGCTCCCGCACGTTCTGGTGCGGCGAGAAGACGATGGGGTCCATCATGGGGCTGGGGACGTGCCGCTGGTGAGGCGTGCTCTGCGCCGAGTGCGGCTGCCCTGGCGTGCGAGGGCTGGCGTTCTGCGCGGCTGCCGAGAGGAAAGCGGGCGTGTAGCGCGGGTTGGAGTTGCGCCGGCTGCTGAGGGCGTGTCTGGACGGCTGGATGGAGGCCGGCGGCGCGAGGCTGGGGGCGGCAGTCACGGCGTGGCCCGTCCTATGGGGCCCGTCGCGCCACGAGTGGTCGCCATGGCTGGGGAAATGGCGCGTGGTAGCACTGGGCGGCGTGCTGCCGTTGCTGGACTGCGGGGACGCCAGGGACAGGCGAGGGCTGGCGGAGGAACGGTGGCGACCGGGAATGGTCGAAGTGGTCGAGGTGGGAGAGGCGGCGTGCGAGGCCAGGGACTCGACCTGGTCGATCGAGTGGTGCTGCCAGCCGTGGTTGACCTTGAGCATGGCATACGAGAGCTTGGACTTGAGTTCTGCCGAGAGCTGCGGGGAGATAGATATTTAGTACGAGTAACAAGGGGTGCGATAGCAGAAGGAGCAATCGTACCTCTCCAATGCGGCTGCCCGAGGTGGAAGCGACGCTGACGGAGCTGGTATTGCGCGAGTGGCCGCCGGCAAAGGTGGGCGACGCGCTCGAGGGGTTGCGCGCGTGCTTGACCATGCCGTCGGCCATCCTCTTGCGCGAGCCGGCGGCGAGGGCCTCGTCGAGGTTGGGCATCTTTTCCTGGGCGGCGGCGAGCTGGGACAGCTTGAGCAATTGGGAGCCCTGGTTCGAGTCGTGGTCGTTGCCGTTCCCGGCGCTCATGCTGCCTTCGCTCACGGGCGGGGTGAAGACGCGGTCGGCCTGGTCCGTCGTCGTCGTCGAGGTGTCCTGGGAGGTGCTGCTCGAGTCCTGCTGGTGATCCGGGAGGCCATTGGCCGCGAGTGGCCGCGAGTCCGTCTCGGCGGGGGAGGGCTGATCCTGTTTCAGGGCAGAGGCAAAAGCGCCGGCGGCGGGCGCATGGGCGTGCGCATGCGAGTCATCGCGGGGAGCAGGAGCGAGAGCAGCAGCCGTGCGCATGCGATTGGCGTCGGAGGCGGCGGGCAGGTCGGCCGGACGCGATAAGGCGCGGCGGGCGTCCAGGTCCGCGCGGTGCGAGGGCTGCCGAGGGCTGCGGAGTGAGGGAAGCATGGAGAGCAGCTGTTGATTTAGAAATCTAGAGGAGCGACGGGCAGAGAGAAGAGGCCAAAGCTGGGAGGTGGCGGGCGTGGTGCGGGCGAGCAGTTGTCGACAAGACTGATCATGACTCTCGCGTCGTGCGAGTGGGAACCTGGACTTGGAGGTTGGACTGCGCGACGGCGGCGCGCGCGCGCGAGAGTCAATTCCGTCCTGCGGGGGATGTGAGCAAGACAGAAGAGACGTTGGCTGGGGAGGCGGGCAGGAGAAGCGCGGTTCGAGGGGGGATGCGAAGCAAGCAAACGAGAGACAGAGGATCGCGAAGTGTGGGTGAGTGGTGGTGGTGGTGGTGGTGGTGGTGTTGCGTCAGTCACTCGATCAGTCAAGTCTTTCTCTGGGTCGGTCGGGTGTGAGGCCGTTGCGTGTGCGTGCGTGCGTGCGTGTACGCCTACGCCTTCCTGGATCCATGGATGGATCTACGAGCCACTCGCCCGCCGAGCCAGCAGCAACCAGCAGCAGCCAGATTTGCTGGAGAGCGACGGCCTGGGCACTGGGCAGCACGGATTGGCGGGCTGGCGGGCACACTCCCCCAGAGGCCCAGGCCATTACGCGGTTTTCGCGACGCAGAAACAGCCTGGAGGGAGTTAGTCGGGCACACCAACAGCGCTGCGGTTCCACTAACACTGGCCTCCATGGGCCAGCCACCACCACCACTAACACGCACAGCACACCCAGCGGCCCTGCACTTCTCCAGGGCTGTCCCTGCGTCTTTTCTCTCCCTGACGACCCGTCTGCATCGATCCCGCAGAATCCGCGACCTGGAGTCTCTATCGCCACGGTTCGCGAAGTCGTTACAGCAGTGATTGTCATGTATGTATGTGTGTGTGTGTGTGTGTGTGTGTGTGCACCCTCTTCAAGAACACCACCCAAGACATCCATGCATGCAACAATGCCGCTGTTCATGCAAATTGCCATGGCACATATGGATGCGCCGGGTGTGCTTGCAGAAGGACTCCACCGGGTGGCTGCTGAAGAAAAAGCCCCCAGCCGCTAAAGAAGCGCACTGACGGCCCCTGTGTGCCCGCCGGGGCTGACGTGCTGGTTGGGTCTCTCCGTCTCTCTCCGCCCACTGACGGTGCTGGAGGACTCGCCTCGACCCGACTGGACTCGACACGACTCGACGCCTTGACTCAGGCCGGCCTGGTCAATCTGCTGACGGCACAATCATGTCCAAGCTCATTGGCTTGGATACCCGGCAACAGACAACAGGAGGGAGATCCGGGTATGCTGTAGGTCGTATTCGATTCTCTCTGACTGGCCCAGCACTCCCGGCCGCCCGTCTGCTGTTGCATGCTGTGGCATCCTCGTCTTCATCTTCATCTTCGTCTTCATCTTCATGTTCACCGTTTGTACTTCATGTCAACAACACAATCAACAACAAGATGTGTCACACCCAACGGCAAAAAAAGAAGTTGGTTTGTTTCCAGATTGCATCTGGAGCACCGGGAATTGAGCCCGATGCGGGGGTCGAACCCGCAACCTTGAGATGTGTCTCTCTTGAATAAGCTGTGGATGCCGTGTTAGTACGCTGTGTGCGGGCTGTGTGGATGTCGTCTGAATCTTACAGTCTCACGCTCTACCTGTAGAATGGGTTAGCAAGAGGAGGACATTTAACGTGATGGAGCCCGAAGAGTTTGACGTACCGATTGAGCTAACCGGGCTGTCTCGATGGTGGCCGGGCTCGCTATTCGCGTTGATCAAGCCCTGACCTGACTCCGCCCGAGCCCTAATCGGCGGGTATCGCTGCTTGACGCGAAGTCACATGATCACTCGTAGCCCTCACTCCTCTCTCTCTGTAGAACAAGTACATACGGACTTGGGGGAAACAAACTCACTCGCTGTCCACTCTAGTAGTACCTACAGGTAAGAAGGTAAGGGAACAGTGTCCCAAGGTTCTCGTTGGACAAATCATGCACAGCCTGGCGCTGGTTTATGCTCTTCCTTCCCCACAGTCAATAGTTATTATACGATTCTTGGCTCTTCCCAGTCTCAGAACAAGAAGCTACTCACCCCCGCATACACTTCTCTCCTCGTGTCTCCTCTCTGTTTGCCTCAATCATCACGTGTCCCGTCCTGTTTGCTTGGCCAACTGCCCTCCCAAGGCCATTTTGCATCACTTTTGTGTGTGCCTGACTCACCGCGCCCGGCCCGGTCGCTGGCGAGTGGCGCCGCATTGCTAATGCCAAGAGACTTCTGTTGGCCCGCGATGCTCCGCGCTCAGAGGCCCCAGGACTCGCAGCCTCGGCCTCTTGGCCCGGCCAATCGTCCTTGCGTAAAGCCTTCTAGAAGCCCCAGACCGCCCAAGAAGGGCTTTTCTCTTGGTCCACTACCAGAAGACACAATCTTTTCAGTCAGTATTGGATTTTGTGAGTTTTCTTGGTATATATAGCCAAGCTTTTCTCTTGAACTGTTCGCTACCCGACTTTCTCACGGTCTGGTATTCGGTAACTCACTCAAGGAACTCGCTCGACAACCACAAGTCGCGAACCAAAGGGATCAAACCTTGTCCCATACTGCCCTATCGAGAGTACTTGTAACCTTCTCTGTCCGATGGCTTGTCCCACGCTCAGTCTTCTCCCCTCCCCACCCTGTCTGACAGCAAGCACCGCAGCTGCTGTCATGTCCCTGGCGCCCTGACACCACGCTCTCGGCAATCCGGTCGTTTGCATCACCTCACCTTCACCTCTCAACCCTACAAACCTACACCTAGTTTCTGCCGTTTCAAGGAAGCAAACAATGGCGGCGGACATGGCATCTGGTCTCACCCTGTTCCCCCACGGGAGCGCTCCTCACCGCCAGCAGGGATTCCGGAACAGCATCTCGAGCTCCGAAATCTCGCCATTCTCACAGTGCAGCACCCTCATCTCCGCCTCCGACAGCTCCGTCTCCACCCCGTCCGAGATGCTCGGCCCCGTCTACGGCGACGGCCTGGCCTCTGACTGCGACGCCGACTCCCCTGCCGAGTCACCTTCGCCGCGCCGCACGCCCTACCCCGGCGCCTATTCGCCCCACGTCGGCACGAGGTGGCGCAGACATGCCCACCACCACGGCCTCTCCTCCGGCTCGTGCTCCGTCCAACCGGGGAGCTCGCCCGATCGCCCAGTCCTGGATCTGGGTACGCGCTCCCGGGGCAGCAGCGCGCAGGACCTGTTCGAGATGGCCATGAATCTCGGCGCCTCCCCCGCCGAGCTGGCCGATGCGCTCGAACTCTACCCGGGGCTGAAAGAGGCAGCCCTCGCTAGTCACGCCAAGAGGCTGGATGCCCTGCTGCGAAAAGTCGAGTCTCGTTCTCGAAGCGGCGCTCTGCAGCAGGAGCTAGATACCAGATTCGGCCATGTCGACAAAGCGAAGGGGAAGAAGGGCCATCAACATCAAATCTGGGACAGGATAACCTCGCCCACTGTTCAAGGCTACCAGAACCGCCGCGATAGGAGAGACAGAACTATGCCTGAAGATGACAGCTCGCGAGAGTTTGTGGCCCAGTGGCTGGCCAAGTGCAAGGAGATGGTATCCCCGAGTACTCCCCGGGGCTCCTCTCGGCCCCACGGCATCCGAGAGTCGTTCGTCGACATGGCGCACAAGGTCCTGCGCTTCTCACCGAAACGATAGGTGTTTTTACGGCGTCTCGTTGCAAAGAATACAGCCGGTGTCTTTCTCGGGCCCGGTGCGTTTTGGCAATGACGACGAGATTATCGTGTGTGTTTTGATGACTGGATGTGTACAAATCTGAATATGGAGGATTTCGTTTGATGGACCCTTCTGGACATACGAGGTTCTTGGAAAGGGATCAATTAAGTTGATGCCTGCACACTCTGTCAGAATCAGAGATCGATGCAGAAAGCATATGGAGCATGAAAAGTATATTTTATGTAATAATCTAACAAGTACTTGCAACAATTCTTCATTTGAGAACGTGCATAATGTTATACCATTATGCCGAGAGACTGGAAGTGAAATAACAACCCAACTCATCTCTTAACATTCTATGCTTCTTCTACGCCGCCGCTCGTTCTACCTTGTTTGGCTTGACATCGCACAGCGGCGTGATCTCGCCCGTCCGGAGCTCCTCGGCCACTTTTTTCGACATCTCCTCCCAGCGCTCCATCGTATTCGCCTCGGCATCGTACGCATACAGCCACCTGTTCCGGATCTTGACCGAGTCCGGGTCGATCTCGACGCCGTCGTCGACCTCCTTGAGTGCATTGTGCCACCGGTCCCGAACGTCCTCGCCGTTGGTCTGGCTGAGGCGGACGCGGTCGAACCGTAGCTTCTCGTAGCACCGCGTCTATAAATGATCAGTACCATACCAGTATGAGTATAGATGGTGGCAACCCACAGCAAGTGGCACATTTCCCTTGCCTGCGAGCTTCAGGCATACTGACAGCACTGCCGCACTTTCCGCCGCCTAGGTCCGGTCAGTAAAACCAGGTCCAGAATGCTAACATATTGAACAGAACCGACCTGCGAGGCACCCTGTGCTGACGTCGGGAGATGTGGGTGGCAGCTGTCCCCGAGCAGGGCTATCTTGTGGCTGCGCGACACCCAATAGGGCAAGGGGTCTCTATAGCAGATCTTCCAGTCTAGACACGAGGGGGTCTTGTCCACGGCGGCGGCGATGCGAGGGTCGAGCGTGCGTATAAGCGCCCGCACATCATCCATGTTGCCCTCTTGGAACCACGACTCCTTGATCTCCATGTCCTTCTCGGCCGAGAGCTTGCGCGTGACGATCCAGTTGAACTCGTCTCCGTTGCGCAGGGTGTTTTGGACGAGATGAGTGTCCTCCCCGATCCTGTCCGTGGCGTCAGCTTAGGAGTTTGCGTTTATGATGTCTCAGTGGGCACTATAGAGCTGTTTCCTTACCAGATATTGACGCAGTCGTGATCCACAAACTCACGGCAGAGCGGGTCTTCCTTCAAAAACGCCCCGGGAAAGTAGGCCCTGTAGCATGAGTACCCGCTGCTCTTGGGAGCGTCCGCGAAGCCCAGCACCAGCTCTCTCGCGATGGACTTGATCCCGTCCGCGCCGACGATCAGGTCCGCCAGCTCCTCGGTGCCATCCGCGAACGTCACGCTGGGCTTGTCCTCGTCAAAGGCAACTACCTCGCGGCCCATGACGATCTCGATGCCGGCATCCCGGACCGCCTGGAGAAGCGCCTCGTGGTAGTCGCCGCGGTGCCCCTGAGATAGTTCCACTTAGCTTGGGTCTCGTCACTTGCCTACGAGGATCAACCAACGTACGATATACCCTGCCATATCCATGAGCGGCTGCTGTGCGAGGATCTTGCCATCGTGCCAGCGGCGGATCTGCATGTCAGGCGCCTGGTTGCCGATGCTGGTGAGCGTCTTGTACAGCCCGGGCCCGCCCCATCGCTCAAGCAGCTTGAGGGCGTTCTCGCCGTAGCCTAGGGAGTCGCCCAGCCGACGGAACTGGCGGAGCTTCTCGTAGACGATGACATCGTGGCCGTGGTGCTTTAGGGCGATTGCACAGGCACAGCCTCCCAGGCCGGCGCCGATGACAATGACTGGAAAGAACGGATATGATCAGGACTAGGTATGTAATACTACTTGGAAGCATAATACGACAAGTCTCACTCACCCTTTATCCGCTGCGAGTTGGGTCCCGAGTCTGCCATTGTGAACACAGAGACTAAATTAAGCTGTTTCGGAGAAGTGTCAAGCAAGGATAAAGGAACACACAAGCTGAAGATTGGGAAGGAATACCCGAGTGAAGAGCACCTCTCACTCGACCTGGGGGGGTTGCATCGTGCTCCTGCGGGGGTTTTAGATGCGTCAGCGTGCCGCCGGTCGGTTGCATCCGACAGAGTGGTCGGGGTATCTCCACACTCAGCATCTGCCGAGTCCTCTCCGCAAACGCCCCCCGCGCGCCACGTTTTGGAGAAGCTGGCGGTGGAATCGGCTTCGACCGTGCCAAGGTGAGGTCGCCAGTGATAAACCCTCTTCTGGTTGTGGCCCAGAGACGTTTCCCTCCTCCGCTTCCTTCTATTACGAGCCATTGGCTTTAAAGATACCTTGAAGTTGAAAGAGAAACGTGTTCCACGCCGACAAAGTACACAAGTTAGAGTTGTCACACTCCGGCCAGCAGATATGACGGGCAACACCACCGCACCGGTTCCTTCGCTAGACGAAGTCTACAATGGTGCACCAAGACGGCTGGCCAAGGAGGCAGACGCAGCTCGGGCGCGATTGCTAGGGAACAAGACCCTTCCGAACAGCCAGCCTCGGCAGCGTGCAGGTGTCCGGCTTCCTCCCGACACGACGGCCGAAGTATTCGACGAAGCAATACGGACGCTGAAACAGAAATTGGGCGCCGAGAACGTCGTGGTCAACGACGCGCCTCTCGTGGATGGTTGGTACCTCGAATCACCAAACACTCACGATGCGTTCCACATCGCCGACCAAGAGGAGCTGGTGAGCAGCGCCGCCGTCTACCCGGGCTCCACCGAAGACGTCCAGGAGATCATGAGGTGGGCAAACAAGTACGCCATACCAGTGTATCCGATCTCGCTCGGGAGAAACGTCGGATACGGCGGTGCTGCTCCTCGCGTGCCCGGCAGTGTGGTCATCGACCTTGGCCGCCGCATGCACAAGGTGCTCAACGTCGACGGCGAGAACGCCAGCTGTGTCGTCGAGCCCGGCGTGACCTACTTCAAGCTGTACGAGGAGATCCAGGCGCGCGGGCTGCCCCTGTGGATCGACTGCCCAGACCTAGGAGGCGGCTCCGTGCTCGGCAACGCCATCGACCGCGGCGTCGGCTACACCCCCTACGGCGACCACTTCGCCGCCCACTGCGGCATGGAGGTCGTCCTGCCCAGCGGCGAGCTCCTGCGCACCGGCATGGGCGCCATGCCCGGGCCGGGCGGCAGCGACAACCCGACGTGGCAGTCCTTCCAGCACGCCTTCGGCCCGGCCGTCGACGGCATCTTCTCGCAGAGCAACTTTGGCGTCGTCACCAAGATGGGCTTCCACCTGATGCCCGCCGCCAACCACCAGTCGTACGCCTTCACCTTCCCCGAGGACGACGACTTTGCGCGCATCATCGACATCATCCGCCCGCTGGCCCAGCAGGGCGTGCTGGGCAACATCCCGCAGCTGCGGTCCGTGATCCAGGAGCTCAACGTGACGGGCCAGCCCAAGTCGTCCTTCCACCGCGGCGCCGCGCCCATGACGCGCGAGGAGATCCGCGCCGCGGCCAGGAAGCTCCCGCTCGGCGAGTGCAGCTGGGTCTTCTACGGCACGCAGTACGGCCCGCCCGACGCCGTGGCCGCGCAGCTCGCGCTCATCAAGGCCGCCTTCGCCGCCATCCCCGGCGCGCGCCTCTTCCTGCCCCAGGACGTCCCCGAGACGCACTACCTGCACTCGCGCGCGCTCGTGTGCGGCGGCGTGCCCGTCCTGCGCGAGCTCGACTGGCTCAACTGGGTGCCCAACGGCGCGCACCTCTTCTTCTCGCCCATCGCGCCGACGCGGGGGCGCGACGCCCGCGCCGTGCACGACATCATCCGCGCGCTGCACGCCAAGTACGGGTTTGACCTGTTCCCGACGCTGTGCGTCGCCGGCCGCGAGATCCACTACATCGCCAACATCATCTACGACCGCGCCGACCCGGACGCCAAGCGTCGCGCCGTGGCGCTCATGCGCGAGATGATCGCCGCCTGCGCCGAGCGCGGCTTCGGCGAGTACAGGACGCACCTCTTGTTCGCGGACCAGGTTGCCAACACGTACAACTGGAACGATGGCGCGCTGATGAAGTTCAACGAGACCATCAAGGACGCGCTCGATCCCAATGGCGTGTTGGCGCCGGGCCGGAATGGCATATGGCCCAAGAAGTTCAGGGGTAAAGGGTGGGAGCTGGGCAAGGACGACGTTGATCTGAGTCGCATCGGGCCAAAGTTGTGAACCATATGAAAAATGCTTCCAGTGGCTGAGTGGTTACGAGTCACTAATAGGGAAAAAGGTATATGATTTTGGACGCTGTTTATCATAGTACGAGGCCGTCATATGACTGCCTGTAATCTTAGAGTACAAACATAAAGTTACAAGGTGTCACTCGTATCTGGCAACACATTCGCCACGAGCCATTGCCTTCAAGACGGGCGAGATCTTGAACAGGTCAAGTAGTGAATATAAAGTCAGGATGGCGGTCGCCCATCTCCTCAATCTCCTCTTGAGTCTTGCCCTCGACCCAATGATTGCGGTCTCCATTGCGCCGCTTGGCATTCTCACGGGTCAGAAGAATCCACATGAGAATGCTGCCACCTAAGATGCAGACCGTCATGTAGGCGATGATTGTAGCGTGTCCCTCGACGAAACGCGGGGGATGAAAGAAGACGTTGGACGAGACCACGCCGTTGAGGTTACCCCATCCTATGACGAGGCCCAGGACGATGCCTCGCTTGTACACACCGTCGACATTGTTCGAAATCCATGCCGTAGTGATGGGGATGGTGGGATAGATCCCAGTTGCGGCAAAGAAAGTGCCCGCATACTGGAGAGAAGGGTTGGTCGACCCCAGCAGCATCGAAAACCCGAGAATGCCCACAGGTGCGCAAATGATGTTGTACAGGCCACGCTTCTTCTGCCGGTCGGACAGGTATCCTATAGCGACTGTCGCAACAGCGGCGACTGCGTACGGCGGGACACTCAAGAGCTGGTTCTTGACGATGGACGTGCTCGTCGTGAAGCCGAGGTTGGCGATGATTGTCGGAAGAAAGAGCGAGAAGCTGTACAATGGCATCAACGGACCCATGTACAAGAGCATACCGGCATAGGTCTTCCAGTCCTTCAGTGCTTGCCACAAGTACATAATCTTGAAGTCCTCGCGAGTGGCCGAGTGCTGCTGATCGAGGGTCAGGCGGCGGAGAACACGGGCGCGGTCGTCCTCAGACAAGAACTTGACCTCGTCGGGGAAGTCGTGCACCATCCAGAAGGAGACAAGGCCGACGATAACGGTGATGGCCCCCTCGATGATGAAGATCCATGCCCAGCCTGGCTTGCCCCCCTTGCTGTCAAGATTCTCGATAGCAGCGGCAAGAAGGCCGCCAAAGGATCCCGAAAGCGCGGCTGCGGAGAAGAAGATGGCGGCCCTAAGGGCCAGCTCGGAACGCCGATACCAGCAAGATAGGTAATAGTTGACTCCAGGGAAGAGACCGGATTCCGTGACACCAAGAAACCAACGCGCAGCCATCAAACCGCTCCAGTTGTGTACGAAGCCCATGCTGAGCATACATAGCCCCCAGAGTGCCCTGAAGAAAACATTGTTAGCAGACGCCTAAAGTTCATTGGCAGGGGATGAGAGTGCTTACATTATGATTGGCAGCACAACAGAGGGACGGAAGCGCTTGATAAGGACGTTGGCGATGGCCTCGAAAGCAGCATACGAGATGAAGAAGACCGTGAGGGTGAGATTGTACTGAGTCGTCGACATGTGAACATCTTTGGTGAGGTGGGCGATCTTGGCATTGCCGATATTTGTACGGTCTAGGAAGCAGATGAGGTAGAGGAAGCACAGCTTGATGAATCATGTCAGTTAGTTGCTCAAGATCACAAGGAAAGGAGGTAAATGCTTACCCAAGGAAGAAGCATCAAGTCAAGCTTCCAGAGGAGCTTTCGGTCCTGTAGATAATGGTCAATGTGAAGGCCGAGAGATGGGGGACTTCAATGTACTCACGAGTGCGGCCTTCTCGGCCACAGTCAGGCCTGAGTCTGGATCGTCAGGGAGGCCCGGGATGTCGATGGAGATGTTATCTCCAACCATGGCTTCGTCTGCCTGGTAGCGAGCAGGAGCAGAGACAAGGTGCAAGTGTGCCATGTTGATTGGTGAATGTTGTCTTTGGTGTTGTCAGGTCTGGATAGTGTCTGCTGTATCACAAAGTGAAGGAAGGGAGTGACCGAGACTGCAGGGTGTGACGACACTTGTCTTTGGAAATTTATGCAAAGAGGAAATTTCCAAGGTGTGTGACGAGACAGTGAATTAAATAGAACGCGCAGAACAAAAGGAGCCAGGCAGAACTGGAAAAGAACAAATTCTTCCAAAGAGAAGAGTGAGTGTCAGGCGAGAAAGGACTGAAGACAGCGTCTGAACTCTTGACCAGTGACACGCCGGTACCCACCAAGCACGTCAGAACAGACATCTCTTGTGCCCCCTGGAGCTCATTGATTCATGTTGAACAGAAACGTGGTTTATCGAACACAGAGCGTGCCGATTTCACTTGTCAATATGTTGTGCGCAGCCAGAGTCGGTCACTGGCGGCGGGTGGGCGTCGCAGCCAATGCTCTCTCTCATTAACAGGACTAACTGTGCTTGTCAGTCTGGTGTCCACGCAGAGCTTCTGGAAGACCAGTCCATGACAAGCTCTTTGTGTTGGAATGTCACAGTCTCAACCGTGATATTGCAGGAGGCACGCGGCCCCGAGATTCCGGCTGCCGAGCTCGTCCAGACCGTGTGACTTCAATACAGTTCCGAACGAGGTGAGCGCATGCACGATTTGCCGGACGTACGGGGTGTGATCCAGAATTCACTTGCCTGCGGTTATCTCGGGGCACGTTAGTGAGGACACACCTCCAGTAGTATGGCCATTCAAGATGGGATAGAAACATCTCTAAACTTACTGCTGACGACGTGGTGGCATGTCAGGCCCGCAGTAATCTCGTAGCTGGTGGGAAGGTTGGAGCTGCCCTCCGAACCAGGCTTCCGCTTGAATTCTACACGGACATAGCCGGCCAGAGTGCCAGTACGCTTTGCAGCCTGGCAGGGGCCGATTGATGTGCCCGTGGTAGGAATGGCGGTGCAGGCGTCCTCGAGATAGTACCTCAACTCCGTCTCAAGATACTTGTCTTCGTCATTCTCCAAGCCAGGCTCCTGCTCGTGGCACCTTGTGTGCGAATGAGGCAGGCCAAGGAGGCACGGCTCCGTGAGGTACTGGTAAAGTGAAAGGAAAAGAAGACCCTCCCAGGTCACCAGCCTGGCAATCTTTCGAAAGAGATGTCGATATATAATTGGAAGGAGATAGCATTGAGAGTACTCGAAGTTGGATCTCAATAAAAGTATATAGAAATGATGTTCAACTCTTCATTCGGAGTGAGAAAAACAAAGACCATTATCAGAAGGCAGAGCAAAACCTCTCAGGGGGTGATGAGGGCCATCTTTCCTACCGACTCAGCCTTGAAAACCTCATCAGTCCGTCCAGCACCCTCCAGCCTGAAAGTCCCAGTGACATCCCAGCCACCCGCCTTGCCAAGCTTCAGCACGCCGCACTCGGCCATCTTGACCATTCGCCGGATATCTTCCCTCTCGTACATGTAGCGACCCTTGATGGTCAGGTTGTTCCACACGACATGGGAGTACGGGATCGCGATATCCTTGGAGATAAGCCCCTGCAGGGCCGCACGGCCTCCCTGCTTGAGGGCCAGGAAGCAGCTGCGCACATGTGTCGAGTCGTTGGCTTGAGGTGGCGAGATGTCAATGTAGGCATCAACAGGGCCGAATGGCTTGCGTAGAGCCGCTGCGTCTGCTTCGACGTCGCCGGTGTTGACCACAGTCTTGACCTGTGGATAGGTAGCCTGCAGGCCCCTGAGCTTCTCCTCGTCACGACCCACGACGATCACGTTGGCGCCGAAGGCCAGAGCCACGCCAACGGCCGCACCGCTATACGTCCCGGTCGAGGGGGCGACGATGATCGTCTCACCTGGCTGCAGATCGATGCTGCGAACCCCGCCAAAGGGAATGGCCTGCAGAGCCAAGGTCATCAATTCTTGCAGAGAGTACCCGAGACCACCTTGACTGGTGGGCGAACAAAGCCGCGTCTCATCCAGGGCCCAGCAGTTCTCCAACGGTGCTCGGGTGTATTCTGCGTACACGCCCGAAGACCAGTTGTCCGCCATGAGCTTCTTGGACGCCGGCGAGGGTCCGTCAAAGATGCCCCAGAGGATCTGGACATCACCGTTGTCTCTCCCGCGGATGAAGCTGTCGAGGAGCACCAGCTGACCGATTTGAAGGCTGGTGGTGTCTGGACCGAGGGCGGCGACCCGTCCGATCGCAGTACCCCCTGGGGTCATCGGGGTGGGGACCGAGAAGAACCGTCCGCTGAGAATGTGAGGCAAGCTTGGGTTCGCATATGCGCATTCTATCTTGACGAGCACGGATCCCGGTGTAGGCTGAGGCACAGGAACCGACTTCAGCCCCAGGGGCTGTCCGATGGCCTCGAGCACGAGCGCCTTCATGGTGTTGGGTAGTTTGGTGGAAGCCATTGTGGATAGGTGGTATGATCGGGAATGATGTGAAGTATATGACCGAAGTCTCGCAGCAGGCGATATTTTGAGAACTCTCCTGGCTGCGAAGGAAAGAAGCATTGGATAGTGCTGGAGGATATGTTCTTTTCGCTGCCATGATTTGAGAATCGATCACGTATAAATACACATCTTTCAATAGACCCAGTCTCGTCAATCGGCGGAAAGCTCGGCCATAAGACGCTGTTGCATGAAGTCGACGCCGTCACCGACGTGAAAGTTCATCTTGATATCATCATCAACAGCCTCGCTGCAGGTGCTTTGGAGGTCGATACGAAATGAGGTTAGCGTAGAAGGGAAGAATAATACGAACGGAGGTTAGCGTCGATCTGGGGAGATGGTCTATATGGGCGGTCTCGCCAATGAGACAAAGCCATCTTGAATCGACTGGCTGACTTTGGCAAAGTTTGGGCACGCGTTGACTCCGTCCGGCCTTTTAGTCATCCCCACTCACAGCCGGCGTATCGCGGATTTGTCGGAGTTTACCAACAAACTGCCTTTGGGTTTGGCCCAAACAAATCCTCCCTACTGCCAACCGAGGAGTTAGGCATTGAGTTCTCCCCTGTGCTCATGTGTTGTCTGTCTTAGCAAACGATTTGGATTCTTCAGGCCCCATGACGACCCAGACAACTCGTTCGGCGAGCTTGATAGCGAGACCGAAACGCCGGTCGCACAAGAAGTCCAAGGGTGGCTGCGGTAACTGCAAGCTCCGGCGTGTCAAGGTAGGCATGGTAAGGGGACCTTGCCGACCCCTTTCATGGTCCTTCTGGAAACAGTCCCTTGGGCAAGCAATATTAACCTCTACCTCTTGCTCAGTGTGACGAAGCGAAGCCCAGTTGTAAAAAATGCCTGGCATACTCGGTGTCGTGCAGCTACGGGCCGAGGTCCGCTGCCCAGTCCTCTGAGCTTCAGTTGACGGTCCGTGGCGAGTTCCACATGGAGGACCCGTATCAGATCTCCCTGCAGGATAGCACACTCTCCGTCGTCAATGCCTCGCTTTCGGGGCCAGCTGGCTTGACTCCCTGCCAAGGCCTGGAGCTCCAGCTCGGCAGGTCAGACCTGGCCATACTGCACCGGTACTACATACGTACCAGCCTCACATTTGGGATCCCTTCCATGAGAAGTCTGTACCGTGACGATGCATCTCATTTGGCAAAGCTGGTGAGTGGAGGAAACTGTTCCCCTGCCTGATGAAATGCTAATATCCTGGACCAGAATCCATTCTTGATGCAGGCCATCCTGGCGGTGACTCTGATGCATGACAGGCTTCTCGCCTCTTCACCGCCACCAAAGGCCTCAGCCAAGGAGCTGTTCCATCTGGGCAAGGCAGTCGGGCTTTTCAGCAGCACGCTGCGCCAGCCTTGCGCTCTGTTGGACAAGGCGGCTCTCTGGGTTACTGCTGTGCTTCTGGGATCTGCCACCATTGCCGACGCAGACGCAGTATCGCCGGAGGATGCCTGGCCGTTGAGGTCGCCATCGGAAGACGACCTTGCGTGGCTGAGGATGAGCGATGGCAAGCGCGAGGTCTGGAGGATCGCCAGGCCCGAGGCCGCCGGCCACATGTTCCAGGACATCTTCACCGAAAAGAGCCATGCAGCCCAACATCGCGACACCTTTGACCGTCTCCCACCGGCACTGGTCTCCCTGCTGGACCTCCACACAGAGTGCGACGCCTGGGAAAACCCGTACCGACACGCCGCGCTCACGCTGAACGCCCTGATGGGCCTCGAGTGCAGCCAGGCCACCATCACAAAGTTCCTGGCGTTTATCAGCCAGATGAGGCCCGACTTTCGGCAGCTGCTCGAGTGGAAAGATCCCCGCGCGCTGCTGATATTTGCGACCTGGTACTCGAAGCTGTGCCACTACCAGCAGTGGCACATCTGGCGGCGGGCAGTCCTAGAGACGCAAGCAATATGCCTGTATCTCGAGAGGTACCATGGCGATCTGCCCCACCTACAGGAGCTCCTGAGCTTCCCCCGGCAGGCATCCGGGATGGGGACGGTCGAGAGCGTGTAGTAGCCGTGGAAGAAGAGCACGATGCCTCAGTCATGCTACATGATTTATGTCTCTCGAGGGAGTCACGGCAGCAATGCAGTACAGATGCTCAGCTTCAGATTGCAACTAGTTTCACACACCGACCCGACTGTCGAACTGGAACACGAAAAGGCATTATATATGAATGGGTATCTCGAGCAATGCAAAACTATGAATCTATCCAAAACAAGAAAAATGCTGGTCTAGAGGGCAAGAAAAAAAAGCATCATAACGCGATTGTACAGAAGAGAAAGCCGAGGACGACGGCGCCGAGGGCCGCCGATATGGCCCCGTCGGCCGAGGTGGCCAAGCTCCTCCTGGAAGCAAGGCTCCTCTGGGGCTGCGCGCCGGCGTTGACCGAGTTGGAGTCTCCCAGGCCGCCCGTCTGCTTGGGCGGGCTCGCCACGCCTTGGACCGTGGGGACGATGGCGACTATCGTGATGCCGGCGACGAGAGAGGTTGCGGACGGAGCGTACTTGGTGGACGAGAAGGCGCATTCGGACATGATCTTGCTGACGTCCTTGACGGCTATGGTGAAATAGTCAGTATTTGGAATGCCTCGGGTCGGGGTAGAGGCGAGGAGCCTTGAGGAGCGTCTGGTCTGAGCTGCTTACCTTCTTTGTCGGTAGGGTTCTGCATGATGCAGTCGGCGCAGAGGGCGGAGATCTTGGCGACGTCGAAGCTCTTGTTCTGGCAGAGGCAGCCGGCCTCGAGCCTATCTTCGAGCTCGTCGAGAGGGCCGTCACCACGTTTGCTCTTCTTCTTCTTGTCCTCGTCAAGCTCGACGTCGCAGGCATTGGAGAGGAGGACGATGGGCTCGCAGATTGTGCGGCACGCTGCGGGTACGGTAGGGCCTTCGAGCTCTTCACCCCGGACCACGGAGGCGATGGTCAACCAGGACAGCAGTATGGGGCGTAGCAACTGCATATTGTCGGTTTTGTAGGCCAACTCTTCTTCAAATTTATCGTAAACCTCCCTTTTGTATAATCGAAATCAAACGTTGTTCAAATGTTGTCGCCCCGGCGTGTTGATGGCTTCCCCAAAACTGAAAGCCACGATGAAAAGAATTGAATGTCGAGAAGCGTTCAGTACCAAGAATGAGCAGCGCGGCCTCCCTGCGGACTACATATATTCGAAGCCCTTGGGCTCGGCAAACTCGAAGCGGCCAACCAGGCCATGGTGATTGCCCTTTCTGATACACTGCTCTGCGCTGGACTGTGTCATCTGTCGCCAAATTTGGGGTGCGCGGGCGTGGGCGGGCGTGAAACAATGCGACGGGACCCCGGCGCTGAAACAGCGCTCTTTCGGACGGACAGGGGTGCGGAGGCACACGCGCGACACCTCGGCACCTTGGCATGACGGCGCTTCAACCGGAGGAGCCCTTTTTTCTTCGACTCTCCCTCCCCCCTTTCCGCCTTGCACAGGCAGTAGGTGGACGACGACCCATGCAAGATTTGGACAAGGAGCACGCGACAGTAACCCCCGACCCCAGTTTTTGACTTCCTTCTCAGCTGGGTTGGCTGGTCGGAAACCGGCACAGTTGGGTCGATGAGGCTCTTCGCAAGATCCGGTGCGATTGGGCTGGTTGCCGCCCGCGCTGAAGGAGCAGCTGTCACAGGCTGGATTTGAAACGAGAAAGTCTCGCACACCAAGGCCGGCGGACCGACCGTGGAGCGGATTCAGCTGCCAGGTCGGCACCCTCTTCCGTGGCCTTGAGCCTTGCTCTGTAGACACAAACAGCTGAGATCTCTTGGGAGTTGGCCCGCGCATTTTGCTTAGGAGTCTAATCACAGATGCCTCTAAGTCGTGAATCAATTACTTCCTTGAGACGATCTCTAGAATCCTTGGCATAGACTTTGTGATACTTGTCCGGGGTTAGCGGCCACATTCACCGCGCGGGAAAAGAGTGATACAAAAGAGAACCTGTTCTTTGCGATAGAGGCCTCATAATAAATAGAATGTAGAATGCATACACATCCCAACGCATACAGCTCAGCCAGACGGCCGTGGGCACAGAGTATGTCGACAGGGGCGAAAACACACTGCGACGCTGGATGGGCTGGGGCAAGAAGTGTTGACACGGAGGCTACAACAGCGAGCATGTCAAGATCACCAAGGTTTACGCGACGGCAGACAAACCGTCTAGGTTCGTTTACGTGTCGAGGGAAGGCGCCACAACGGAGCAGGGTCGGTTTACACCAACCTTTGGGCGGGCCAAGAGGGAGGGCCGAGGAGGTGCGCAGGGCCAACGGGCGGTTCCGCGCCAACTCGATGCGGCCCTGCGCGGTGGACTGGATGGCGCATGAGCCCGACCGAGGCGTACATACCACGAGCGGAGGGCGTCAGGAAGGCGCTGGTGCGGACGTTGTACCCCGTGATATGGCCCGTGTTCCCCGTGTTCCGGAGGGTCTGGAGCCCGACGGAGCCGCTGGGCGGGTTTCTGATGAATACAGCGATGGGCAAGTGGGACGGACGACAGACTGGGCCGGCAGGTATGGAGAAGCTGAGAGGATTTAAGTCTTGTCAAGAGCACTGACTTTGAGAGGCTGGCAGAGCTGGATAAGTGAGTACAAATGTGTCGGCCTCGTGGAGGATCAGGGAGAATCAAATCATATCATTGAGGTAGTGAGCAGCCGCGATGATTGTCAACACGCTCATGATATGATGTAATTCTTCAAAAGGCGGACCCCTAGGAAGGATCAGCAAGATGGAAGCTGACTGATGAGAGCTTGTTTCCTGCTCAGTGTCTTGTATGTTTGTTCACTCGTGTGCTCGAGGTGGCTCGGCAATCGGGATTGTCCGGCGCTCGGGCGACTCCACAGTGCCGGGACAGCTGGAGATGGATATCCAGCAGACCAACACTGCTGGAGACAGGTCGGGGAGGTTAGCAGGTCAGTTGGGTCACTCAGTCAGCGGAGGATACAGATCAACTGACACATGACCCGGTGGGTCGCCTGCCACACCAGGTGGGTATTTAGGTGACCTGACACACCAGGTGGGCCTAAATTTCAACCAATTAAATTCTATACCTTTAAATTTAT